GAGCCGGCGCTCCCAAGCCGGAGACTTATTAACGGATGAGGGGTAGAGAGGAACACGAGGAACACCAGAGACTTGGAAATGCCGTGTCCACCGACAAACAGTCTACTTGGCGTCAATGGCTCTCTCACCCACAGTAACGAACGCAGAACATCAAGCACGCTGGTAGATCTCGCGCTATCCATGGCAGGTTTCCGATTGCTCATTTCCAAACAATAGCCTCCTGACCTTCCCCATCTCGACGTTGACTACAACGTGATTGCGTCGTCTTCATCCCTTAGCTCGTGGCTCGGCCGACCAATCACGATTCCAGTCCGGCCGATATACCAATGATTCTGCCGGTCTAGCTCGGTGAGCCGCCCATCGATGACAGAAGGCTCTCGATTGCACATGGCAGCCCCGATCTCCAGAGACAAGCTGACAACCCATCCGCCGGCCTCCAGGCCCTGCTCCCGGCAGTGCTTCTCCCAGGGACTGGATGACGAGCTTTTTTTTGGGCAGTGATCTTCGGCGTAGCAAGACCATTGCGCACGCGGTCTGGTGAGACTAGTGAGCTACCGCCAACGGGACCTTTCCCTGTCCGTCCCGCATCGAGATGTCAAGCTGAGACATTGACCGGTGATGGGAAACTGGTGAGGCCGCACAAGAGCCACCGAAACCTATCGAATGCGCTTCTTGAACTCAATTGAGACGCGAAAACAGCATTCTGGCTCCATTGTCGAACGATGAATGCTGTCATGCCATCCGAGGTCGCCATGCCATGTCTAACTCACTCATGAGCACAAAGCTTGGAGCTTCTCCTCCACGAAAACACGAGGTCTGAGCGGTTCAAGATTGCCGAGAGATCGCCGTCCAAGACTAGGCTGCAAACGATCCAACCAACTGATTTGCTCTCTTTGGAAATCCTAGCGAGGTCGCCGTTTGTCAAGCAAGTTTCCTTGGAGCACCACACAACCTGCTAGATGTCAAACACGCTTGCTCTGCAAGTTGCTTGGGGTAAGCGGTTTACGTTCAGCGCCAGGCCCTGCGTAGATTAGCCAAGAAGGATTCTTACATCCACTGCATTGCTATACTTACTGATCCAACCTGACAGATAACTTTAGTTCTTTTGCCCTGAAGTAGTCTCAACTCTATGCATGCCCCTCTGGCAGCCGTCGTCTGATGTTGTTCAGCGCTGTGAGGTCAGCACCTCGAGCCGCTTCCGAGCTCAAAGTGTCAGTCATTCCCGCCCAATCCCCTTTTGAAGCGATTGGTTGGTCAACTCTAATTGGCAGCCCGAGGACACGGCATTGACGCAAAAATGCACCCGGCCGAGAATATGAGGCTGCAAACACCCGCCTTGACGATCTTCCTGGCCGTGGCTGAGGCTGGGTGGAGTGGTGGCTTGACACAGAGGCTACATGTTGACACTGAGCACGGCAGTTGGTAATCTTGCTCGACATCCGATCACGACACCCTTTCAATCACGCTGAAGGCGGCGGAGAAATGAAGGCCTGTGTAAGCAAGAGACTAGCCGCTTATAACGTAGCCTCACAAGGAAGTGACTCCGCCCACGTAGTGTACAGCGTCGCCTCCCATTGTCAATAGTCTCGTGTCCGTGTCCACGCTACAGCAAGCTAGACGACAGTCACAGCCTGTGGATCGCGGGAGGGACATCAGAGAAATATCCCGACAGGGTCTGCGATTCGAGCAGGTCAATATCACTAAGCGAAAAACGGCGCACGGGGGCGCCTCCCTCTTAGTCTCAAAGTCCCGTCCACCAAGCTTTGCCCCGCGGCTGGACTAGACTGGTTTGGGGACGACGCCTCTGGGTCCTTAGGTGTATTTGGAAAAGGGCCCGGGAGCAGTCCCTCGCGGCGTCAAGTGATCTATGCGCTACGGTGCCGGGCCTGTGAGGTTGGGAACCTGGCTGGTTGTCGTGTCTTCCCTCGCCCCCGATGGCTGAGAGCGGGCTCTAGGACGGTGTCAAGCTCGTCCCTTCCCGATTTCAGGTCCCCGCGGCCGGCCGGAGGGGTGGAACCACCATGCAAGTTGCTTAAGGGTTGTGGCGTGACGTGGCGAGTAACAGTTCTCACAGCAGTGACTGCTTCCGGCGCAGACACATACTCGCGGTGTGAGCCTACGGTGGTCTGGAATCCGCCCAAGCGCGAGACAGAGCCTCCACCACGATAGACGCCAGCTGTGGTTGTGTGTCACTGGAGACAGCGCCAAGAACTGAGTGCTTTGGCATCGGCGTCATCACGATGGGCTCGGGGACGGAAAGCACGGGACACGCACGGAACTACACCGGGGAAGCAACCTGATGGATTCTTTGATGCGAGGGTTAGAGGTGGCACTGCGCCCACTGGGTTCTGAAATGGTGTTAAGGGAAGGGACGTGCTGCTTGAGATCGGCCTGCTGGTTTGTGAGTGCCGTCTGGTAACTGTGAGGCGGGCGTTGTTCTGGCACACCATCTCTACATGATGCGACAATTAGCTGGAGCATGTGTTAGGGACCACGAGTTGAACTGTGCACGCGTAGCAACGCATATGTAAAAACGCTTTCACTCCAGAATACGAGTACTATGTACAGACGGGCTTTGGTGAACCTCGGTGTTTGACGGGCCGGGAACGATAGAGAAGCATGACGCTTCTGTTTCCATCCGCTTGGATGTGGCTGAGGACCCCTATGCCCTGCCAATATGTTGCTGGTAATGAAAAGAGGGTTAGCACAGGCTTGATAATCTCCATAACCATGACGCCAGGCGGCCACAGAGGCCACGTGGGAAACCGAGCCCGAAAGCCACGATATTGACTCATAAGCAACACTGCTCTTTTCCGTCGGCTAAGACCAGACTGTTGGTAGCATCAAATCCTGCGCGCACAGCGCCAGTGGCCAGTTCGTGCGAGATGAAGAGGGACAGGACGTCGTCATCTGCCAACCAGAGCCTCGGAGGACCGTGATCGTTTTCCAGGAACCATCACGGTCGACCCTCAGTCAAGCGTCGTTTGGCTGACAGGGTCCTTGGCTGCTATTCCTTTTGCGCACAATCAGAGTTTGGGCCACCAATGACTCGTCTCGTCATTTAGACAGCTACTAGGGCCACGCCGAGACGGCGTGGTTGTATCGGCGCCAATTGTGGTGCGGAGTGAAGGTATCCGAACTCTAAGGCTAGGTGCTTAGATGGATTAGATGGTGTGAGATGTAGATGTGATGATAGTTTTGCAGCACGCGTTCGTCGCGGAAGGCGCCGATGTCGCGTGGTTCGGTAATCTTTGAGGGTATCATCTTTTGTTTTGCGCGATGAGGCTTGGGTAACGCCGGAGAGCAAAAGTTCAAGCCCATGAATGAGTTGTTGATTAGTTGGCCGCCACAAGACTTGGATAGTACTTTCCGTCCATGAGATTGGCTGGTACAGCTCTAAGTCGGGTAATAATCTGGTAGTGATTGAGTGGGACAGGCCGCAAGTGGACGAGAAAAGTATCTACCGACGATGGACTGAGCATCTAGATCGAAGCTGGGGAGACGTGGGGGGAAGTGGCTTGAGAGTTTGCGTCGGGAGAAATCGTAGTGGGCCACGATGGTTTTACGATGGGATTCATTTCGCAGAGGATGACTCGTTTCCAACGCCGTCCAGGCAATCGCTCGGGTTCATGATCAAAGCTGAACAAGCTTCGAAGCGTTGTAAGAGTCGCAAGAGGTCTCGTGGTCTGCGTAGCTTTTCCCGCTTCATCCGTTTGCAGGGACAAGCTGTAGATGCGGGCGTCTTTGTCAGCGTAGCAGCCCAGCGACCTTGAAACTTAGGCTTTCTGGTTCTGGTTTGGGGTAGGGAAGATTTAGAGAACATCGTTTTCGGCGGAAATACTAGGAAGAGAGGAATGCAACCTTGCCCTGCGCCCTCTTGTCGGGCTTTTACGACCGGACGGAGACGGTAAGCTTTTTGCGGTATCTAGGGATCTCCATACCGCACTTGAGACTAGCGGCCGTCGATGCTGCTCCGTGCTCACCGGCAGAATGTCCGGAGTTCGGTCGGGGGTCTTGGGTGAAACATGACCGGCGAGGATGGTGCTTGCCAGCCGCCAGAGAACATATCCGAGTTTGTTCATCAATCTAGGGACCACCTCGGACGACGGCAAGGGCTGGGTTGGTGGTGGCATTGTCCACTTCAGTCGGTCCAGAAGAGGTGAATTCACGAGAATGGGAACTCCGGAGATAAAGTTGAGTTTCTCTGCCCTACAATAGCTTCCGGTGAGTGAGACAGTGACAGCTTGTCCGGGCACTTTTTGAGTTGTTATGCGCTTTTTCTAGAATTGGACCCCGCAGCGAGTGATACAAGACCATGGACGCCTTTGAGTTGCGGGATGAAGATCGAGGAGGGTTGAAACCTCCGTCATTAATTTCTCTTACGGTGTCAATTTGGTCCGGGTATAGCTTAACTGCGAGATTATCGGCTCCTTCGGTGTTTCTGCGACGACGGGGACCATAGCTGATACTCTTGTGCGACTCCTTCCGGGAACTTGGGATGAATCTCATACCAGTCTCATCGTGATAGCTCTTGGGATGGAAGAATCCAGCTTCAAGACGAAGCAGAACAGATGAATTATGAATGCATGTATGTAATTCACTCCCGAAAAGTCCATCGTTCGATCTCGTCACGGATTTCGGAAGTGTCAGACGCGACAAACGAGAGTTGTGAGGTTGCATTCCCTAGTGTAAGGCTGGCCGCTTTGATGCCATCTTTCAGCAAACATGAAACCGTTTTCACAAGGATTTGTGAACCATGAGCTTAAGTCAACCAAGCATTTTGTTGCAAGGGAAAAGTAATCACCAGAAAAATAACATGGGAAAGTCAATCATTTGCATCAAGGCAGGATCCCGCAATACCTGTGAAAGTGCCACTTTCCCCAACTCTTTCAATCCTTCGCAAGCCAAATACTATTACGTCCCCTTCGTGTTTCCCAACTTTATCTCTTCCATATTGGTTGTCTCAAATCCTGCATAATGTCCTTAATGAGGCTGGCGCCTCAGTCGCTGGGTTTGATCGGACCCCCGGGCACGGGTGATTGGGTTACAATTGGTCCACCCGGGATCGGCTTGTCCGGGATGAGGGGTCCACCCGGGGCAGGTTTGTCGGGAATGATGGGTCCGACACTGATGTCTTCGCGGCAAGCCTTGAGAGCGGCGATGATGGCCTGCTCGAGGTTCCAGATCTCAAAAGGCGGGGTATTGCCGTAGATGAGAAGCAAGCTGGTGAGGGTCGCGCGGAGACCAATCACATCGGAATCACTGCAGGAGCCAATCTCGAAGATTTGGCGTTTGGTGGATGGGCCAAACGTTGTAATTGCTTCGCCAAGAACCATGGTATCGGCATTGATGCCCTTGCTTGCAAGAATGTCGGCTAAGTGCAAGAGAACCATGTAAGTTCCGAAGGAGGGTTTGTTTCCATCGGTGAAGGGCTTAAGCAGAGCGGAGTAGGTCTCTTCCAGGGCTTCGACGTCTTCGGTGCGCTCATGTAAGGTTGGCTTGGGAAAGTCTAAGAAGAGGTCAGTTATACATCCGGCCACCCCGAGACAGAACGCACAAATACGTACCGGCTTTGACCGACTTGGGTTGGAGAGTAACATTCTGTCAAGGGAAATCAGCGATGTACATTGACTAAACAGCCTTGGGTCGTGATAATTCAAGACAGTGAGCAGGAAACAGGGCTTACCTCCCGCTTGCCGGGCCTTATAATAGGATTATTGATGGGAGGAAGTAGGATAGGGCCGCCTGGGTTTGAGGGAGGTGTTCCTCCGCCTGGAAGGAGTATAGTAGAGCCGTCTCCTATCCCAAACTGAGGTGCGGCACGGCTCAACACCACGGCGCTGAGCAGCGCCAGCGTTGAAATCTGCATGATGAGCGCTTGTGTTCTTTCTAGACCACAAACATCGAAATGAACACAACAAGTAAGATAAGAAATGGAAGAAGAGAACGAAGGAACTGAATTTATACTGCTGTGGCCGATTCATTCAGTATGCAGCGTGATTCCAGAGGTTCTTAGGCAGAATATGGTATTAATGCTAAATGCTCATTAAAATGCTTCCTGCCGGCGGTGTAAGCGAAGGGACATATTGCAAGAGATACAAGGGTCAATATCGATTATGTTAACTGCTCAAGCTGTAGAGTGTCCAAACAGAAGCGAATGGCACCGGACATGCACACAGGGGGATTTATCCGGGGCCAACGGGCGACATGCAAGCTGCAGGGCCTAAAGTCGAAGAGCCGGTCTAGAATCACATCCACCAAAACTCCAAAAACTGACCACCCAAGAAACAAGGTTGCATTCCTTGGATATGGCTATATCAACTTCTCAAGCGACCCCAATTGGGACTTCGGCATGGTATGGCCGTGACATCAAGGAACCGCGTCCCGCTATGTTCACTTGAGATAAGATCCATTCAATTTTTTGGCGGCCCCAAATGAGATTCCCTTGGCTTCATATTCAAGCTGAAAATTTCATTTGGCTATATAATCAGCATGAAGACATCTGCATGATCGGAATGACTTTTTCGAAGCTTCTTTTGGTTTCATTGGTCCTTCCGAGAAGTCATTGTCTAAACAGCGAAGCTCAGGGGGAAGTTTGCGGCGTTGGTAAGCAACCAAATTTGTCTTATCGTTGGTTCGAACCGGCCTTTTGTTTGTTAGTGTTGCCCAGCATGGATGGCTTTAAATGAACACTTCACGGTGCAGAGGAGGGCAAGAACTCGGGATTCTTAAAGAAGTCAAAGGCTCGGAAGCACAATGAACACAAATTGAAAGATGAGTAGCTATAGAGCGTTCTGTATCTTGCACTGTGATTTACCCTTCGCTCCCATCATTCAAAGAGCAAGATCAACCACCAATACTTGATAAATGTTCTTAGTCTGATCTGAAATGCAAACCATAGTTTCGAAAATCGTTGCAAGGTTCTCGTAAGGAAGCCTCATGGAGCCAAGACTTCGTCAGATTAAGCAATGTCTAAAGTTGCAGCGAGGTCAATTTTGCGTGACCCTAGAGAGAAAGGTCGTCAACCGCATCTAACGTACTGTGATGTTCCTTGTGTATAGGGTGGCTTGTACCAGACCGTTTGTAACAGGCTAGAACAACTTCCACTTAATATTGCACTATTTCTATGAGTATCGCTGTGAAGGACGACAAGTCATTATGGAAAAGGGCCCAAGTGACCAAAGCCTGGTGCCGCATGACCTCCTAAGATGGCATCAATAGCATTGAGATCACCGGGGTCGAAAAACTCAAAAACGTCAAATCCCGCAGGTCCCTCAAGAAGTGAAGCGTCGAAACCTGCAACAGCCTCGCTATGCGGCAGAGGGTTTACGACTTCCAGGTTGTTACCGATCTCGGATCCTAAGCTGGCGGCCACACCCTCTTGACGAGGAGTAGTTGGCGCGCCTGTGGAAGTATTCCCAGCCTGCTCGTTCAAAGCATTGGAGCAAACCTGGTCGATCTCCTGAATAACCTGCTCGGCCAGATCCACCATGACGAGCGCAGAACGAAACATGCCACCCAGCTCTCTGAGTATTTTGCAAGTCGATTGAAGTTGGCGGCGAGATCTCGCGGTTAACATCGGAATCTTGCTGGACCGAAGCTCCCGGTACGCTACTCGTAGAGAGAGGGATACGGCATATGGTACGAACGTCATGTGCGCTAGCGAACTGCTAAAGTGGTCGACAATTGTCGTTATCTTGATGGCAGAAAGAGACTGCCGAGTGTGTGCTAAAGATAGATGCTCAGATCGTGTTGATCCAACTGGGATGCGACAGGACAAAATAGCGATGCCGTGGTAGAGCAGCTCGATGGAGGCTACGACGCAGTTAGCATTTCGTCAGGTAATACGGATGGGAAGTGGAATTAAGCTCGCCTTACCCAATAGACGGGACTCGACGCCGAGCGCCTGAGCCCTTTCGACGAGGCTATCGAAGCTGGGCAAGTCTTCCATGACAACACAGCCAGTGTTCTTTGCTGCTGGTCGATAGAGATCGATAATGCAGCCCAGTAAGACAACAATCTCGAGGAATAGCCGGAAGCAGCTATCTTGCTCTGCGATACAGGCTTCCATGTCGCGTCCCAGGTCTCTTTCGTGCATCATTACCGGCCGTCCGTGGAACGCAGCATTAAGCTGGTCCATTGCCCATACACAACAAAATAGTCGTGTCAGATAGGCGGGATCCTCAGATCTTGCAGGTGGGTTCTGAAGGTGAAGACCGACTGTTTGAGCGTTGCTTACAGCCTGTGCTGCCAGTTCTGCAGATAAGTGCCGGTCTTGGGAGAAGTGGGTATATAACGAGAGGATGACAAGAATTGCAACTGCCTGGACGCGATCCTTGACTAAACCGAGGCCAAGTGCCTTCCGGATAGCTGATGAAAGGCGGAGAGCGAACTCTGGATAACCTAAGACCACCGATGAGTCTTCACCGAGTGTCAGATATGGCTTTGCGATGGGGTTAGATCCTGCCGCCAGACAAACCGCTTGTTTGCAGAGAACTTGTGATATCGTAGATGTTGGTTTTTCGAGGATGTTCACGTTCATCACAGGTAGAATCCGGTGGACATCTCGTAGGTAGATCTTCTTCAGCTGATCATAATGTTCTTTCCTAGGCAACACCGCGAGGAACTGATGCTCAGCATGGTCCTCGGAGACTGCGGACGCAAGCTCTGTAGTAAGGTTGTTTTTGTTGCTCTTGCGAGAATACCAGACGCCAACAGAGTTAGATTCTGCGTAACCACGACTCGCTCCGGGACTATCAGCAAGAAAGGCCCCTTCTGGATTCAAGTCGCCGACAAACCTATCGTCGTTATGCTGGTTTGAGTCTTCATCAACCTTGAGTTCTGGGCTGGAATTTTGAGGTGTTGGGTGCTCAGCACGATCTGGTGGGCTGGCGGCTGGGTTTGCAGCCTGAGGCCATGGGCTCCGGACTGCAGGCATCGAGCTGGCAACACAGATGGACTCTGCTACCTCATCATCGTCTTCATCCTCCTGACGCGTTGGCGAGGCCTCCTCGGCCATTGAGCTGTATGAGAGGTGTGGATCTATGGGGGTTGGCGCGCCCGAAGAATCGGCTGCGGCTGCAGAGGAACCCAGAGCGGCAAATCGACCCCTCTTCCGCCAGTGAACCGAGTGCGGAGGCGGAGACTCCCCTTCCTCTAATGGATGTTCACATCGTTTCTGTAAAGCTCGTCAACCCTCACATCTTGAACGCATCTGGACGTTTTCAGGATCAGACACCCCCGATTGGTCATGTAGGTAGCATCCAAGCGGCCTGAAGGACCAGGTTGGAATGGAATAGGATGGGAGAAGCAGCAATGCCTAACAGCCGTTCGTCGGGGGTGATACAGAAAAGTGGACTAACCTTCCGTCTCCGACAAGTGTCGCATGCATGCAACGCGATCTTGCGCTTTGCCACGGGGACGTTTGTAGTGTTGATGAATTTGAGGTTGAGCATGGCGGCATGAAGATAAAAGACCCATCAACATTCATTGTTTAACGTACTCGATCTGTGACATTTGTGGAAAATGTGGGGCAATTTGCGGCTGGAAGACGACCAGCGCCGGAGTATCCGGGACCGAAATGCCGACACTTAGCTCACGAACTACTGTAGGAGAGCGATCCAGTAATAAGCAAACCAACCACACCACCTTGGATTGACATACAAACACCACTTGAAAGGCAAACCCCGTTCTTTATAATTGGGGCTGGTTTTTCGTCCCTTTGATTGGCCATCGTACGCCTCGATGTTTTACACCCTGCGGTGCGCAATTTCAACCCGCGCGGTGAGCAGAAAGCCATCAGCAGTATACTCTCGATATATCCTTCAGTCAGTGCGATACCAATGTGCGCTAATTTGAACTAAAAGCTTCTCGTGGCCACTAAAGACCCTTAAAATAAATGCGATGACTTAAAATCATCAACTTTGCCTGTGTCTGAAAGTCTCTGATTTTCTTTAGAGAGAACCAGTGTAATTGAATGCCATGTTTATTGATTTGCCAAGTGTCTACCTATGCAGCATCAGTTCCCGAGTAGCCAGGGTAATGAACGTGAATATCAGCAAGTTTCTGAGATATTATCATCGCATGAATAGTATGGCTTTTGTTTGTTCACATAATCATCTGTCAAAAATTGTTTGTCGTGCCTGGCACTAAGTTTTGAAATGCCTTCTGGACGAGATTCGCCTCTGATACAAGCATGAATTTGAAGATTTCGAACCAATCGACCAAAGCTCGCATCGACACGTGTTAATTGAAGCTGGTAGTTCATTCTGAGCGCGTTTAATACACGGTAGGCCTCGAATTACCGAAAGCGGAGAAGGGAATAACAGTGTCTTCACTAAAGCAATCTTTGCTAGCGGTCTTTTGAATATAACCTTATTGATGATCTTAGCCATGGCGAATAACGAATAGCACTTTGGTTTTTGGGAGATCATTGAGAGTATGTTTGGTAACATAAAGAACAACAGGGATGACACCTCCTACAACATCATACCGCTGAGGCCAACGGATAAGATCGCCAATGCGACGAAGCGTAAATCTAGATGCAGAATAAAAAAACACAAGTTGAATAACACAGCAAGGAATTTGAGTTAACTTGTCCCCTTAAGAGTCTCTAAAAACAGAGACAAGGTCTTCAGCTTGAACATTGGTACCAGGCAGTGCTGATTCAAACAAGTACTTGAAGAAAGGAAGAGAACTTGAAAAACATAGAAAACCGAATCAACGCCATCTAGTTGGCTAGTAGCCGCCTTATAAACCAATCTATGAGAATGAAAACACCAAGATTCCGCGGCCCCCAAACCCATTACCAGACGTCCAGGAAGGCTTACTAAGCCTAGAGTTAATGTGACATAAGAATGACCAAGAACAGCACGCTTTCCCTCCAAAACGGACAGAATGCTGGGTTGGGCGTAGAATTATTTTAGTTGCAGGATCTTCTTCCGATCTCTGGTCAAAACCATACTTGGGTAATCAGCCACTAGCAACAACCAAACGAATACAGGAACCAGATGAAGCCCTGTACGCCGTGTCGTTTAGATCCATCACAAATGATCTAGATTTGCAGGTAGAATTGATCCATCTGTTCTGTTCTGTGACGTTTTGAGATTTGTCCTAGCCATTGATCACACTCAAGCGAACGAAAAGATCGCAAAAGGGCTTGTCGCCCAAGTGCATCAGATCGACAGATGGTCTTCCAAATAACTCCAAAGGATTTCGTCAAGGGTGCTGTGGTAAAAGTAACCATCAAAACGGTACCGCCTGGGAGAGGCAACTTAATATCCTGGTAGTGTAACTGCCGTTCTCCGCCGGCAGGCCGAGGACTCACCCAACAGCCCGGTCGAGTCGCCGGGCCAGTAAAGAATGTTCAGTTATGAGATGATCATCCATAAGAGCTTGCACAACTATAGAAACGAGTCTGAACAATAAAAGATGCCCATAAGGCTGGGAAGTACAAGTGGCGAGATCCAAAGGGAAGTACTCCCTTGGAAAAGGGGCTGGATAGAGGCGTTCGCGGTGTCTTGGATGACCGTAGCCCCACTTCTTGCGAGGTAAACCCGGAACAACCTCAACCTGTTTGAAGGCTTTTTGGGTCGATGGTTTGTATCGCCTGTCGACCCAAGTTTCGTCTTGCCTTTATCAGTCGTTAGTTCGTAGGGCTGATCCCAATGTCTCGGACACAGGCGATCAATTAGGTGCGTTGGCCACAAGGACCAAAGTCCCGCTTACTTGTGCAACGTTGAAGGTCGCCATCAAGTGTCACATTATTAAGACCCAAGTTCCAAAGAATATCTGATACACGTAAAATCAAACCTTTAAAAAAATACGCGCTGGAAACAAGGAGTAAATCTTTTACTGGTTGCAGGTCTAGCCATGTAGTTCTAGAACTTCTCGGAGACTATGCAAGACCAACTGGTTGGCATCCGGAGATGTGGGGCCTAGTGCTACAACCTAAACCGGCGATGGCCCGGAAGATCGGGGGCTTGATAGAGCTTACGTAAAATACTGGACGTCACTCTAACATGGGGTGCGGGGTTGAGCGGCATTGCGATCAGTTTGTTCAAAGCCATTTTCGAGGCAAATACTAAGTGATACACCTCTGTGAGTGTCTTGTTGTAGGTTTTCAGCGTTTTCGCAGTGCTCATTGAGGAGAACCCCATGATGTCTAAGCCTGGGCAATTTCGAGCCGAGTAAGTCGGAGATGACAGCACATCTTCTGTTCTATCCCTAGACAAACTGAGCGTTCACCTTGATTATGGGATGGATTTGCGCAGAAGCTGATGAGTGCCACAAGCTGACAACAGTCCAGTTTACCCGAGCTTGCTCGACATTTGCTCATAAATGGCCCTCACAAAATCCACACCACTTCTCGACGCGTTCGAATCATCCTGAATCAGACTTGCATTGTTGACACAACCAATGCAATCCACATCTGGGAGCACGTTGCCTATCCACAATATTATGTGCCCACGTCGGAGCTCCGAAACTGCAATTGGAAAGACAAGCAAGACGTTCGATCCGCGGAAAAATCGTCAGCCATAGCAGCCCATGTAGTCGAAGTCACCGTAACGGGACAGTATGGTAGCGAGGATTTGGTGACTGATCGAGTCTTGAGGTTCTCTGACGATGAGAAACTCAGCGGTGCGTTGAAGGGTTTGGTAAGACTAGAGTTTGGGAGCATGGGTAAGACACCCCGTGGGAGGGTTCGGTGGTAACCAATATGTTGACATATACTAGACCAATGGTTGGAAGAAGAAACGCCCATCTATGTCCACCCCAAAGATCCCTTCAAACGTATCGACATCCTTCCGTCTTTACGACCAGTCGAAGTTAAGGTTGCTGAGAGAAGCGTCGCTAAAACCGAGTTTTCTGTTCATTTGTTGGAAACAGGCTTGCCTACAAGGTACTATCTTCCATTGGCCTCGGTTGATCAATCTGTGCTTCGTAAGAGCGACCTCATCACAAAATGCCCCTATAAAGGCGACGCGGAGTACTACCACATTGTAATCAATGGTGAGGAGCACAAGGATCTAGTCTGGTACTACAGACTCCCGACGCATGAGAGTGCAGCAATAGCCGGTCTACTTTGCTTCTACAACGAGAAAGTTGACATTTTCTTGGACGGCGAGCTCTTGAAGAGACCCAAAACATTTTTTTCATAGGTTACGCACTTGAGGGAAGCAGTTTGTGCTGTCAGAAAAGGGATCTGGGCCCCTTACCAAAGATTAGCCAGGTTGTGGTCCCAGTAAAATTTGATGTATGCAAATCGTCACAAAAAACAGAAATGGCCAGCGGAGTTTTCGAGTTGCCATTGATTTTAATGATTTGATGATAGATATTGTTCAATCTACAAACTGTTTACCGCGTAGGCTTTGAAGGGGCAGGCCTTCGGGTCAACTCCAAGCCTTGCTATTAAACATGCAGTCTGGCTCCAAGGCCGCATGCACATCTGTGGCTCCTCTTCAACCAAAATCGATGCAGAATTGGTCGATATGAGGCATCATGGAGGCAGTACTAACATTGCATCTCTAGTCCAACTTATAGTATGCTTTGACAGTAAATTGTTCGTCGTCAGCCTCGTAAGTCGAAAGGGAGCGCCGCCACTTGCTGCCATAATTGCGTCTTACTGACATTGTCATGTGTGAATCGGTCCGAGTGTATGCCGCAACACATTAGCAAGAGATGCGGAATAAAGGCCCGGACTGATCAAATTGATACACATCAATGCCCTAGATGCATCCTTATGCAGTCTTGGACTTTGCTTGTTGAGTGAGCTGCCGAGCGTATTGCGAAGGGATAGGGCGGCGGCGGCGGCGGCGCCGCCGCCCGGGAATGCTTCTTATGGCCCACTAGCAATGTCAAAGACCTACAGTCTCTAATAGTGGCTCCGCCAGCACTCACGGGGGTGCCTGAATCGCTCGCCAAATCCCGAAATGGCGTCTTAAGCTGAGTAGATTTCTTTTGAAGCAAGATTTGAATCTTTGTTCCCAATCTCCTACGCAAATCAGAAATAGCCGGGCAACGGGCCATACGAGGCGCCATTGGCGTCAAAGCCATGAGACGTGAACTCATTCATGAATTCTGAGGGCGCCATGCTATAGAGACCTGGAGGAAACACCTGCATGGCCTGTGTACAGTCTATGACGTCCTGAGATGATTGCTTCTCGGCAGCCTGCTCAAGGAGCAAGTGTTCTTCCCGTTCTTTCAACTGAGACAGAGAGGCTTGCTGCGACATGGGCGGTGATGTGACAGCTGGCGTCAAAGATTGGCCGATGGACTGGAAAGTGGGTATGTCCGCAATGAGTTCGGGGAAACGGTCGAAGAACTGGTGGCCCATTGTCCAAGCGTTTATGTCCATGATTCTCTCCTCGAACATGGACGATATCTGGTACTTTCCCGTGACCACGCTCTTCTTGTACGCGTCGCGGAACTCGAAGGGCCATAGCATGTGGAAGTTTGGACCAAAGAGCTCCCAAAACTGGTTATTGCAATAGTGATGTTGCCCAAAGACAAAACGCTCTCGAAGACCTGGCCTAAAACAAGTCAGCGTCGCCGCCATTAACGAGACATATCAACGAGTACCTGTTGCTTACCAAACGAAGAAATCAATAGCATAGGAGTGAGGTATTGCTTGTGACGGTCTAGATCGTGTTAGCAAGAAGGTTCATATTTGATTGATGCGCCGGCGAATCTTCCCATATACCTTTTCAGATACCACTTCGGCAGCTTGGAGTGACGCTCCGGCGTGGGATCGGAATGATACTGCAACAGAAGATGCATTGTCCGGAGAATTGCCAGCCGCTCTGTTGGGGGGCAAGTCTGAAAACACAGCTTGTCAACCCTACGCAGTTTCTTCCACAGCTTGGACAACGGTCTCGATGTCGCAACGGCGTCCCATCCCTCAAGTAACGCCCGTACAGGTATGTCCTCGTCGTTGGCATCTTCAGTCACATGTGCCTCCCTGGATATGCGGCACTTTTTGGCCAAGACCTGGTTGACAGCCCGCCAAACATTAACCCTAGGTAGAGCCGGGCCCGCAGGTGTCCGGACTGTGACACAGTCACAGGGTGATTCAGGGGGCGGTACGATAACATTAGGGTCGTCATGGTTCTCATCTCTGTCATCGTCCTCAAGCTCCTCGACAAGGTCTTGGCTGTCGGACGTGGAGCTAGGCGCGTGAACACTCGGCGCGTGCACGCTGGAGGCTGAGACCCCATTCGGCGCGGTGCCGATAACTCCATGTCCATTGTCACAACCACTGCCGTAGAATGCGTTAGCGTCAACAATAGAGGGAATTTGGGGCAGCAGGCCGATTGGTGCTTCGTATGAGTGCGCCGGTAGCCCTGTCAGCATCGTATCCTGAGAGCTGGGCAGGGATCTTGGAGGTGCCGGAGGAGAGAGTTTCTGCGCTGCTGGGGTCGGACGGCTCGGCAGCACATGATCGCGGATCGTTTGCTCAATGGACTTGAACGTGTCGAGCAGGCGGTCTCGCTCGCGGGTGGTGGCGGCCAGCTGCTCCATGCAGGCTGATAACCTCGTCGAATCATCCTTCCGTAATTCCTTAACTTGAGCTTCGAGCTCGGCGATGCGGTTGCGTGTACGCTCGCGGGCTTGTCTTTGGGCTCGGCGGTCGAGCTCGCGTTTCCGGATTTTTCGGGCAAGCTCTTTTTCGGAGGGAATCTTTGCTGGCGGATCACCTGATGCTGGAGTGGGGCTATCGTTTTGTCCACTGGATGCCATAGCTCACAAGAGAGGAGATATTACAAGGAAAGAGAGAGGGCGCGAATGCGCGAGGGGATTAATGTGTGTTTGCGCACTTCTTCTGTCGTTTGTGTCTGGTCGCAAGTAAAATGGGGAAACAGAATATGTCAGCGGAAAGATGGGAATCAATTGAATTGGGCACAGATGGTGTCGAAGAAAGTTGGCGTCCATGTACGGAAGTGGATCGAGCGGACATTATTGTCAATCAAGGATGGGAGGAAACCGGGAGTTGAAAAGACAAAGACAAAGTTTCTTTTAGAAGGGTTAATTGCAAGGTAATGGGATTCAGACACAGCTAACAGGAGCCCTGGGCTCCAAACACACAGATGGGAGAAGGGGCAAGAAGTTGAGTTGAGAACAGGATCAGAGAATGTGGGGTAAAATGCTGCCACCCCATGCTCTCTGCTGGGCTTGACACTTGCTTGGATAGAGCTTTTCCTTGCGTTACCTCGCTTGCCCTGGATTAGCTGAGCTGGGATTCCTGCGTGACACTAGGTGCAAACCTTCGTTCGGTGGCTTTGATAGAGTTCGGACGCGAGAGCTCCGCACTCAATTAGCACTTACAGCTAACGAATCATCGCCTCCAGATACCGCGCCGGGGCCAACAGCAAGGCACATACGTCTTTAAATGTCTTAGTTGTCGCATGTCGACTGTTCCAACTCCAATTCTAACGGGCTAATTAGTACGCTTCCACATTCCGCGGGTGCCGCGCCAGGAAGGCCTATGAGAGAGACTAAAAGCACCTCAACCCTGCACATCATCTAGCTCGTGTAGCCACACCAGTGCCACACCAGCAGCTGAGTCCCTGGTTGTCAAAGCTAACGGTGGGTTGAGCTGTAATGTGAACTTAAACCTGTGATTTATCACTGGACAACTTGACCCAGTGTTAAACATGGTTCATAAGACATTCCAGCCTAGCGCTGTTGGAGTCATCTCCAAATCGTGATCTCCTATCTAGACAATCTGCTTCCATCCTCCCTCGGGTTGAAAATCACTTCCAACTCCGGCAGTGATAGGGTAAAGCCATCCTTCTTCCCTTCAATGAAAGCACGCGTGGTTTGTTCCGGAGCGAATGCTATGTCATACCGGTGAATAATCTGGCTGGCGCAGTATCGTATCTCCATCAGCCCAAGCTGCTTGCCGACGCAGGAATATTTGCCTATGATGCCCCACCTCGTCAGCTCTGGTGGCGTGCAGATCCGCAAGGCACGACGTGGGGTTTAGATGCCTACCTGTGCCGAAAGGGATAAAAACTGTATGGTCCTTGGCCATCTCGGGCCGAGTGGTCCATCGCTCGGGAATGAACTCGTTTGCCTGCGGAAACAAGCGCTCATCTAATTCGCCACAAATTAACCGTTAAGACATATTTCCCAACTGAGCCCAACGGGGGACTGAAAGCATGTGAAAACTTGCCTCTGAACATCGTGTATGTTGGCACTTGGACAATGGTGTTTCCCGGGATGAACGTGCCATCGATTTCCATGCCCTCGGGTGGTGTCATTCGCTGAAGGCCCGAGGGTACCGGAGGGTGAAGTCTCAAAGTTTCGTCGATGCACGCCTGCAGGTACGGGAGCCTAGACAGGGCGGAGTGTTCAGGCTCGGCATTCTGTGCGAAATACCTGTCGATCTCCCCCCTTAGGCGGTTATAGACCTCCTGTTTCTGAGCTAGTTCAAAAAAGAGGCAAGTGAGGGATGCAGCAGTTGTGTCACTACAATGTGATTTAGCTGGCGGACCAAAGACTTCGCTTCTGGAGTGGGCGCGAGACATACCTTCCAGCAACAATAATAAGGTAGGCATCCCCGTATAGATTGAGCGTGTCTTGCCAGGTAGGATTGTTAATTGACTCGTAATCTTCCAATATCCACGAGAATACATCGGGACGGTCGGGTGTGTTCTGTGGTATTGATTAGTTTATAAGTAACTCCTTCGAGTATCCGGCTTTTCACGTTACCTTGACCCTGTTATCCACTTGAGACTTGACAAATTTCCAAAATCGCTTATTGTTAGCATTTAGAATTGGCGTGTTTTTGAAAACGGGAAAGAGCCAAAGCATGTGGCTAAACATCCCAATAGCCTGCATGTCTTGATGTAATGAGGTCATGAAGTAGTGCTTAATTCCTTTCTTAAGCATCCCGAAAGACTTGCCAAAAGCCAAGTCTCCCATGACATCAAAGCTGTAAAAGTTGAACCAATCCGCGATGTTGAAAGGTTCTGACTTGTGTGCATCAATCTGCGATAGCAATTGGTTGGTGTAGTCTGCGACCCTGAACTCGTAGTCTCTGAGGACTAGTTATCAAGTCAGTTCATAAATCCTGACAATACAAGATAGGTCTCCTGAATTAAGAAGTTACCTTTGGAGCTAAACCCTCTGTCCCAAGCCCTGCGTCGCTGAGCGTGCGTCTGTTTGTCTCGAACCAGCTGTAAGGAGTACAAGGGGTGCAAGACCCCGTACCACGGTCCTTTAGTGCATGGTGACCGGTTCGAGTGAATTGGCATAACTGCCTTTGGGTTGTTGATAGATAGCTCACTAGGACCTAGGCAAGTCATGCAAATGAGCAACTTGACAATTATATTGCGTTGAGGGCCCTACCAATTCTGACAATATCACCGTATCGTTTGTGGAGCTCTTGAACTTCTGAATACGTGTGTAACTCCTTGACTACTCGTGAAGTGATCCATAGGTTAGAGATTCTTGCTAAATAAGGGCCGTTGAAAGAGTTTAGCCGATGGAATGTTGCGCGGTATATGACCAGGCTGCTATAAATCCCGACAATTAGGGCAGTCATAAGGGAAGTGGCTGTTTTGAAGGCAGCAACATTAGTTTGGAAAGTTCCAGGCGCCAGCCAGATAAGGGAGGCTGTAAGCAACCCTATGCCTAAGGTGAAGTTCCTGATCAACCTTGTTGTAGCGGTATCCCATTCTCCCTTGCGGAAAACTAACACGTGAAGCTGGATGCCAATCGAAAAGAAAAGGAAATGAGCTTGAAGGAGCTTCAAGTCGGTCATATTTGCTATTCGATGAATACGATCAAAGTCTTGGAGACGTTATAGAGGAAGTTGAAGAGAACCAAAGGATCGAAGCATATCCAGCATATTTCGCACCATCAGAGTTAGTATATGAATCGATAGCATTAAAAGATCGTCGAGTGACATATTAGGCGAATCACATGACAACGACCTGCGTCAGAAGCGTATCGCCATCCATCCGGTGGCCAATAAACACCAGGTTTGGCAAACAATAACACCATGAGCTCGCCGTATCAGAATGGAATTTCACTCGCGATCCAGCATGCAAACGTAATTTCGAGTCAGAACATTTACTATTTCTCTGGAAAATATCCCAGCAAGCGAAAAATGACTGGGCAGCTCAGCTTGCCTGACCAGCTATATGGCTTGGCAACTCGGCCGACCCGATTCATCTTGTTGTCGACTTATGACAGGGCCGAGGATATAATCACTTAATGCAGTCTCACTGGTCCGTTGAAGAATAAACCCATTATTTCTACAGAATAGTCGACTCAGAATCCTCAATAAATGCTGACTCGACCTATCTGGGGAAGAACCGCGGGGTTTCGCGGGGTCATGGGTCGTCGATTACCATCTCTCCCTCTTCTCCACCTCGTAAATCTGGGGAAGCTCTCCATGTTCTTCCCCGCAAAAGGTTTGATTAGCTCACTAACCTTTATCTGAATGGCTGGGGCAGGTGTGTACGTTGATCTATTAGATTGTTGACACTATGAGCCAAGTTCACCAGTAAAGCCATGACCTAACATGATGTCTGTAGTTTAGCCCGATAACCTAGCTTGTTATCGGCACTTACGCCCAAAGGCAAGTCCCATTTTGGCGAGTTAATTTAGCAACGCTGCGCTGCCAGTACCATAGCCCTAGGTGCATCTGAAGCTCCGAAAATCCAAAGTTCAATCGGACAATATAAGATGCTAAAATATGAGCACACGTGGCTTGTTTGTCAGAGCGCAGCCTGCACCGAGATCGTATGATTATTGAGATGAAAACAAGGTGTTTTTAGGTTTCGCGGTGATACCCATTGGTAGACTACTTTAAATCTATGACTACTCGCCCTTGAATATCTCCTGATTCCATTTCGGCGAAAATCTAGAAAATAACATATTAGCCATTCCATTATCACCGTCATTGGTCAATCGGTTTCGCAATTACTTACCTTAGTCAGGCTTGTCATTCGTCGAAGTTGAAAGTGAGTTTTGATGTTGCCCAGTGCTGCAACTTCTAGGCACTCCTTGGCTTCGAGTCGGTTGCCGGTCTTGACACCTGTGACTTTATGTCAGCGATGAAGCTTAACAAGGGTCACATGAAAACATCAAGAGGGTTGAGCCAACCTACCAAAAATAGTAAGCTCATCCGCGAGCAGAGGCTCAACGTCTGCGATGGTCACGCTATTGCGTTCAGGAACACCGAGGCAAACTAATTTGCCTCGGAAACCCAGCCAACTCGGAGACTGCATATAGGCCTTCTTGTTCGACGAGCACATCAGCACGATTCGGGCACCGCCGCCTGTCATCCTCTTGATTGTTGCGGTAAGATCTTCCTCGTTAGGATACGTTGTAAAGTCGACAAACTCGTCAGCGCCAAGTTCCCGGCAGAACTTCTCTTTTGCACCTAGGTCCATGGCGAGGATGCGACAGCCGAGCGTGCGCGCATACTGAATGGCGAGATGACCAATACCTCCTCCAGCGCCAGAAATAACGACCCAATCACCGTGTCGAGCTTTCGCACGCTTGAGTGCGGTATAGACTGTGACGCCACCGCACATCAAAGGCGCCGCTTGCGCTGAGTCCAGAGAGTCGGGAATCGGCGTGACATATCGCGCTGTTGATACGCAGTACTGCTGAAAGGTTCCTGGGGTGAAATAGCCAGACAGCTTAACTTCCGCACATGATGACTCGCCGCCCTGAAGGCATCGATCTTAGACGGAGGTCAATTGGTATGAGTACAAAAAATGCACTGCGCACAGCCGTCTTACCACAATTCAGACATGCGTCAGCCGCGTACTTAATCCCTACTCTGTCACCAATCGCAGGTGATGTTACACCGGTTCCAATTGCAACAACTTTACCAACTCCTTGTCAAGAGTTAGTAATAGTTACACAGAGATTGACTTCCTCTATTCTGCCGGACTCCAAGGCTGACAAAGGAGTGCTACTGACCTTCATGACCGCCTACTTGTCCTGTGATATTGCTATCAGATCCGGGCTAAGCAAAACGGTAGAGCACAACCATGACATACCTTTGGGTGTAGGAAAGGGTACCGATGAGAAAGCATTCATGCAGAAGCCATAATCAGTGTGGCAGACGCCAGAATACTGTCTGCAACGGTAACGTCATAAGTACTTGGGCAGTATTATAACACATCCCGTAGGGTAAGACAGAAGAGAGGGAAGTCTCACAGGCGAATCAGTACTTCTCCCGGCCCAGGTTTCGGTATCGGAACTTCCACGACCTCGGTCTTAGTGGTGCCAGGCTCCGTGTACACGACCGCGCGATTATACCTACTCTCGCCGCCCATGTTGGTCGCCATAAAAAGATAGGTCAACGTTGTGTTGTTGCCCGATTAATGTATTACATGGAATTGAGAGGGATGTATGTCATTATATTTCTCGGAACAAGGGAGCACGCGCGTCTGCGAGGAACTCCGAAATTGGATAAACTTGACTGGGCTCTCACATTCTTAATTGCATTGGTGGTACCCAGCGAACCACACCATCGGGATCCAGCTTCATCATGCCACTCATAATACAGCAATGCGACCGCAGCAATTGCCGAAGCAAAGGCAGAGGTAGTTTTCCATGCCGGCGCTGAGCCGGAGAACCAACGTTAACCAACCAGCAGCTGCAATGGTTGACTCGGCCTGAATCTGCATGCATGACAACCTTGCAGGAGGCACTAAAACCAGCATGAGGCAAGCTAGGTGACGCAACACGGTGCAGGTTCTGGTCGAGTCAGAACTTTACAGCTAAGAAACATGATGGATTGAGAACAAAATCGTTGAATGTGGAGGAGGCGGGGGCGGCACCCTGCCGAGACCTTCGTCTTTTCTCCAACTTTGGCTTCCACGGCACCGGATCGCGCAGCAGAAGCACAGTCTGTGTCAGCATTGACAGCAGCGTTTAGGAATGGAATTCGTCAGAAAAAGGTACGTACCTCATCCTTAGCCGATCAGCTCATCCGCGTTTCAATGCCGGCCCCGTCTTAGCTTGGCTGGCTGTGTGTTGTAACTTGTTGGTGCGGCGCGGGGGAGACAAGAGTGTTGCAATAAGGCACGCAGTGGGACAGGGCAGTCTAACAGCAGAACGACTAAGGGGGGTCTCCATCGGTGAGCTACCCAAAACAGCAATGGACTTTCCCTTGTGCCCCGCTTCCCGCGGAGCCAGACTCCATTCTGCGAATAGTCTATGTCAATCGTCAACGGCTCTCGTGGTATCGACGGTGGGGTGCGGACGACACACCTCGGTTGAAGCTATGTAATCCTTGTATTGAGCCCTGCTCTCTCTCCACGTCCTCCACTGGTTCGCTGTCTCTTTTGTGAGCAATTGTTGACCCCTCTTAGCCAGGGGGCGAGGAAGGAAGTGTAAAGAAACACAAGGCAGGGTCGCTTTCGCATATCCGTTCCCTCATCTACTTCTTCTTCTCCCTGCTCTTTCTTCACCCGATCTTCGTGTGCCAGGTACCAGCGTCCAATCTTAATACTCCCATATCACGTCCGGACCGCAGCGTAACTTTCCGCCTCTGCCAAACAAACACTTCTCCATCATGGCTACGAACGGCACGTCCAAGCTGGACTGGACAAAATTCTACAATGTCATCGACGGAAAGCTCGAGACGACTAGCAAGACCAGACACAGCGTAAACCCTTCTACACTCGAGGCCAACCCTGAAGTCCCTGTTTCCACCCCCGAGGATGTCGACAGAGCTGTGCAGGCTGCGAAGAAAGCCCAGGAGGCCTGGGCTGAGACACCGTATGAAGAGCGCCAGAAGGCTATCGCGAAATTCGGTGAAGCCCTGGAGGCGCATGCGGAGGAGTTTGCGCTGATGCTCACCAAGGAGCAGGGTAAGCCTGTAAGTTATTGAGAAAGACAAGCATTTTTGGCTTCAGTCAAGTTAACGCGCAACGCGCCCGGACAGCTCCAATTCGCACAGTTCGAGCTCGGCGAAGCCGTCAAGCATTTCAAGGGAATGTCCAACCTGCCCTTCCCTGAAGAGGTTCTGGACAACAACCCAGACCGCCGGGTCATTACAAGATACACGCCGTTGGGTTCGTATAATAAGCCCTCCATCTAGGTTGGCAGACACAGGACTGACTCTCAACCAAGGTGTCGCCGTCGGCATTGTCCCTTGGAACTGTAAGTCACCATTCGTTCCGAGATTCGCACTGGATGAGGTTGCTAACGTTTAACAGTCCCTATCCTTCTTGGTACGAGTCTTCCGACTATACTTATGACGCAAGCAATGTACTAATACGAAAACATAGCCTGCGGCAAGATCGGTCCTGGCCTAGTCACCGGAAATGCCTTCATCCTCAAGCCCTCGTAAGCTCGGAATAGCCGCACTGCTTAGGTCACAAACTAACATTCTTAAAGTCCCTTCACTCCTTACTGCGGCCTGAAGCTCGTCGAGCTTGCTCAGCAGTTTTTTCCTCCTGGTGTCTTCCAGGTGCTCAGTGGTGATGACAACCTTGGCCCCTGGTTGACCTCCCACCCTGGTGTCGACAAGGTCAGCTTCACTGGCTCAACCGCGACCGGAAAGCGTGTGATGGAGAGCTGCAGCAAGACCCTCAAGCGTGTTACTTTGGAGCTGTAAGTGAAGTTACAACGGCGTCAGGCTTGTGGACGTTGAGACTGATTCATGAACTCGCAGTGGTGGAAACGACGCAGCTGTCGTGCTTCCCGACGTAGATGTTAAGGCTGTTGCGCCCAAGGTCAGTCTACACTCATGCTCAACCGTATGCAGCTCGTGCTAATACTTACTAGATTGCAATGCTTGCTTTGTACAACTCTGGACAAGTGCGTTTTTATGGTTGCTTGAGGAAGTCCCTTGAATATAATTTGCTAACGGTTACAATTAGGTCTGCGTTGCTATCAAGCGTATCTACATCCACGAGGCCATTTATGACGAGCTTGTCGCCGAAATGGCCAACGTTGTCAAGAACCTGCCTGTCGGTGACGGTCAACAAGAAGGCACGGTCCTGGGCCCTGTTCAGAACCAAATGCAATTCGAACGTGTCAAGGAGCTTCTCAAGGACATCGAGGAGCAGAAGCTCAAGATCGCCGCCGGATCCACGGCGCCTGCTTCCAACGGCAAGGGCTACTTCATCACGCCCACGATTATCGACAACCCGCCCGACAACTCTAGGATTGTCGTGGAGGAGCCTTTTGGTAAGTGATGTTCATGCACCTGAAAACTCAATCACCCCCTCCATTTCTCATTCCCCTTTTACCCGCTGCAAATAAAAGACCCCACCCAGACTAACATGGGGTATCCCAGGTCCCGTCTTTCCCGTCCTGAAGTGGAGCGACGAGAAGGATGTTATTCACCGCGCCAACGACACCCTCATGGGTCTCGGCGCTTCAGTCTGGTCCAAGGATCTCGAGAAGGCGCAGCGCATTGCAAAGAAGCTCAAGGCCGGCAACGTCTGGATCAACACTCACTTGGAGCTGCAGTACAACGCGCCTTTCGGCGGTCACAAGCAGAGCGGCGTTGGATACGAATACGGTGCTGGCGGTCTTAAGGCGTACTGCAATGCGCAGTCCATGTACATTACGAAGGCATGAGCTGAGAAGCCCCCCCATTCCTCTGCATTTAAGCGCTCACGATGTAACAAGAGATAAAGCTGTCTAAACTGTAAAGGGTGCGGATCTTGTGGATTTTGAACGTTCTCCATACATCTAGCGTAGAATAAACCAATAAATCCACCTCACATCATCCTTAGACTTTGCCCACGACTTACCGGTGTGAAGATCGGCTTTGCAATTTCGAAACATACGCTTACACTGACAATAGCTTTGTTGGGGCTAATCCTGCGGACCAGGCCAGACCAGACACTTGCGCAATCATTGTCGGCCTTTTGCTGGAGTAATTATGGAGCAACAGTGTTGTTGGTGTCGTCGCAGCCTGTTAGTGGGCTTACCCCTCAAGACCCTGGAACGAAAAGCTACAATACGATAAGCTAACGCGCGAAGACGGAGACCCGTCTGAAAACATCGTTTTTGATGTCCAAGTCTGGCAATAGTTCCGCGATGGGTACGGCCGGTTAGCTTACCATCAGAAAATGACGATCCAAATTGAAGTGATCGGCGAGGTCGCTTGAAATGTGGTGATTGAAGTTTATAGTTGATTCCCTCGTAGAGAAATGTAGGGGTTGTTCAATCCAAGATGGGGAACGAGTTGCGACCCACCAAAGGGTCTGTTGGGTCGTTACGGAGTAACTATCTGACTTCAACGTTGTAAGATGCTCAAAATATTCGAGATGACCCGCTTGGGATGGTACTTCGGAGTTCATCCAGTTATGGGTTGGTTCCCAATGATAAACTAACAAGGACCAATGGGATCTGTCTATATCTAAATCACGATATTCACCGCTATGTTCAAAGGGGGATCTTGTCAGCATTATGAGAATCACACAAGCTTTTGAATACGAGTCAATCGGCGAAGAATGATTAATACAGCTCGCGTTTGGATATGGGTCCTTTGCATTATGTATCACCGAGTACACTGGCGTGAAGCGTGGCAATCTGACATGCAAGCCAGCGTCCACGCACGTATAGTCCCTAACTTAGCGCTTGTTGATGAATGGCACGATCGGCTGTTTTTCTCGATGCCTCGCAGTGCAATCTGTAACTCTCGTTCGCAACCTCCTGACACTCATGGGTGATGAGAAGTTGACCGACCAAGATATCCTGGTTACAGAACTTCCTGCGCTGGACCTAAGTCAAGAAATAAGGACTCAGGATGTCCTCGGTGTCTTTGAATAAGTTCCCACCCAGGCCTTCAAACATGTTCTTGTGAATAATCGGCACCCTACCGGCTTAGGGGTGAGTACTTCGGTACATTCGCTGAGTTCAACAAGAACGGCACAGAAGGTATGTTAAGCATGGGAATAACTATATATAGAAGTGGTCTTATGTGATGAACACCTGTCGTCCTACGTCCTTTTACCTCTCTCTATCCCCATACAAAGATTTTGAAATCTCCTGATCAGAACCAGTTTCATCAATCAAGCTATCGCCGGCTGCCATAAATCAAAGATCGTCATGTTTTGTGTTCTCACGATGCTCTTGTGGCTCGCAGTACTGCCGAAAGTCTTCCTGTAATAAGGGTGCATCTGCGGCGGCCCAAATCGTGTTTGGAACAGAATCTAGTGTGTGATCTTCGTCTTCAAAAGATTTTGAATTGCATTCACAACCAAGGTTCTCAGGAATTAGCTTATTTGAGCTTATTGCTTTCCCGGACATTGTCAGTTACAGTATTTACTTATTTCCCCATCAAAAGATACAACTGTACTCAATGTGAACAATTTATTAATTGGGAAAATGCAAACAGCAGAGAAAACTTTGTTCTTTCTTATTCTATATCCTCGTTTACTGACCTTCGTTCTTGTTTTACGGGATGGATAACGAGCTCATAGTTTAACGTGGACAGGCGCGAACCGCAGCCGAAGCTATGAATAAGCGGGCGAACTAATCCATCAATTGGCTTGTGCGGAAATGGATCCTTTCGTCGACCCGCTGATTGCGATTCCATTCTCCCATTTGAGTTTCGGTAACCAATGGCCATTGCCATTTGGGCATTCGTAGGAGATGAGGATTACTCTGGCCTCAGTGCAAGCAAAACTCACAGCTATATAGCACACCTCAGACATTCACTTGTAATGTTGTAGTTTCCAAGCTTCCGCTTGATATATGTATTCATATTTATACGGGTTTCTTGACCATGACTCCTTGGTTTCAATTTGAGAAGAATATGCACGTAAACGTATGTCAAGGTTTTCAAGAGATGTGTCACTGTTTCAACTGTCAGGACGCCTTCTGAGAACAGTATTCATCTTAAAAATTTAGACTTCCTCGTGAGCCAGCCTAATCGCAATATTAGTATTTGATGTCAACTTCCAATGAAAATTCCCCAAACGAGGATGGATCGTGGGCAACTACGGGGTCTCCTCCGCAGTAGACCGGAAGCTGAGCGGGTCTCAAACAACTGGGGCCCCGCCGGCGTCCAATTGGAGTCCTTCGCAAGGCATCGACATGCAATGACGCGATTGCGCGGCGCAAGTCCGCCATCACAAACCTGCCACTCTGAACGCTTTTAGGAACAAAAAAGCGCACTGCAAGATTTTACTAACTATCCTGGCACAACTCTTATTTCGCGTTAATGCATGTATGAGGGTCTCAGCCCGGTCTACTGGGTCCATTGCCTCGAGATGTTTTAAAATTTCCTTTTCCCAACCAACCAACCAACGAACCAACAACATCAGAGTCTCCCAGTCTGATCTTGAACATTGAGGTGATTGGTAGGAGATTGCTGAAAGGATTAATCGAAAGGCCTTATCCGTTCAGAAATCCACACAATCCGCTCCTTCGTTCCTCGCTCCAGCGTCACGATGTCGCATTATAGAGCCTACGATAAGGATGATGACGTCCCCGTCATCGAGGACACAGGCATCCGCGCCGTATATGGGGAAGGATCAAACTCGACCGATGCCGACTTCTCCGCCTTCGACCCACACAGCGGCGTCAAGCGAGGCCTGAAGACGCGGCATCTCAGCATGATGGCCTTGGCAGGCATCATCGGACCAGGCCTGTTGATCGGCGCTGGAGGTGCGCTCTCTAATGGTGGTCCGGCGGCTTTGCTCATCGGGTTTGGCGTCATTGGCATCATTGCTTTCAGCATCATGCAGAGCCTCGGCGAGCTTACCACGCTGTATCCCACTGGGGGTGCCTTCACGGGACTAGCAGATCGCTTCGTTGACAAGGGCTTCGGAGTCGCTCTTGGATGGAACTATTTTATCATTTGGATGTGCGTTTTGGCCAACGAGTATAATGTGTTATCCAGCATCTTCGTCTTTTGGAGTGACAAGGTGCCTCTGTGGGGATACTTCCTGATTTTCTGGGTATGCTGCTCTGATAACTCTTGACAAGGGCGGGCTGGCTAATAGCATCTTAGACGGTTTTCCTCGGGTTCCAACTACTTGGGATCGAGGCTTTTGGAGAGGCCGAGTTCTGGTTGGCTCTTTTGAAGCTCATAGGCTTGGTAGCCTACTTTCTTTTCTCCATCATGTCAGTATCAACGAACTCTGGCCCTCCGTCTCCTTCTGACTATCGCTTAGCTATGCTGCTGGAGGGATACCTGGGAAAGACGCCCTCGGTTTTCGATACTGGCATGACCCTGGCGCTTTTACCGATGGTTTTCGCGGCGTTGCAAAAGTGTTCGTTTTCTGCTCAACCTTTTATGCTGGAGTAGAGTCCGTCGCCGTTGCGGCCACCGAGACCAAAAACCCGCGCGTCGCTGTGCCGCTTGCCATTCGTCAGGTCTTCTGGCGGATCATTTTCATCTACATGGGCTCTGCTTTCTTCTTCGGTCTTACCTGTCCCGCAAATGCCGATGAGCTTGTCAATGGAGGGTCTCGGGCTGTCAAAAGCCCTATGACCGTTGCCATACAAAACGCCGGATGGGTGGGTGGTGTGCACCTTATTAACGCCTTCATTGCCATAACATGCTTATCGGCTGTTAACTCATCCATATTCATTGGCTCTCGCACCCTCCTGTATATGGGACAGGATGGAAAGGCACCCAAGATTCTGGGTAAGACTGACGGCCGCGGTGTGCCTATTCCGGCCATTGTTTTCACCAATCTTTGTGGTGCGTTGTCTATGATGAACATCAGCACGGGCGCGAGTAAGGCGTACTCTTACATCGTGAACCTCAGCGGTGTCTCGACTTTCCTCGTCTGGGGGTCCATCTCTTTCATTCACATCCGTTTTCGGCAGGCGTGGAAAGCTCAGGGGCATGCTGAAAGCTCTCTTCCGTTCGTATCACTATGGTATCCTTGGAACGCTTATTTTGGCCTGGCAGCCAACATTTTTTTGGCCATCGTGCAGGGCTGGACGACTCTGGCGCCTTTCGACGCCGGATCGTTTGTCGACGCCTACATCCTTCTGCCCTTGTTCCCAATTATCTGGTTTGGATACAAATTCTGGTTCAAGACTCATTTTTGGCGAGCGAACGAAATCGATTTACTCTCCGGTCGGCGTAGAGATCTGGATGAGCCTCAAGAGATTGAGACCGGCGAACTCGATTTGAACAGGCTTCCGTGGTGGAGAAGACTGCTGAAGAGCTTCTGAACCAGATCTCCTTAGGTGACGTGGTATGATCTCCGATGATGTACAGACTCGAGCATATGCGGCTGCCGCCTTTTCTGCCCACAGTAGTGGGGTTGAGCTTGGTCGTTAACATAGCGCTTCGGACCCTGGCGCGTCGAAGGATTTGATGCAGCTTAATTCAATACCCTAGTCACAAATTAACAAAGATAACCAATTTTCAGAGCCACCTGTTTCCTTTGCAGGCAGTTTCGTCTCAACTTTTGTCAGCAGCCGAAACGGGGTGGAAGCCCGGGCCCCTTTTCGCATTCGCACACGCTTGCGCATATGCACTCCTTGTGCGACCATCGGACTCGTCTACGCACGTGAGCTAAGATGAGAACAAAACGTGGTTCGACATGTCTGAAGACGCCTCTCGTTACATGCATTGGATGATTGGTTCTTTTCACCTACCCAAACTCCGACGTCTTCTTGACGCAGAATCCATCAAAACTCCAATTGCTTTCTCCATGTCTCCCTCGATAAAGTTTGGTACACAATCGCGATCTTCATGAGAGTCAACGGCACTTCTGTTCGCAATGGGTTCTGTGTCAGTAGTCTTGACCATGTCAAACAATCTGAACAGCAGACCGACACCCCCAAAACAGAAGTCTCCCGCAGAAGTCATCCGGAATCTTCAGCTTCAACTTGCGCAGCGTGTGGCGAGCGGAAGCGGATTGGCATCCACGAGCTATCGACATCATAGGGACAAACGCAAATCACCGCACGAAGGTCTCGTTTGGGACAGCAAAGTTAACGGACCACACTCCGAGGAGGAAAAATTGAAGACTGTCAAAAGACGAGGACATCAATGTCCAGAACGCACCGGGGAGCTAAAACAGTATCTTGAAGTCCTACGGCAACACGAGGCCGAGGCTTACACTCTCACCCCAACACCAGCGGCACCGTTGCCCGGCGATATGGCTTTCGTCCGGTTGCCATACCCCGTATTGATTCACCAACGAAGGATTACGAACCGCACGCGAGGATTCGTCTGCAATTATTCGTCGTCTTTACGGAATGCCGGCGTCAATGAGAAATCATTCTCAAATTTTATCAACCAACTCAACAGGATAGCCCAGCTCAAACCAGGTGCTCAAGCTGTCGACTTTACCGGGTTCACAAATTTGTGCTTCAATACGCATCACGACTATTTCATCTCAATGGCAGTCAGCATGGCCGTCGAGACTATGAGCAAAATCCAACATAGCACAGTAATGAACAAGTTCATCGAGAAGACGAATCATGAGCTTTTCAGGCCAAAGGGGCTCATATGTATTCTGATGACTTGGAAGTCCGAAGGCCCCGACAACCTTTCGTCAGATCGTGCAACCAAGGGAAGAGTATTGAAACCGGCAAAAGATGAGCGAAGGAGCAGAATGCAACGTTCGGGAGCAAGACGCAGCCCGTTTCACGGGATGGGCATATTTGAATGGTCTCAACCATCGTCACTCGATCTTATCAACGGAGATACGGACACGCTACAAGAGGTCGGAGTCTCGACGGCGTGGAACCAACACCCTATTCAAATTCATAGCGCAACATCTATACACAGTCATACAGATCAAGGTGTTGTTGTGCAAGACATGGAGGCTCACTGTGGATCACGGCTCACATCGGCAGGAGTCAAAGCTCAAATTCACTCACAGGAAGGGATCCAATTTCAATTAGCAAACAATGGTGGGGTCTCAGGGGTAAATCCTGATGGTCAAGTCGCTATCATGAGCTCAGGCGGGTGTTTGACCTTGGACGAGAAGAATACCACCGACGTTTCGAGCTCACACACGGATTCAACCAATTTCACAATGACCGAAAATATCAAAGAAGGGCCAATCAAGCATTCGACCCTGCAGAAGGAACTAGAGGACACAGATTCTCATAGCAGTACCCTGCTGTCTTCCTTCACTACTGGAGTGTTGAAGGTTTTGGAAACTGTAAGTTTATCGTACAAAGCTTAGTGATTTTGCTAACGAAGACCAAAAAGGAACGTGTTTGCCTCCTCATTGTCAATACACCGGATGAGCATGTGACAGAGAGAGATAAGAGTTGGGAACTATAGGAGATTTTTGGAGACGGTTCGGCATAAAGCAGCCGCTGAATGTTGTGTTCAAGCATGGGAGTCTAGCATTGTTTGGCGCCGTTGAATAGAGGTGGCCATGACCGTATATGACATAATGAACAAGACAGTTGCAACATATCGATCTGGAGTGGCTATGCTGCTGCAAGCCTGTATTGATAAGGGAGCCAACCTAGATATCTCAAATTACAATGAAGACTGTTGTGTGATTCCAGTGACGAATTCCAGTGGAGGAGCAGCTAATTAAATTTGTTGCAAACCCTGAAGTCAGAAGACGGCCGGGACAACCGAAACATATTACGCTTTCCAAAGACGGAGACCATTAATCTTTGGTAGTTCTCGTAAGTCATGACCGCCAACCTCTAAGCCCAACAGTGCTTCAGCGAATGTGCCTTGGGCCACTGAGTGAGTTAAGTTACATAACTTTGTTGACCGGTTTAGGATAGAGACACGCTTAAGTATCTTGCCCACTTGAAGAAAGCCTACAGAGTAGTCATAAAACAGCTGCTCTGAAACTGAACACCTCAAAGTTGGCACACTGCAGGTTCTCATGAAATTTCTGAGAGTTGTAAGCCTGAGTCCTCCAGGAAGGGACAAATGCGAAAGCGTCGTGCTCAATGTGCTGGTGACTTAGAGTTAACAAAACGGCTAAATAAAATAATATTCGAGCTCGACGCGATTGGGGCATGAGATTCTCCAGATTAGTTCGTTATGGCACTTAGGGCCACTTGTGTACCAAAGTTTTAATTATTGTCCTCGCCAAATGCTCTGTATGCAAATAAAATTCTTTGAAATTCCCACAAGGTCTCGGATGCATGCCAGATTTGTCGGTGCTGATAGAACCAGTAACGCAAGTACCGGAAAATTAGGATGGAACAGTCCTCCCTCTCCGAAGACAAGCTATCAGCATTGGCAGCGCTTCAACGTCGTTCCTTCGCTTTCTCGGTAATTTGAAGGGCCAATTTCACAGCATCCTCAAACTGATTCCAGGTTGCTGGGTCCTGATCCGAGGGAAATGACCGGAAGTGGTATTTAATCCAATTGTGAAATTCGTGTGGATCATCTCGGTTGCTTTCTAGTTCGAGGTGATCTGTAATATCGTTCAAAAACTGATTTCGCCATATGTTAGATTCTGTGGAGAACAATTTTCTCACACAACGGCTGGCCGCAGCTTCATAGACAAAATTGGATCTGGGAAGATCATTGTGGTCGAAAATCTGGAGTCCTTGGGCAAGCCGTTCACGGAAGACCTGAGACTGAAAAGTTTGCCCTTGTTGCTTGAGATGAAACATGACGCGATGATAGAGCTGAAAAGGTGTGATATCGTAGTCGGCAGGGATACGGTCCTCGCCGTCAGTCTCTGTCAACCCTAGGAGACCATAGACTCGATCTCTAGGGTCTGTACAGTGATAGTCTTTTGAGAAAGCCAAAAGCCTGGTGAGGCGTGGTCGCGCACCAAAACCGGGCTCTTTGTCCGTGAACGACAGACGTTTGGGGTCAGTCTGCCAGGACCTCCGCAGTTTCGACAACTCCCTGCAACTTTCGACGTGCTTTTCAACACTGTGGTGATGTTCTTGTTTTGACAAGTGCTTGAATCCCAAATTTGTCTGTCGCGAAATGCCAAAGGGCCTAAACTGTTGCAAAGACGCCCAGGAGATGGCGGACGACCCGCACAATACCCATAGCTCCCTTGCCAAAGTGAATTCTTGTACGATCCAGATCCTGGACCAGTAAGGCCGCGAAACAAACCACTTCGCATCTTTGAAGGAGAATTTTCTCTTCTGAGAGCGTAGGTAATGGTTTCTTTCGCGTCGAGCTGTGTGTTTTAAATCACGCAGGTAGTCGAACAAAAGGTCGATGTTGCCTTCCTCCAATCCGATCCAAGCAATGACAAGGTGAGCTGTCGAGAATATGTCTTTCATGAGGCCGACTTGGTGGCCACGCTCAGAGGTGTCATTTTGATTGATGCAAATCGCGTCGATCCAGAAATACTGTGGCAGCTTAGTGTTCGACTTCTTCTGCTCCAATATGCAATTGTCTTCACTGGTTGCAATATGCACCAACTGCTCAAGGGCATGCCAGAGGTTTTTCCGAATCTTGAACGTCACGCCATTGACCGCGATCTCGTCAGATGGTTCCGGGGCTCCCCAGACATATGATACCGCAATAAAAGGGGGCGCGCCATCAAGTGAATGGTCTGTCAAGGTACAACGAAAAACATCATTTTGTTTCGGGGGTGAAATTTCAAGAGTCTGATCGATCTCGTTTCGCGACCTAAAGCGGAATAAAGGGCCTCTGAAACAGACATTGTTTGGCGGGCCTTGAGGATAAGGCCGGCTTTTTGAAAGGTTTAATCAAGACAGGATGGACAGCGCTTGTGCTGCAGAGATTGCTCGTGATGCTCCTTTTCCGAGTGCGGCGCAATTCGTTTGATTACGAAGGGATGCGTCACTTGAAAAGTAAGGTACCTGAATCTCACGTTACTTGCTTGGTGTTGCGGCTTTGGTTCGTTGATGCACGTGGGTGGACTAACTCTCCACCACGACTTAGCGCTGATTTGATCGTTTGGCGGGTGGTACAACAGGAAGGTCTTGATGCGCGATTTGTTGCACGTGAGGAGACTGCCACCTAAAGCTTTTGGCGTCCCCGAGTAAATATCTGGTAATTATAAGCGATTCACATGGGTTTTCAAGTGCACTTTGTAGGGTAGGAGTCATCGTCATTGAATGTGAGCTTCAAGGCCATTGTTTCCACCGATGCATCAAACTTTCAAACGCACAATGCATCACGCAGAATTGTCTCGCAGCTTGTAACCATTGCGACTGGATGAAGGTAATTGTTGTTAGATATTGTGGTACATGACTTAAGCACGGCACATCTGCCCATTAGGTGCGACATTCCACGCCTCGCTGCCCACGCCCTTGAGCACGTAGAAAAGCGATTCAGGATCCCACTTCTTCTTGATGGATAGCAACTTTGCGTAGTTGTCACCAAAGAAGGCGTTTTGCCAATCCGGCTGTCTGAAGTCGGCCTCATTCATATAAGAACCGCTTCCCGGCGTCACGGACTGGATCAGAGGCATGAATTCCTCCGTCATGCGTCTTTGCGCGGCCTCCATGTCGTCCCACGACGCCGCGTTATCCCAGTTGGTGATCAGCTGGAGCTGCATGACGGCATTGCGCCACGCGGGGTGAACCGAGTTGTCAGGGGCACCGACCGGCTTTTTATACTGACCGGTGCTGCCGGCGAGGAGAACGCCGTTGGCAGTAAGGTTCCTGACGACCTCTTGGTACTCTTCACTGTTGTTCTCGATGACCTCGCGGGGGATCAAGCGTCCACCGAACTGGTAACGAGTCACCTCGAGGTTACCCTGAGGGAGAGGACCCATGTAACGGTCGTAATGATCGCGGTACGAGAGCTCACTATAAGCGACTGGCAAGGTGATACCGATCTCTTCTAGCGCTCTGGTGAATGGGGCGAGAACAACGTCTCGAACGTAAGCGGCAGTCGAGTTCCAAACAGTCATAGGACGGACAACGAAGAACTGGGAGTTGTGTAGGAAGACAGTGAAGGCGCCGTGGTCCGTCATATTGGGTAACAGCTCATGGAACTTGGAGATGGCAGCGTTGTACTTCTCAGGCGTGGTCGTCGCAGCAAGCAGCTGGAAGGCCGCTCCGCCAACAGTCTCCGCCTTGTAGGCGCGGACGGTGACACCAGTCACGACACCGAAAGTGCCCCCACCGCCACCACTGAGAGCCCAGTAAAGATCAGCGTTTTGAGAAGGCGAAGCCACGACGGTCTTGCCATCCGCGGTGACGACTTGGAAGGCAAGCGTCTGATCAGCCCCGAGACCAAATTCGGTAGACAGAGCACTGTGACCTCCACCTTGAATAAAGCCTCCAGCAAGACCGACGGTAGCACACTCGCCAGTCACCACACTGAGCCCCTTGGCATGGGCTGCTTCGAGAATTTCGTATCCGAGGACACCGGCACCCACGTTCACGGCCGGACCGGAGTAGTACTTGTCAGACCAGGTGGTGAAATCGATGGTCTTGAGGTGATTGGTCCAAATCGCCAGAGCACCAGCACCTGTAGATCGGCCAAGGAAGCTATAGAATTCACAGTCAGCCTGAATTTGCAACTTTGCAGAGATATACAAGGTCGGCTAATAGCCATTTGTGACTTACTCATGGCCAGTGTTGCGGACAACGACACGAAGGTTGTTAGCCTTAGCAAACTTGAGAGCGTTGCTAACATCTGCAGTGCAGCGGACATCGACAGCATAGCTAACATAGTTGCCGAGAGTGCAAGGGATAGCTCTGTCAGTGAAGGGGTCGCAGGACTGGTTGGCGAAGTACGATTGCATCACAGAGGATGAGGAGGGGATACTAAAACACCGTCAATACTATGCCTCTTAGATGTAGTAGGAATGGGAGACAAACTGGGTCAAGGGGTTCGCCCAGGATGACTGCAGCGCAGCGCAGGCGGCCGCATCATAGGTAGGATCATGGCAAGGCGAACCAATGGGGACGGTGGCAACTAGACTTCCGCTGACAGTAGCGTTCAACTTATCCCAAGACGCAGTCGACGGCCAGCAACTATCGCCAGGCAAGCAATGGCACTGTTGCTTGGGAGCGGCGGCGGCTGAAGTGAGGGTAGCCAAGGCGGTGGCCACGGCCAGATAAGAGATCCTCATAATGATGACTTGAGTTGGACAAGTAGCCAAAGGAGGTAAAAGAATGGAGGGGTGACAAGCCAGGTCCCAACCACAAAAAGTGTGACTGTCTCTGCAACTCATATATCCCTCGCATCTATGGGCCTAGCTCATGCGCGTATTCCACCGCCCCTGAAAAGCATGAGGGTTATACGGAAGCACTTCAGCCTGCAGTAGACCCGAACTCCACATCTTCGCCTGCGTATCCATTGATAGTATGTGAGATATTAGGGAGCAGCAGCAACTAACCGTTGCTGATCGATAGACTGCCGGCTGGATGCCCGGAATTGGACCGACGGAAGCTTGGAGTATGGGGACCTTCGGAAATACACGTTCAATGACACCCACTTATCGGAGCAATGTTGGAGAGCTTCCTATTACGGAGTGCGACATCCGATTGCCACGCGCATCACATAGGTTATGAAAGATAGGGTTAAATAGGATGCAGTCGGGGAGATCAGATGAGGCACCGGATGGCCCCGGCAAGCCCAGTGTTAATCCCTACGCGGGGTTGTTGACCCGATTTTGTCTCCATTCCTGTTTCCATGCTATCCCACACTGGCGTAGATCTGGAGGTGGTTGAAATTGATTAGGACTTGTTTGGGGAACTAATGACTAAATCAACCACAACGAAAATTATTGGTCTGGTGCGAACACAGGCACGGACACATCCAGCCACGATCAATGCAGCTATGGACTTCGGTCCAGCGCTGTCGAAGAACGATGTGAATGCCACGTGCTGCAGAGTATTCTCCAACGGTTCAACCCAAGACTTGGTAGAGTACTAATTTCCGGGATTCAGGACTTATGCGGTGCTGTGCCGCCGGTGATTTTGGATCCTCGTTGCATCGTTACTGCGCCTTTCCTGCAGGAGCTCTTGGCTTGATCGGGGCTGGCTCCCGTTTGGGTCTGCCAAGAAGGGGCCAAGCTTGGAGCCCCCAACTCCAACAGCCAGCTCGTGGTACAGACTCTGGCTAGAAACCATACTAGCCCTGTTAGAGTGCTGATACAGCCCCTCTCCGGAGACTATCATCAGTGTCCGGCCGTGCACCAGAAACCTTTGGTTGAAGCAATAGTGTATCATCGACCGGAGCAAGGGAGAAACTAGCGCCGCCCTAGAATTTTTGCAATGATGGCGAAAGTCCTGGCACTTTGCTGACTACCACACAAGGGGCGGGAAAGTCTTCATGCAAAAATCTGTCGACATCATTTATGAAGAGGTGATCATCCGGATCACTGGAAACCTTAAGACGGAACTGCCTGCAAAACAACATGGCACCCTTCCTTCACCTTGTGTTAGTGTTGGTCCTTGGCGTCCTCGTTGCCGTACAGGCGCAGGAGACAGCATCCTACAAACCTAGCTACCCGGCCTGTGCCGTAAGTTCTCCCTTAATTCCCTTTTGGAGTCTTCAGTACATCAACACAACCAGCTCAAGTGACGTGAAGCAAGAGGCTTTGACTAACGGTATGTCCCTCTCCAGTCAAAATGTATCGCTGGTGCTCTTGGTGGTGGCCTCTGTGCTCCCACGAACCAAACTTGCATCTGCACCAATGAGCAGTTTCAACTTAACGTAACTCTTTGCGTGTCAGCAAGCTGCACCATACCGGAGGCTCTCTGTAGGCATGACCCTCTTACGAATGCGAAGAACTTTGGCGTCTGACCTGCAATAACACGTAGCTACCAAGAATGCGAGTCTTACCAACTGTGGTGCCCCAGTGGAGAACCGAGCCCAAGGATACGTGATCCTTTCCAACACTATGGCCATCATGGCAGCGATTTGCGTCTTGAGTCGTTTCGCCTATAAGGTTTTCTTCGCCGGCCTCGATGTTGGTTGGGATGATTGGTTCGTCATGGCGACATTGATCGCAGCCATGCCAAGTGCCGTCATCACTGTCCATGGAACGACCGCGAATGGCTTGGGAAAGGATATCTGGACATTGGAGCCCCAACAAATCACCAACGTCCTCTTCTATTTTTACATCATGGCATGGCTGTACTTTCTACAGGTGACGCTGGTGAAGCTTGCAATCATATTTTTTTACATGCGGATTTTCCCTGCCAGAGAGGTACAGCGCGTGCTCTGGGCCACGACGATCTTTATCATTGTATGGGGTTCTGCCTTTGTCATCACGGCTATCTTCCAGTGTAAACCTATTCACTACTTCTGGACGAAGTGGGATGGACTACACGAAGGCAGTTGTGCAGATGCCAATGCTGTCAGTTGGTCGAATGCCTCAATCAGCATCGCGTTGGATCTTTGGATGCTGGCCATTCCATTGTGGCAACTGAGAGCTTTGAAGCTGCACTGGAAGAAGAAGGTCGGCGTGGCGTTGATGTTCATCGTCGGCACATTGTAAGTTTATCTGCTATCTATTGCAAGTCGAGTGTCAGCTAATATTCTCAAGTGTGACTGTCGTGAGCATTATCCGCTTACAATCTCTTGTCAACTTTGCAAAAGGGCATAACGCTACGATGGACTTCATTGACGTCAGCATATGGAGTACAATTGAGATCTGTGTGGGCATCATGTGCGCATGTCTGCCCTCTATCCGAATGATTCTTGTGAAGATTTTCCCGGCCTTGTCTGGATCAACACTCCGGAGCAAAGGACGACAGTACTATCAACAGTACGGTAGTGACGTCAGATCAAAAACGTTACGAGACCAACCACACACCATCGGCGTCGTCACAGTGGACAGGAGTAATTCAGTTCATGATGCAGACAACCAGCACATCAAGTTCCAAAAAACGTTCACAGTGTCCTACAGTGACAGTGATGAGACGGATCTTGTGCCAATGACAGACCTCCAGAGGCCAGGGAAAGCTCACCATTAGTTACTTTTGTAGGATACTCATGAGACAGATGAGCAGATGTGGACGGGACACGATATAGAAAGTCTATAGATCTGATTAGTCAATAAGAAGAATGTTCTCTTATTAAAATTGAATTCTTTGACTACGCCATCACAACTTATGGTATTCCCCGTACTTTTCTGATGCCCTTCCGCCAGAAAAACTCTCTGTCGTACCAGACTTCATGCCGCTCGGTAAACCCGCGCATACTGAATCGTATTGTGGACGATCGCAAGGGGTTTCACGATGGCATTGATCAAGAGGCGGGTAAGGCTTTGTTTGATACCCACGAGGTAGTTTCAAGCTGCTGAGCAGCATGCGAGCGGCAGAAGATAATTCGTCAAAGTAAAGATGATAGTGTCATGGTTGGTTGAGGCATAAGTATGTCTCATCTTCTGACTTAATCATGTTCAACCTCTCACTGCTGCCTTTCAATACATTGCCATCCTTAATTGACCTTAAGGAGGTTCAAGAAGAGTTCCAGTAGCCTACGTCAACCCAAGAGGTCCACCCAGGCAAGATAGTGTCGATGGACACAGCACTTGACAGCTTCTTCGCCCAGCTCACACGAGTGCCGCTCGCGCCTGTTCCAGTATTGCCGAATTCAGCATAGTAGACGTTTGCAGTTGGGTTAGTTCCCCATGCAGACCATCCGACGGGTTTGACAACATCACTCAATTCCGAGTTTTGCACAACCACACGCGCATACTCCCTCCAAGGGCGACCGAGAACCGTAGATTCTTTTAAGACACCAGCGCCTGACTTGGCAGCGATCTTCGCCTTGTTTATAACGTACCAATAGGCGTCAGCACTATCACGACCGCTAGCGGTGATATATCCGGCGCCGTTGATGGCGATTATGCATTTCTCAAACCAGGCGTTTCCATCGTTGCCGAAGATGAAATCAGTAGCACCCTCGATGTAACTGTTCTTGTAGACCTGGTGGGGCTTGTTCGTGTAGATGGTGTCCTGGTACCCAACGAAGCTGCAGCCGTAGTATGCTTGGTACTGACCGTTAGCAGAAACAGCCAAAGCCTGCGAGCCCTTGCCGTATCCGTTTATAAGGTTGACGTTGTAAAGACTAAAATAGCTTGTGGCAACGCGCAGGGTAGCAGAGAGGTCGTTGCTTCCAGCATCAGCAGCTGATAACGTGTTGGTCAGGGTGACCTGGTTCTTGGAATAGTCCTGGTCATTGGTAGTGTAGGCGTAGATAACTAGCTTTCCCTTCAAGTTGGGGATTGAAACCTGTCCTGAGTAAGTTCCTGGCTGGATGAATATTATGCTAGTTTCAGTGGAACTCGTTGAAATGGAGTTAACGGCAGCTTGGAGCTACAAGATCATTTAGTTAGCGTGAACACTGAGAGAAACGAAGCCCGGTTCCGAATATATCGCTTGAATCCATGACAGTGACCCTTACAGATGTGTATTGGCCGCCAGACTTAGCAACCACAATAGACCCAGAGGGCGGGGAAGTTCGGGAAGCAGCCAAGACATTACCCGCCAAAGCAACCAGGATCGAGAAAAGTTTGAGGAGCTTCATGATGTTTATGATCTGAAATTTTTATGGTCTGTGTGTATCTAGTAATAAAACTTTATCTAGATACTAACAAGCTGAAGTCCTGTTTAAGTACAAAATGTCTTGCGGCCAAGAAAGACGATTACTAGTGGTTTGCCATTGACGGGTCGCGTTGGCTAATGGCTTGGCTGTATCGCATATGACCCGCCATGATGCTTGAGAGTTGACTCAATTGGACTAGTCACAGATTGCTCCTTTTTCGAGGGTGTCGCAATCTATATTTGAGGGAAGATGGAAGGAAGGAAGAGGTGGATCAAAATTTTCCGTCGATGTTACACCGTCCCTATCCCCACCGCTGGCATTTACCCCGACGCTAATTTCGACGACACTGCAGTAATCCCATCCATACATCTCTAAATGAAAATGTCAGCAGACCAAGAGAAAAAAGATTGATCAGAATGACGTGGCGATTGACGACGGAACAAGTGTCATGTGAGGCAATCTTGAATCCTAAGAGCAATGTGCTTCCCTTTTCAAATAGAACTAATGGCAGTAGGAGATTTGATGACTTTTGCATGCGGCAATCCAAATTTGACCTCCTCTGTCGATGTTAGGAGGGAGACTTGTGTGCTCAAATGTACAGGTCTTTGTTCCCCATTTCGCTCCTACTGTTGTGAGTCTCATTATTGTCGTGTCCGCCTCTCTCTGGTTGGCTATAGTAGTTGGTGTGCCATGGCGAAGAGCACGACAGCGAGGAGTGTACAACCGGATACGAGCTGGACAGTGTCAAAAGGCAAGATAGCATCGTGGCGGAGAGAAAATGAATGTTTCATGATGTTTGGCATCTAAAAACTGCCACCGGATTCCATCGACGAACTACACTCAGCAACCTGTCACATAACTACTAACTCTGCACTCTACCTAAGAAATAGAAATTCGCGAGTGATCCCCATGCACTTTTCTTCAAATTCGGTTCAGAAGCAAACCGACGACTTAGGGCCGGCATTGGCTTTGACGTAAGCAGGTACGTCTGCAGTCGGAGTAAGCGTGTAAGTGTAATAGCTCTTTGGGTCGAAAGAGATACCAGAATTAACTGCAATAGTCCCAGTACACCTTTTGTATGTGTTGCCAGAAGCGTTGAGAACGGCCGTAGAGTCCTTGGTCAATGGATTCTTGGTGTTCTCGAAAAAGACGTTTTCGACACGCGCATTAGTGCTGCCACGAGCATAGTGGCCGTAGGACGTAATTTCAAAGAGGTAGTTGTTGTACAAGTGAACCTGGGCCAGATTATCTGCGGAGGGATTTCGTTGATTGGTTTTGTCGAACCAGTTGTGGCTGATAGTGCCACAGGCCGAAACATTTTCTGTCCAGCCGATACCGAAGTTCTTGTCGTGATTGCGGAAAATGTTGTTCGAGACTGTGAAAAAAGTGGTATCCTTCCTGAGGTCAAGCAGGCCATCGCCGCCGTCCTCAAAAAGACAATGATCGATCCAGACGTTTCTGCTGGTGTCGGCCTGGATACCGTCGCGGTCGTTCTCAACGCCGTCGTTCAAGTTCGTGTGCCCGATCTTCAAGTTTCGAATGATGACATTGTTGACTCCATTCAGGCCCAGACCGCCTTCGAAATCCCGTTAAATTGTGAAATTTGTTATCGCATGTTTAGTTGAGAACTTACCCCGGTAGAGCTCGCCAGAGTCGCCCAGTCCAATAATCGTCTTATCACTAGTGACCTTGATCTCCTTCCCAAGAGGGTTGATGGTAATTCGGCCGTTAACCTTGATCACATACTTTCCAGATGCGACAGCGTACTTTTCTAATTCAGCCTGGGTTGTGACAGTCACTTCAGTGCCGCCTGCGCCACCAGTGGTGCCGCCGTTAAGAGAAGCGAACCCGGGAGCAGAGGCGAGACAACCGGCAACTTGTCTCTCTACGACGTCGCCATGAACCACCAGGGAACCTTGGAGAAGAACAAAGAGGAATGAAAGCAACTTCATATTAAACATTAGAATAACAAAAGACTGCACTTTTCCAGATAATTTCTATAGAACCATAAGGCCCCCGGAGTTGAGCGATGGGGCAGTGGATAACTTATACCACCAACACATAAGTCTCAAGCTTCGGACGAAGACCCATTTCCCGAACTAGACGCATGATTTTTTGTGTCATTTTTTCATATTAATTTGTATCATAGGGGCAGTTGAAGATCCTAAAAGGGCCATCATTGGGCCGAATCTTATCAGAGTTAGCTGACCTTTGATGTGCGCCAAGCATTGTGGCAGGTGGAGCAGGGCGAAAGATCCCTCTCCCGCACCACCGCCCCTTGGATGTTTCAACAGCGCCGATACGCTCCTCCAATATGCGTTACATGTAAAATGATGGGCCGAGGGTGTTGCCAAGCGGATCCTTAGGTTCGGGGAAGGGCTTGATGTGACGTTGTACCCAGATGTCGATCGAAACAAACAAAACCCACCAGTCAACGAGGTATTTCCCCGCATCACGAAATTGGCATTGAACGCGCAAAATCCGCCAATGAATAATTCCTTTTACCCCGGTTGCTGACGCCTACCTAGTTATCATGTTCACGATTTTCAGTCAGACTGGAATGGTATATCTCTCAATAATCAAGCCTTGGTGCTCTACGGCTGAGTCCTAACCATCACGGATATTTTGCGAACCTGTGAACAAATTTGCGGTTGGCACGGTCCTGGTACTGGAAGTGTCTCGTCAATAAGCGATCCCATTAAACTATGGCTATATCTTCGTTTTGATTTCTCTTGATTAGAAGTTCTAGGCTTTTGCCGTTCTTTCTTTTGTGCGAGTGAACTGTATTCCCAGCACGCAGGCAAACCCCGCCATAGCCATAGCACCGGCGTAATACGCAGCGGGTCTGAAACTTTCTAGACCGTTGACGTCTCCCGAGAGAGAGTATAGTCCGGAAGCTATCGGTGTACCCTGAATCTGATCAATAAAGTAGCCTAAACAGCGGGGGGTACAGGACTTACGAAGAAAAAACCGCAAAACCATGTGGTCCAGACTACGGGAATGATGCTGAGAGTGTTGTCACCACCGAATGTTGCGCTAACAGCAATGGGCGTCAGGCTGAAAAATGCTCCGCAGCCGATGCCGTTGAAAATTAGGTAGACCGCAAAGATGCCGATGGACGATGACAGGGGCCAAACAATGAGAGAGCTTAAACTCATGAAGAGCATGCAGATTGCAAGGCTCTCAACTGGACCTAGCAGTGTATCGGCAACCCAACCAGCCATGATGCGTCCCAAAGTAGACGCCAGATTCCACGCTGCGAGAATTATGATTCCAATCTCTTTTGAGTAGCCCATCGATCTCGAGAAGATCGGTATGAAGTAGGGCGGGATGAACAGAGGGAAACAAGCCAGAACCGTCCCACCCACGAGCAAGAGGAAGCGTGGTTGCTTGAAGCGATACCTAGATCTGTCAGTTTATAGTTATCTCAGATTTTTATATTACTGTGCCTACCATTGAAGTTGACGAGAGACATTCTTGCCAGAAACATTTCTTTTCGGCAGGAAGTACGAGGCGGGTATTGACACACCCCAGAGGATGAAACCGAGGATACGAAATGTCCAGGCAACATCGAGGCCCTTCACAAGAAAGTTGGTGGCGACGCTCATTACGGCAGAACCCAAGCTGCCACCGCCAAATACGAATCCCATTGCCAATGCTTTGTGTCTCTTGAATAGGTTCATCGGAGCAGTTGAGGCAGACTGTAGGTAAGGTAAAAAGTCAACAACTTAGGGCACAGGACTGTGGGGGGAAAAGCCAGATTGGTAGTATAATAGAAGGTCGAAGTACTCACAAACACACAAAGTCCACCACCAAGGCCAAAAACTAGGCCGTGCAAAAAGAATAAAGCGACAACATGATGGGTCGTGAAGCTTGCGAGGACCTCTCCAAGTCCCATAAAGACACCGCCAACCAATGCAGCGAGTCGGTAACCAATCCGACAAACAATCTTGTCCGAAACGATGCTGAAGCAAATCATGAACGAGGTTGCCAAGGAGCCAACAAATGTCAGGGTTGTTAAACTTGAACCGGTCGTCTCGACTAGCCTGACTTGCATGATGCCCCAGGAGTAGATGACTCCAAGATAGACAAACATTGTCAAAGACGAGGCCGCAACCGTGATCCAAGCTTTTCGGTCATCGTATGTTTGTTCTTCTGATTTCACGACCGGAATGTTCGAGGGATCGTCGCTCGAATGGTCTGTGTCATGTCCATCTTGCCTTAAGGCAGGCATTGCGTCGGGGGAGGCGGGATCCGCGATACCTTTTTCGGGATCCATGGCGAAAATGCAGCAAGGACTTCTTCAAGATTAATTTGATCTCAGGCTACAATGGGAAGTTCTTCTCTGTTTCACGGTGGTCGCAGTTTATGTGATCTCGATTCTAGGAAATTGTATGTTGAAAGTCGGCTTTCGGGTCTCGGGTTTGATTCAGATCCGATGTAACATTTTCTTTCCGCATTAGTTGATTCCACTGGGCTTCTAGCGGATCTCTCAGCAATCTGCCCAATAGTTCTGATCAAGAACCCCGACTTGATGACCGGCCATGCTCCGTGTCCGGGTAATGTCGATCCCGATGCCTCTCGGTTTTAAACACTAGCGCCGAGTGCAGAGAGTATATCTATGTTACTCGAACGTTTATGTTTCCCATTTTCTTAAACAGGATTGTTTTTTTCTGGCAGCAATAATTCGGAAAGTTTTCTCATTCTTACAAGCCCATTGCAATCATGGCTCCCGCAAGAGACGACGAGCTTGTTTCATCGGCCACTGCTGGCCAGAACCCCGTCAACGTGAAATCCAAAGGGAATGAAGGTCGGTTGATGCACCGTTCTTTGATCCAACACCCGTCGATGGTCGAATCAGCCAGTGGAATCTATCTAAATCTGACCAACGGCCAAAAGATCATTGATGCTTGTGGCGGCGCTGCCGTTGCGTTGATTGGACACGGCAACGAAGAAGTCATCCAAGCCATCACCGACCAGGCTCGGAAAGTTAGTTACGTCCATACCCAGGCATACACCACGGAGCCTGCTGAAGAACTAGCCAATTTGATCCTTGATGGAAACCCTCACGGCCTGGAAAAAGCATTCTTCGTCTGTAGTGGAAGCGAGGCTGTTGAGTCGGCGTTGAAGCTGGCTCGCCAATACCACTTTGAAAAGGGGCAACCTCAGAGATTGCACTTTATTGGCAGACGACAAGCATACCACGGCAACACTATGGCGACAATGTCAATTTCCACTGTTGCCGCAAGAAAAGTCCCTTACGAAGGCTTCAGCTACCCCCACGTCTCTTACGTGTCTCCAGCATATGCCTACCAATACCAACGCAGAGACGAAACCGAAGACGAGTATACAGCTCGGCTCCTCGCAGAAATCGAAGCGGAATTTCAGCGCATTGGGCCAGAAAAGGTCATCGCCTTTACCGCAGAGACCATGGTTGGTGCCACCGCAGGATGCGTGGCGCCGCCTGTCGGCTATCTCGCCGGCGTTCGACAAATTTGCGACAAGCATGGCGCTCTTCTTATTCTCGACGAAGTCATGTGTGGCACCGGGCGCACTGGAACCTTTTTTGCCTTTGAACAAGAAGGCGTTGTGCCCGACATTGTCACAGTCGCAAAGGGATTGGGAGGAGGATACGGGCCCATTGCGGGTGTTTTGATGCACGAAAAGGTGGTCACTGTTTTGAGACAGGGCTCCAACGCATTCAACCACGGACACACATACCAGGCTCACCCTATTGCCTGCGCCGCTGCTTTGGCCGTTCAACAGATTGTGAAGCGTGACAATCTTGTGGCTCGCTGCGCAAATTTGGGTAAGCACCTCGAGGTTATGCTGCGCAATGAGTTGATCAATTGCCGATCAGTTGGTGATATCAGAGGCAGGGGATTGTTCTGGGGAGTAGAGTTTGTTAAAGATCGAGACACCAAGGAGACTTTCAACCCCAAGACCCGTTTTGGACTTCGTGTCCAAGAACGAGCCTTCGAAAAGGGAGTGGCAGTGTATCCTGGCGCTGGCACAGTGGATGGCTCCAGAGGTGACCACGTGTTGCTTGCGCCTCCATTCACCACCACAGATGAGCAACTGATGGAGATTTGCAAAGTTTTCCGGGAATCAGTTGAAGAAATTGAGGCGGAAACGCTCTAAGGAGGGTATGATTAGACGACACCATCAAACAGGAGCCTGTGTTCGGCATGATTATACTTGTACAGCGTTTTTATGTTTAGTCAACAACGTTCAGCCCCTCTCGAATACAGTCAAGTCAATGTGAATAGCTCTGAAGTATCAACATCTTCTAGCATAGACCACCAGTTGGGCCAAAGCCCTTGGTCATCTATGGTACCAGTGGCGTCTAGCAATGCCTGGGCGTTGATACTGCTGCTGTTGTTTTGCTGCTTCTCAGTCAAGACATCTCCCTCTGCAGTGCTGGTCACACTTCTTTCAGCGTTGTTGATCTCCTCTAAATGCTGTGCTGACCTGTCGACAACTCGAAACTCATGTACGGATTGATGCAGGACGCTGAAGTCGAAGCGAGACCGGCCACGATACTTCTGGATGTCCGAAGTTGCTCTTTGATACATCAACGAGCCGTTCTGAATGGTTTTGAGCTGGCACATGTTAGTTTTATCTTAATATCTGAGAGCGCCAAAGGCTTTACTGTCAGTATTACTCACCCAACCATCACCGAGGTCCCAGACCTCACGAAACTTTTTGAGATATTCAATGCTCGAGTTCATCAGCTCTTCAGCTCTTGTCCCATAACCGCAAGTAATACGTGGGAATCTGAATCCATAAAGATTGATATAGCATGAGGAAAAAGCGCAAAATCCAGCAAAGGGCGTCATAACTGCCACGCCGCATTCTGAAGCCTCTTGAAGAATACTTGCTAGATGCGCGGCTGCTTCGAACAACCCTTTCGCGCTCTGTTCCCACCAACCCGGTGGAGCTTCGGCTTCGAGGGTGGGCGGGTCAATCGGTCCATGAGGGGTCATGTCTATAGTCGGTAGGAAAGGAAAGTATTCTCTCTGGAGCATCATGATACTACAATGTCTCAGCCATCAATGCTGGAACTGAGTCTTCCCAAAACACTGCTTACCTTTGATAATATAGCAGATTAAGATAAACAAACGATTCGCCGTACCCCAAAGTCGCATGCGCTGCAACACTATTGTTAGGATAGTGTAGCCGGTGATGCTGTTTCGACCTCCATTCTTCAAGTCTGCGACGCCAACAAGCCACTGGAGATGTTGGGACCCAAGGGCAATTTTCTGGCAGGCACATCCCTGGCGCTTTGCGCCCATCATTGAAAACAAAGGCCATGACGTCGGAGTAAATGTCAAAACCATCCGCCATGATGCCAAAGCTTTGGTCAAGGTCAAGGTAAACAGAGGTACTTGCTTCACTTGAAGCTGAAATCACATCTGGCTGCTCTGGTAGCGCCGAAGATCCTGGTCCGAGGGCAAACTCTGTGGAAGTGGGCGGTCGCGGAACGTTGAGCTTGGTCATTTCTTGTTTTGGTAGTACGCGTGGGTTATAGGTACCAGAACTGACCATGCAGTCCATAATGAAGCACGCCCAAAATGTCCTGGTCTCAATGGCGGGAGTGAGGCTATTGGGTTCACTACGATGGGGTATTTCGAGCGGGAAAGGCGCAACTCGTGAACTGTGGAGTAGCTGCATCATGCGGATCGCGATACCTGCGTCACGTCAGAAAAGGGCGAATTTCTTGCGCATAAATTTTCTCACCACAATGCATCCAAGCCTTGTGAAAGTCGCGAGTACCCCATTCATATAGCGTCAAGATGAGCAGCGCCTGAATCACCTTAACGTCCGGTGGCTGCAGTATGCATGCTGCCAAGACGTCACAGGCATAAGACGCATAGCGTTCGCTGGCATACAAAAGCTGCGTTCTCAGTCGATCCGAGTCGGGTTTCTGGGTTTTGGTCATTGCCAGTACGGTTGCCAACAATGCCCTACTTTCCCTTGGACAGGTTGATCCGAAAGATTGCATAAACGAAGAGGGGTGGATAACACGGAGTTCTGGAAACTTGCGCCAGAAAGCTTCCAATGCTATGAACACCACATCTTTGGGGATTTGTTCAATATGTCTGTCCATTTCCCCTCGACCATCTCGATAGTCCATTCCCGAGGAGGGAGTCGCTGGACCCCGAGATTGAGGTGCAGAGACCAGAAGGCGCTGGGAGTCAACATCATGATCGCACGACATTGACGGTGCCTCCTCAGTTGCTCTCCGTGCCCGTTTAGCCGCTCGCCCAGTAGACGCGACGTACGGTCTGGTCAGCGCGCAGTCCAATCTCCCCGACTTCTCGCATTTGTTGCACGGCGGAGTTCCGCTGTTAACGCATTTGATCTTGGACCGCCTGCGGAGTAGGAAAAGGGGTAAGCGGTGGTTACATCGGAACCGACAATCACCGGAGCATGCACCGGCACCGAGATAACTTACCGACAAAATTCGCACGAAAGACTTGACCGCATTATTTTCCCGATGCAGCAAACGTTGTATCGGCTCTGATGAAAGTTCTGGGAACCGACGAAACGGAAATGAAAATTTCGGCTTACGGATTTCGCGCGATCGGAACCGGCTTTACCATTGTGGATCCTGGCTCAGTGGATCCTTTGTCAGTATCATCGAACTTCACCTCCAGTATCCGATTTTCTCCGATACTGAATCAAAAGTCACCCACGAGCCTATGTAAGTCCCTGACGCTCAAATGATGTGCCATCTAGGTTTTCTTCCTGAGCGCAGAGGCAGTAAGGAGACGGCTTCACATGAGCCACGATTGACTGCCCACTGTATCTTCAACCCATTCGAACATGGATGTTCCTTGTTTCCAAGAAAAACTTAACACGACGTCAATCGGAATAAAGATGGAGAGACAGCGATGAAGGGAGCGAGGCTCCAAGGTGTTGAAGCTGACACACCTATCGTTGAAAACTGTTCGATAGGGAGTCGTCTAACCCAACAACCTGCCCCTGCGGGGCCTGCTAATTATCTCGATGTTGTTTTGACACATTTCGCAAAAGCTGACAGATTTGGCGTTTGCAATGTTGAGTATGATCTGGCATGCATAAAATCTCAACATAAACAGTTCATAAGCTTGACGCATAGAAAAAGGCAGTGTTTCCAGTCTGGAAGCTGGAATGACATTATCAACCGTTAGTTATAGAATATGAGATAAACATTTAATGATTGACTTGGTACGAGACCATATCTTGGCCTAATATGAATCAATAATGTTCGACGAAACGAAATATCCAACATCTTGCGACTCCTAAAGCTCGGTCAATATTTCTTGAACCTTTCTTGGTGTTTCAGTATGCTTTCATATATCCCCTTCCATCCATCCCAACCAGATTCAGCAGGCAGTGGTGAAGCCAGTTGCCTTGCAGTAGGTACCGTCAGGTCCAGAACCGATTTTCGGAGGTTCAGCACCGTTATTGTTGCCCGTGTATCGGTCGCAGATCTTGTTACTGTCTTGGCAGCTGTTGGTCACGATGCAGGTATCACCGTAGTTGGTGTTAATACCACAGAGAACGCCGCCATCAGTGGCAATGACATTGTCCATGAGTATGTGACGGGCCCCGCCATTGCCACTGCAGTTGCCGCAGCTTCGGACAACCTTACCATAGTCGTTGGTGTAGAAGCTCTTGATACTGACGGTTCCAAAACCGTTGAACTGAACAATCTTGTCGGATGCTTTGAAGGCACCGCCGCCATTAACGTAAGAGGTTCCGCTGGACTGTTTCAAAGTACTGTGGGGGGATTAGACAACGATGTTATCTCGCATCAAATATAAGTCGGCTTACAGAGCATCTTCACAGACATCTTCCCACCAGACGTTGTTGCTTGAATAAGATTAGGGATGCATCATTTGAGGAAGTTGTGGTTTCAGCTTACAGAGTACTGTTTTTGTTAATTGTTTGCTGCTCTTATGTCAAGGATAGTAAACTCACCATGTTCCCTTGCAGTGAACACCCTCAGCTTGGTCAGGTCCGATGATTACGTTTGAGAGGGTAGCGCCATTCTCTAGGACAAACATGGCATCTGCCTCACCGGTCTCGTCCTGCTCGGCGCAAACCCTGGCTACAGCAGCATCAGCACTCACAGTGAACATACGATTCATGGAAAAACTTGAACTTACGACTTCGGTCAAACTTCTTCATACCACCATCGTAAGATTGTCCAGCGGAGACGGTTATAGGCTTGCTGGTAGAGGTAGCCCCAGAAGACTTGGGAAGAGTGGTGGTGACTCCAGTCGGAGTGACTACAGCACCACCCTGAGTAGTGGTGGTCTTGAGCGTCGTGCTCGGCGAGCTGCCTCCGGCACCGCTGTAGTTACAAGTACATTCAGCGGAGATAAGACTAGGCTTGTTCGAACAATTGGTAGCCCAAGCAGGGAGAGCAGTTGTTGCAGTGACAGTGCTCTTCGTGAAAGTAGCGCAGAAGGTAGAAGCCGCAGCATTGGACTTGATGTAGCTGGCGCAAGAGTTTGAGTTCGCATTCAAACAACCCAAGGCCGTGGGAAGAAGGACAAGGAGGTAGTATTGGTGCATCTTGGCAGTGTGTAAGAACGGGGAGCTAGAGTTATTGGTTTGATGATATGATACTCGAGCTTGAAGATCTTAGTTGAACTGAGGATATACCAGTATACTTATAGATCTCCAAAGACCGATATCATTTGTTGGCATTCTCACAATGCAGACACTCAGCTTCTTTAGTGGCAATCAAAGCATGATTTGCTATACTCAATCTCATGGGCGGTGACTCTAGGAGGCGATTTTCCCGTCTGAATTTCCACCAGTGGTGATCAGTCGAATTTCATTTATGTTTCCTAGTAGGGAGATGACCGATGCATCAAAATCCTGACCAAGCCCCTTTGAGCGCTGTCACATCCAAGGCTTCTAGGTCGACGCAGGGGCTCTCGCCAGGACGCACCCGAATGTACCCCACACACCCGGTCAAGCCGCATTTACCAAGGAAAGCTTATGCGGCAACTAGAGCGCGTTTGTCTGATGACCTTAATTTTGCTGCCACCACGTGGAAGCAATATCAGAGTAATTCCCCATTAGTGGAAAAGAATACTTGCAGGGAACCCAACAATAAAACTGCTTTCTGGTTGCACACGAACGAGATAGTGTATACTACTGAGCTCAACACATAGGGGTTTTCTTGGTTTTCTTATTGATCATTCATTAAGCAAGCAGATAAACACGGAAAACAACAAAGTTTCGACTTGAGCTACACATGTTTTCTCTCATATGAAGGTCCCATGAGCGGCAATCCTGGAGAGTAGCATAAAATGCCCAGACAACAGGTCTATTAGTACCGCAACTAGATACTCTTCCGAAGCCTCAAGGTTTTAGTTGATACTACAGTATACTACGATGGCTCTTATTTCGTAGTCACAGAACAGCCAAACACCCGACAATCGAGTGGACGGAACGGTTCTTGTAAGTTAATGGCATATCAGCAATATAAAAACCACCAATGGCAAGAGTTGCTTCAACTGGGGGCCCAAGCCACCCCGGGCAATGGCCGCCACTGTAAGCACCTGGACGCGGGGTATAACGCTCCGAACGATTTGAGATAGTGACAACAGGGTTTGTTTGGCTAGTTTGCTATTTGGGCTATCTTGGAAGATCTGATGTATGGTCGAGTGAAGCAACATGACCACCAGCATAATTCTTTAGTCCGTTTTGAAGATGTCAAGAATCCTGTGATTCGATAAACCACGCACATACGTTTACATGTAGCTCAAAACACCACCACTGCAATTTTGGTACATTTAATGTTAATCGATGATTCGAAAGTTTTGTATCGATTTACAAAGGCTTTTATTCAGAGGTTCACTTACAAACTCCTGACATGCTCGAGATGCATTTATCCAATTCGCTCTTGGTAGAGCGAGGTATGGGATGACATGCAACTGCCTCGTCAACAGGCATCGGCACAGACCCCGGAGTTTTTCTCTGAGCCGCTTGACGGCACTTATCATGACCTGCACACGTTTCAAGGAGCATATTGTTAGAAACATACCTTATTCAATCGAAGGGTGTCGCTGCATCGGCCAAAAAAAGACTTCATCGCCAAACGCCGCCACTCCCACTCTTTAACTTCTTCCAAATGCTCAAGCCCAAATAGGCGTGTTAGACAACCTGACACACGCCAATGGGGACTCCCAAAATCCAAGTTAAACCAAGAAATTTTCCCATGTTCTCTTTAGCGCCAACCCGTAATTCATTCTTCACCGCGCTCCTCAAGGACCACTTCCATCCAAAGACGGCCTCGGCAGCCGGAGCCCAACCACGGGGCTCTTTGACGCCGGCCGGCTGCATAGTCAACCATGGCGTCTGCTTTCCGTCCACTTGTGGTGGGTATACACCAGATAGTTGCCAAATCTGTGCCGCCGTGGCCGGAGCCGGGGCGCGAGCAATGGTCCAGTAGAACCTACTCAAGGTATCGGTGCCTTTGAACAAAGCCTCGTCGAACTCTTCCGAGTTTCTGCTGGAAAGACGGAGGAACTGGAGGTACACTTTTGTCAGGCGGAGCGCATCATTGGCGCGGCAATCGCGCAGCTGGGGCGTGTCGGCCGTCCACAGAGGTGTGGAGTGGTAGGGGTGGTCGGGCTCACGAGCGTTGCCAAGGTCACCGAGCTTCCACTGCCTGGGGTCATGTTCAGAAGCTACAAATATATTTGCAAGCTTTATATCGTCGTGGCAGAGGCTGTGTGTCATGTGTAGGTTGTCAAGTGCCGAGAGGAGAGCCTCGAAGGATGCTCTGAACATCTGGTCGAGCTCGCGATATGACGGAGAGTCGTTTGAGGCGCGTAGCTTCTTTGCTAGCTTTTTGAGGGTGCCTGACTTGAGAAACGGTGTGACTAGATGCCATTTTGGAGGCATTAGTGGGTCTGGGGTGGCTAGAAAGTAGTCTTTAACAGGAACGAATAATTCCCTGTATGGGTCGTCGTTGGATAGTAATGAGCTGTCCTCGTGTCCTCCCACGATTAAACTGGCTGGTATCTCTGTTGGCCATCGTATCGGTAATACACCAGTGTTTTGCAGGCAGTTGCGAAACGGGCTGGTCTGTTCGTTGTAGATCTTGATGACGGTATTGTTGAAAGTGAACGTCTCTCCTTCGCGGCCCTTTCCGAGTTCCTTCCAATGTTTTTTATTATGAAGCAAGTTGCTGCGCTCTGTGTTTGTCGCTTCCAAGTCAGGCTCCCATCCTGTACTAGTAAGAATCGCTTCATCGTACTCCGAGTGAATGTCAAACTCGGTTGGCAGATACTTGGCGCGCATAGCCTCTCGATATCGAAGGTGTAGCTCAAGGAGGTGGTACATGACGACGATGGAAGCAACGGCAAGAAACCGAAGCGTCAGCCGGGCGGCGAACGACTTCAGTCCCCTCCGGCGGGTCCCCACTGGGCTCCAGCTGCGACCTTTCATCGTCATTTACAAACCAAAAGTGCTAAATGGCTGAATGCGATACTTGGTTGTGGGAAACCACATCATCCGTAACAGAGAGGCGGGCCACTCTCATCTAATAAACACAACCGCCAAGAAGGACCAGGTGCCATCAGAAGCACGCGGCTCATGCATGGAGGTTGTGTGAACCGAACTTACAAGATTGGCAGGGAGGGGATAGCCTAGCAAAGTGAGGGAACAAACTACGCGACGACGTCTAATCTAGTGACGCACCGCTACACGGAGAGACACTTCGTCCAGCCATCCCCGTCATCAGATTCTGCCCGCCGAAAGCAGGCTTCTGACTGTACAGTCAGCTCGGCAGCTGAAACGGGCTCAGCGAATGGGCTGGGCTAACGTTCTTAGTTGGGCGGGAACCAGGGTAGAGTAGCCATGGCAAACCTGCGCCCCAAGCTCGACTACGCCATTATCTTGTCCTCCCTTTGGCTCGTGCATTTCCAACAGGAAGAGGGTGGATTGATGAAATGAGCGCTGTTGCCCCAACCCATGCAAGGTCGATCCGGAGGCCGGTCAAGAGATGTGATGGCGACCAATCAGCGCGTCAAACTCAGCCCCCAATATTGCTCTCCGCTACTTTCAGAAGGGGAAAAGGGTGATGTGAGACGCGGGGGAAGGCCGTTGGCGAACACAGGAGATGAGGCACACAACTTGTTTTGAGACCTTGTCCTACCTAGGCGATGATCCCAGGCACTCGAAACCTTGGGATGACCTCAGTCACTCCTCTTTCGGGCAAAATGGTGGGTAGGTTGAGTGAGAGCGATGGGATGGGAGGGAGAGAGAAGTCAGATTAAAGTCGGTTTGCGGTGTGAGACAGAGAGGAATGTCCCTCCAACCCCCCAAGAAAACCTTCCGTCATTCGCCCACAGCCCCCAATAGCCAAGCCGCTTACGCCTGTTACCTAACCAGGCGGAGCGTGATGTCATGGGTTTCCCAGCCATCGCCCAATCCATATGCTTCTCCCGCGAATGTCATTTTACACTGCGGACTAGCCTCCGCCGGCCGTCCTGTAGCGCCAGGCCGTTATTCTAAGCGACTTTCTCGGCCTCTGCCGACGTGCCGGTGGGTCTTGTCTTCCGCTTCGGGTGAGTTCTGTGTCTTGGCCGGTATAACTTTGTGCTCAGATGCCTAACGGCAGCCTCTCCTCCTCCTCTCTGACCCCTCTGTGATCAGCTGAGTTCGCTTGCTTGTCTGCAGAGACGCATCGCAACGGGCCGCGCAATTCCCGAATGCGGTAAACTCCGGAGTGATTGGGGGTTTGTTCGCTTTAACCGAGCCGGGTTTGAGGTAGTCAGCGCCATGACTCTTGGTGGTGGATTCCAGTCCGGCATAACCGCGAATTTTGGCAAGCAAATGAGCGATACAGATGAAAGACTGGAGAAGCGCGCTAGAATCTTCTGCGAAAGAGGGGAAGACCTGATCTAGAGTGGTAGTTGTCATCGATGTTGACAAGTTTGACCCTCAACTCCAGTCTGTGCGACTCGCGTCGGATCGCAGATGGTAGACCAGAGAGAGAAAAGAACCCTCGTCTGTTTTACCCACAAACGGACAGCCGCATAATTCTTGCCAAGAAACCCAATGATCGTTTGCGGGGCGGATTGGATTCAAGGCTGTTTGAGCTGTTCTATGCAAAGAGCCCCAAGCTTTTCGATGTGGCCATCTTAAGAACACCCAACGCCGTGGGAACCGGCCGAGCTTTGTCCAAGCTCAAACCGTGCTCTCGCCTCCGACCCGACATGACTCAAAAAATTGGGCCAAAGATACGCGTGTTGCGAATAGGTGGTCTTCTTCTGGTGTACCTCCAAGGACTAGGGAGAACCGAGCAGTCCAGATTGTCAGTCCCAAACCCTAACGATGATCTTTAGATGTCCAGGCTTCCATCACTTGTGCGCCATGAGATTCTAGTATGTGGGGTCTTCCTCCGCTAAGACGTTGAAGTCAAGAACTCAATTCCATGGAAAGACTTGAAGCGAAACGGTGGGGGTTGACTTTTGCACAGAGCCACGCCATAGAGTCTAGTTGATCTTGCTGACTTCCAACAGTAAGATTTGTGTTTCCGAATGCGACGACCAGTCTTTCTCCCCAAAATTTTATGATGAGAACAGAAGCTGGCATCCAAAAAAATGCTGCTCATGGACGTACCAGAGTTCGCTAGAACCGAGACGTGGGCGTTGTCGTACCCACCAGTTTATGACACAGTTTTGCTCTCTCATTACCATGCAAAGCTTTCTACCAAAATTTCCTCGCAGTCAATACAGTTGTAATCGCATTCTATTCCAGGCTAGTAGACTTTATCAACTGTTCCTTGAGCTGTCCTTTTTGAGAATAAGACTTAGGGGCATGATCGGGTTATCTAGAGAAGTCTACACAACCCGCAGATTTTTACTTCTTTCATGATGTTTCGGCTTTTCTATTGGAGAAACTCGGAAAGAACGCGAGGCGCAGCATTGGTGGTATTCGGAAGCTCTCAGGTCTTACAGTTTTCAACATGGTCTCTGGCCATAAGCTCGCCCTGTCGCTACTCCAACCATTCGATTTGAACATAAACCTCTAAAGATTCTATACAGCCCAATCGCTCTCCTGAAGCCCATCTACCTATGGGCTACACATGGGTGTTTCCAAACCCATTTGTGGGTCCAACATACGTTCCAAGGCCAAAGTGCGAATTCGTGATAGAAGCAATACCCTACGGACAGGCAGTCAGCAACAAAGAGACTTCCGTTTAATAATAGGTTGAGTGCGAAAGAAGCAGAGCATCTCTGTCGAAATTGGAAATCAGTCCGGGCCCTGGCTCATGGTGTCGCAAAGGCCAGCTAGTAGCCCCAGTGCATCAGGGTCGCTCAAGACTCGGAGAAAATGTGCGACAGCGGCCCAATCGGAGTTGAATAATGCAAGTAATCTTATTTTGCAAACTCCAAGAGAAACTTCAGCACGTTGGCCATCCGAGCCGTCAATCTTCCTGGCGTGATTTCAGAAGGCGCCCGGGGCAGTTGCTAAGGGTGGCCGCCGTCAACAGTACCAAAGAACTCGAGAGTCTCGGGACGGATCTTCTTTCTTTGCGGCAGTTTCTAGACATGCGGTTGTATTTAAGTAGCCTATTAGACGTAGAAACATTCGATATCGGGTTGAATATCGATTTGGGGAACCCGGTTGCGAAACTGGTTCTTGAAATAGTTGCACCTGATCTTCGGCTATTCTCTGATGTTTACAGCTGAATGAAATGCTGCAAACTAGTAAGTCCACTTTCAGGTTTCGAAGTTTAGGAAGGGAATGGCGGGATGTTGATAGGCACCATAGCTTGTTCTGAGTATGACCTCACCTTTGCAGCCATGCAAACAGGTGCGGATTGTTCGCAGGCTGCAAATCGCAGCAGACGCATTTTTGCGTAGAAGTTGTGGTTTACTAGATGTGGTCTTTTCAAATTCAATATAAAAAATAACTGCCGACGAAATTGAAGATGAAAATAAATGTGGCATCGATGATATACGATGTCACAAAGCTTAGGTGCGATTCTATGTGACACTCTTGACACCTCGTACTTGCAAGTCTCTTTTCTTGATTTTACACCGTTTAGCGCATTATCGAACTAATTCCCCTTCGATCCTATAAAAAAAAAAGTTTCGAAACTTGCTAATTTCTAGCTAGTCAGTGTTACTCAAAAATGAGAGTGGTCAATATGAGGAGGCTGGGTGGCACGGTATTATTGAACGGATATTCCAACCAGGTGTTCTCACACCAGTTGCTCTGATAATTCAATTGGGGATTTTCCCTATACACTGTTACGCGAATCTAAAGTATTTGACGAACATGGATTGTACGGTCGACTTGGCAATGGCTTTACCCTGCTTGATATAAGCCTCTCCATCGAAACGAGGATGATGGAAACAACGGAAAGCGGCTCCTAAGAACACAGAACCCTTGACCATGCCGAATAAAGCCTCGTACCATGTGTAACCCCTCGCTTTCCCCATTCTTTCCGCCGGTTCTTTGGGTTCGCATCTGCCCCAAACACCTGAGGAGAAGCCAAGCTTAAGGTAGAAAGTGATTCTGCCAAATTCCCGGTCTCCCAAATCACACAACTGTCCTGTAACAACGGACAATCAAGCGTGTTCACCTGTCTCAGTTCAGTCCTTATCCAGCTCCAATAACTCCAAATACCTCCAACAAGTCCCCGTCTCGCCATCCCGCATCCTCTCATACTCCTTGTCCCTCTCGCAAAAGACCTCGACCCCTTCCATGGCACGTTCCAGGCTCTTCAGCCCGTACAGGACGAAATCAACAACACACCCATCCCGGTCCCGCATGCGCAGCAGCGCCTCGGCGCGGAGCACGATCCCGCGGACCGTGTTCAGCACACGCTCCTCCCCGAGGAGCAGCTGGTCGAGCACAGGATAGGCGACTCTGCGCCTTGTGTTTCTGCCGTTGGCGCCAGCCCCGGTGCCGGCTGTGTGCCGGGTTTGAGATTGCTCGCGACGGTGGCTGTCGAGGACGGCCTGTCTGCGTCGGAGCTTAGCGATGAAGTCGCCCCACCAGGTGTAGTACTTGTTGCGGCGATTCCAGAGGAGCTCATGGAGGTCACGGTGGAGGGCTTCTAGAGCGGCGGCGTCCGAGGGGGACGTGGACGCGGCTTGGAGGTGTGCTGGAAGAGAGGGGACCTCTGGCATCGCGGCTGTTGTGTCCTTGATGAGGAATGGCTGGGGATGTAAGGAGACATTTCCATCATCTTGGTGGTTGTGACGATGGCTTGCTGTCTCAGAGTGTGATGAGTTGCTGGGTGTAGTGTGTGTGTGTACCACGTTTATCTTTCTAAACAGTTGGGAGGGGTTTGGTTGTAGTGGAAGGAGTTTGACAGGCTCTACTGTATGAAAGAGGTTTGGTCGTATTGAAGAGTAGAAAAAACTGAGAGATTGATGTGTGCAAGTGAAAGGAACTCCAGAAGCAGAATTATTCATAGGGATCCGAGTCTTATAGCCAAAGGTCAACGCCGTCGACACTTCCAGACGCATCTTTGAGGACTCAAGCCCACAATCATACAGACAGACCATGGGACGGTCAACTTCAACCACACCAGATCCATGGATCAAGACGGAGAGGCAACTGCACGCAACTCTGTCCAGCCTTCGATGGATTGTGACCGGGCTTACAGACCTACCACCAGACCTCAGACTTGAAAAGATTGGGCAGCCCAAGCCAAGACACAAAGCCCAGAAAACTCTATACGGTTGTCTTTCGAGAGTCCCGATAACAGCTCCAACTCAAACCATCACGACGAGACGTCTGCCTAGCATGGCTGTGGTACATTCCCCCCAAAAAAGACTTCTTCTGTGCCCGTCGAGGCCCGTTCCCTGGAACAGAAACGCCATGAAGAGTCTCGGCCCCGCAATTGACGAGACACACATCTGTATAGCCGAGCAAAGTGACCGAAAGCCACGTTCAAGACACAGCCCGCGAACCCACCCCCCCCCCCCCTTTTTTTTTTTGGCTCATACTGTCAAGTCACAGTGTACCCAGCTCGGATCCTTCACTGTGCCAACGATCTGCTGGAGGGAAAAGGGGTAATGCTGATCGAGTACGAGCACCTGGAGGTGACACTAAAAGTTCATGTGCCAGCGAGCTCATTCATCACGTCACCTTTTCGTCAGTGTCTAGTATAAGGGGAACACATCTGCCGCCGAGAAGCCTTCCCAGCGGCGTACTTGACCACGACATGTTGACATCAAAACATACATACCTACAATTCTCTGCTAGCCGGTGAGCACTGGTCACACGGTCACACTCAAGAAGAATCAGTGATGAGATTAAAGGGAGCAACCCTTGGTGATACACGGCGACAGCAGCTCAGGGTTGGGCAGATATTCTTCAACGGGTACCATGTGCGTTGGTAGTCAAAAAAATTTTTTTGGAACAGGAGCGAAGGGCATTCAGAACCCGAGTCCACGCACGAACACGGCACGATAAATGAGGTCTACCATGCAGATCTCGACATGTATGGTTTTACAAAACTTTTGAACGTTCAACTCGTAAGTTTATATATGTACATTCTCTTGACAAGCTGAGGCAACCCAACTCCCTGATAGGTTGATTTTTCAATACCGAACGGAGCCCCCGCGGGCTCTTTAGAATGCGGCGAATGCTAGAAGAGACTGAAAGCACTTTTTGAGGGATTTTTGTTGTTTTCGTGTTGCTCCGGACGACCCGTGATTGTCGGGATACGACCCATTGCCCATTCAAACCCTGGTCCCAATGGAAAAAAGATTCTTGTCGAAGCTGGTGGTGGTATAAGATGAGAGAGAGCAATATGCATGGACGCCTCCGAGTTGCAAAAAGATTAGATTAACAAGAAAGAGACGGGCGTAGGCGGTTTAGCCATGGAGACCACACGTTCTCTCGCGCATCAACTCGCGGCGCTTCTTATCCTTTGCTGCGAGGGGGTTAGCGCCTAAACTGTCAGGGGGGTGGAAAGGGCAGTACTAACCTCCATCCCATGTCAAGAACTCGTGGAGGGCTGATCCAGACGGCACCATGGGCAAGACGGGCACCTTCTTGTCGGTGACGACCTCGAGAAGAGCAGGGCCGTCGGTGTTGATGAGCCACTTGAGGGCGTCAACAACCTCATCGGGCTTGATCACTCTACGGTGCTGAACACCCATGGCATCGGCCAGCTTCATGAAGTCAGGGTTCTGCTGATGGGTGTGAGCGTAGCGGTCCTCGTAGAAGAGGTTCTGCCATTGCGTGACCATGCCCTGCTCCTCGTTGTTCAGGACAATGACCTTGACACCAATGTTGAACTGCGCGGCGGTGGAAAGCTCAGTGAGGGTCATGTTGAAGGAGGCATCGCCGTCAATGTCGATGACGAGAGCGTCGGGCTTGGCAACCTTAGCGCCGATGGCGGCGGGCAGACCGTATCCCATGGTTCCCAGGCCACCGGAGGTGATCATGGTTCTGGGGTGTCTCCAGCGGAAGTGCTGGGCAGTCCACATCTGATGCTGACCGACACCGGTGGAGATGATGGTCGTCTCCTTGCGGTCGGCGGTCAGGTTGCTGAGCTCCTCAACAAGGGTCTGGGGCTTGATCATGCCGGAGCGCTCAGCCTTCTCGTAGTCGGACATGGGCCACTTAGCCTTCCACTCCCTAATCTTATCGAACCACTCCTTGCGGTCTTCCATCGACTTGGGCTTCAGGTAGGGCATGAGGGTGCGGAGGTTGGTGGCGACGTCACCCTCGACGGCCTCGGTGGCCTGGACAACCTTGTTGATGTTCTTGGGCATGATCTCGAAGTGAACGATACCACCACGGCCCTCGGCCGCGGCCGCCTTGGCACCAGGGGCAAACTTGGCGACGTTGAGGGTGACACGATCGTCGAAGCGGGCACCGAGGGCGATGATGAGATCAGCCTGCTGAATAGACATGTTGGCGTAGGCGGAGCCGTGCATGCCGAGCATGTGGAGAGACTTCTCGTCGAGCTCGTCGAAGGAACCCAGGCCGTGCAGGGTGGTGGTGACGGGGATGGACATCTTCTCGGCAAGCTCCTTGAGGATCTCAGGGCCGCCCTCGGACTGGGAGATACCCTGGCCGGCATAGATGATAGGCTTCTTGGCAATGTTGACAAGGTCAGCAACGCGCTTGATGGACTGCTCGAGCTGCTTCTGGAGCAGAGCCATGGCGGCTCTCGAGGCGGCGCTCGGGAGGGATGGGAGGGAGGTCTCGGTGGGGATGGCTCGTCTCAGGACACCGGCAGTGACGTCCTTGGGAAGGTCGACGAGGACGGGGCCGGGGCGGCCGCTGGTGGCGATCTCGAAAGCCTCGTTGATGCGGCGGGGGAGCTCGGCGATGTTCTTAACCATGACGTTCCACTTGGTGCAAGCACGGGAGATACCGGTGACGTCGGCCTCCTGGAAGGCGTCGCTGCCGATAGCAGTGGTGACGACCTGACCGCAGAAGACAACCATGGGGGTACCGTCGGAGAGGGCGTCCTGCATCGGGGTGATGACGTTGGTCGCGCCGGGGCCGGAGGTGACGAGGACGACTCCGCACTTGCCCGAGGCACGGGCATAACCCTCGGCCATGTGGCCGGCACCCTGCTCGTGCTTGGGGAGGATGAAGTCAAAGTGTTTTGAGTTGTAGATGGCGTCGAAGACGGGGAGAATGGCTCCTCCGGGGTATCCAACTGTGAGTCACGGTCAGCCATGTCTCTCCTCAAAGGCCTCTGGTTGTATTGGGGGGGGGGGGGGGGGGGGCGCAATTGGGGGCACAAACAGATGTGCTTGACGTTGTGTCTCAACATCATCTCGTGGAAGATCTCTCCTCCAGTCTTGCCAATGAACCTGTATTCCAGTAAGCTTTTCCGCACGCTTACACCTCGGCAATGGCGTTAGGTATGCCAGCGACGGCTACGTACGACTCGTCCATCTCGGGGCCACGAGCGCCGACAAGAGGCTGGACATGGCTGCGGTCCTTGTCGGCATTGAAGGCGTGTGCGGGCGTGTTTCGAACCTCACTACAGTCGGGAAGCACTCTTGTCAGCGGAATCATCCCGTGAGTCACCTAGTCCATCTGTGACGGCTAGGCGTTGCAAAAACACACGAGGGCAGGAGAAGCTTACGGAGCGGGCGAGGTGGCAGAGGTGGCCTGATTCCTCACGCCGGAAGGGACCTTCTTCGCGGCCTGGATAGCAGAAACGGCGGATGAGGTGGTGAGGGCGCGGGGAGCGCTGGGCCGCGAGATGGCCTTGAGGGCGCGGGCGGCGTGGCGGCTTCGGAGCATCATGATGGGCGGAGAGTGGAGAGGGTTCCGAAAAAGGAGGGAAAAGAAGAAGCACGGGAGTCGAAAAGAAGGAGAAGAAAAGTCACTCGGCGTGATGCCTCGTCGAGATCCTTGGAGGGAGAGAGAGAGAGGCGGCTCGTCGAATTGGACGATCGCAGGGTCTAGAAGATGCAGAGGTCGAAGTTCAATGGGGAGGGGAGGAAGGAAGGAGGAAAGAAGCAGTCACAGTTTGTGTGTAAATTGGGCAGATCTCAAATTCAAGATTGGGACCGGGGGGGCGCGCGCACACACACAGACACACGGGCAGAGCGGTAGCTAAAGAGTCAGAGTCAGAGGACCAAAGGGGGAACAACAGAGTTGGGCTGGGATTCCTCCGGTCAAGGACCCCTTCCTGGCAGAGAAAGCAAAGAGGCAGAGAGGCAGAGGCGACTCAGAGACCCAGCGGAGGACGGTGGTGACGGACTGACAAGCGGCGGCTGCTGTTTCGGAGGCAGGGAAAAAACCAAAAAAAATTATCGGCTGTCGATGTGTGGGGTAGCCATGCGATGACTGGCTGGAAGGGGCTCGACAGAGGCAAGAACGAACAAGCGTTGCGCATCGGGGGAGGCGCACGGACCATAAATCCAATCTGGGGTGGCGATATCGGCCCCCCTCGAGGTTCGCTCGCACGCAGCTGGGTTTGTTTGCGGTGCTGCTGCTGCTGCCGTTGCCGCTGCTGCATGTTGCCGTCCACCGCCAACTCCGTCTCTGCACCTGCATCTGCACACTTTCAGTCTGGATTGGTTTATGACTCAACCTCATTGGTCATCCCCCACCACCCCAGCCCCGCTCCCCGGAACCGCACCGGATGACTGAAAAGCATGTCCAACCGAGGAAAGTGGGAGAAGGAGCAAACATGCTTCTGCGACCATCTACACGCTGTTCCTGCCAAACCTGCCATGCCAGTCGGAGACGGGAGACCAAAGACGGGCGGCAGTGAAAGAGTCACAAATCCCCCACCAGACCTGACTATCATTTCCTATCTTTTCCTATCACATAGTTAAGCCCACCAGTACTAACACCGCCTCTTCCTCTACCATCCCACCCACGCCTGGCTCCTCGTTGCACCACAGTTGCGTCTCGCATCATGGCACCCAACCAAAAAACACAAACATAGATTCGCTCATTCGTCCCTACCAACCGAAGGCACGCATGCGTATGCGGGAGCTAGCTGTCAAAAACGGTCGATCCCAAGCAGACGAGACATGGGAGCTGCCGCCACTAAATGCCATTTCCAGCCGAAGCCGTCCAACACGTGCCGCACTCTTCTCTTCTCCCTTGCAATATTCATCATATATACGTGATGGGTTGCAAGTTCAACAGTCGAGGGTCGCCCGTCGACCGGACCCCTCCTGCGTGATTCTGGGGTTGCCGGCCCATTGGGTTCGAGGGGCCGTTCCCCCCTCATCCGGTCTGTCCCGGTCCCTTGACCCAGCGGCTAATGAGTTCTTATGCAGGGTCAGCAATGAGCTGATGATCACAGCGCAGCACAGTACAGCACAGCAGTTGACGAGGCGACTTCGGGAGAGACGGGAAAACTATGTAATTTTTTTGCTCATTTGCTAATCCATTGCCTTTTTGCTCTCAATGCAGGAAGCCATCCATCATCCGAAACTCGGAAATCGCCTTCAGAGGTATCTTAACCATGACTGCTATACTCCCATCACCAGCCGACACCCGAAAAGTGAAACATGATAATAATAATAATAGACTCGGGGTCCATGTTACAGTGACTCAATGTGCTCTCCTTTCCCAATCTCCGCCTTACATCCGATGTTGGTCGCCAAACGGACCGTGCACATCGTACCCAGCAGGCGGCTGGCCGTGCGACATAAGCGGCTGGCTGTCCGGGTTCTGGACCTGCACCGTCGGCTTCTTGGCGGACTGCCTAGCAATCGCCGCAGCCTCGGCCCTGGCCGCGATGCGCTTCTTCTGCTTCCGCTCGCGGCAACAAAGGAACGTGATCCACGAGATGGACCCCGTGATGGCCACCGCAAAGAAGAGCGCCAACGCGACGCCCCCGGGGTAGACGGTGTTGTCCAGCTTCAGGCACGCCGGGTTGCCTGCACTGTCGTCCTTGCAGAGTAGGCCCGCGGCACACGTCGCGTAGACCACCTGCGTCGGGAAGCAGCCATCCTTGAGCGTCTGGCCTTTCCTCACGCCCGTCGAGATGACCGGGCATTGCGTCGTTGACTTCGTCGTCGTCGTGGAGCAGATGAGCGTCGAGCGGGTGCTGGTGCCCGTGGCCGTTGCCGTGTTGGCCGCCTCGGCGGCCGTCGTCGCTGCGGTGGTTTGGCGCGCGAGCACGGGAACGTGACGCTTGCGCAGCTCGGCGGGGACATTTCCGTCGTCACCACATCGGTCCAGGGTCCATTGCGACTCGATAATGGCCTCGGCGAGTTCGCAGCCGGCGTGAACGTAGCATCTCTCGAGATCGGTCTGCGTGAACTCATCGGGGAGCATGTCCAGGCAGTGGGCCACGGACCCCGGTTCACCACAAGCCGCGAGCCTGGCCAGCTCGAGATTTCTCGATCGAAGGCAGTGCAGCTTCGCCGGCGACAGAGCCGAAACCGCGGTCGCGAGGAGGAGCGCAGCAAGCGCCGAGGCGGAATGAGATGATCGCATCTTGACCGGGATTTGTGGGGTACTGCAGGAATTGCCGGGATAGGGGTCGGTCGGGGGTGGTGGGATTGGCAGTGGTTCGGAGTGGGCGCCCAAATGCCGGCCCCAGGATTGCGGCAAACGACGTAGTGGTGTTGTGTGCGACGAGTCAACACTCGTGCTCTGGCAGCTTCCTGATATGGAAGCTAGCTTCAGCAATCGGCAGCGTATGCGGCCTCGGGTCGAGATGCCGTCTTTGTGTAGAGTCGTCTATGAAATCGCATGCGAGTGGGATGGCGACCGGTTTGGACTGGTCTCTAAGATCTAGGAGGGGACGCGAAGGGACGACAAAAATGCAATGTACTTTGATGGAATAAAGGGAGAAGAAGGGGAGGGAAGCACACAAGATGGCGGCGGGTGAGATGGGAATGAGCATTATTAAGAAGGCAAGAAAGAAGGACGCCTCCTGGCGCTTTGGGGCTGGGCTGGACCTGTTGGAACCTATTTTGGCTCGTTACCATCCTCGGTGGTCTTGTCTTGTCTTTCTTTCTTTCTGACCGTGAGCTGAGGGACGCCAACGCCTATCCCACGAGCATCTGCAGCTCAGCACAGGGGACGGACCCAGTGCCCGTTGGGGTCTCGATTGGTCAAGTTTTGGTTTCTTACTCTCCCACTCTCCACTCTTTCGATGTAAGCCTGCAGCACTTGGACCCAGGCAAGCCAGGCTTGGACTTGTAAGGCTGGGGGGGAGAGGTTGTCTAGCCGGCCACGGTGCACTGTTGGACGCTCGGGGGTCTTGATGGTGCCGCCAGCTTCCTGCAGCACAGCCCTTGTAGTTTTGCCCTTTGGTTGCAGCTGGTCAGCAGGAGCGGAAGTCGTGGTGGCTGACGGCGTCCGCCTCCATAATTAGCCCTGTCGAGTCCTACCGCGAACACAAGGCCTGTACTCGACAACCTCACTAGGATGTCTCGTCTGATCTCATCTCAAAGGTTTATCCCCACGCTGCTTATTTTCATGCAGTGAAGGCTGTTCGATGGTGTTCGAACTTTTGCTTCCTGTCAACCCTGGAAGATGGTGATACCTCTGAGCTCGCCCAAAGGCTACCATGACTTGGCCTGAGGTTGGTGAGGGTGGACAGAGCTCTCAGCTCACTGGCTATGGCTCCAAGCTAAGATAGCTTGTGCTGTTCTCGTCGCACAGCTTTCCCGGAACCGTGCAAGGGCGGCTGGTACGCGCAAACTCTAAGGATGGCAGCCCCCTCCCCCCAAGAAGTTCGAAGGAAAATCTTGTACCGAACTACGGAGGTGGGCCAATGGCAATGGGTGGTATCGGATTGTTTCTGCCTTGTCGTGTCAGATTGGCTGTGTTGTATTTGACAGGCTGCAGCATTCCTCGGGCGCGGGGCCATTTTGGTGGCAACTGCAAGCTACCGCAGATGAGGAAAAGAAATGCCGCCCTCGTTTGCGATGGAAAGGATGTTGGTGCTGCGGGCTGTGGTGATGCATCCCTGCTGCGGCTCTCAGTCGCTTGTTGGTCTGTTAAGGTGGGCTGGGGTGGCTCGTGGCTGAGACCTACCACCCTAGATTGGGAGCTGGGCCACTTCATGGACCTTGTTTGGGCGACGCCGTACACCATCTGAAGCCCCTTCCTCGCTGCCAGGATACTTTGCGGACGGCATCTGCTTTGTGTCAGGTTGTCGTGCTTGTCTGCCCATCTTTGTGGGAGAGGAGCGAAGACAGGCCGTTGCACCCGCTGTAAAGAGGGCTATCTGTGTCATCTCAGAAAAGAGATGGCCAGGAAACAGGACTGGCGCGGTTAAACGTTGTAGGATCAACAAGGCGACGATGTCACTGTTTCCGTCGTAGCTAGGGGGTTAAGCACGAAGAGCCAACAGAAGAGGGGCTGTCAGCAGAAGGAAGCATTTTCCCCAATGATTTGGGCTGAGTCGTTTGTTGTCAGCTCACAGCGGAGCGGGGCGGCGTCCGATTACCCGCTGGTTAAGCAGCATGGCGGAGAGAGATTGGACGAACCAGTGTTGGTTGTCGGTAAGGCGAGATGGGAATGGAAGGTCATATTCCATCTTCGGTGCAGCTGGAGTCTAGCCATCCTTGATGGAGTCGTGGTTATTTTCGTCGTTCCTGGCGATGGAGACTATCACGGTCAAATTCGTCTGCCTAGAAGGATGGAAGGAACGAACGAATGCCCTGGGCTGGGGTATGAACGGCGCACGAGCCCGTAGATACTGTACGTATATATGATTATGTAATACGCGCACATCCTTGGACTTCCTTTATGAAGCGTTCTTTCTTCTTTCAAGCAATACTAACCGAGGTGAAAAGAAATTTCTCCTATGCAAACCCCATCTGAATGACATTATGAGTGGCTTTTCCATAGGATGTTAGCGCAGTCACCTAGCATATTTTTTTTCATAACAAAACACATCACTTCAAGTACAACCATGGTCCAGCCAGTGCAGCCCCAGTATCAGGACATCAAAGGCTGCCCATCTCTCAACGCTATGAGAGAGAAGCACCGTCGAGTTGCCGTTTATAGCTTAATCCTTGTTAACAGCCTCCAATGAGTGGTATTGATGAAAGCATGATGGCAAATAACTTTGCGGGATCTAGTCGCCGTTGGTGGAGCTTCAGAACGCCCCGGTAATCGGCAGCCGGGATGATGATGATGGATACTGTGTACTTTCCATCTCTGCTCACAACTTGCAATTTCCAAATCCTATTGGAGTTATTCTCTGTTGCAGTAGCCGAGATATGAATGTCACCCGCGACTCGATGTTCCACTGGACTCTGGCGGTGCTCTAATGGGAAGATATTTCAGACCCTTTCAGGTTGTGCTTAAGGATTTGTCACCACGTAGAGAAAATATTCCAATTTACCATTCAGCTATGTAAGAGTGTCCCAAATCTCAGTCTGAGCTTGGGCGGCCGTGATGGACTTCCTCAGATCAGATGATGCACAGAAAAGCTCACGTTCAAGGTTGTAAAACATAAGGTCATTGACCGATTGACATGAGTTCTCGACTAGCTAAACCTGTTCGGAATCAGTGCGGTCTCATGTTACATATTGCAGAAAGATGTTACGCGTACGATCTGTGGAGTTTTGTTCTGCCAAGATTTGGTTCCAAGTTGCTGGTTAGTCAGACTCTAAGTATCAGCTATATCGACGCGATTTTTGCCCTTTCGGATCCTTCTTCTTCTTATATGGTGTCATCTGATGAAGCAACTGTTTTTGGGGACAGATTATTATGGAGTTGATGCCGGCTGGATAAGTGAGATCAGACGGTCCTAGCAGATGCCCCTTGCCCCGATACCATTTACTCCTTGTGGGTTGGAATGAAAGCTGGCCGGCCACGTGCTTGCGATTAGAGCAAACACTAGTTGTGATTGTACTTAAGGTTCGCATCTAGGCTTGATTCACTAGCCGTGCATCGAGGCTGGGACACTCTCACAACTATTGATGCATTATGCTCACAAGCCCAGTCACCGGCAATTACGATAAACCAACTCATATCGAAGCAAGAAACAGTAGATTCTGACATAGAGATTTCTAACACGGATTGAACACAAGTTTAGCCTACGTCACCTCGCCAAGCCATTCGCGAGCGTTATTGGCGCCAGTTATGAGAACATGTACTACGCAACCAAAGCACGCCGGGCCTTCAGTCAGCGAAAACAACGTATCATCGCCTAGCATACCCATACCGACGGCCTGCCTATCTAGGAAATAAGTAGGGATGCAATGCGGCTCAGAACTAGAGTTTTTGACGTAGTTCCTGCTCGACATAGTCCGGTCCAGCGGTTTGCGTCGGACGAAGAAACCGGCTCGGACCCTGAAATGCAACAGAAACACTGAACACCCCCCGCCCCCACACAATTACGACGTCATCGGACCGCGCCGGCTTCCAGAACCTCCAAGCTTGCAATACCTCACCTCGTCCAAGCTAGGCATCCATCCGTGGACTTGGTTTTGTATTAAACCTCCAGCATCCTCCCCCAACTTACTTTAACCCCCCTGATTCCGCAACTCCCCGAACCCTCTCTCCAACCGTAACAAGCCAAAAGACAAACACCCCCCAAACCTCCCCACAGAAACAGTTACGATGCCTCTCGTCGTTCCTGGTATCAACAACAACTCCTCCGGTGACAAGACCGAGGAATGGACCAACAAGCTGGTCGGAAAGAAGCTGCATGAGGAGGAGTCTAACGAGACGGTAAGTTGCAGGTGCTTTCTGCTTCCGTTGTCGACTGCGCTAACGTTGCCATCGTCCTAGACGTTCTGCAAGAGAGACCTCCCCAAGGAGACGCGCGTCATTGAGCCCGGCATGATGGTCACCAAGGACTTCAAGCCCGACAGATTGAACGTGCACGTCAAGGAGGATGGCACCGTCTCCCACGTCCAGCACGGTTGAGTCGATATGGTGATGGTGCCGGCGCCCCGAGAGACGACGGACGGGCTCCGGCGACGGATACGCGATCATGGTTTACGATAGATTTTGCATGCCTGCACAGCTATGAACTTTTACAGAGTACGACCTTTAACACTTTCTTCATCGACCCTGTGATCCTGCATCTCCAAAATCGAGTGACGTGATGTGTCTGCAGCGCCCCTCTCGCGCCCCAACCCCCGTAGCACGGCTGCCCCTCCATGAGTGCATGTCTGGTCCGCCCCGCCCGCCCAATTGCGGGGCAGTTTTCCTCTCTGCGATGTTCGCTACAAGCAACCCCACCATCACCCACGACACCCAACTCACGACTTGACCGACGCGACGAGACCCTCAAACGACGACCGATTGCCAGTGATACCCCGAACCTAGAGACGTCGATTCAATACCGCCAAAATGTTCAAGAAAGAGTAAGAGTGCCAATCCATGCCAATTAATGCGCGTCCTCTACCCCGCGAGGGGAAAACCATGACGGGAAAAAGCTAACAGTTACCCCTCCTTCCGCGCAGCATCACCTCGGCGCCAAAACAGAAGCTCAAGTCCTCGGTCCAGCGCTCCCTCCGCAACTCGCTTCTCGCGAGCTACCCGCTCCTGAACCCCTACATCGACGAGGTGATGCCCAAGAAGGCCTCGCTCGAGCAGATGAAGCTGCCCGATCGCTGCTCCCTCTACGTCTGCGAGCAGCAGCCCCTCTTCTACCAGCAGGACAACACCACCCTCATGCCCCACCTCAAGCTCGTCCACCGCTTCCCCCAGGCCTTCCCCACGATCCGCATCGACCGCGGCGCCATCCGCTTCGTGCTCTCGGGCGCGACCCTCATGGCGCCCGGCCTGACGAGCGCCGGCGGCAGGTTGCCCGAGCCCAGGGACGGCGACGAGGGTGTGGACGAGGAGGGGCACTGGAGCCGCGAGCTGGAGAAGGGCGAGCCGGTCATCATCATGGCCGAGGGCAAGACGGAAGCATGCGCCGTGGGCCTGTTGGTTGCTGGCACCAAGGAGGTCAAGGACAAGGGCAAGGGCCCCGTGGTGGAGGAGGCGCATTTCCTTGGCGATGGCCTCTGGAGACTCGGCTCGGACTGAAGAGGGAAAGACGGTATACGACTGGGACGACTTTACACATACAGAAGAGGGGGTTTGGATATGGGCGACTTGAAGCCAGGCAGCACGGCGTGGTTGAGTCGTCTCGTCGGTCGTCAAGGTTTATCAGAGATGATGGGAAAATGAAAAGCACACATGATACCATATCCTTGACGCAAATATTCCCATGAGGCTCAAAATTTACTGGTGGTGTGTCATGGACGAAATGGTCAAGACCTGTGCGGGTTCCGTTTGATGGTCACGTCCGGAACTGCCTCGGGTCCCTTCCCAGTAGAAATTTGTTGCTGAGCCATCAGGATCACACTTCAATACGATGGGATTCCGTTTAACAGCGGTGAGACCAAGATTTTCCTCAGGGGCACATACCATCGACGTGACCGTTACAGGGATTTAAGCATCTGCAACAACCGATGACAAAGATGACTTCGGAACCTGACTGGCGCCTCATATCTTGATGCTGCGTGTTTTCCAATTTTCTCTCAAATGCCAAGTTATATCTCTGGGCCGCGAAAATTATATTTGATTCACATTCAATAATTAGCGCGTCATCATACCAAGATGACCGGCTCCCATCGCGGGTTCACGCTTGTCCAAGTCGCAGGACTAACCCTCCCCAGGGCCAGACGCGAGTAGAAGGGACCTTCCCTAGATGCGATCATGACAATAATACTCCAGGGCTCGCGAGGCCGAAAGAAGGGGTATTTCCCCGAGAAAAACACTTCTTCTCTGTCAGCACTTTTGAACATGTGACCTGCGGCCAGAGCGAATACGTGGTAGGCTTCCGCATCGAACTGCTTCTGGGCCCATCTTCGGTCCATTAATGCGGTTTCCCCGACTAGCCCGCCCTGTTGGCTGTAAATTCCCATTCGAATGTGAGTATCCGTCCCGTTGTCCTCTTCATCCGAAGGCAGGAGGCCAAGACGAAGCGAGGCCACTGTGGTGTTGAAGGCGAGGCAGTGAGGGTGCGCTTCCGCCCTTGCTCGAGTTATGTCGTCAATATCAACGTGCTCGAGGGCGTTGAGGGGTCCATGGACACAGTTGGTCCACACAGCGACCGGGTCATCGCCAGCCCTGCTTTTGTTGGTTGTGTTCCAGAGTACTTGCTGTGCTGCATTGGCGTGCCCTCCTTCCAAGGGCTGTGAGTTGAACCATAATCTTTCCTCTTCCAGCGGTCTCAAGCGCGAAACCCCTCTGTCCTGGTCACAATAGAATATGGAAACGAGGTTGCCAAAGTGGAAGCGGCTGAGGGGCTGCAAGAACCTTAAGGGGTGGTCTCTGAAGTTGACTTGTCCTTCCCACGCCGCCCAGGTCCAGGTGGGCAGCCCGAGTGGTTCCGTCGCCAGACCTTTTGTCCCTTCGTGGCCCCAGAGAAGCCCCTGTAGCATGAAACGCTCTGGAATTCCAAAGAGCATAACGGTGTTGGTCAAGGAACAGAAAAGCCTGCATACGCCATCAAAGGCGTTGAGAATGTCGGCTCTATAACTCAATATTCGACGAGTGTAGGTCTCTGTCAACACCCCGTACATCTCAATGAAACCTCCATAGTAGGATTCGTCTCGTCGAAGACCCGTCTCAAATCCGTGGCCATTTGACTGGAGATCTCGGCGTAGGTTATAATCATGCTCGGCTTCCCCAACATCGAGTCTTGAGCTGACGTGGAAGCAACTGACGAAGACGTCCACGTCGCTAAAAAAGATATGCCGGCGACTCAAAATCCTTTCCTGGTATGTCCAAGCTCTTGTGTTCCATTCAGAACTGTCAACAACCTGGGTGGTGTTAACCATGCTGGCTCCGACGTAGTGTCCATCGATGCCGAAATTCCACCATCTATTCTTTAGGTTTTGTCTTCGAGGTCTGCAGCATAGTCCGGGTAGTCCAGCGCCGACCCCATCAGCACAGGCAACAATGGTGACAAAGGCCTGCTGGTATATTGTGTCCATGGCCTGAATTTGAGAGACTTTAAGACCCTCATCGTCTTGAACAATGCACATCCGGTCCACCCATAGATACCGGCGGCCAATTTCGCGGCACAGCTGCATCGCATCACTGATAACCTCAGGGATCAGGGAGTCTCGCAAACAGTAAGGCCTCTCCAACTCTTCCACATTGGCCTTCGTTAGTTGAAGATCCCTATCTTTGTATGCTGTCGCAGTGCGCCATTGGTAGCTCAATGCTACAAAGTCGGCTACGTCCTTCACCCTCGCCACGCACTGAAGAGTGGTGTCGATAAGTCGGAAGCCAGCTGGCAACTGCGTCTGTGATACCGGCACGTTGCATTGATGGCCGTGTTGGTCAGTACAATTAAGCAGCCACTGATTCAGTCTTGGTATGTTGCAAAATCGTCGATCCCAAGCCTTGACTTGCTGGAGCTTCTGACCCCAGAGTCCGTAGTAGAGCTCAACCTCCAAAACCAGTGGTTCGAAGTTTGTGACACCATTGGACGTTTTCCTCAAACAAATAGGGAGAATGCATTGCTCAACCATGGGCCGGGCTTTTTCAGCATCAGTAATCCTTTGGATGGGTTGGCAGTGATGCATAGGGAAAGGTCTCCAAATGGAAACTCCATAATCCTCTCCGTCGTCGCAGTCAAGGCTTTCGAGCGTCTTCCCTATGTGAGAGCAGAGGATGCACTGTTTGGTTGGAGCGTAGAACTGCCGTGGCCGGAAATCCAGGTCCGACAGCCCCTGGTCGAAGTATTCGGTTCGCTCAGTGTGATCTCTCCAGCCAGTGGCATTGAAGTCGAACGATCGGGGATCGATTCGAGCATACACGGCATCTTGACAGAAGACTACGTGTGTGAAGTCGTCCCAGGTTTGGCAAGCTTGGCAGAGCAGAGCATTCACCTGTCGCCTGGAGGACGCTTCCACGCAGAAGGAGCAGGCCCAATCATGCCTCTCTCCGCTTTTGCCAGTGTGGCACCAGCGGCAATTCTTGTTCGGTGGAGTTGTCCCCTGCTTGGGTTCGACTCTGGATTCGTGGGAAGTAGGCGGCTTCATTTTCGACTTGACATCTTGGTCGGTGTTGCGATTTCTGAATAGACCTGGATTTGCGTCTGTGTCTGTTATGACACTATTTAGCATCCTGCCATTCTTTGCCCCTCCAGCGGGAACATGGCCAAGCAAACAACTGTGCAATGGGATCAGGCAGCAGCGTTGCAACTCAAAACAGTAACGATCGGCATGCTAGCAGCAGCATTCTAAGTCTGTGTCCCAGGACGCCTTCAAGACTCTCCCATTTAGCCGCTCCAGAAGCGTAAATATTCAAAAAGCAACCCCTGAATCGACCATGCAATTTTCCACGGTGAAGTCTTGATTTCGGGAGGCCGCAGAAATGCCTATTTTGGATATAAGATATGTCCGGGTCTAGCAAGACATTCATGGCAGCACAACTAGTCAGTTTTATCAAAGCAGTAGGAAAACCTATTCTATGCCACTTCTGTTCTTACTCTTACGCACTATCTGCTAATTACGAGCATACCATACGGTCTTTAATCCCACGACTTACGAAGAAAGACAAGGACCTGGCTACACATGTTTACAACGAGTCCCTCACAGAAGGGTTGTCGTCCAAGTTAACGCTGCATGGAGTATCTCGTCACACGGTATACGCAAGCAAACAAGCGACCATAAGTCATACCAAAACTAGGGCAAAATGGCTTGACCTTGTTGATTTGCTCTGAAACGAGCTTGGCGTTATGAATCAACTCAAAGCCACCGATGGTGCCTTGCCGCTCTTCCATTGAGCCCCAAACGCCCGCATCCAGGAGCTTTTTCATGTCTATCCCTCGAACCCAGCGTAAAGTACCTTCTCCATCATCCCCGCCGCCGCCTGGGCCTCCACCTTGGCCTCTATGCCCCCATTCCCAAACTCGTGCGCTTCCTCAAACCCCTGCTGCCAAAACTCCCACCTCCTGAACGAGAACCCCGCGCGCCCCTTGAACCTCGGCCCAGGATTCCACTTCTCCCCAGCCTTGCTCCTACCGTTTCCGTTTCCGTTTCCGTTGCCGTTGGATTCTTTGGCGCCAAGACCACCCGCTGGCTCCGTCGCCTCCGACGTCACGGAGAGGTGGTACAGCCGCTGGCAGGAGTGAATAGCCCACTGCGCCGCAGCTATCAGCCGTGCATCGGCGCCGTCTCTATCCCCGGCATCCGAGGAGCGGCGGTCTTCGAAGGCGGCGCGGAGTTGCTGGATGGCGAAGTCGCGGCCGTCAATGAGGTTGTAGGACCAGAGGAGGGCGGCGAAGGCGTTGAGGTTTATCCAACGGGTGAGTGTATCCTTCCTGTTTGAGGATTGATAGGGAGCTTCGGCAAGACGTAAGTCTCTCGTCACATACCGCTTACAAGGCTGAAAAGGGCAGGCCAAAGACTTACAAATCATGCTCTCCCTTATGATCTGGTTCAGGCCGTGAAGACGGCTCAACTGCTCGAAGCCATCCTATAAACCATTAGCCGACAAGCCAGCACAAGCACGTAGCTGAGCTCACCACTGTTACCGTAGCCGTCGTTCTTGGTGATGAGGATAGGTGGTCGAGAATCACCACCAGGTCCAGTATGGCAAGGTTTCCCGACGGCGTCTGCTGCGCCAACGAGATGAACAACCTCCACAGCGAACTCAGCACGTCGTCCGAAGGCCGGTACGCCGGCAACAATGCCGCGATCTCGACAGCGACCTTGCGCAGCCTCCGCGGATCGTTGTTCTCCTCTAGGATCGCGCCTCGGATGACCTTGAACGCGGCAGCGTCATCAAAGCCCGTGCCGTCTGGTGTATGCGTCCATCGTATGACCGCAGTGTTTCCGCCCGTCATGTCGGCGATGAACTCCTCATAGTTTTGCGGACGGTCGACGTCTGATGTGGTGCGGAAGGACATGTTGACTGTGTTGCGGCAAGAGGTCGGACGAAGTCGTGGGAAAGGAATTTGTCAGTTGTCCTCTTCAAGGTCTGTGACATGTGCTGATTCGCGTCCGCTGCCCCAAGCTCCCAAGACCAGGTCGTGGGACGGACGGGAAGGGGGAGCATTGACTTTTCAGGGTAGTTAGCTTTCTGTTTGCATGATCGGAACATGGAAGACGGTTCTTGTGCCGGGTACGACATTCTGAACCGAAGCATCTGATGCGCCCGGTGGATATGCGGGGGGGCAAGAGGCATGACAAACGGGCGGTGACAACTCAAGGTCTCGGCAGATCAAGGAAGGCGCTATTGCGCGAGTCGAGAACTTTCCGGGAGCGTGCGGCTTCTTCGGCATTAGTGTTGCCGCCTCGGAACGGCCAGTCAGGCGGGTGGAGCCGATGCCGGCGGGCTTGCATGTGTCTCTGAGAGCACGGATGCCGCCGTTCGTCCCTTCCGTCTTCAAAGAGAAAACAGAGGCAGACGGAGTGGCTGGATCAAACGGCTGTTGAGTCATCTTCTCTCAAAGAGCTGCGTAGCTCAAAGAATGTCTTCACTGGAAAACAAGTTGGTAGTTTCTGTTGACGTCAAGTCAAAGGACTGGCATACACCTTTAGCGCTGGATCTGTTATAAGGAATACATACAACGGAACATCAACCGGGTCTTTGGTCCTTCTCTTGCTTCTCAGAGTCTTGATCGTACTAAACAGTCTCAAGTGCCGAGAAGCACGAATAATCTCTATTAACCGAAATACGCAGGTTGAAAGGCGGACAACTGAGCTTGCTGTGCACTTTCAGATAGTAGGATAGTTTGAAGTATAATGGAAACGGCTGCCGATCAAGGAAGAATGGCTCAGCCAGTGATGTTGAAGCGTTTCGTGCTACAAATGGGCCGGCCATATTGAACCAACCGAGATAGGACAACCAGAACTAGGTAGTTGACATATCTCCGAAATGTCATCCTCTAGTATTGTATCCTCATCCGCATCGTCGCTATGGAGAACGGAAAGGGAGGGAAAATAGAGAAAAATATCACCCACAAGCGGATGAACACCTTAATCATCCGCCAAGCATCCCCGGGTAATTTGAAATGTCCTCCCTAGGACTTCCAGGCCCGTTGAATACGCCGCCAGGCGACGCCGCCCTCCACAGATCCTGGAACCGATTCCTCGACATCCACAACCTCCGCATCATCTTCCACACGTCACCGGCCCACATCGACCAACAATGCGCCAGCGTCCTCGTAGCCCTGCGAGTGCCCACCGACCGTCGCGCGGCCATCGGGGATTCCATCCTGAGCATCTGGGACAGGATCGGCCTCGTCGTCGACTGCTTGCCGGCGGACGTGAACCCGCACTGGAGGGCCGAGGAGCAGCTCCTCAAACCCACGGCCCTGCGTCTCGCATCCCGACGAGCACGTCTCGCGATGGAGAAGGAGCAGCGCGAGAAATGTTGGGACCCGATGCCCCTCACTCTCGACATGTCCGTTCCCTCAGAGCCCGAGACTTCGAAAGAGGAGGGGAACACGCTCAGGGTCGCAACCTCCCTCGTCAACACGGAATACTTCCTCGGCCACGACCCACGCGACCCGATCTTCTCCTACGAACATTCGCCACTCTTCCATCCCGCCGACGAAAGAAACTTCACTTACCGCGGTCGCGTCCCCCGCGACCCTAGAGAGGACCTGCTGCGCTTGCGGCTCATCCTACCCAAGGTCCTGGCGCAGCTCGTCGTCATCCTCGCATTCTCCCCCGAGAAAGTTTCTGTTTTCCCCGTGGAGTGCAGTGAGCTGATGGACGAGGTTGACGACCTTGAGGATGAAGTCCTCTGGAGGATCCAGTTATACTGGAAGGCCAAGTTCGGCAGGAGGCCTACGGCGGGGACGGCAGCGTACGCGCACTTCCTCCGGAGCAGCGCGCTGGTGCGGGAGTTCGCCTGGCTGGTCCACCGCGCTTGCTTCGACCAAACCCATCACCAGTCTCTCGAGGAAACGCGGCGAGCGCGCGGCCTGTGGAAAGTGCTCTTACCTGTCATCAACGTCTTGACCTCAGATAGGACCGCAGATGGATCGGCGTGCGAGGCGCTGCTGCACATCGCGAAGCTGCATGTCGAAGACGAGGGCCGTCAGGCGCGGGACGTGGTCTTCAAAGAAGAGCAGTATAATCGCGCACTGGTGTATAGAGAAGGCGCCGTCATCAACAAGGTATGTCCCGACTCCCCATTATCGTCGTCGTGAATCCCCTTGTTTCAAGGTGGCCAGCGTCGTCGATCCCAAGCTCCAACTTGATCCGAGCTCACGTCAGGGTGTCGATGCAACCCTGCAGGGTCCAGTCCAGCATCCCCCATTCCCCAATCCACCCCCGTCCACCCAGAAAAAAGCCCACCGGTCGCGGATAAACCATTCTCCACCTCCACACCTCGCCCGTCCAAAATTTCCGGTCCAAACTTCAATCTGGTGATCGAAACTGACACACGTCTCCCTCCCGCAGTCAATCCACGCCCTCTACGCATCCTACACCGGCCGCTTCCACCCCACAGCCGGCGCCCTCTTCTACCCGACCGCCCACCCGCTCCTCCCCCGGGATCCAGACCTCGATCCCGACGACACAGACTCCAGCTCCGTCCCGATCCCCGACGAGGTCCTAGCCGCGCACGACAACATTCGATCGCGATTCGAGCTCCCACCCGAAGCCGAGACCGACTCCCCGACGCCAGAGCTCCGACCCAAGCCGGCCATTGCTGCACCGAGGAAGAGAAAACTTGAAGAGAAAGAGAAGGACACCTCTTCCGCCGAGCAGGAGCCACCGCGCAAGAGCACAAGACGCCGACGCCCAATCCTCGAAACGCACCACCGACCGAGCCTCCCCTAATCCTCGGCTCCCGATCTCGCAGGCGACGAAACAGCCGTAGCTGTAACGAAACCCTTCATTCCGACCAAAACCAGAGGCAAACCACCAACGCCCGTAGTAACCCGCTCCTCAAACCACATCCGCGAATCCTCCGTAAAACGTCACACACACACACACACACACACACCAACCCTCCAAAATGGCCTCCCTCGCGTCCCTCCGCGGCCTCCGCCCGACCCTCACATCCCTCGCCCCGACCCTCACATCCCTCGCCCCGACACCACCCGCCGCCGCCGCCCGCGCCCTCTCCACAACGGCCCCCCTCGCCGCCCGCAAGGCCACAGCGGCCGGCACGCCCGAGTACGCCGACCGCGTGGCCAACATCCGGCAGCACCTCTTCGCGCAGGCGCCGCCGCCGCTGCGCATGGCCCGCAACCGCCACCTCCGCCACTGGACCATTCACCGCGCCTGGCTCCTCCTGCAGCGCCAGCAGCGCGAGCAGCGCGAGCGCGAGCTCCACCGCATGCAGCAGAGCATGTACGTCGCCAACGAGGAGCTCCGCCGCACCGCCGGCCCCGGCACCAGGGACGAGGGCTGGCTGTACCGCGTCGCGCAGGAGAAGAAGGGCGTCTACGGCGCCGGCGCCGTCCCCATCGAGTACGCGCGCTACCAGAGCGAGACGCCCGCCCGGCAGGCGTGGAACCACGAGTGGAAGCGGTAGATGGGCGCGCCCCCCCCCCCCCCCCTTTCCAGTGGACAGAAGTCAAGGCGAGGGGGGCATCGAGAAATACTCAAGGAGACGGCGTGGAGAGCCGTGGATAAGATGTAGAACCGGACGAGAGACTGTGCGTCTCCCATGTACCACCACCACCACCACTACCTCACCGTTGTCATTCTACTGTACCATGCTGTAGGAATGGCCAATTGTACAATGCAGAAAGAAAAGGAAAAAGTGTCAATAACTTCAAGTTGGATAGCGGCATGTGCAAGATTCCAGTGTTTATTTGCGTAAAAGTGACTGTCATCTCTCCCGAAGCAAGGGTAAGACGAACGCGATCCTCCCAAAACTCCCCCAGATCAGCTTTCCTAAGCGTGAACTTTTTTCGGCTCATTCTATGTTACGCTGTCCTCCTATTAATACAATGGGGTTCACGGGCAAACCCCCCCCCCCTTTACGTTCTCAAAGACGTCTCCCGCCAAGATTTCGCGCTGCTTCCGCTCATTGCAGCACCGCTGTACGGATAAAAAAACAACAAAAAAAGAGGCATTAAAAGTTGACTCGTATGATACGCGATACGCGTAAGATGGTGGTGTCCAAGCGAGACCGTCAGGGAGTGCTATCCATCTTGATTTTGCTTCCTGGCGTATGTGTGTGTTCGGTATAGGCGCGGTGCCTATTCGTGGCAGCCGGCTCGTCCAACGGTCGATTTGGATCGGCAAAACTTCCGCATCTGCACTAAGCTGCAATCTCATGGTTTCGTGATCCAACTTGCCGCCCTCTGCAGACCTCGTCGAGTTCCCGCGTCTTCGCTATGTCGTGCCCGCACTGGTGGTTGGTCGAAAAGGGAATATACTAGTAACGAGGCCGCACCGCTCACAGAATGACGCAGCAGCCGCCGCCCTCACCCTTCTCAAAGGTCAGCAAGGCGGCGCGCGTAGCGGCCTCGAAGACGTCGTCGACTCCCTCGCCGCTGAGACTGGAGCACTCGAGGTACTTGCGGGCGCCGATCTCCTTGGCGGCGGCGTCGCCCTCCTGGTGGGTGACGAAGCGCAGCGACTTCTTGCGCATTTCCTCAATGGCGACGGGATCTTCGCGGAGATCCTTCTTCAGCCCGACGAGAATGATGGGAACGCCAGGGCAGAGACGCGTGACCTCCTCCACCCACTGTAACCACTCGTCAGCTCCGGACCTAAAAGCGCCGAGGGTCCAAGCCCACTAGAACGAACCTTGTGCTTGACGTTGTCGAGAGAATCGGGGGTGTCGACGGAGAAACCGATGAGGATGACGTGGGCTTTGGAATATGCTAGGGGACGTAACCGCTCGTAGTCCTCTTGTCCGGCGGTATCCCATAGCGCCAGCTGAACCGACTTGCCATCTACTCTGCAGTCCGTCACATAGTTCTCGAAAACGGTTGGGATCTATAGCTCAGGGCTCGTTAGGGACCGGGTCTGGAGGAGACGAGTTGTTGGGTGTGGCACTGACGTAATGCTAGGAACGAGAGCAGTTAGTAAAGGCCGGTCCTCGGAAACAGACCACAACGGGTGTCAAAGCAGACTTACTGTGGGAAAATAGCCTAGGGTAAAGACGCTTAGCAGACTAGTCTTTCCGCAAGCACCGTCGCCAATAATGACGAGTTTCCTATGGCCAGCAGGTCAGCAAGCAAGAAAGTGCAGGAACAGCCGACAGGGCGAGGCTGCCGGCTCGATAACATGAATAGGTGCCGTGAGCATGGCGCAATGGCATGATGTATAGCCGCCAGTTCGAAAAGACAAACGGAGGGGGGACCAAAGTGAAATGGACAGTGTGGCCGTACCTGCGGATGACGTTCTGGGCGTTATTTGCTGCGGCCATAGCTGCTATCGTCTACCAGACGGAGAGATGTGGAGAAAGATATCGACCCGAGGTCAATTGAAAGACTGATCGGACCGTCTGCGACGGCTGTCGATGTCGAGCCGGGGGGGGGGGGGGGGGGGGGGGGCAGAGTGACGGAGCCGATCGAGAACCGAAATCAAGAGAGCGGTGTCTGGCCTCTGCACGGGAGGCAATTTACGAGCGTGGTCGACGCCTGAGTTGGGTGGGCTCGTATGCGGTGCCGGTCGTCGAGTCGTATCGGAGGGGCCACGGGAGTAGCGTCGGGGCGAACGAATAAGTGATGCGACGGTGGCTCTACGCAATGCTGCCCTTCGAGGTGGTGGATGTATGGGAATAATTTCTTCTTCTTTGGTGGCTGGAAATGAACCTGCACTAGGAAAAGAAATTTGCAGAGAGGGCAATGGCGGATATGTCGGAGGGAGAAGAGGAGAGGAGGGGGGATGGTGAGATTGCAGAGATGCGAGAAGTTGGCCAGAGATGAGGCCGATGGGGAGGGAAGGGGAAAAAAAGATGAGTATATAGTATTCGGCCAGGTAGGAGGGCGCCCTTGTGTTTTTTTTCGGGGGAAAAGGAACGGGAGGGCGACGGGAGGTGTGAGAGGGACGGGCGCTAGGTGAAAAGGCAGTGAGGTAAGGCGGGCGAGGTGAAAGCGTTGGACCTGGGGGGTGAGGGAATACGAGCTGAAGAAGACGCCGGGGGGAGGGTGATGAACCGCGCGTTGAAGAAAGGGAACTAGAGAGAGAGAGAAGGAGAGAGCGCGCAATGCAATGCCGTGGGAACAGACGGGAAGCTCGAGTAAAAAATAGTAATAAACGAAAAAAAAGCCAACGAAGAGCTCCTGCGAGTCGGAGCTAGAGCTGGACCAGCAAGACTGTAAAATGTTCAGGACTCCAGGACTCCAGGACAAGGTCCAGGGGGGAAAAAAAAAAGTACCTGGTGCGCCGGGTTTGCGGAGTACAGGTGAGCGGAACGGTATCCCACCACCACCATCACCACCACCACCACAACCCTTGCATGATGTGTGCGTGTGTGTAGAATGGTATGCACTGACGGTCAATTGGCCTCAGTGAACTGTCTGGGCCTGGCAACTGACTCTCAACCTGGCCTGACTGCTGATTTCCAGTACTGCAAATGGTGTGGATGAGAAGTGTTCCCAATCATCGGCAACCAGTTACAGTGATGAGAAGAGCCTTCTTGCTCGGGCAGAACGGCCCCCGTTAAGCGAAACAAAATACAATCCCAGAGCCAATGGGAAGACCTGGGCCGAGTTGAGAGTAGACGTTTGGCCAAGCAGTAGAACACACGTCTACCTAGATGCAGTTAGTACACGTACGTCGAGTGCTTGGCGTGCGCAGCAGCGTTCTGTCTGAGTTTCTGGCAACGGGCAGCTGTACCTATCCCATCACCAATGTTTGTTGCGTACAGACGTGCAGAACCAGAGGGACCAAACCGGGGTCGCGCTGTCCACTGCCAAAGCTACGTCAAACTTCCGGGGAGCTAAAAAGAACCCAAACCGCGGAACAGACCAGTCCACTCGGGGTTACCTCCCCTCCCCCAGGTAACGACTCCAGGGAGCCCACCGTGCGGTGCGCCGTGTGGTGCGTGTGGTGGCACAGCAAGAAGACACCATGCCTCGAGGAAGGGCACTTCAGGGTCACTCCAGGGAAAACAAGGGACGAGGACGTCAAATGCACTCGGATGCGCCCTTTCTGGACCTGAGGCCCGTCCAGTCCAGCCCGGCCCAGCCCCCCCATCTGGTCCTTTACGTCCGATCCAATAAGTCCACCTGGCAGAGTCCCAGCAAAGCCAATCCTGGACTTGCGCATCCTCTCGCCGCACCACCACCAACAACAGACCACATTCGGCTCGTTGATGCGGCCGGTGCGGGGGTTTGCAGACCGGCTCGATCGAAGCAGAGAGACGGACAGCGACCCTCGAACCCTGACTGCCCGCAGTAGCAGCGCCTGCTGCTGCACCAGCTGCAGCGGTGCATGAGAGGTGGATGGGCACCATCAGATGCCCGCCAACGCGGCCCAAAGGCACGCACGAACCACTTGGGGATCCGACGGGTCCTGTGGAGGCAATGACAGACAAACAATACACAGCCAACCGTCTGACGTCTCCGGCGACCTGCCCGTCGTACTGCGCTGCGTGGTGTGTGGTTGGGAACCCAATTGGCCTTAGCCGGCCCCAGGGACAGACGGGGTTCCGGGAGGCTGAGCGCATGGTGTATGCGCTGCGAGCCCCCATATCGCCGTCCAAGATTGATCGCCTTGCTGCCAGGTACCGGCAAGAAACAAACTCTTCCAAGAACATGCTCCCGGCCCTGCCATGATCGGCTTCGCTGTGTTGCAATGAGGTTGGAAGAGACCTCGAAACCCCCATGGAAAACTGGCGACGATCCAAAATGGGGCCAAGACACACCACAGGCGGTACGTTCTGCCGCCGAAGGCTGAACTACTGCGACCGTCGCCAAAAATCGAAAGATAGATAAGAAAAAAAGTTAGAAAATTCCAGCCTCAAGGACGCCCCTTTCTAAATTAAGACACTCTCTTTCAACCATGTCCCTCGCGGCTCGCCTGCGAAATGCAAATCATCGCTAAGGTTTTCAGGGCCGATCGCCGAACCTACGGATTAGTGTCGAAACATTTCCAACTTCCAGGTTTCTTTGCATTGCCTGGTTATGCGGCTTCGGCGCATGTCGACTCACTTCCGGTCCCTATTCCTTGCCCCTTGCCCCTTGCGCCCATGGCTACCGTGAAGGGATGACCCCGTCGTCCTCGTCCCGCAGACATGCTTGACTTTACCTCTGCGCTATCTGTCATGGCGAATCTCGTCCGCCGACTGCTATCGTCAGCTACGCCATGTGTTGCGTACCCGTACGTTTGAGGAAGACACGACTTCGGATGCCGTGGCGGCACCGATTGCACCGCAGGCCTCTCTGTGTCATCGTCATCCCCAACCCCCACCGGGCCCTTTTCCCGACCGTCTTGTCCCGCACCCCAATCGTCATGCGCAGCCCTGGAGTAAGTAATAAAGAGCCCTGCGCCATCCGGTCCCCGGAGTGCGGGTAGGGAGCCACCCCAGTAGCCAGTAGCGCACGCCAGGCCGCTGGCTAGTCAAGAATCAACCAACGTCGCCGTGCGCCGTATCTCCGTCTCTCTGTGCAGCCACCCGCACCACCCCAGGTGCTGTGCCCCGGTCTGTGCAACGTCTGCACCGCCTGGGCTGTGTTGTTGTGTCACTGTACCGCGGTACTGCAGTCCCTCTGGTCTGCAATTGCCCGCCATACGTACCGTCACCCCTCCTTTGTGGAGGGCAGCTGAGGTTGTCGGTGTCTGCTGCTAGGGTGTCTAGTCGGACCGTCTTTACGGATACAGCAGATGCATTTTGGGTGGGATCTTGAAAACAACGTCCTAATACGAAGCGCCTACCACTGTGTCTGATCAACTTCTCAGCAGGGGGCATCGTTGACGTACACGTAAGAGCGTTTCTTGCCAAAGAAGCCGCCCTCTGTTCATAGGTAGTACTTCTCACACTCGCTAAACCTACTACGAAGGACTGGCCTACAAGGTGACCCGTTTGTGTTCATCTGCCATATTGATCCTCCTTGGGCCACATGGACGCTCACGGGATTCGCAAATATCCTGGGATATGAGGCTCGCCCCCTGGATATAATGGCTCATTCTGGAGTCGGAACCAAGCGAACAGAAGCATCCTTTTCTTTCTTCGGCTTTCGCTCCGTCACATCACCAGAGACGCGTCGGCAAACCCCATGTTATGGGCCCGTCTTCCGCGGTGGAGACCGTATGGCCCGCCTTGTTATTGTAGACCGAAGGGGCAGTGTTGACTTTGTTGGCACGTGGTGCGCTGCCATGGAGGCTCCCTCCCAAGCAACCGCTGCTGATTAGGGCCGGCGTTTGCTGGATGTCAGTCGGTTGGCAGATGAGCCCAAGGTTAACGGTCGCGCGGTACGCCCGTTTGGTGAGTGTCGCCTGTTTATACATATGCACGACTAACCACTGGCCGACTTGCGTTGCACTCTTGCCCGCAAAATTGGGATGCGCTACCGCCCAGAATCCGCTGGTCACTGCTGTTTGAGATATGCAACGACGCCGGACCTGATCGACCAACTGAGAGTGCACAACATCTGCTTTTCCCCCGAGACAGTGCCATAATGGCTGTTCCTTACATTGTCAAGCTGTCGATTGTCGATGAAACGTCGGGGAGCTCTTGGTCTACGGCTGGCGTTCGTCAGCGGCGTCTAGACAATCGAATCCAGCACGACAATGGCAGAACGGGCTTCGGGGACGTTGCCGGAATGTCCGGCCGGCAAACGCTACAAATTCGCCGTGAGATGGCTTGGTCAGGGACGTGTTGTTGATCAGTGGGGCCCATCGGGGAGCTGCTAAGGCACACCCCAAGGGGGCCAACAACTTTGCCGACTGCACGCTGCTTGCTGCCGCATACATGCAAATGCACTCCCAACGACGCAGGGCGATCGGGACGGGGGCCGTCATTGGTCATCCGAAAGAGGACGGGGGCCGCGCGGCTCCGGTTCTGGAGGCTGAAAATGCGGGACGCTTCGGAACGGGTGGGATGTCTTCCGTGACCTCCGCCTAGTCTTGTCATTGTGATACCGCCCGGTAGACTCGGCAACGGCGGGTAAGCGTAAGCTTTGGGGCAGCGAGGGATTGGTTGACGCTGCCCACCAGCAGCCACTGTTGGCGATGAACGCCTTCCTCGAGGAGGGAGCCGGTTGAGTTGTCCTGCGCGGCATGCTGCGGCCTCAGCGTCGTGTGGAAGAGAAGCATACAATGTATTTGACGATTAAAAGGTACCAAAGCACTGGGTAAGCCAATGTATCACACAGGGGCTGCTTGGCCAACAATTGGGACTGAGCCGTCGCAATCCCGTGTGAACCCGTGTGATGAGCAGGCCATGTTCGCCAAGCAGCGCTGGGCATTCGGGTTAAATAGCTCCGGTGCGTGGCTGTGACGTGTTGCTGTTTCCATGGCGGGATGTGGTAAAGAAGCGTCCGCTGCATTGTCGTCTTAGCCGTGGGTGGACCAGGTAAACTCAAGAAAGCAGATAGCTGTTTACCCTCAAAGTGTAGCAAGGGTTTTGATAAACTGCAGCTCGCAGCTCACACATGAAGGAGAGGTCTGCTGCAGCAGTTGTTGGGGGCATTGATGAAACGTAATGCAATGGCCTTGGTCGGTCGAGCGAATGTGGTGCTGGTGCGTTCCTCGGGACGGGAGGGAAGCTGAAGTTAGACGACGCAGGTGATGGGATGACATCAGGTCACGAAACCAAACTTCCCATGGCATGGTTTAGAGAGCGGGACGGACCTGGCCTGGACCTGCCTTACCCGATCCCAAAGTACCTTTTTGCCCTCCAGGTCAGCTTAGGTAATATGGGAGGTAGGGATGGAATATCTGTCCGGGTTCTCAGAATCGCATCTCAGCTCGGACCAGTCCAAGTCTGATTATGTCAGGGTTTTCCAATTTGATCTGGTGATGCCTGACAGACTCCACTTCAACCCTCAGGCAGCAAGGGGAGAGAGGGAAGCACGGACCAGACAGAGCTTGACGGCCGACCGGGTTGGTGCCAGCGGGCAGACAGTCACGTGGACCACAGCACAATCGCAACCGCACCTTCTCAGCCTCGAAATGTGACAACTGCTGAGGGAGGCCATGTCGCCCGAGTACCTCCAAGTAGTGTAAAGGTGCAGACAGGCACAGGCACAGGCACAGGCCAGCAGACCCCCATCCATTTCGCCTATTCGCCCAGCGCGCGCTGGCTGACTTGCAGTGTTGGGGCTGTTGGCGTACCAAGGTACTAAGCGTATGTCTGTCCTGTCCTGTCCCACCCCCATGTACCCCTCCCATGCAACTGCGCCCACGAGTGACTTGCACATTCCCAATCCGCCGCCTGGCATCTCCCTCGCTCGCCCACCAGACCTTGCTTGGCCTGACGCCAAACGACAACCAACATTGGACACTGGGCTGACGACTTGCTTCCTCGCTGAAAAGAAACTGGACCAGCCAAGAGGCCGAAGAACTTCCCATCGTCTTCAATATCGGGCCAGACTGCATTGTCGTTATCGTCGTCGTCGTCAAGCCTAGCCTTGCGAATTGCGATACCCGCACAAGAGCGCCTCGTTAATTAATCCAACCTACGTCAAGGTACCTCTCCAGAAGCCAGGGCTGATAAATGCCAGTGGTGTCTGTGCTCCGCTGCGCTGCGCTGTACTGTGCTGGACTCCCGCTTGCTGCTTGCTGTACGCTACAGTGCCTTGCTGCTGTCCCTTGGCGAGCAAGTGTGGCTGCCCATCTCGAATAATATTCGCCTCCACCTGTGAGTCCTGCCTCATCACCACCAGCACCACCACCTCAGCCCGCCCTGCGCGCTGTACCTGATCCCGCCTGCCATTTTCGCGAGCCGCTACCCTCTTACCCACAAACGCCAGCCGCCCAACCCAACCAACTTCTCGCGAAGAGGGGCAACGTCTTGTTTTTGCTCACCCATCTCGACATAGATTTACCCAGCATCTCTTCAATCGCGAGGCCCGATCGACCGCCCGCCCGCCCGCCGAGTCCCGACCTCGACCTCTGCTCTCCCTCCCAACCGCCCCTCGCAGACCGGACCCTTCCCTTCCTCTCTCTCTATGACATCGACGCTTGGTGCTTGGTAGCAGAGATTCGACATGCCGGCCAACCACCGCCAGGCGGCATCACAGACGCCTGCGTCTCCCAACACAAAGGCCACGGCTCGCTACACCAACAAAGACGGCTCCAAGATCATCACCGTTCCGAAGGGCCCCCCTCCACCGAACCCTCGCAGCCATCGACCCCGACCTCGTCGGCAAGGGCCCCGAGTGTGCAGGCCACAGCCACCAGCGGTGCCGACGACTCGGCGCCTACTGTCAACCGCAAGAAGCAGAAGCGTCGCGCAAAGGCGGCCGCGAAGGCTGCCGCCGAGCAGGCCGTCGGCCAAACGCCCAACGGACGCTCAAGTCCCGCATCTGGCGCACCCGCCTCCAAACCTCAGGCTACCCAAGATGACGACGACCAGGACTCCAGCGACGACGACGCCGACGACCACCACTCCCTCGAGGACCACCCCGGTGCGAACGGCGTTGCCTCGACCAAATCGAAAAAGTCCAAAAAGAAGAAGAAGAAGAACGCAAAGAACCCGCATCTCGCCAACCCCCAGTTCGACAACGTCCCGCATTCCCACTCCCACTCGCCATTGACGCCCCGTGGGCCTGGAATCTCCAAGGATAAGATCTGGAACACCAGCTCGCAGGAGGAGAGGGAACGCATCAAGGAGTTCTGGCTTGGGCTCGGCGAAGATGAGCGCAAATCCCTGGTCAAGGTTGAAAAGGACGCCGTTCTGAAGAAGATGAAGGAGCAGCAGAAGCACACGTGCAGCTGCACCGTCTGCGGCCGGAAGCGCACCGCCATCGAGGAGGAGCTGGAGGGCCTTTACGACGCCTACTACGAGGAGCTCGAGACGTTTGCGAACAACGGGGAGGGACCGCACATCCTCCCACCCCACCGCGAATTCCCCTTGCGACCCTCACGCCTTCCGTCAACCTACTCGGGGCAACCGCCGTCGCGCGGTCGCATAGTGGAACATGTGGGCGATGACGAGGACGAAGAGGATCCCGAGGAGGAGTACAGCGACGAAGAAGACGAGCTCGAGGACGAGGAGGAAGAGGAAGAAGACGACGAGTACAGCGAAGAAGACGAACCGCCAGAGGATGCTCACCCTCACGATCGAGATGTGGCCGACTTCTTGACCTTTGGTAACAGCCTGCAAGTCAAGGGTATGCAGCTTCTGGACTCTCTACTCTGCAGATATGGTAACATGGACTTAGGCGGCATACTCACCGTTGCGGATGACCTCCTCAAGAACGACGGCAAGCGCTTTATCGAAATGATGGAGCAGCTCGCCGAGCGCCGCATGGCGCGGGAAGAGGACGCCAAGGAGCACTTTTCCCGCGGCTACGGTCATCCCGCCAACGGCTCTTACTCGAATCATAACCATCCTCCTCCCGAAGACGACTACGACGACGAAGACGAGGAGGAGGATGAGGACTATGATGACAGCCAAGAAGAGGAATACGAGGATGAAGAAGTGAGCTCCTCTCAATACACATATGACCATAAACACTCGAGTACTGAGCATTACTGTTGTCATCATCAGGACACGATGACCGAGGAACAGCGCATGGAAGAGGGTCGTCGCATGTTCCAGATCTTCGCCGCTCGAATGTTCGAGCAACGGGTCCTGACAGCCTATCGGGACATGGTCGCCAAGCAACGCCAACAACAGCTCATCGAGGAGCTCGAGGAGGAGAACCGGCAAGACGCTCAGCGAAAGGCAAAGAAGGCCAAGGAGAACCAGAAGCGCAAGGACAAGGCCGCGTTGAAGAAACAGCAGCAGGCCGAGGAGAAGGCGCGGAAGGAGGCCGAAAAGGCGGCCGAGGAAGCTGCACGACTCGAGGAACAGCGAAGGAAGGCCGAAGAGCAGCGACTCCGAGCCGAAGAGAAACGCCGAAAGAAGGAGGAGCAGAAACGTCTCGAAGAGGAGGAGCGCCTCCGCAAAGAGACGGAGCGGCAAAGGCGTCTCCAGGAACAACAGGAGAAGCGTGCAGAGCAGGAACGCAAGGCTCGAGAAGCCAAGGAAAAGGCGCAGAAGCTCAAGGAGGAAGCTCGATTACGTGAGAAGGAGGCTCGAGAGCAGAAAGAAAAGGAGATGCGGGAGCGGAAGGAGAAGCAAGACCAGACCAAACGCGACAAGGAGGCCAGAGCCAAGGCCGATCGGGAAGCCAAAGCTGACAAGGAGAGCAGCGAACGGCTCAAGCAGGAAGAGAAGGCGGCGCAAAAGGCCGCTACGATCACCGCTGCTCCCATCCCTATTCCCAACTCGGGCCGGCGTCCATCGCAACACCCAGTGCCGATCCCGACGCACCCGCCCAACCCAGCATCATACGCTTCTCCAAAGATACCCGTTGCGACGCCGGCCCTGCCCAAGGCTCCAACACCGATCCGCCCCAAGCATGCGTCCCAGCCCCTGGAATCAAGCCTGCCGGAATCTCAGGCTTCGCAGCCTGGCTCTACTGGCAGCCAGAACCCGTCACCGCACCCCGCAACGCCCGGCCACACGAGCCCGGCGCCGATTGGGTCTCGGAAGACGAGCGTGGCAACCACGAGTTCACTACCACATCCTCACTCAGTATCGCCTTCCAGTATCAAGGGACCGATGCAGCCGGGTCCTTTTGGTATGCCCATGAGCATGCCCCCCCCTGGCTTCGGAGTGCCGCCTCCAGGACTCGCAAACCGCATGCACGACCCCATCTTTGGTCCGCCCGGTATCCCTGGCTTTGGCAGACCACCACCCGGCATGATGCCCGGCCCGCCCGGGCTCAACGGGCCCGCTGGACGCGGCTTCATGCCGCACCCTCCTCCTGGTTTCGGACAGCCCATGGGCGACCCGATGCACAACATGGCACCAGGGCCCGCGACACACTCAAGGCAGGCTTCTGGGAGCTTCGACCCGGCCTCGTCGCCGGCTCCGGCGCAACCCATTGGAAGACCAGCGCCCATTGGACGGCCCGGCAGCGTGGTGCATGGGCAGCGCAACGACCAGCCAGACGACTTTGCCAACCAGCATCTCGGCAGCAGCGCTCTGCTAGACGATGCCGAGGACCCGATGAACGCGGCCATCAACGCGGCCAGGCACCGCAACCAGGTTCCGCGACCGGCGTTCCCGACCATCCCGTTTGTTGGAGGCATGGACAATGGGTTCCACAACATGCACAACAACGTATGGGGGCCATCGCCGATGGGCTTCGTTCCGCCTCCCGGGCTGGGCAATCCCACTTGGGGCAGCCCTATGATCCCGCCGATGCCCTCGCTGGGTCAGATCCGCACTGGTGGGAACCCTCGTTCGGTCACGGTTCGCCTGATGCTGTGCCGTGCCTGCCAGGAGTTGCAAGCTCACAATACCGACAGCGCCGAGCCATTCGTAGATCTGACGGCGATTAAGGCCGAGGTGGACCAACTGAGCAGGACGGAGGCCATCTCAGAAGAAGATCTGCTGGCCCTTGCCGAAACGGAAGGCAACGCCCACAACGGCGGAGGCACTTTTGAGATTCGGCGGGACGCAAACGGCCCCGGCAAGCACTCGGTCCGGTGGGTGGCCGAGTTCAATGACATGGCACAACCTCACCACAGAGCAGTGGGTGCCCCAGGCGAGATCGGAAGCCCCATCATCGGCAGCGGCGCGGCGGCATTCTTGGCTAGGGGGCAGTAGGACCGTCCATCTAGCGAGGGATCGAGGTCTGTGTCCCCGACTGAGAGTCTCGGCACGTCTGAGAGACTCTTTAGAGGAATGTTTCGCGCCATGCAGACGGGCCGCATCAACAAGGTCACTAGGGATTCAGGACATATTGGCGCGGAGAGGGAGAAGCAGGCCAAGAGAACACCTTGAGTCCGACGACGGAGACGTGGTTCTGTGGGAGAGTCGATGTAGGAACTTTCTTTGAAACTCAGTAATCGAGCCCCCTTGGGGGTTTTTTGCCCGGATAGCTGCCACACGCGGAGGGGGCAAGCCGTTCCAGCCAGCTTCGATGGCGAAGCGATGCGCCAGCGTTGGCTAATAGAGACTACCTGTGTTCTTTCTGCACGCTGCGTTCTGTGTTTTGATGCGACATTCGCAACCTGCCAGCATCAGCATGACGTTCCTCCAAATCGGAGCGGTCTCGAGCAGGCGTCGGTCGATCTCCCCACATGTATTGACGCCACGACAAGACGAACCAGAAACCCTGAGGCCCCGCAACGATGCACAGTCCAGACGCGCCCACTTTGTCCACCCACAAACCGCCGCAATTCCAGTCCCTCACTTACACAGCAGAAACAGAGAGAACCAGGCGAACGGTCCGGACGGGGAAACTTGAGCCATACGGGTCCGGGAAAATCCCACCCAGTTCCCAAAAGCCGGTTGCCCGGCTAGCTCAATCGGTAGAGCGTGAGACTCTTAATCTCAAGGTTGTGGGTTCGACCCGTAAGTTCATCACCACCCACGGCAAGATAGGTTGCGACGGACCGTCTAACATGAAATAGCCACGTCGGGCTCAATTCCCGTCAGCGATTGACGCAAATCTTTTTAATTCCCTTTGACAATCCCTTTTTTATATATAGAGTTTCCATACTCGTCTAGTGATCATGGTCGAGACGAGGTTGGCTTTGGTCTTCGGTGTAAACTGCCACTTACACCCGAGGAACGAGGTATCGTCACTTACTTAGGAGTCTGGATCTGTGACTGTGTATGCTAACTGTACACGGACACTACGAGTTAGTCCAAGCAAGTGCCTTGAACAACATAATGAACGCTTCTGCGTGGGTAGTAGACCCTTGGGGTTACAAATACTAACCCCCCTTGATCAAAGTCCGTCGCCGAACTCGAGTCACCAGTCAAGAGCGGCAAGCCGGCAAACAAGGCATCATAAGATGAAAAAAAAGTCAAACTCCAATTCTAGCGTCTATATGGTATTTCCCGCTATCGCAAGTCGTCAAGGTCATGTGTCATCCCAGATCCCGTACGGTTCAGTCGTGGCGACCGCCGAACAAACGACACCCCAGCCGCGCCGTTTCCACACAGCCACCACCATCCCTCAAGTCTCCCCCACCCCACTCCCATCGGGTATCTTGTAGTCTATGGTTTTTTGGAGACAAAGAGAAAGAAAAAAAAAAGACAAAGGTAGACAAAAGGAAAACGTGTCTATAAGCTGCGCCGCCGCCATGTCGTGTCATGCAGGCATTAGATAATACAGGTGGAGAAGAAGAACAAAAGGTTGATATGAACAATGGAAAACCAGAAAGACCGGCGTCATGGTTTCCAAGAATAGCACGCGCGAGGACAAGGGAAAAAACAAACTAGGGCTAGATCCACGCGGGGTGGACGGTTGCCTTCTCCTCGACGGGCGAGGGCCGACCTCGGCGCTTGAGACGGAGGTTCTCGATGCTCTTCATCGCCCACGAGCCAGGCCGCTTTGAGTGCGGGGGGACTGTAAGGAACGTCCCAAAAGGCTCATGGTCGTCCTGTGCGTGCTGCTCCAGACCGCCCAGTGAGTGGGCGCCGGCCCAAGGGCTGATGTGGCTCGGGTTACCGCCGCCCGCGTACAGCATGGGGTCGTCGAAGAACTCATTCTCGCGGGGGCCAAGGACGACGTCGGTGGACCAGGCGTCGCGCTCGGGGAGGACGAGGGGCGTGCCGGGATGCGGGTAGGCGAGGGAGTCGGGCTCGTCGGGGGCGGTGCGCGGCGGCGGGTGCGAGACGGTGGCCAGCGTGGTGTGGAAGACGGGCTGGCGCTGGCCAAAGGAGCCGCGGTGCAGCTCGTTGTGGCCGGTAATGGACAGCGGGCACTGGTGGCGGAGGGGCCGGGTGGCCTTGCCGGGGAAGTCCGGGGCCGGCTGCTCGGGGGACGAGAAGGAGGTCTGGCCCAGCGTCCAGGCGGCGTGGAGGACCCTGGGGACGTCGGCGAGGTGGCGGCACTCGAGGAGCTTCTTGAGGTCGCCCGAGGAGCGCGGCTGCCAGCGCAGCTGGTTGCGCGCCGCCTTGTCCCAGAGGGTGTGCTTCCAGTCGTCCTTGAGGGCGCGCTGGCGCAGGAGGTTCTGCATCTGGTGGTAAAAGGTCCACTCGGACGAGGCGGCGCTGCGCTTGTCAAAGTGCCCGGCGAGGTGGTCGAAGAACCTGTCGGCGGCCGCGGCGGCGGCGCCGTCGTCCGAGGCCTCGATGACCTCCTTGCACCCGAGGAAGCCGCAGGCGAAGACGACCTGCGTGCACAGCTCGACCTTGACCTGTTCCGGCGGCGGGTGGACGTCGCTGTGGTCGATCTTGAAGTGGGTGACGTAGGCCTTTTCAAAGTCGAAGACCATGCGGCAGCCCCGCTGCGGGCAGGCCCAGAGGCAGTCTGTGTTGTGGAAGTTCTGGAGGTGCTTCTTGAAGTCGCTCTTCCTGCCGAAGCCGACGTAGACGTCGTAGACGGCGCACATGGGGCACTCGATGGGCTTGCGTCGGCACGGGGACTTGACGGCGGTGACCTGCTTGTCGCGGGACGGGGAAGTGAGGTGCTCGTTGATGTGGAGGTCCTGCCACTCGGAGCCCGAGATGGAGGGCGTCAGCGAGGGCGAGAGAAGGAAAGGGACGTCGTTGGCGTCGTTCCAGGTGCTCTGGGCTTGCTGCCCGCCATAGAGGCTCCCGGCCAGGGAGGCGGCGTCGGAGCCGCAGACCGAGGCGTCAGAGCTGCTCCAGGGGCCGGAGCTCGTCAGCGACGGCGCGGTGTGGTTGCTGCCGAACGTCGACGTGGAGAAGTTCGAGTGCCGCGCGGTCGCGCTCACGTGTTGTTGCTGCTGGTGATGCTGGGGCGGCGGCCGGAGGGGTGTGTGGGTGCTGCCGAGGCTCCGGAGGGTGTTCTCCAAGCTCCCAGACCCGTACCGTCCGGCGAGCTCACGGAGAAGCCGTATGTCTTCCGGCGACATGGTAGATGATTCTGGTCTTGAGTGCATAGTTTACGTTCAGCCGCGCCGAGACTGATGCGTGCTGTGTCTATGATCGCATAGGGGTGTTCGTCGAGCGTCCGACGAAGGAGTAGGTAGGTGTCTTGACGGGCTCGAAAGGGAGTGGACGAGCGGACAACGATGACGGATGTGTCAAAGTGTCACAGAGCGAGAGAAAGACCGCTTGTTATGTAGTGAACGAAGGACTCGACGCGATGCAATGCGGATGCGACGAAAACAACAAAACGGATGTTTGGAGAGTCGAATAACAGAGAAGAATGACACCAGATCCAGGCACGGAAGGGAGCGGCGGTTCGACATTTGTATTCTCCGCCAAGAATATACCGTCAAAGGGCCCAGGGGACGCCAATGTCGTGCAGCACAAGCCGGGCAAGGCGCCAATGAAGAACGGGTGCGAGGCAACGACGACGGCGGCGCTGTCTGAGGTGTGGCGACTAGCCCCACGCTGGCCTTCACGGTCATCACGGCCGTCCGGTACGTGTGGTTGGGACTGGCGCCTCTTTTGCGCATTAGCGTGGGCGCAGGGCTCAGGACTGAGGCCGCATCGTGAGCGACGGCCAGGATGGACGTGTGCCTGGAGCTGCGGAGAACACCGATTCTTCAAGAGCAAGGCAACAACGGCGGGCGGCTGGGAATCACATTGGCGTTGAGCGTCCTGCCGAGCTGCATCTCAGGATCGCGAGCTGAAGCGTTCCTGACGCAGAGGTAATCTTGAAAAGCGCGTATGACGGTTGGTCGGCACCAAGACTAGTTGCTAGGGGACATCTCTCGTCAGCCCCGACGAAGCCTTCCAGAACAAATGGATCGACTAGTAGATCTGGATAGTAGGGGGGACCACACAAGCTCGTCCCCTTCGACGTCAAGCGCCACGGTCCAACGGCCAACCAACCGGCGTGGGCGGCGGGTGAAATGGATCATTGCAGATCCATCCAAAATCGAATCCGTTACCCTGTGCGCCGGGTGTCAGAAGACCCCCTTGGCGAACTAGAGTCAGGCACGGCAGAATTCCTCCCTTCGTCGTGTCCGGATGACAGGTGCAGATCATAGGGAGACAGGCTGGCGGGGCTGTGTCGCTTGCGCCGGCGTCCCTCCCAGTTGGAATGCCAAGTTGGGGAAAGCCAAGACCGTTAGCCGGCTTCTAGAAGAACGCTAGAACAAAGGATCGCATAGCTCGACAGCAGGGGGGTGAGTATGACGACTGTGGTGGTTCGCTTCTTCGATAGCGTCAATAGGCTCGCTAGTCTCGAGGGCCCATCGTCTTCGTCGCCCTCGTCGTGGTGTCAGGGCCACGCTGTTGTCGTCGTCTTCACCCTGGGCTGTTTCGTGCTTGGTCGCGTGAGACCATCGACTCGAACAGAACGGGCCTCGCGTGGTCCGCAGCTGAGTCCGTCGTTCGATGGGGCGGAAAACGGCGGGTGACAATTGCTTATTCTTCTCTCCCCCTTTCTTGTCGTCTTGGTCTCATTCTTTCATTTGCCTGCTTTCTTTATCTCCCGAGGACGCTAGGACTCGGGGTTTCTTTGTCGAGTCGCGCGGGAAGGCAGATGGGATCTGAGGAATCATTCTTATTGTTCTTTCGACCAGCTGTCGCGTGCCCTGGAAACATGCCGTACCGGGTCTTAAAGGCATTGCAAGCCTCAGACACGTGCGTTGCCGGTCAAGGGGTATTTGGGAGAGAGAAGCCATCGTGTACGGCCGTTGAAGCACGTTTCCGTCCTCAGCCTCGGACTCTTGATGTCCCCGGCGTCACAGAGCGTTTGTGCTAATTAGTGAGCCGTTGGCAGACGCTACGAAGAGGAAGCTCCGAGGCATTTCGGCCCATAATGAGGTCCTAGCTACCGCCGCAGAGAAACCCATCAGACTGAGAGGCCAGACAAGATGGGCATCTCATGTCCTGTCCAATCTCATGTCTTGGCTGTCAGTGAATAGTGCAGGCAAGATGAGGTGAAGAAAGTGGAAAAAAGGAGAGACGGCCCACTCAACCCATTCAATCACCCCAATGGAGAGCACAAAAGCGTACCACCATTGGGTCAAAAAAATCCTTGGGCAAAACGACCCTCAACCGTGGTGCGTGCCTCTCTGCAACCGACCCGCACATGCCCATTGCCTCGTCTCTTCTCTCCATCTAGGATATTCTCCATCCACGGTTTCCCATCTCCGTAACAATTCCCTCAATACCGCCACGGGGGTTTCCATTCGCTGCCTCGCTTTCTGTAAAGTACGTCAAAATGTCATTTCGGGGAATCCACCACACCTCCCAAACATACCTTCTGTCGTGCTGTCTTGCCTTTCTTGCCTTGCTCCCACCTGGGCCCAAGGAACCCCGAGACGAACTCAACTCAACTCTCCGGAGCCCCAAGCCAACATCCCGACCCAACGCCGCGTGTCCCTTTCCCTTCTCCCTCCAAAAATCTCCTCTCAGGCCCTCAAGCGCACCCTGTTTGTTGCTCGAGTCCCCTCAGCTCCATCCCAGCGACAAGAAACCGCCAAGTCCTCCTCCCCCACTAAAGAAGCGCTATCCGTGACGGAGTCTCCGCTGATCACCCCCTCCCCAGTCGTTGCAACGACTCCAGCCTGCTCCCCCCCCTCCCTCCCGCACTGACTATCAGCCCCGTTGAGTGTTTCCCGACCGTCTCCCATCCGCTTCAACTCCGCGTCTGCCCTACGGAAACCCAGCTCCACACCCAACCGCATTCCCAACCTGGTAAACCATCGCACACCCGGGATGCTCCAAGAGCACCAAAGAAGACAGGAGCCGTTTTGAATTCTGCCCACAAAGAAACTCTCTTTTTTCCCTTCCTCTCATGCCCCTCACAATGAGGCGTCGTCTCATGACCCTGCCCAACGGACGGCTCCAGCCGATAGGCTTGAGAGGAGACCACCCCAAGTCATGCGTAAATCACGAAAGCATTCCGTCTTGATCACGTTTCCCTCCCCTGTTTGTGACGCGCACATGTTGCTGACAACAGGCTCGAGCCCGCATGTGGCAATACTCTTTCAGCTCGTCCCCAGAAAGGCCAACGGTCTCTGACCCCGTTGGTAAATGAAACGACATCGCAGACAAAGAGCTGCCTTGCCTTTGTCATGGACCCTTTACCACTTCGGGATATAGGGCTAGAAACAAGGCCCCATGGAAAGGGTTCCCCTTTCCGTGGATGACCAAACACGACCGATGGACGGAAGGAGGCTGAACGGCAGAATCTCGCTTCTCTTCCTTCGTCCTCGTACAGTCCCCAAGGCCAAGGGGTGCCACGTGGTCCGACGGCCGTTGCAAAGCAATCCCGCAACTATTGCTGGGGGCTTGTTCGTGCTCTATAGTATCCCGTGCATGACTCGTTTCTGACCTGACGAACCATTGAATCTGGTCCTCTCGGTATCAACTCCGATGCCCCTCTGAATCGCCAGCTTTGGGAGACCCCGAACGCGCGGCGTGAGCAACGAGCAAAGACACACACGAGCGCAGTTGATCCAATGGGACGCTGCGCGAAGCCAAAAGCCATCTCAACATAGTCGTCTAATCAAACTGGGACACGAATAGTAACACGTAATTCGGGAAGTGTGTTCGATTTCTACCGTTTCGCCGGTGGATATAGGACGCAGAGCACTAAGTAAGCCTCGTACTTTGCTTGAATGCTCCCGTTGAATCCTGGTCATCCCTCCTCCGCCAGCTCTACTGCTGGTCTGTAAATGTTCCTGTTTCCTGCCGCGCCTCGTCCCATCTCTCTAAAAAGAGGCCGACCACCTTTTCTGTGCCTATCTACTCGCTCGTGAAACAGCCCGCCTTGGGATGACCCTGGGCCAGTGACCAATCGTAATATACAGAGTCCTCCTCTTTTCGTCCAGTCGTGTGTTGTCCAGGTTGTAGATACAACGAAAATAGGAAATGTGGCGGCCGACCGTTGTTGGGTATATCATCTTGCTAGAAACTCCGACAAAGAAAACAAATTGATGAAAGAAAACCATCTGCTGCGCGAGATGAAGCTGAGGCGGAAGTTTGGGATGCTTGTCATGCGTGTGGATGTTGGTACATGGATTAGCTGGCCCGCTCGCCGAGATCGGCAATGTCGGTGAGGCGGATCGAGTTGAAGCTCCCGGGGTCGCCATCTAATAGGCTTGCCCAGGGGGGAAGAATCCGTCCGTGTGGCCCGAGATTGCTGGACTCGCCAGGTTGGCTGCGTGCGGCGCGTACTGCGAAGAGAAATCCGCCATCATGCCCGGATCCTGCATTTCCACATCCGAAGATTCAGGTGTGCCTGCTGCCATGCCCCTCAAGCTCTGCATGTCGTCTGCAATAATGCCGTTATGATGCAATGCACCGCTACTGGATCCGAAAGCCTGGGCGTTGCTGCTCGGGTCGTACATTGATGAATCCATGGGGGTTTGGAAGAAATGCCCGAGGGTACTGTGGTTCTGGCCGTTCGGATGGGTCTGCTGATGGCCGTGATGGCTTGAGTGGGAAGAGTGGGACAGCCGGGAATGGCTGGCCATCGGATTCGATGACGGCACTTGCTGGTGCGGATGGTGTAGTTGGGGTGGTCTCACCACTCGCTGTTGTCTTGGCACGTAGACTCTCCGCTGAGATGCCATGTAGGCGGCGAGGGCCGGGTTTGCACCGCGCGATATCTTGAAAGAGAAAGGGTCGGCCGGCTCTGGCGGTGCGACACTCTGTTGTCGCGACTTGTGGCCAGGCATGTGCAGGGTGCACGTGTCGGCAACGGGCGTGATGAAATCCTCGCGGAACTTGATGGCACCAGAGTCGGAGCCGAGCATGAGAGCGTACTGCACAAGTAGTTTGGCATCGCCAATGTGTCGGCATTCCAGTCTTTTCCTCAGGATTCCAGAGGTTTGGGGGCTCCATTGCAGAGTGGTCCGCGACGCCTCGTTCCACATTGATTCGTTCCAAGCAGCCTGCACCTGGCTCTGCCGCAACAGGTTGCGTATCCTTGCCGAGTACGACCACTCGCCGCTGTTGGACCCTTCGTCAAAGTGCTTCACCACGTGGCTCACGTACTCCTTGAACGTAGAGCCGGCGTCGGAATCGCCTTGCGCCTCGAAAACTTGCAGGCAGTTGTCGAAGCCGCATGCAAAAACCACCTGCGGGCAAAGATTGACTTTGGCCTCGTCCAAAGACATTCTGGAACCCCCGTGGGCCTGCTTCAAGTGCGTCTTGTATGCGCCTTGCCAGTCGAAAACCATTTGACAACCACGGTGCCGGCAGAACCATTGGGCGTTGACGTTGTGAAAGTCCTCGATGTGACGCTTCAAGTCGTTTTTTCGCGTGCACGTCTTGGTGATGTCCTCCTCCTTGCAGAAGCCGCACATGAAAGCCCCCTTCTGTTTCGATGCGCTCGTCGTGCTCGAGGCAGCGTCGGGTGCTGTGTCGGATGATGTGGGCACATCGTTCCACGATTCTTCATGTTGGGTCTGGGCAGCTGCCTGGGCCTGGGCCGCAGCCGTAGCACTACTGCTCTGACTCCGTCTGCCCAAGATTTTGGAAGTGCCCCGAGAAACGTTGGAAATGATGCTGCCGGTGATGGAGGATGCGTCGGACGAAAAGGTTCTGACGCTCTGGGTGTCCCAAACGCTCGACGGGTCATCCGACAAGATGGATGACTGCGCCGACGACACAATGGATGCACCGTCCGACTCTACGGGTTGCTCAGTCAATGGAGGAAGCAGTAAAATTAAGAAAAGTTGCACTTACGAGGACCTGTAGTCTCCTGGATAAGGCGACTCAATTCGTCTGGTCCATATCGGCCGAGAAGGTGCTTGATCATCTGTCGGTCGAGGACGATATCCTTCTGCGACAGCTGCCCAGACTGTTGGGAGGCGCCGTCGGCCCCGGGCCAAGAATTTGCGGACATGGCCCCGGTTATGCGTCGACGTTGGCCGGATCGTCCAAGAACCAGATAAGAATGTGCGCGAACCTGTACCGGTGTGTTGTCGCAAGAATCGGCACTCGATCAAGTGGCTTGTCGACCGTGAGGTATTTTGTGTGGTGGTATGTATCGCTGATAGACGATTGAGAAAAAAGGAGTCTACCGCAGTGAGAATGACAATGGGGGTAAAGTGCGGACAGTGGAGAGCAAGTTTTCCAGGCGGCCGGGAGCCTGGGATCTAGCGCTGGGCGCAACGCGGGAACGAGGAGAAATAGTATGGAAGGGTGGACAAGATTGATAATGGGGAGGGAATCGGTGCACCTAAGTAACGGTGGCAGCAAAGGAATGCCCCCAACTGACCAGGCCAGGCTGGCTCAGGCTTGGCCGAGAAAGCAGGGTTGGGCTATCGGAGCAACCAGCTCGATGGACTGTGGCTTGAGGTGCTTGTCTCTTCGCCTCTCTGGACCTGCATCCAAGTTGACGTGATCCGACACGGGATCTTCGTTAGTGCGGGCGTGAAGACAGGAACTTTGGAGTTTGAGCCTCGTCAGGAGTAAGGCTAAAGGGGATTTTGATGATGCGCGTAGATGCCGATGACTGTGGATTTGTCCGTGTCCTTGGAACAACTGGCGCCCCGGAAGGCTGGGCTGGTCTCGTTGACGGCAAGACGGGCGCTCCTCAGTAGCTCGTGGCTCTCTCGGACCCAAGAAATCGGATGGGTTGAAGAAGGGACAACGGTAAGGCAAAAGGCAGCCGTTGGGTTTATGTCGGGGCCGCGTTTATTTGAGTGCTGGCGTGCAGGACTTTGGGAGGGTCGGTGTGCCGGGCTTCCAATTCACTCGTCGATACGGTTGTTTCCTCGCTGGCATCGCCCTGTCGATTCGAGACGAGAGGAATGACGAAGGAAAGAGTGCGAAGGGGAAAGAGAAGTAGAGAAAAGAGTCGTGGAAGGGAAAAAGGCTGAGCTGGTGTGCAGTTGACTGAGGGGAAATGCAGCGCAGTGCTCTCTTCAATCTCACTGTCTCGGTCGGTCTCTCTAGTATGGCATCCCCTGACAGCCTGGCTTGCGTGGGTTCAGACGGACTTGGGTTGGGATGGGCCGCGCGCCGATATGAGCGAGAGAATCCAGAGCAGCAAACCATTGTGCTTCCCCTGGGTGTGTGGGCTTCTCTTTTCCTCCCCTCTTCCTCCCACGTTGCCCGAGGACCAATTCGGCCCTCAGTTCGGCTTGGAGAAAAGTGGACTGTCCGTTTTGTCGTGCTGCGTATCGTTCAGGTCCTGATCCCCGTCGTACTCTGCAATGAACAACTTGGTAAGGGGAACCGGGGGTCGCAGCTAGTGACCGTGCTAGGAGGGAAGGGAAAGGGACCAATCCGAGGGAATCCCAGGCCAGCAGGCCGACGAGTTTCGACGTCTTTGGTGGCATTTGGGGTGCGATAACGAGACAGGTTTAGCGGACGACGACGACGCCACCGCTAAGCCAACCAAGGATAGCCCAGAGATAAAGGCAAAAGGAAACAGAATCAAGACCGCTGCCTCTCCCAGGGTGAGGCAGAAGACTTGCAGGGCTGGTGCCGTGCCTCGCGCTGCCCAGTGCCCCATTCACAGCACGGCACAGCACGCAGCACACACCGAAAGGACTGGGCAAGCTGTGGCTGTCGTCGACCCAGGGTGTGCGAGCCAAGGAGATGGTGGTGGTGGTCCCAAATGTGGTGGTGGGAGGCAGTCGATGCAGGAGAGATGCGAGGGACCCCTGACGACGGCCACCCCTCTTGGGCCTTGCTCGTCGGTTCGTTCCATCCGCCGCCCATGGGCAAGACGCACAATGGCACTCGATTCCATCATAAAGCTGCGCCGAGTCGAGATAATGATATCGGCATGCCCAGGCTCATGTCAAGCATGACGCTTTTTCCAACGCCTGACAGGCAGGCTTGCGGGCTCCACTGGACTCCGTGACTTGCAGCGGGTTACACTCGGCCCTTGCCTCGAAACCAGGGTCGAAGGGGAGATACGGCTGGGCTGCTTTATCGGGCTGGGACTGGGAAAAAGGACGGCATCAGGAGCGAGGTCCGTCCGTCCGTACCTGGATGACTCCCAAATGAGACGTGGTGTAGTGTAGGTACGTAGTGTAGCGTACGGTAATCTTGCCAGAGTCAATTGATGGCCGGGACATGCGGGCCAAGGGCCTGTCGAGGAGACAGGGTCACCGGCGTACTGTAATACCCCTGAGACGAGCAGGGCTGGTTTGAGTGGGATAGCCCGCGCAGCCCTCCAGCGAGTCCCACCTGGTCTCTGCCTTGACTGAGAGACAAACACGTGAAGGAGAGAGGGAGGAACAGGGTAGTCGGCCATCCGTAGGCGTCCGAGATCAGCGCCAGTGTTCGAAGACACAGGCGAGACGGTAGGCGCACTACATGTTTGCTTGTTCAGTCGGTTGCGTGACATTGACAGTCGTTGCTTCTTTGGTCCGACAAGCATTCCCGTTCTGGCGTGTCGCGTATGGGGGACGTCGGCAGTAGATGACCAGAAGCGAATCGATGAGGACGGCGCGGACGCAGGACGGCGGATGATGAAGTGATGGCAGGCTGTTCTATTTTGCCTTCAAGCTGTGTCACGGAAATGATTGAAGCGAAGCTTGATGGAGGTATTTACCGTACACACTGTGATGGCAGTCCGGTACAGAGTTGGTGGGGGGAAGGCGTGGGGGGAACCTGGCAATTGCGAAGCGAGGAAGGCACCATGTGCCACCACTTGCCCTCAATCCCCAACTCAAGTAATGTCAAGTATATTTCCATACATTTTGGGCGTCAGTCTACCTTGTCGAGTCCCAGCCATCGACCTGCAGCAGCAGTGCCGGTACACACTACTTACTGCTCCTGTACACACGTGCAAATAGTGTATAGCCTTCAGCAGCCGCAGTGTACGTGAACCACTTGGCGGGTTCCCTCCGAACTTGCTTCTGAGTGCAAGTGCACGAGATACCGGTACAGGAGATGCAGTGGGTTCCTGGCAGGGACTTTGCTTCCTACTTGTTGCCCGCTGCAAGTGCCAATAGACTGGAAACTCTAGGCGCTTGCAGTTGAACACATACCTAGAGTGGTCCTGTTTCAACACGGATACATACCATAGTAGTGTACTACCTACGCACATCATGGCTTGTGAGTCTGTCTTGCCAGGCGATGTGTACGTACCTGCGTCGCTCAAATTCGAGGCTGCCCTGCAATCAGCCTTTCTCAAATCATTGTCAAGCTTCCCCGTCGAGCAACTGGACAGGAAGCAACCACTCAGAGTGCGCGTTCGAATTGCACAGCCAGCGATGTACACGGTACATGTGGATGCTGCTTAGATAAGCGCTAGGCGGAACGTCCCAAACTGCCTCATCTACCCAAATCATGTTAGCGACAGACACTGCTTCTGCGGCCTCCAAACTTAAACTCGCTGCCTCTCAATTTCTGCTGCAACGATGCCCCTAGGAAACGCTGCACTTGCGAAACGGATGCAAGCCTTGGGTGATATCGAATGCCCTCCCCAGCGGCAGTGCCCACCCTCGCCCACAAACAGAGAATTTTCCGCTGACAAACTTTGCTGCCCAGTGCCGTGAACACCTTCTTCACCCGCACTCCGGATTGTTCCCCCGGGCCTGCCCCTGCCTCTTTGCTCGCTCAAGGTTTTGAGCTATCCCGTTTGCTTGGGATCCAGACGTCCATCAGACAAACAACGAGATCAACACCCCCCCCGTTTCACGCCTGCTACAGTCTAATCATCTCACGTCGCTTTTCATCACTTCTCACCACCCCAACTCACCCTCGCAACCACTTCACGGGACTCGTGGCAACATCGCGCTGCTGCAGGGGGTGCCGTGACACCCTGCAGCTCGTGTCCCCTCCCCTCCAGGCTCAGGTTGATAACATAACCACCGTCGGGTGAATGTCAAATTACCATCATCTACTCTCTTACTCTCTCTCTCTCTCTCTCCCCTTGCGGACTTGCCGCAACTGTTGATTGCGCTGCCCAGCTTTGAAACCTACAAACTCGTCGACTCCCGACCCACTGGGCGAAGGTTCAACCCCGAGTACTTCGAGAACGCCGCTATTGGCTTCCTCAAAGGACTCACCTCCGCGGGCCACCAAGCCAACACATCAACACGCCCGCTTCCGACAACCTTAGCAGCTCGTAGAGTCGTTCTGGAACGCACAGCAATCCCCCAGAAGCATGCAGCCGATCTCCATTCCGGCTGCCCATGACGCAACACCGCCCAGTTTTGCTTTTCTGCCCGCGTCAAGCTTGGTCGATATCGCGGCGCCATCGCGTCCTTCCATCGTGCCGTCCTCGTGTCTTACACTGAACAATTACACATTCTTTTTTTCTTCTCGTGGCAGTCCGGCCCACCTGGGACTAGTGCGGGACTCGCGGGTCCACCCATTGGCCGACCGGGTGGGGCTCCTCCCGATAGCACCGTCCACCTCCCCGATCCACGACACATGTGAATGACAAAAAGCTCGGACTCGTTCCCGTCGCAAAACCAACAAATTTGACTCTGTCCGGAGACGACAGCTTCACTGCTCATCTGGCGGTCAATGTCCACGACATCAAAAGTACCCGGCTACCGAGACCCTCGCCAGGCGAGTAGACGTGTGTCAGCTTGGTGGCGCTCGTCTCTTGGCCCTCAGCACTTATCAGCGTCACTAATATCGGAGCGGCTGAACGCAGCTGTTCTTCAGCTGCAACGGTCTTGCGCCGTCAGCATATGTGTGTGCCTCTGTGCTGTTCGATGCCTGCCAGATGCGCTCGCGTCCAATCGATGGCTCTATGAATTTCCCATTGTTGTACAGAGCGTGGTTGTCCTGCTCAGCCAATGTTCGTTCACTGAGGTTTCAAGGTCTCGGCAAACGACTCCCGTGGACGAACGTCGCAATCTGCCGGCTTGTCACCCACAACATGACATGGCCTCTGACTGTTTCAACTCCTGGCAATGCCGTTCATGTTCCAATCCGCTGAACTCCGGCCTCCCCTAGGCAAAGTAATCAACAATAAAAGAGATTGGTTTGCCCTTACTCGCCTATCCGATTCTCTCGGCCAGATTCCGGCGGCAGACGCTCCGAATCGGGCTACTTTTCGGTGCCGGCCCCTGGGCACGGACAGCTGCGTCGTTCCATTCTCAACAGAATATACTTTTTCAATTAGTGATGGAGCGAGACTCTTGGCGTTGTACCTTTTGTCACTTTCCCGCTGGATAGGTGTCAAGGCCGGTAGTTGCCAAGCGAATATGACACGGATGCTCGATAGCCCAGCCGGTCGCCGTTGTCAAGATCTCGGGGCCGATCGCATGACTCGACACGCCCACATCGGGAGGTTTTCAGCCTGGTACACGTAACCTCGAGTAGTAATCTAGGCCCCGGATCTCCAAGTCAAACAATCGCCAAACTGTTTGTGAACTTCTTTTGGTGGCGTCTTGGTTTCTTTCTCGTCCCCCCGTAATCTCTCCTTCGCGGACCGTGGTCTTTCGCCGACCATACTCCGAAGCTTCTCATCTCAGGGCCAGGCACACGCACCAGCCCGGCCGGGCCTCATTGTGCTCGGAGGGTCCCGTCGTCCGTCCTTCCCACTCCGGCTCCCAGGTTGTCAGACGTGGCCTTGTATAGTCATGCCAGGATTTGCTCGACGATGTCTGCGGCATGATCATCAAGCAATGGTACTGTCATTTGAATTTCACGAGATTCCCGAGGCTTTCGATGTGAGGTTCTTGTACTCTTTCTTTCTCCGTTCTTCGTCTTTTTTCTTTCTCTCATCTTTCCCCTTGTCGGCAAGTCCTCTCGGTAGTTCTGATCAGCTGTCGCATTTGACTGAGATCACGTTTCGACTAGTTGTGGCCAGCTGCGGTCCTGTGCTGTGCTGTTGCAGCTTTGCAAAGTTCCGAGACGTTTGCTGCATTTTCATGCAAGATATTCCAACGGCTGACCAGGGCCCTGCGTCTGGTAACTGAAAGGTATCGTCTCTTACAGGCACGTGTTCTCTCGATAACAGGAGGTGTGTCCTTGAGAAGTCCTATGACATTGTTACCATCTGTCGATATCATTTGATCGGCCCTGTCTGAACCATTTTCTCATCAAGAAATCGACTAAAGTAACCCATCTCTGATTGCTAGCTGTTCAAGTTTAGAGGATGAGGCGTGTATGCCTACGATCAATCGAGACATTTTTAGTCTCTGGGACGACCAAAAGCCATGCATCGGCTACCTGGCTTCCAGTTTGATTATAGGAAAGATATGTCGTCAGAAGAACTCCCTTCTGAAAACAAATATCCATGGCTGGTTCAAAACAAACTGCTAACAACATGGTTTGCATGTTATACCAGCCCTCAACTTGATATGTAATTCATATTGGCGAACGCTTTTGTACAACGATTCCAGGGTGCTTGACACAATACCAGAAAGCAGATGTACCAGCTAGGCTCTTCAGTCTTATCATCGTACTACAGCCGATATATATATCTACTCTATATGCAACTCTCGCTCTGTAATCTCATTCAACCACGCGCCACGCTCTTGCTCCCCAGCCATGCCCACATTCATCAATCCAAGCCGTCTATACCCATGTTCAGCCTTCGATAGGAGCAATCCAGAGTACTGGTAGTTGGGACCTTCGAAGAGGGAGACTGAGATGGGTAGAAACAAAACATCACGACACATGTCTTGTTCTGTGTCGAAGAGAACGCTACCGTAATAGCAGTTCTGACGGATGTCATCTGCTGGCCGGACATCGCACTCGATGGTGGTCCCGTCAGTGGTTTCGAATCCATCAACCTGCCAAAGGTTCATGACACCGTCGGACTCTGCCTTCCATGGGCCATGCGTACAGTTGTCCAGTTTCGCCACGACCAACTTGCCTTTCAGAGTGACCGTACCGCCGTGCACTTGGCCGGTATCATCGTTGGTCAAGGGCGTTGCTTCTGCGTCACTTACAGACGAAAGCAACATGGTAAGGTCGTCCAAATGGCTCGTTTCCCCCGTTCGAACGTCGCCGTTGACAGAAGCCCAAGACCATGAGGGGGCGCGGTATGGCCTGGGGCGTTCGTCACCTGCCGTTGTTGGAATTATGAACCATAGCAGGGATCGTGGCAGCCACTGCCCCCAGATGCCGGCGAGATATCGAGCAGGTTCTCCAAGACTCTGCAGACTTTTTTTCATGTCTTTTGCTATAGCTGAGATTTCCACGAGCTTGTCCCTGGAGTTGGTGAGTTGGCAGCTGCCGTAGACTCTCGCGATGTTTCCCCAATCTTCTGTGAGAGCAAAGACTGGGTCCTGGGCGTATAGCCTCTTCATGCCAATCAGGCCTTTCCACGAACTTTGAATTTTGGAGGAGTCCCCATAGAGAGCAACCCTCCACCAATCGTAGTCTGGATCGGTTTCGCAACAAGTTTCTTCATGACATTCCCAATAGGTCTGACTGCTTCCAAAGTGAAGAGTTCTCGGGGCTAGGAGGCGTTCCTGCACCACCCAAGCGCGCCGTGCCAAGGGCTCGCTTGCGAACCGATCTTGCCACCGGTATATCTCCTTGTCATTCAAGTAGGACCTGGCCGGGCTTGTTCCATCGAGCGATAGCGTGACGACCGAAGGCTTCACGTCCTCGATATCTCTGTTGAAGAAGCAACCAGTGGCGTCGTCTGCGGCGCCTAATACCGATATACAGATAAAGGCATTTCTGTAAACTTCATACATCAATGATGCTTGGGTCTGCCAGTCTTCAACAGAATCTTGCATGATGCAGAAACGGTCAATCCACACGTAATGGAGGTTGAGTCGCTGCAAGACCTCAAAAGCCTCCCTGAAGGTCTTTGGGAGTTTGTCAAGAGCGTTCTGCTTTTGCAAACCGGCAAAATTCTTGCGGTTGAGAATCAGGTCTGGATCCCATGCCTTCGTGCCCCAGCAATGGCTCAATTCTGCGAATCTTGCTCCAGATTCAACCTCATCACGCAAGATCAGACGGAAGGTTCCGGTAGCTGGCTCCAGCTTCAATAGTCGAGTAGGTATATAACCCTGGTTGGTGTTGCAAGTTTCATGCGTCTGGATGCATTTGTTCAGCCAAATTTCAGCAAAACCCCATGTGGCAAGACTTCCTGTATAGCTCGCCAACAAACCATGGAGTCTGCGTGTCTCTTCTGGAGTGCGTTGCACGGGCATTAGCCACTGACAATTTGCGGCGACATAACTATGCGAGTGATCTCCTACCAGGATACATCAGAAACCTTACTGGGGAGTAACGGCGTGGGTCATCGTCGTAGTTGACTCTTATTTCAAAAGTCGCCTGTTTGGAACCATCTGAGTGGAAATCCACTAGCAGTATTGTGACATAACCAAACTTCTCGCCACTACCCTTGTTGTCATTGCCACGTCGACTACATGCAACACAGCCTTCTGCCAAAGACTGTTTCGCGGATTCTTCAGATCTATGGTGCCCATAAATGAAGTGTTCTGGGCCCAGCGGATCACATTGTTCTGCTGGCTCATTAGGAAACTCAAGAGGTAGGTTGAAAATGTAAAACGTGATGTCTCACTAGACGTAACGGCCTTGTCCAGGCCTACTTCAAGTTCTTCATTGAGCCCAGACCACGAAGGCTGACAACAGTCCAGGTCTTCTCGAAACGCAAGGCGTTTGGACCGGGACGGATCATGTATCCCCTCTAGCGTTTCTCGACAAACACTGCAGATCATGTCGACAACGTAGCCGCGATGGTAGATAGTATGCGATGTTCTCCTAACGCAATCGGCGAAATGCTACTCGATTTTGAGAAAGAGTGGTTTAAGAAATGTGAACGTCGAAGAAAATGTTGTCAACAGCAACACCACATGGGTCGGAGAACGAAACAAGGGGCGAGACGGACCAAAACGAACACACAGTAAGCAGTTGAAGAAATAGAAAAAGGGGATGGGAAACCGAGCGCGGTTGGCGCTTCGTTACGTTCCCCTCACTTGACTAGGCACTTGATTGGTTAGCTATTTACAATAACCCCTGCCGCTGGCTTCATCGTAAAGTGCGCCTTGATCAGAGTGGATGATGAGGAAAGGGGCAACGTTATCAGCCGCAGGAGATCGGTTGCCACGGCCGTTTTACGGGCCGCATGTCCTGCTCGCATCTAGACACCCGCATCTTGTAGCCCCAGCTTCGTGTTATTGAGAGAAGCCTTCCCCTCGGTCCACTTTTGAAGTCAACAAATGTTGAAGTTTTGGAACGAAGTATTTAGTTTCAAAATGGCACCAGGAAACGGACGCCTTTTGGGAACACAGAACGCTTTTCTTCCAGATATCCCCTGCGTATATATACCATGATGAATGCGTTGCAATAGCACCGGATCCTCCTCTTTACCTTCTTCTGAAGATCCTATCTACAAAGCGCCCTCCTTGAGCAAATAGGTTACGCTTCCACTGCCCGGCTGGCTCACAACAACAGCACCCTCTTTCTGCTCCTTGGTAAGCTCGCGCTTGGAGTAGTACTCCCTCTCCCAAGCCTCCTTGACAGCGGCGACCTTGTTAGCAGGTACCATGTGGACGGTGCATCCACCCCATCCGGCACCGGTAAGTCTGCTACCATACGAGCCGTTCTCGAGCGCAATGCGGCACAGCTCGTCGATCTCAGGTGCACTGCACTCGTACAGGTCACGGCACGAGTCCTGTGTCGCGTTAAGCAGGTTGCCGAGGCGCTTGTTGTAGTCGGTGGTGTCGGCCGTGTCCTTGGGGGCCTCCTGCTCCAGAACCTTCATGAACTGCAGCACGCGCAGGGCCTCCTCGAAGACGTGCAGGGCGCGCTGCTGAAGCTTGAAGCGTTCAGCGCGCACTGAGAGCTTGGACATGAAGATCTCTTCGAGCTCGGCGACGGAAACGCCCAACACCTTGGCGATCTCCTCGCGCGTGTAACCCTCGGGGTTGGTTAGGGTCTTCTTGGTGACGTCGATGAGCTCGCGGAGCTGCGCCTCAGAGGCCTCCTCCTTGGACACGCCGTCGGCCTGAGGCTGCTTGTTGTTGGCAAAGTAAGCATCGTGGAAGCCGTGCAGAGAGATGCCGAGCGGGGAGGCATCCTTGGGAAGCTTGGTGCCGGATGGGTTAAGGGCCGCGTTGAGGTAGGCGCCGGCCATGCTGCACTCGACGACGCGGAGGTTGTAGTGGATGGGCCCGGTGACCTGCTTATTGGAGGTGACGAAGGACTGAGCGATAAGGAAGGAAAGCTCCGGGTTGGTGGTTGGGAAGAAGACGGGACGAGCGGTCAGGGACGGGGCGAAAGAGACGAAGAGGGCGGAGCCACGCTGGGAGAAGACGGAGGCGGACTGGTCCATGCTGTGGCTTGTCAGTTGGGATCTACGGCATGACTTTGACGAAAGGAATCTCACCCGCCAGAGTTGACGCCGACGGCGCGCTCACTGACGATGGCCAACTCGGTCAGCTCCGTCTTGTCGACCGTCTGCTCGCCGTTGGCAAGCATGACGGCCAGCGCAGAAGCGCTGACGAAAGCGGCGCTAGAACTGAGGCCGCCACCGACAGGGACAGTGCCGTCCATGAGGATCTTCATGCCCTTGGGCCTGAAGTTCTCGCCGTGCTTGCGGCGCAGCAGCTCGAGGGCGCCGCGCAGGCCGCTCTTGAAGTAGTTGGACCACTCGTGAACCTTGGAGTCAATCGGTACGTCGCCGGCGATGGGGACCTCGAAGGTGCGCGAGGGGTACTTGTCGGACTGGGCGTTTGCGACGCGCAGGGTAAAGGTCTCAGAGCCGGCGGGGGTGTCTGTGACGGAGAAGGCGAGAATGGCGTCGGCGGTGATGGCCATGGGCAGGACCGAGTAGAGGGAGTAGTCGATGTGCTCGCCGATGATGTTCACGCGGCCCGGGGAGCGGGCGACAACGGTGGCAGCATGGCCGTACTCGGACTGGAACTGCGACAGCAGCGAGGACCAGCGCTTCGTCTGGACGGGGAGCGCATCTTCTGTGTAGATGTCGGCCAGCGAGGTCGCGGTGGGAACGGGGCCGGCCATGATGGGCGATGTGCTGCTTGACTCCTTGGGGTATCTTGATGCTGAAATAAAAGAAAGGTGGAAGCCGGTTGACAGGACGTGAGAGGGAAAAGAGGACTGGGAAGATGTGAAGAAGGTGGTTCCCTTATGACGTTTGGGGGCGGTCCCTCTCTTGGTGGTGGGGTGGGACGACGCTGGGTTGTTGACGATGCGCCGGAATAACCCCGCGATGGAGCTTTGGTGGTTTTCTGGCGCGTGCCTGTTGCTTGTTGCTGCGATGGAAGTGGTGCGGATGTGCTGAATTGCTACCCCGCAATTGCCCCTCGTTTGGCGATCCTCGTCTGAAGAGTGAGCGAGAGCTGGACTGGAGTATCTCGCTCAAGTCTCGTCGCTGGACCTTGGCCTCATCAACTGATAAGAAAACTGAGTGGACTGTCGATTCAAAGGACCAAGAGTTGAAAAGGGTTGCGATTCTGTTTGACCAGCAAGAGTCACGCAAGGCATCAGGTGAAGAGAGCTGCAAGCGCATTGTCACACTTCGGGCCAGCTGTGCTCCACCTCGGGTAAGAATTTCACCGTCTTGGAGAACTTTCATCAGCATCTTTCTTCTTGACATGGTTCCTGTCGCGTGGCCGCCTATACCTAGATCTTTCGGGAAGACCACCACGTTGGACTTAAGCTAAAGCTCACCATCCGGCCTAGCAACCAAGAGACCTGGTGCGCTGATTTCTGGACCATCCGGGGTCTCCAGCTCAAGGTCTGGTGCCCCATTTCATTGCGGGCCGCTCTCGGAAAACCGGCGGAGAGCTTGAGAGCCTCGGCTGCAACATCAAGCTTGGGACTAGCGCTGGGTTGGGCAATTCGACAAAGGTGGATGAACACAAGCAATCACGGTAAAAATTTGAGATCAAAGACCCTGAACAGCACGCATTTTGCAAGCCTAGGCTCTGATGCGAATGCTACACCACGCTTTCTGGAACATCAAATGGAAGAACCCAGGGACGACAGCCAAGGCACACCAGTGGGGTGGTTGCATGCCATCACGACCTGGCGCAATGGCTGACTGGGTTCCGGGATCTTATCCAGGCCATCGCGGGGATGTCGGGGGCGAGCGACTTTTTTCTCTAGTGGGGGTTGACATCTCCAGCCGCTACCCTAAGGAACGAACTGGCACCGTCGTCACGCTAGTCAATGTGCATGCCACCGACAGATTCTGAAGAACTACATGTGCGGGGATCAGGTCTTGTAGGGAGTTGTGAGTAGTCTTTCCCCCCCAAGGGCTGGTGAGATACTGCTGGTGTCTTGACAAGTGAAATATTTGTAAGGCCGCAGACAGAGCCAAAGTTGTTAAAGCCTGTAACTTAATCTTGACTTGTGCGCGAAATCAGCAGACGCCTTGATGAATTCCCAATTGGAATTGGACGGCGGTCATCATGAGTACGAGATGAATTGTTGGAAGATTGTGCATCATGGAATTTTGCTCAATGTGGATTAATATTGCTTACTTGTCCACTGGCTTTCAACAAGCGCAAAGCTTAGCATGGTTTCGTGGTGTAGTTGGTTATCACGTCAGTCTAACACACTGAAGGTCTCCGGTTCAAGTCCGGGCGAAATCAATCTTTTGCCATTGCTTCCAGTCTCGAATACTTTTGATGTATCTCTTTTCCTCCGAGCATCTGAGTCCACGAAGTTGTTTACTTGGATTTCATCATTTGATAGTTTTGTCCTCCATGTGTCTAACTTCTGATTCGTCTGTCATCATTTGTTCCACCGCCAACTCAACTCAGTGATCCTCATGGTAGTTTAGCCAGGCCCAATAATACCTGTTGAAACTCACTGTCCTTGCAGCGCTGTACAAAGACTCTTGCTTCCACGTTTACCGGCATGCAGTCCATCCTCACTGAGGATTATCTAAGCCCGATTAAGCCTCGGCCAGCCAGCGTAAAAGTCACCCATGTATTCAAGTATCGCCAACCTGGCAACCAGTAATCCGTACAATAAGATGTTTTCCTTTATTTTGCTTCTGCCCTTCACACAATTGTCAAATCTCTTTTCTTTCCCCAATCTCCGTATGGACCTGCGTTTCCAGGCCCGCTGGAGAGTATGCAGGCCTCTCTGAATGCTTCCAATGCACCTGCGTCCGCATCTTTTCTTGAGGTATATTTGATTCCACGTACAACAACCTCGAACTGTCCAACGCGCCTGTATTCGTCCGACCGCCTTCCGGTAGGTTCCAACACTAGCCCTTCAACTTGTGCCCTAGATGTATCTCGTGGGGGGTGCACGGCGTATCTCACAGGCATGAAACACAGCTCTTTGTCTTCTACGACGTAAGTAACATCGTCCATGTATGGGCGTGTGAGGAAAAGCCCGTTGACTCTGACCCAGGGGCTTTGGCCGAGATCGGAAGCTTTAGGTGGCGTAACCGTAATATTCTGATCAGCCAGTACACCTTCCAGGTGCAAATAACCGCCGGTTACCGCACCGAAAACATACTTGGGACTGTAAAGGTCAACTTGGATGTCGTGGAGGTTAATCATGATCTCACGGCCGTCATGGAATACTACCCTCCCAGACCCAAGAGCTTTCCCATTGACTGACGCCCACGACCAGCTCGGAGCGACATATGTCTCGGGCTTTGTAAGCGGATCAAGGCTTCCTCTCCATAACAACTGATATGGGAGATGGTCTTCCCACATGCCGGCCACGTAGCGGCATTTCATGGATCGGTGCATTCTTGCTGCTAAACCAGACAGCGCGATGAGTTTGTCCGTGCTAACAGTGAGATCACAGCGCGAGTACTGTAGAACGATTCTACCCCACACTCTGTACAGCTGAAGCCTGGAATCGGATGGCATTCCTCGCACGGCTGGGGTTATTCTGCCTTGTATCCCTGGGTCGATAGAGTTCATTATGCTACCGGCCCACGTCCTTTCCAGATGGTACTCCAACCTTTCGAGAGCGTAATCCGATATTTCAAGACTGTACTCCAGCCTGTTAGGACCGTAGATCAGCCCGCTAGGGAAGCATTCGTTAGCGAGTACTTCGCTACACTCCCAGAACAACTGAGACTTGCAGCAGTGGATGCTTCGCTGAGCCATGATGCGCTCCTGGACAACCCACGCCCTTTTATGAAGCGGGGCGCGCTCAACGTTGTGCTGAAAGTCTTCGGGATTGATCATGTAGTAAGTCCCCGGATTAGGGCCCCATTCGAGACGAACCGTGACAGGTCCGGTCGTAGCAGGGTCTCTCTCGACGAAACAGCCATGTTGTCCGTCAGGAGCATGGGTCGCAGTGATGTTGATAAAGGCGTTGGAGTATACCTGAATCATTTGAGCCGACTGCTCACGCCAGTCCTCTTCGGAGTCTTGAATGATGCAGAGCGAATCGATCCAGATGTACCGCAAGTTGAGTTTGCGAGTAGCATCAAAAGCATCGCGGAATGTTTGGCTAGTTTCCTCAATTGGTATCCCCTCAACCATGTCTTTGATGTTTTTCCCAAGCAGCTGCATTGGTCGATGAGAGCCCCAGCAATGGCTCAGGGTGGCGTAGGGCTCCAAAGCCGTGCTTCCACTCACGATACAGAGCTTTGGCATGGGAACCGGTCCTGAACCTAGGTCGATGATTCTTGCTGGCAGCGACTGATTGGCGGCTGGACTGGGGCGGCATGATGAATGATTCGTGATGCAGCTGGACACCCAGCCACTCACAGTGTTCCAACTTTCAACGGAGCCGCTGTTTGTGCTGATAGGCTCTTTCCTCGATTCGGAAACTTTCACGTGCAAACTGCTGTTAGATGATTTGATTCAAGCGCTTTACTTGGTTGTCAATGGGACAACTGCTTACCTGGCTTGAGCAAAAGGATGGTGACTTCGGCTAGTAAAGATTCTGCATTGTCGAAAAGACACATGCGCTGGTGCTCTCTACTAAATTCAAAGAACTTCGTCCACGAATGTTCTACGTCTTGCAACGGGTACGCAATGCCAAAGTTTTGATAATGACATTCTGAAAGTACCTGGCAGAGCGAACAGTGAGAATTCACCAGGCCCGTCGAGGCCTTAACCGTTCGTCTTGTCGATTCCTCGAACTGTTCCTGAACCACAACCTTCTCGTCACATTTAGCACTAAACAGTGCTTGACATGATTCGCATAACGCCGAATTTTGCTCGGAGGGCAGGACGATGTTGGCATCGTTGTCAGAGCTCATCATGAATAACTAGGGTGGTGTACCGGCAAATCGCACCTCAGACGAAGGTAGACATTGAAGGAAAGTGAGGGGTAGATCGGGGGTTGCTTACCACAGATTAAATAATCCTTGAGCGGATGATGAGGTATTGATTGGTTGATAGCGGCAGGCGAGACAACACGCAAGGCTCTGCTTCGAAGCCGGCCTAGTCAGCTTCATAACGTCGTTTTGCCTCAACTGCCTATGGCCCATGGGGTTCTTTTTCATGTTTTCTTGGAGATGGCTCCTTAACATGCTAAGAATCTGGTGTCGTATATCACTAGATTCTTATTACTGTGTGGTGTATTCAGGCTGCTTGACAGACCTAGTGGTATACAATTACTTGGTTGTCATGCCTTCCTCAGGCTGATCCTGATGTCATACCCTGCCTTCTCAAACAGTGACAGGCAGGTTTGGATAGCGATAGGAAATGACTTGACTGAAACTTCCTCAAACCAGTTGACGTTCTGCAAGTCCCAAGTCGTGGCCACGACTGTGAACCATGTCCTCTTCCATTGTGTAATGTCTTTTGCGTCGTTTCTTGAAATACAAGAGATAGTTCATTCGATAGAAAACGAAAAATTTCAGGCAGAAACAACAAAACTGTTGTAACCTCATCGTCGGTCAGATCTTGCAAGCGATAGCCCATGCCCAACTTCACAACGTAGGCCACAGCAACGTTGAATATCTCTCACTCCTTTTGCATCACCCCCGCCCTTTCACTCTTCACCTTTCAACTCCTTTTCTGGCACCACCGACAAACTCATTTTGCGCTACCAACACTGTTCATTTCCACCTTCTTTTGCTCTTGGGTGAGAGTCAGGACTTCAGCTTCAGCAAGAACGTCTATCAGCAACGATATGGCGACCACAATGAAGGCTCCAGCAGCGCCTTACTCGCCGTTCACCCACCCACCCCTCATCATGGATAAGCTCGAGGTCGGTTCGCTCTACATCATGATCTCAATTCCTCTTCCCATCTACCTCGGCCGTAAGAAACACACTTACGCAACCGCCTTGCCCGACGATCCGACCTTCCCTTTCTGCACCTACGAGCTCATGGTCTCTGATGGCCTGTCCTCCGAAGAGTTTCACTGGGACCTCTACTGGCACACCTCCGACTCCCCTCACAGTACTCTCAACCCTAACGACGAGGGCAGCGGCATCATCTACCGCCTCCGCCAACTCAAGACCTGCCCACCGGCCTATGTCTATGATCGCCTCAACGTCGTCCGCGTCCGCTCGCACTGCCAGCTTGTCGGCCTCGTGCGCACCCTCAGCGTTCCCGTCTCCGCCATCCCGCACTTGACAGCCTACCTTGACTGGCTGACGGCCGAATCGTCGCGCGTCGCGGAACGGAGCTACGTATGGGCCACGATGGCGTACTACCGCACGCGCCGCCACGTACTCAAGGGTGACGGCGTGCAGGACCACAGTTTCCACCAGTTCGATATCTCACGCTTCACAGCAGAATTGCTGTCGTTCGCGTACCGTGAGGCGCCTGGTGCATTGGCTGTGGGCACAGGAGGGTCGCCGAGGCCGGTGATTGCGTCTTAGTTGGGCGTTACACTTGGATTTCTCGAGGAGGAGGGGGTTGTCGCCACGAGACGGAAGAGGGACGAGCTACTGAGGAGGCAGCGTGAAGAGTTTGGTATTGTCCCGGCTTGTTGGTACCAGTGATGTCCTAGTCGTGTTACCGGTCTTTTGCTTGCGTTTTCCAGCCGGGAAGACACGGCGTATTTAAAGAACGCGCACGAGAGTGGTTGTCAGTAAGTTTTCTGTCTTACGTCCGTTAAAAGCCGTGTTACACCCGAACAAAGCCAACTGATATGACCCTTTGTTACTAGCAACGAAGTATCGACCAGAACATCCGAGAAACGAACGTTCGGTATAGAGAGAAGCGAGAGAGGAGCATGTCTTGGACGGCGAAGAACACTGAGTGAAACATGTTCCAATGTATCTAGGAGGAAGAAATGTGGGAAATGGGCTTGCTGAATGGTCTTCGTGGATGGTTGCTCCTGTCAAGGAGCAGATCGATGACGTCGGCTGTCGTATACGCATCAACACAACGTTATACGGCGTTTGAGAAACGTTAAGTGGTCTAGAGGAAATCTTAGTTTCTTCCAGGACCGTAGATTTTTCTAAGATACAACCCTTCACTATTTTCTGACCCGTATCAGCTGCATGGCTTTCATTTGTACCTTGCTCGCAGTCCACTACAGAGAGAAAACGCGGTAGAAACCAAATCACAGTGAGCCGTCAAGAGGATGTAATCAGAGCCGGTGGAAGAGGTTTGATGTCAATTTCCGGACGCTTATACGAGCCTAGCGGCACTTTAAGCTCTAGCACGTGGAGAGGACGACGCGGGCCGGTCCGCTAAGCATCTGAGCAAGGCCAGCAGAGAGGGTCTTTGGCGAAGAGGACCCTAGAAGGACAGGAAGAACTGCAAATTTGCTTTTTGTTTTGTTAATTAAACGCTCTCTTAGCAAAAGCCTAGGGCCTGTCATGCATCAAATAGGTAGGCGCAGAGTGTCAGATGGTGCTCTGAGAGGCAGACACATGCGCAAGAATGAGCAAGTTTTCACCCCCTCACGAGGCTCCCCGCGCCCAGCCGTCGCTCCCCGAACGACGTGCTCTCGAAGGACGTAAAACCGCACCACACCCCGCCCCGAAATGAGCACATTTGAGGCATTCTTTGCTACCTTGTCGTCTTTCCGGGAGTTCGGAAAATGCCATATCTTAACGCGGACATAGCGACGTCGACCGCCATGGCGCTTTCATTTGCGGTTGCGCTGCCCGAACGGCCAGTCTGTCCCGTCCACCATGGCTTCTATCGGTAAATCGAACTGGTTCCAGAGACGAGACCGCTGCCTTGGACGTGCAAACTTGGTCGCCGGGCTACTGTGCCTCGAGGCTAGTGTTGTCGTCGCGACCCTCATCCTGTTTGGTATAGCGTATCCGGACCGCTTCCGCTCGCGGTTGTGGAGGAACGGCGGAGAGGAAGGGTGGTGCTCGAACCCGCGGTTGAGGATTTACTTCTATGCCAACCACGAAGAACCGCCAGAGATTCCTTTGATATGGAGTCAAAGGTGTGTGTCACGGCGTCGTTGTTGTGCCTTCCTTGCCGCCCGTCTCGTCCATGCTCCAGATACTGACTTTTCTTCTTCGCTTCACTAGACTAACGACATCGAACATGGCCACCGCGGTCCTTGCAGCGTCGATCTTCTTTGCCCGCCTCATGATGGCCGCCCTGCAATACGAAGCTCGATGGACGAACCTCGCGTACGATGTTTTTCTCGCTGTTCTGTGGGCCTGCAGCGCCGCGGCGCAGGACGGGTCCGACTTCTCTGATCCCCAACATCTCAGCGAGAGACCGTGGTATCTCGTGCGGAGCTGCGACGAAGCTTGGGTCCAGAACCGTGGATGGTGCAGAGTTGCGAAATGGGGATATGCTTGGGCGACACTGGCTGCGTAAGATACTGGAAGGCTGGAAGCAGTTCGAACACGGAATGAAGACTGACAAGATACAGGTCGCTATATATTGCGAAGATTATCGGCTCTTTAGGATGGCTGGCATATCAGAGCGGCAAGCGAGACGGCAAGGCGGATGCGTTGACATCGCAGTCGCTGTTGGAAGGCTGGTCCTGGGATGGAGAAAACTGGATTGCATTATACAAGGACCACAAAGAGGAGGACGACTGGGCATGATGTGATGGATCTGATGTTGCACAGATCTACAGTATCACAATATGTGGAACCGAACTACAAACAACACCACTCAATCACAGCTCACGCCATGCGACAACGAGATCAATATTATGTCAACATCAACTTTCGATTTCTCATTCTAACCACTGCGCACGAGTGTGCAAAGAAATAGAAAAAAGGACATCCATTATGGTGTCGCGCAACCATTCATGTTCCATGGACGCGGTTCTTTACACTACCCAGAGATCCACCGACGAACCATGACGATCTTACGACCCTGACTTGACGTTGCTTATTTGTGCTGAAGACGTGTCAGTGCAAGATAAACGCCACGGATGATGCAATCGGGCCGGGCAAACTTACGGGGCAGCCTTCGCAGGAGCAGCTGGAGCCGCAGCCGCAGGAGCCAGAGGAAGCGCATCCACAGCCGCTCATGATGATGGATTGGTAGAGTGTAGGGGTTTATGTGTTGAGTTGAAAAGGCTGGTTTTCTTGATTGATCTTGACCGGAGTCGTGTGTTTTTCTGGTTTGCTTGATGTGGTGATGTAGAAGGAGAAAGTCAAGGATGACGGGTGAGGCCGGCTCGATTTAAGTAATGGCCCTGATTATCTAATGTGCCATACGCCGAGGAAGCTGAGCTCCTCAGCTGGAAGGAAAGACCGGCGCAAGTCGAGTGTCATATTCTTCCCCGACGTCTCCTGCCAAACAGATAGACCACATGTTCTTCAGGGAAACCGCTAATCGGCCGCCCCACGGCAGCCAGCGGTGCTTAGCTCTGACGCCGGTTTGATAAGAGAAGCGCGGGAAGGACCTTCCCACCCCGCCTTGCCCGCCTCCTCCTGCATCCGTCTCAGCCTATATCCGACATACTTTGGGGAGACAATCGACGGTTGCGGTTCGGGAAAAGTGGCGAATGACGTACAGCCAAAGACGAAGCTAAGGCCACTTTTATCACGAGGAAGGAGGGACGCAAGCTTCAATTCACTGGCAGGTGCAGTTCGCCAGCCCCCACTTTCCCACCGAGACGATGGTTGGCCGGGGCCGGACGCTCAGACCGGAGTGGACCGCAGGTGGGCCTTTTCTGCTGGCTGCCCTTTTGGGAAGGACTCAGCCCGCGACCAATGGGACGCCGGCACCGAATCTCTGGGCGCGCTGCGGTGCGGGGGAGGTGGGAGACGATCGGAGAACGATGCACTCGACAGTCTTTGTTCGTGTCCTCGTCCGCGGTCATGTCTTGCCGAAGCTCAGGGTCTTGCCTTGTATTCCCCCAACCTTAGGGTCTTCAAATTGACCGACAACTAGCGAGACTGGGTAAGAGATCCTGGCAAATGGGCTGGTGGACACTCTGAGGTCGTGTTTCAACAGTGGAGAGATGGATGTTTACACAGGGGGTTCGCAGTGCTCTGGCAACGAACTTAGGCAAATCGACACGGGAACCACGGCCCACGATGAAGGCATGCTGACCTCGGGAAATCCACGCCGAGAAGACAGCAAGACCACAGCACAAGCGGGATTTAACGGCTGACCTGCCAGCTGTTGCATGCTCGTCTGCTCTAGCTCTCACATCTGCTTGGGCGTACTGTCAAAGTGCAAGAGACCGTTCGCGGCGCTGTGCAGCATGCATGTGCGTCATCTGAGATGTGGCGCGCGCCTCTCCGCGCCTCTCGACCTCCGCAACCCAACCTGCTGCTACGTTGTATTCGACGGTAGGGTTCTACTGGTCTCTTGAGTGAGTGATAGCTGGACTAGTAGACTTTCCGTGGCTTATCAAGACCCGAAGGGCTGGCCTAAGTTGAAGACTACTATGAGAATCGGGCCTTCCAAGTTTCCAATCACGAGCTACCCGAGTGCTTCGCATCTTAGTGTATTTAATGCGATTAGACTAATCGCGGTTTCTCACCTGACATCAATTGCTCTTCCCAAAGACGCTGGACTCAAGCAAGTGTAATGACTTTGCGAAGCATTCCGTTGCTATCTGTAACATAAACCAATGTAAACCCTTGACGCCAATAGACCAGCATGGAATTTTTTGCCTTCCCGCTGCAAAGCAGCTTGATATTGAAGATCGGATAGCTGTGGAGTGTAGCGAACCTCCCTTCGATACTCGCGTTCATTCATGGTTCTTTCTAGAGCTTTGAAGAACATCAGACTCCTATTTATCGAACTCCAATGCCGTTTGCATCCACTGAGGTGTTCAAAACTTGCTATCAGTCACCTCTTTACCAGGGTGCCTCTAGGATCTTTCAACAACGACACACTCCATGATCCTTTACTAGCAAAGCTGATAGGAAGAGAAGAAGGACACAGGAAAACCGAAAGGCGAAGAGCCGAAAAGATATACAAGGAAGAGCCAGTCCCGGAACCGTTCTAACGAGAATTCTTGTCAGTTGTTTTTGATGGCTCGTGCACAAGTTGCTTCGTTGGCTACAAGCTAGGTTCTGCCACAGGACGACGAGATATTCGTATCATCGGGTGGTAAATTTAACGATTGGCTGACTTCTTCATGCCTGAAACATCTAGTTAACAGTATGATCAAATTGAAGTTGTTGTCCTAGAACCAACTTCCTGAGTTGGCTGTTGAGTTGCCAAGAGCCCAGACCGGGTTGAGGCCAAACCCAATCACCTATTGCTATACTTTACGCTGAAATCCCTCGTACACACAATTACTCGTTCTCCGTCCGGCTGCAAAATGACCTCCTCGCTACTTGCTCCGGAAGAGAGTGTGTAACCATAAGAGGCTTCAGCCGACGACCGTTCCTGCAGAGGCACCTTAGCCCTCGTTGTCTGATCCCCTTGGCCTCCAATCGACGATACCACCTGTCGTTCTGCCACATGAATGCTGTCATTGGTATGCATTTCAAACTCGTCATGCAAGCTTTGGTCTATGGTGATGTTCTTTTTTCTGCTCGCTGAGTACGTATTGCTGCGAGAGGTTCCAGCGCCAAGAGGCGTCTGATTGCTTCGATTGTAGTTTAGGTCGCTGGGATAGTACCCGGCAGAGCTGTTGATCTTCAGCAAACGTCCAAATAGCGGTTTGAGAAATGATGCGCATGCTGCGATAATGCCTATGTTGAGCTGGAGGCTGTTCGCGTCGGAGAAGTCAGTCTGGTGTTCGAAAGCCAATCTGATACGACGGAACGATCTCCTTTTGCAGCTTACTTTTGCCAAAAGTGAACCCAATAATTAAAGATGTTGTCTGGGTCGCCGCCCGTCGTGAGCATAAAGACAGCTTTCAGAATGCCCATGATGATGGCACTGGGTACAACGAAGAATATTAGTTATTCCAAAATAACTTCACATAATCAACACTCTGCGTGTCTCCTTCTCAGGTATACTCACAAATATCCCAGGTTAAGGATGCCAATCACGTAGAGACGCACTCGGAACTTCATCTTGAGGTTCCAGATGATGGGGATTGGCAGAGCTCCCAGGCATATATCAGTGAAGATATTGCAGGCTACGCGCCTCTTGGTTAGTATCTGTGACCCACCAGTGATGGTAGGATAAACTTACAAATATTCCAATACGTAAGATTAAGAAAGATATTGAAGTTGTGACATCTAGGGTCAAAGGGATTCATCCACTGAAACTCCCACCACCCCGAGTACGGAGTACAATAGACGAACAACCAGACAATTGCTTGGATAGAATACGCCACAACAAATCCTAAGCGCAATCAGCCTTGGAATAAGGATGGAGCAAAGACACCAGCAATTGGTATGTATTACCTATTACAGCGTACAACGACCATCGATACCAATTCAGGTCCCTCTTGAGTCGCAATAGACTGATCGCCATAGATATTCTCAGCAGCCCCATGGCAATGCCGTCGGAGAGCACCGTCTTCCAAAATGTGATACGTTCGAAATCTATGCGGTCTTCGGTCGGAATCGTCAGGCTATGGCGTCCGAGACCGTAGGGTATCTGTAGGATTAAGCATATCCATGCCGCCAGCGCGAGGATCTGTGATGAAAAGAGTTAGCAATTTTCTGGAACTGTGACGCCAGGCCTTTCTTCGAGCGAGTATGTTTGACTTACAACGGCAATAACGATGAGCGCATCTTCTGCTCCGAACGCCCTAAGAATGACCAGCCGAGCATAGATACGCAGGGAAACGAATGTCAAGGCGACGAAGTGGAACACGCCAACGACTCCAACGATCCGGCTTGCGTTGCTAGCATTGACATATTCCGGAGGGAACTTGTCCATCCTATCTCATAACTAAAGGCAATGAACAAGGCAACGAAAAGGCGATGGACGACAATCATCTTGTATCGCTGTTGATGAGCACCCTGTTCTGCGGGCGCAGCAAGGTTTTATGAACAAGGTTAGGAAACTTTCCAGCTTTACACGCAAATGCTCCACCTGAGTAATGAGCACATCTATTCCGCCGAAATAGCCCCACGAGGCATCAATAGAGACACATGAACCACCGTTCAGCGATCATCGTTCATCATTCTAGACGGATAGTTGGATGAGATGTCACCTTTTCCGCAAGATCGACTTGAACCTTGTTAAAATCCATCGGTTTCACCAGAATTTAGACTAACAATGCCGAGTTATTGCGTTCGTATGCGCGTCAAATGACCATATAGTACGAGCACATCGGTTGACTCGTACGAGTATTACATGTCAGTTCTCTGCTTCAAGAGATCCACTGCTGTGCATGCATGCGTACATTCCACCCGTCACGCAACGCTAAGGGCTTTGGCACGGCACAGGATTCCTCAGGCGAACCGACCGATTGGAAAGTCGGTTACCAATCGGTTTGCTACAGTGAGAAGCAGGATAGGAGGCGAGAATGCAACTTGCAAAACACACCGGCTTTGGGAGCACAGTACATTTATCATTATGACTGATACCTTGGACGGATGGTCTGGTACCATTCGAGATAGTTACTCCGAAAACCCGCAGCATCAGGCTATAACTAAAGAGTCGTAAAGACCGAGGAAGGAATCTGCGACGTTACTACTGCGTGCCATGATTTGAGCATCTAGCTGGAGGCAAGGGCATTGCGAGAATTCTCTCTTAATACCACAAATACCAACCCTGCCCGCATTTTGATCCTTCTATTCCAACATCTTGGCGCTGCCATGTACACGCATACCATATTACTCGCGAGGATTAATGCAATGCGAACCCTGTTGTCAAATTCGTGCCCTCCCACGTATCCACTCCAGTGCTAGCCGATCCTCCAGAAACTGGGGTAGTTGGAGGGGGAAATCGGACAAGCGTCAACGGCATCACCCGAGCTCGTACTGCAATTTTCAATAATTGCCGGGGATCCCTGAAATATGCTATCCTATGTAGAATGCAGTTAAATCTGTTGGTCCGGAATATGGGCTGACCGGGCCGGGTGGGGTAGTGAGGAGTTACCGCGCCGCGCCCCTGCATCTGACCCCTAGCCAATCCACTCGGCCAATTTGTCGGTATTGGCTTGGAATCCGACGACCGAAGAGGAGCTTTTCCTCCTTCGCAGCTCTCTTGCGTGTTGGAAGGGAATTAGGCCATGCCTGCTATATGCTTTTCTTGTTGGTTCGATATTGTTACCCAGAACGTGCAGTTGGCTGTTACTTACGACCCATGAGCTAGCTATATGGCAATCTCCGACTTGCAATTGCGTGACGCAGAACGGTGGAGTTTCCGGTGACTGCGGTGGTCGGCTAAGCTGGAGAGAATCCTAACTGAGATGCGGCTAACTGCCGCTTCGGGCAAAGCCTATATGCAATTCGTTCCAACTCCCTCTTTTTAACAATCCATGGATAGTCCGGGAAGATGTTGCAAAACTCGATTTAAAGACTCGTGAGCCTGCAGACTCGCCGTAAACGTGCATTGCATCCCGTTACCAGTCAACCTTCCATACCCCGGTGACACTGCAGCAATCACAATCGCCACGGGTTCCAGTAACGTGTAACACCAAGCGAGACGTTTCTTGGCCGACATGCGTAGCAACAGGATGCGTACAGGCCTCGGCTTTGTGGCTACGCTCTTGGCCCGAGGGCTTGTCGCTGGCGAGAACTGCTGCAACCAGACCGTTTCTCGGGACGTCGTTGTCGTTGGCGGTGGTGCGTCTGGTGCTCATGCCGCCGTTTGGTTGCGCGATCATGGCCACAGTGTAATCGTTGTGGAAAAGGCCAGCCAACTCGTGAGTTATACATTTCCTCCCCCTGCTCCTTCGATGTTTCTTGCGTCGAATCGCTGCTAATTTAAGCTCAAGGGTGGTCACACGGCCTTCTACCATGATCCTGTCACGAACAAGTCAATCAACGTCGGCGTTCAGGCGTGGATGGAATACAAGGACACTTTTGACTTTCCAAAGCGCATGAACGTATCGACAAGCGGGTCTATGCAATTCACCACTCTCAACTACAATTATGTCGATTTCAAGACAGGACAACCGGTCAAAGACTGGGTGGCTCCCGCGTCTGATGCCATGTACCCAGCCCTACAGAGATATTTGAATGTTCTCGAGAAGTACGAGAACATCACTCTTCCCGGTTTCGGGAACTTCCCCGAGGCAGGGTCCATCCCGGAGGACCTGATCATGCCGTTCGGTGACTTCGTCGAGAAGTACGACATTGCAGCCGCCGTCCCCCAGATATGGGATTCCACCGCAATGGGCCTCGGCGACACCATGGACGTACCCACCATCTTCGTGACGCAGGCATCCGGAGTCCCGATGGTTCGCGCTCTGCTAGGCACTGCCGCGGCAGCCACGCCTGCCTCGGGACGTCTGTATGAGTTGTACGAGAGCGTTGCCAAGTTCCTGGGCGATGACGTCCTCTACTCAAGCACCGTTGATTCGACCACCCAACGCGACGATGAGGGAGTTGCGCTGAAAGTGCAAGGTGCGGACGGCAAATTGACCTGCATCGACGCCAAGCGCCTTCTTGTTGCCTTTGAGCCCACCACCGAAAGCCTGGCACCGTTCGAGACGGATGATACGGAGGAACAAGTCTTTGACAAGTTCGGTTTTGCTACCGTCTACGCTGGAATCCTCCGCCATCCGTCACTGCAGATCAGCGCTGCCTACTCGAACAGGTCGCCCGCCCCTGGTTCCAGCAACTACACCGTCTTCCCACTGGCGTCGCAAGTTGGTAGCATCGCCTACATCGGCGGCACCGAAGACTTGTTTCAATTCACCGCCGTTGGTACTGAAGAAGACACTGCGGAGAGCATGAAAGCTCTTATCGCCCAGTCTATCGACACCATGATCGCGGCGGGTACCATTCCCGAGTCCAACGGCACCGTCACATTCTCCGCTTTCGCAAATCACGGTAAGATGCACCCCCGGGTCACGGGCGATGAGCTTCGTGCCGGGTTCATTTCGAAGCAGAGTGCCCTTCAGGGCCATCGCTCGACTTGGTATACGGGTGCTGCTTTCTCTGCGGGTTTCTCGACTGTCTTGTGGGAGCACAATAACGTGTTGTTGCCTAGAATGGTCAATGGCATCTAGTGGAGAAGATCAAAAGCTACCATTCTAAACGGTTCATAGTTGTACAGAAAAATATTCATGTTGATATTGTGGTATGAAAGTCATGATATCTCAGTACGTGATGAGATATCCTTTGTATGAAACTATGATGATGCACGATGCTGGAGAGGTGAGATAATCTGTGTTTTTTTGTAAAGTACCGCAAGATTTCAATTTCTCACCTGGAAATTCGAATCTCGCGAGCTGGTATCACAGCCTGGAGTTCCTTGCGTAAAGCGTTTGGTCAGATTAATACGAGAGGAATCCATTATCAAGCCTCACAGTTTCTTCTATCAGTCTGAGCCTTGGATATCGCCAAGGTCCACTAGTTGGTTTGTTTGTCATTCGCCGTATCTATGTTGTAGTTTCTGTAGCCAATTTGGCAGGAGTGTGCTTCGTTATTGGCGTATACGTCAACCCGTATGTCGACAATGAATACAAAACCAGTTTAAAACATCAATCATATAAAGGAAGAACACAGAAATGCGTAAGTGGATATAATAGCGTCTACATAACATTAAGATGAACAATGAAAACCCCCCTTTCCTACAGTTGAGTAGGGCTTGGGTTGACGGTGGTATACGTGAGATCCGATGGATCACCAGGCGAAGGCTTCTTCGATCACATCCACCTTAAAGCCATCCTTTACGCCGTTGACCACATGTACGACGGCTTCGTCCGCCATCTGTCCGGGACCACAGACGAGCACAGCCGTATGGTGGTTCTTCTCCAGGTGGGAGCGGATTACGGCGCCGACATCCATCCTACCGAGGGTCACACCCGCTACCGTGGCGTCAGCATCACCTGAGGTATGCTCCTTTTGCCCGGACGCATCGTCGGAGCTGGCACCGGTGCAGTAGAACGAACACTCTACGCCCGGTGCTTTGTCAAGGAAGTTGCGGCGCACGTGTTCGATGACTGACATCTCCCTGGCGGACCAGACCAGAACAAATCGCTTCGCCTTGTTCGATGCCTCCCCAACCCATGATTTAGCGTACTGCTGGATGAATCCCAGTGCGCCGGTGATGCCGATGCCGCCGATAACGCACAAGACAGTGTCAGCGACGAGGAGCGACTGGTGGGTGGCGCGGTGACCCGCGTAGGGCCCTTCTGTGAGAACGAAAGTCGTAATGGTAGGACTGGAGGAGGATGCGAGCTGGCTTTGGAGCCACGCCGTGGCACCGCTGTGGGCGCGGACCAGGAAGGTGACGGACGCAACGTCTTGGTTCTCTGATTTTCTCACTGACACAACGACGTCTTTCTTGTTCTCATCTGTAGGGGAAGCAGGAAAAGTCACACTAGGCGCAGAACTGCCTGCAGTCCTCCAACCAGCAACACTGAACGGGTGGCTCTCCCAAATCTTCCCTGATTTTGGAAAGTAGAGGAAGCTGTGCTGCCCTGGACCGAACCCCATCAAGGTCCGGGGGTGAATCGTCACCTGCATGACATTGGAACCAGGAATGGCTGTGACTTCAGCCTTTGAGTTGCCGAGATTGTAAAAGGCGAGACGGAAGATTCTGACGAAGCGCTCGAAAGCCCAGTAGGCGAAGCAGATGTAGAGCCAGGTCTGGTAGCCATAGGTGTAGCCGAAGTGGGGGACCAAGTGATACCAGCATCCGACAAGAGCAAGGACGACGAGGATGATGTGAATAACGAGGAAGGTTTCGTAGAATCTGATGCGGAACGGCAATACGGCGAAGGCGGTTGCCAAACTGAACGTAACTGTGGCAATAATTCCCCACCACTGTCGGAGGCAAAGGATGTTAGCGAGCGTCATTTAATAAAGAGAGAGGGGTATCTGGAAGAGCGCCTACGTAGAATGGCTCCACCACTTTGGCGGCGTACTCAGAATAACCCCCATACCCGGGTTCCCAGTATGCCATCGTGTAGACTATAGAGTGCACAATGGCCTGCAGGCTGGCGACGCGGGCAGTCCAGCGATGCAAGGTCAAAAAGGTCGTTTGGCTCCATCCCGTAAGCGCAATCAAGACGTTGTTGCGACCGGCAAAAAGGATAGAGATGCTCGCGTTGACGAGACTGAGAGTACCAGTGCGGTTGCCGACATACTCGCAGAGCTCGAAACCCATGGAAAAGAAGTAGATGTTGGGCTGGTAGCTGCTGAAGTTGATGGCAGAAAAGACAACATTGAGAATGATGTAGATGGCGATGAAGATGCTTAGCGTTCTGCTTGGTACATAGCCAATCTGCCCAGGAAGAGGTTCTAGGCGCCGATGGCCGACCAAGGCGGGAAGGAAGACATGTTGTCGAAGCTTTGTCCACAATGCCAAGCTTTGGAGTTTCTTGTACAGTGTAGGGACCGCGCTTGTAAGCTGGACCACCACGCCACAGAGGAGGCAGATGCCAATGACAGTCAAGTAGAGGGCGATGCTATAGCAGAAGATAGGTGAGTGCCCGTCCAAGCTAGAGGAAAAAGATGACAAGATTGTTGAGTGTGAAGGGGAGCAAACATACGAGTATCTCGTGTGTAAGTATTCTGATCTGGCGAACTCGCCTTCGCTACCGTAGGTCGAATCGTAGAGGCTCTGGTTAACCAAGCTGGTCTCGTTGAGCCACATGGCATCCGAGGCGAGCTCGACGGTGGGAGCCACGGAGGGAAGACTCTCCTGGAAAGTCGGTGACGAGGCGCCAGCGACAGCTTGGGTGCTGAAGCACTTGGCCTGTTTATCTGCTGAATATCCGTGGGCATTGCAGTTCTGCTGAATGCAGTACGCCATAGTCTGCAGCCACGGAGTATTGGAAGCGTAGCAATCGGCACTGGTGGTACCCATCTGCATGTCCATGCCAGACATGTCCATCCCCCCATGCCGCTCATGTCCATGTCGCTGAAGGTGGTGCAGCTCAGGTACAGGGCGGAAAGTGAGTCGTGGCATGCTTGGCAGCATAAGTCTTGGTAAAGCGAGATGCCGAAGCCAATGATACCGGAGCCAGTCTGGGCGTAGACATTGGTGACCAGAGAAAAGAGGACGACAAGCCCGATCGACGGACCCATGGCGGGCGAGGCCTGAGGCGAGGCGCGACGTGAAATGGGACTTGGCCAACAACTAACAACGAAGATGAGGTTTGACTGAGACTGAGAGAAAGCAGAGTAGATTGAAGTCGCGATGGGGGTATGCAAGGGTGAGGGGTTTGTCTCCGCTGACAATAGACGGAAAGAAAAGGTTTTACAGCAGGAACCTCAATTCCAGTTGAATGAAGAAAACAAGAGGCTGGGTTTTACTTGAATTTTGGTTAGATACAAGGTGATAGCTTTTCAATTCCTTATCACTATCAATTAATCAATGTCAGTGAGCCCATTTGCAGGCAATTATTGATAAGAAGCAGGCTGTTTTAGGGGCAGCCCGGACAGACTACAGAGTAACACTCACACGACCCATGGTTACAGTTTGTTAGCCCTTTGCTTCACCTTTAACTATACACCCAAGAAGAAGTTAAGAAGCATGGGTGTTGATGAGCCGGCTCTGAAAAGCGATGGAACCAAGTGCTGCTTGCAGACTGGGGGGTGAGAGAGTTTGAGCTGGTTTTCTCGAAGCCGATGAACGCCGTTGCTAGGAACTCCGCTCTGTGGCTGGAAAGCCACGGGATGGAAGGGTCCGATTTCGAAACAGCCCATGTTTAGCCGAAAACTAGTTGAGTGTGTGTTGGTCCCTGAAAAGAGTGTGTATACGTACCCAATTACTCTCGACGCCTACTTCTCTACTATGTATGGCATAAATCCCATAGACTTCCGTTCGATTAAGTGAATGCTCTGTCCCAAACTTGGCGGCGACTAAGGAACTCGTGAGAAATTGTAAAAAACCATGGATGACCGGCGCTGATTATCGTTGGCGAGTCCAGTTCAGTCACCCAGCGACGCCAGGCTGAACTGCGCAAACTTGCTCGTTCAAGCGCAGCATTCCGCAGATGCAAGGTGGTAAAACACTAGGGTCGAGAGGCTATTCTGGCCATGCTTCTTTTGGTCTGTTTGCCCATAAAGTACAGAGTACAAGGGCCCAGAACTTCGAAAAGAGGCGCTATCTTGAGCGGGTAACACGCGCCCTACTCTAGCGCCCCACTTGGCATGAATCGGGCAGAGTCTAGACAACCCAACCCCAATCTGGGGAAGATCTGGCACATCGTCCATCACAAGTAGCTATTGTGAGGCAGTTTTCGACAACATCTGGCTTGTCGTGGCCGTAGATATTGCAACGATCTCTATCCATCGTGCATCATGGGGCAGGTAACATTGCTCTCAGATGTACTTGGTTTCGCACTTCACCCCTGTCGCATGTCGTTTCTATTTTTCTTAAGCAGTTGTGGCGCCCACGAGAAGTGATGATGTGACGAAATGAACCTTTTATAGATAATGTAGGTGTATTCAAGTCAGAAGTTGATGAGACGAACGAAAGCACTACGAAATCTTTCTCTTTCTCTTTCTCTATTGTTCCCTTTTTGTAGCTCCTCGTTATAGTCCTGGTTAATATCTTTAGCACCGCCCAAGACCCATGAGAACATAAAAATGGTGTCGAGCGTGTCAGTATTGGGCGCTGGGCCGGCCGGATTCGCTCTGGCCGCAGACCTTCAGAACCGTGGGACGAATGCGCTGCTGTACTCTCACCGGACTCACTTACGGCACGCCAAAGCCGTGATGAAGACGGGCCGTCTCCAGCTGAGCTGCGCAATGGAGGGCTTCACGAACTTGCGCCTCACCACCGACATAGCCGAGGCTGTGGCCTTCTCAAGGTTTCTTATCCTAACCGTGCCGTCCACTGGTCAGTTGACGATCCTGGACGACCTGAGGCATCACGACTTGCAGCGTCATATCATAATCGCCATCCCGGGCAACCTGTTCTCGCTGCTCAAAGACGTCAACATCGAAGCAGAAAATATTCTAGAGACCAACCTGTCGCCGTACTCGTGCCGCATGGAAGACGGCAACCTGCTTGTCTTCGGCCGTAAAAGCGTCGTCTTCATCGCGGCGCGGCGAAACATCGGCGTCCAACCAGGCTTCTACGAGGAAATTCAGAGCATCTTTCCCACGAAGCTCCGATGGTGCGACAACGTAGTCGAGGTTTGCTTATCCAATGTCAACGGCGTATTCCACCCACTGATGATGCTGATGAATGCGGGCCGCATCGAGGATACCGCTGGCGACTTCCTGCTCTATCGCGACGGCCTGACAAGATCCGTCGCCAACGCCATGCTGGCCATCGACCGCGTGCGTATGGAAGTCGGCGCCAAGTTCGGTCTGCCCACTATGAGCGCCGTTGACATTTCCAACGAATGCTACGGCCAGGCCTTCTCTGACCTGGTTGACTTGGCCCGCAATTCGCCGCCACACAACAAACTGCGCGCTCCGGCCGACATTGAGAACCGCAACATCTCGGAGGACGTTGCCGACCTACTGGTGTGCTGGCATGGCCTAGCAGAGAAGGTCGGCGTCGATGCCTCGCCTATTGCCGCCGTCATTATTCTTGCCGAGATGGCCACAGGGATCGAGTTCAGAAAAACGGGGAGGAACCTCAGGAAGCTTCACCTCGACGGCGTCGGGCACGGCGAGCTCATCAATATGTTCAGTCCATACTTGACATCACAAAACGAAGCTCGGCTTTAGGAGAGATGCTTAGCCATGGAAGTCATTGATTTCACCAAGCAGAGTGAGCATGTTACAAGGGGTTATCTATCACGGGTTGATGACAAGTAGGGGTGTCCCTGTTGAGTAGGCAAGGAAGGATAGTCTCCACCTTTTACCATTGCGCGACGAGCCAAACCATGTGCATACCGTTCGTGGGGGTGAGGCTTGCAAAGTCAAACTCTGTTCATACTAGACTTCACTGCTGAAGTGGACGTAATTAAACATCCTCAATACAGGCAGATGAAAACAGTGGAAGAAGAAATCAACTTTGCGTTGATATGATCCAGAGATCCACTTTTCATATATGTAGTCTCATGTGCGGCCGTCTCGGGATTTTCCAACTAATGCATAGAATTTCTGTAACCGGAGCTGCCAATCAGTCTCAAAATGTCACCTTGTTGCACGGCATGCTGCGGATCCTAGCACCATACACTCCGTACACCAACGGCAGAGGGGCAAACGCCAATGCTAAGAAGGCCAGCAAGCTGTTCCCCCATCCCCATCCGAGACCTTCGTACAGGCCCAGGCCACTGAGTGGAATGAGCGCGCCCGCAACACCCCTGAACACTGCGTTGGCGCCTACAGCGCTGGCGGCGTATCCCTCGAACGCATCGATGAGGTATGTCTGGATACCCGTAAAGATAAGGATCGATCCAAACCCAGTCACGGCCGTGCCGGCCAGCGAAGCGGCCCAGTGCACTCGGCCTTCAACACACCAGCCATAGACGAACATGCCCGCAGGAAACGTCAAAGCTCCGGGCACCGTGATGATGGGGGCAAGACGATCCTCGGGCAAGTTGGTCCTACCGGCAGCAGCACGTCTCTTGAGCGTCCGGTCGCTGAAAACTCCCACGTAGAAGGCGCCCAGAAGCGTGCCAAGACCACCGGGGAGGAATACAAGGCCGATGGCGACGGTGGAGAAACCGTACACCTCAGAGAAGACAAACGAGTAAGTCGCGAAAAGGAGGTAAAGAGTGCCGTATAGTACGGCAACATAAGCGCATATAACGGTGACGAATGGGCGGAAAAGGAGCAGCCTCATTGGGCGGATGATACTGCGTCTGAAGAGCTCCCTGGGGGTGTAGTTGGAGGCAAGGCTGGACCGGTAGCTGAGGTTTCCCGTCTCCTTGCGGAGTCTCGCCGCTTTTTTCTCCAGCAGCACAGGAGGATACGTTTCTCTGAGGATGAGAAATGCAATTATGGAGACGGCCCCGATCTATTTCTTTTGCTTGAGCAATGAATTTCCACGGTGGGACCAAGCAGATAAGCAACTTACGACGATGGAGATGACCCAAAACATCCACCTCCAGCCCATATTCTCCGCCACGGAGCCGCCAATGACGGGGCCAACCATGGGACCGAGGATGGTACCGACAGAGACGATAGCCGCAAATTTTCCTCTATCCTCTCGAAGAATCAGGTCAGCAATGGTCCCGGAGCCGATGGTGATAGTGGCGACGCCGGCGAAGCCGGACAGAAAACGGGAAAAGAGCAGCATGCTTTCGCCACGCGAGAGAGCGCACAACACGGTGGCGACTAGAAACAACGCGTTCGAGGCGTTGTAGATGGGTACGCGTCCATATAGCTCGCTCAGCGGTGCCAGCAGCAACGGCCCGCAGGCGAAGCCCAATACGAAGATGGATACCACAAAGGTCGCGAACGTCGATGAGGTGGTGCCAAACTCCACCATGATCTGTGGCACTGCCGGCGCGAGCATTGATGACACGAGGGCCTTGTTTGCAATGTTAACGATTCCGGCTAGTAGACAGGACGTTGGAGGATAGGCTTCCAGATATATGGATTGATTATCCGACTTACACTAAGAAGCTGATCACAGATATTGTGAGGATGTTGGCCCATTTCGCCAACGGCCGCCAATTCATAGGGTTCTGTGGGTCTTGGTCTTCTGGCTCGTCCCAGCGTACCATAAGCCCGTCATCGCGCTGAAGCCGTTGCTGTGCCTCATCCGAGGTCTCGGGCTCCAAAGAGAGAAATATTGTCGAGCCAGTTTGCTGTTGTTGCTGTTGATTTGCATACTTCTCCTCGGAAGTTGTTTCACACGCCATCTGCATTGGTAACAGGGTTATTCGTCTCCAGCGCAGCCATAGCAGAATGACCGATGTGTATCCACGGAGAGACAACATCGTGAGAGTAGTGCACAAGATAATCCTAATGATGGTGCCATCTTTTAGTCAATAAGAGTGCCGTTGCTTTAACCAGAAGTGGGCAAGGCAACATGAGGTAGTTAGTTTTCCTTGGCTAAGCAAGTAGGGGTTGGTCGTGGCACCACCTGCAAATGTAACCCCCCCATGCCATGCATCGCCCTCCTTATTATGTATGCTTCCCCATGGGCGACTCCTCAACCCACCGCCCAGCCACAGATTTTGTTTCATGCGGGTGCGGTCGAGCGGATGTGTGGGGGTTGACTGTCGGCTGGTCTAGTTACTCGGAAGGGAGACATCCGGGACATCCCTCTGTGATTCGTCCCATTATCTCATAAAACATGCAGACCGATTTACGCTTTGCCGCCGAGGTCAAGGCATGACATGCATTGGCAATAAGTTGACACGAAAGCTTCTCTAAATATTACCTCTCTGTTATTGGATGAACTCATATTGAACCACTACTTTCGCCAAATTGGCAGACAACCGGACAGATCGGCACAGATAGCACATCAAAGTGCAAGTGACGCCAATGCATATTGGGGTTTGCCAGCGCTCTTCTAGATCGTCCGAACAAACGTAAAGTGCGTGGACAGTGCTGTCACATCAGCACAACTACCTCACGAACTTCAGTCTCTGATGGCTACAGTCACCAATAACTCCATGTCCATGTGAATGCCATCCTCAGTGGTGATCTTATCCCATTCCTCCTTCATCTCCTCCCGCGCCCGCGGCCGCAATTCCAGCGGGATGCCTCCGTATGTCTTGCCTGACGAGCTCGTATCCAGCCAGTCGATCATGGCGTAGCCGTCCTTTGCAGATTTGACAATCTTGTTCACCACGATAAGCCTCTCGTTGAATCCCGCGCCCCCTAGAATGCTGTCAAGTTCCGCCCGCTTGAGGAACTTTGGTCCGTTGCTATGGCTTGGATAATTCCTGTAGGGCTGGCGCGCCAGTACATCGGCCTTGATGAGCTCGTGGGCGGCTACAAAATCTCCAGAGCCGCCTGAGATACCGAGGCGGCCGCCGGGCTGGAGCACGCGGGCGAACTCGGCGGCAGCAGCGGGCTGGTCCTGAACCCAGTGGAATGTAGAGTTGACGTATACAACGTCGAAGCTGCCAGCGGCGAAGCGCGACAGATCCTCGGCACGACCCTTGTGAAACTCGAGGTTCGTCCGTGTCCTCTCGTGAGCAAGAGCGATGCGCTCCGGGCTGGGATCGACGCCGACCACGCTGCCGCCAGGCCCGACAAGGTCGGCAATGTGCGCTGTGAGGTTGCCGGGTCCGCAGCCAACGTCAAGGACGCGCTCACCGGGGGTAACCGCCAGTCTGTCTAGAAGGAACAGTCCTGCTGAGTACTGGGTGTCGTTTACCAGGGTGTATCCTCTGGCCAATTCGTCGGTGTCTGCCATGGCTTCGGCGTGACGTGTTGCTGCTTCTGCTGTAACTCCGGAATGGGCTGCCAAAGACACTGGCGAACGGCCTTATGTCGATTTGACGAACTAGTTTGGCGATTTTATCTCATGTAGTCTGCCAGCTACTACGATTCGTGCATAGAGTATATATCCCATCCTGTCCGGATACATTAAATCAAATGCGACGAGCCCGTTTGGCTCCGCTGAATCGTGAGTGCATAGCAAGTTCGGATAGATGAGAGAGACCTGGTAACCCCTTTTGGAGCTGGCTTCAAAAGACGGAAGTCTTTAGTCTACAACCTTGACGCCGTCGCAATAAACGTGCTCAAACTCACTCGGTTACATTTAGCATGCAGTAGTCGCCTGTCAGCTGAGTCGATTCGGTAGGATCAGGAGGCAGGTCGCTTGAGTGCTGTTGTGGGCCCGCTACGGCAACGGCCGCAGCGGGGTGTAGGCTAAGGGAAGTTCAAGCTGGCTCTTCAAGAGGGCACCCCTCCACCCTAAACTCCGCCTTAGGTACCTGTGACTTCTACCTACAACATCCACATCTGCGGCCTCAGAGGAAGCGTTGCACGTGTATCTTTAATGAACAAGACAAGATCAAGGTAACTAGCATGAAAAGGGTTATCAGGTATATCGGTACCTCCAAAGCCTTTTTCATCCTCCATATTTTGTGATGCTTTACAACCATCGAGCATTCGATCTCATGTGATGTATACATATCTTAGGCATTAGAGAGCCTGTGCAACTGTTCTGGATCCAGTATACATGAGATTGTGATGAAAAGGTGGCAAACATTCACTAAGGCAGCATTTCCAAGGTTGATTTCATCACTACTACCAAAGCACGCCGGCGGGGCATGAGCTCTGTCACGCCTGGATTACCATGATTACCCATCTATTGTCGACAGGTCCGGTGACAACAACTGTTGTATTCCTCGTGAGTCCTCGCTCAGATCAGCCGTCCCCAAAAGAGAATGCCTCACTTACCATCAAAGTATAGCTCGCCGCCAGATGGATCATCCAGGTTTTTTACAGATTCTTCTTTCATCCGCTCCGCTCGGCACCCGGTCCTTGGATCAACAGCGTGTCCGAGTTGCCCGCCGCCCTGCAGCTGGTCAGAGGCAACCAGCACACCTACTACAGGTCGCTGCACGAGAAGTATGGACCCATCGTAAGAGTCTCGCCTAGCGAGCTCAGCTTCATAAGCCCGGATGCACGGGAAGAGATTTACGGCTTCCGCGTAAGTTCAGCAACCATCATGATACCACTTTCCCTTCGAGGCTCAGATAGGGATTAACCTTTACCAACAGAAAGGTAAGCTTCTGATGGAGAAGAGCCCGATATTTCTCGGCGCTGTTGGTAGCACTGACGGGCAGACCGGCGTGAGTCTGGCTCTTAATGCAGACCACATCCGCCAGCGGAAAGCCTTGGGCTATCTATTTACCAACAGCGCGTTGCTCCGCTTCGAGCATCTGTTCCGCCAACAAGTTGACTATTTCATCTCCGTGATCGAAGAGAAGATGAGTCAACACGAGTCAGTCGACGTGTCGAGTTGGTGTAAGCCCCTCTGAGACTGGATCTGTGCTTTTGATATAATTATAACTGTTGACTGACATCCTCTACATAAGATACCTACCTCGCCTTCGATATCATGGGCGACGTATGTTTCGCCGAGCCCTTCGGATGCCTGGGCCAGGCCTCGGCTACAGAGTGGTCTACCTCAGTCATCAACGTCTTTGTAGCCGCGACCTGGACGCAGGGCATCCGCCGGCTGTCTGGCACCGGGACCTGGCTTGAGTCTTTCTTGACTTGGCTCCTCGTACCCGCGCGGGCGGCCGAGTGGCGGCGCACACACCTAACAAACTCACGCGAGAAAACACTTCGTCGTCTCGCCGATCCGGACCGAGACCACCCGGATTTCATGTATTACATCCTCAACAGCGAGTCGAAGAAGCTACTTTCCGAGACTGAGATCGTCCTCAACATGGCCCTCTTCATCAGCGCTGGCACAGACACCACCGCCACCGCCCTGACGGGCTGGACCTACTTCATCTGCACTCATCCCGACGTCTATCAGCGCCTGGTTGGCGAGGTTCGGGGGGCCCTGGCATCCCATGAGGACATACGGTGGGACAAAGTCCGTCACCTACGCTACCTCGAGGCCACCATATACGAGGCACTACGCCTGTTCCCGCCGTCGCCCGCAAGTCAACAGCGCATTGTCCCACCGGGAGGCGCCACCATTGACGGCTACTATGTCCCCGCGGGCATGACAGTGGCTGTCCCGCCTTGGGTATCGACGCACTCGTCTCAAAACTTTGCCGAGCCCGATGAGTTTCGACCGGAGCGATGGCTGAGCGAGGAGACCAAATTCTCTGGCGACCAACTTAATGCCTCCCTGCCTTTTGGCACAGGACCCAGGGTCTGTATTGGGAAGAACCTAGCTTACATGGAGATGCGTCTCATCTCAGCGCATTTGCTGTGGAACTTTGACATGGCGCTTGATATCGAGAAGCACAAGAGGACTAATGAGATTTGGGGACTGGACGGGAACCTTAAACCTATGAAGGTCTTTCATTCCATGACAAAACCAGAACTGTGGGTGCGCACGAGAGAAGTGCAGCGGTAGCTTCCTAGAATAGTAAGATCGTTCTTCGCCGGGTCAACTACTGGCTACATAAGGTATGGGCCGCCGTGAAGACAAATCGATACACAAAGCCAGTAAATGTGACTGAGGATATCCGAGGCCAGTAAGGCTACTGTACAGGCAGTAGGTGGGGCAGCTCACTGCACTAACGTTGCTCAGCTGCAGGATGACTATGCGATGGGCTGAATACGGATTGACACCTGTCACCAGAATCTTCCCCTCTCCAAACAGTTCGACATAATCCGACCTGCCACTTGAGAAAAAGGTTGTTCATCTTTCTTGCGGCACTGCTGTATTTCTGCATCATTATCTTCGTCTTTGAGGTTCGACACCATCGTAAGAAGCGCCGTTTCGGTGGCAACCTCTCACAACGACATGTACGACGGACAAGAAGAACTCGATAACCTTGTCTGAGACAAGAACGACAAGGACTCTACGGAGGCACAGAACCAAATGCGATTCAAAAATACCTGTCGCAAAGAGGAAGAGTTCGCAGAAGAAAAAACTCGGGAAACCCGCAACCTTGATGTCACCCTTCGTCTTCGGTGGATTCAACATCATCTACAGAATACACCTCGAAAATACGTCTCCAGATGTTATGGTTCGTCTCCCCTGCCCAAGTCTTATTCAGTTTCCCAATGAGAAACCCGTTTACGAGGCGGCCACGGCCGCCTTAATTGCGGAAAAAAGACAACTGCCTATACCCCGACAACTTTTCTATTGCCAAGATCCGACGGCTGGCCCCTTCGTTATCATGGAACGTGTGGAGAACTGCGGGAGCGTGTCAGCGAGACTGACTCGACCCAGCGATGACTCTTCAGCGCCTCATGTTCTGGACCCCAACGTCTCCGAGACTACGCTAGAGGCCATCTGGAGCAAGGTAGCACACTGTCTGCTGCAGCTTTCCCAGATAACCTTCCACGGATTGAATTTTTGGTTGAGGCCAATGACGGCTCCTTTGAGGTGGTCGGTAGGCCTATAACTCACAACATGACCGATATAGTTCGACTCACGAATATTCCTCGTTGCGTCCTCCCACAAGAGGGCAAGACGTACGAGACTGCAGATAAATGGTATACTACATTAGCAGATATGCACGTTGCACAGCTCATCTTCCAACACAACGACCTAGTCACTTCTAAGGATGATTGTCGAAATAAATACGTGGCACGCCAAGTCTTCCAAAGATTGGCCAAACAAGGTCGGCTCTCTACTTTTGAATTCGCCGAGGACAACTGGTCTGCCCATTCATCCAAGATGTGAGCTCCCAAGCTCTCTCCAGCCCCTTCTGCTCCGACTCCTTCCGACTGTGGGGGACGATTTTCGGGCGGGAAACATACTCCTCACAGACTCGGATGAGATCGCTGCCCTCATCGACTGGGAATACACCTATGTTGGGCCTACGCAGTTTATCCTTGACCCGCCTTGGTGGCTCCTAACTGAGACGGCTGAGATGTGGTCATCCGGCATCGACGAGTGGAGAGAAACGTATGACATGCGCTTGAAAACTAGGCTCTCTGCCATGGAAGCAGCGGAAGCAGGCGCAAACAGAACCCAATCTTCTACCGGCATCGCTGTCCACATATATGCGAGAGAGCTGGGAAACGGGACGGCTTTTTCTCAGCTATACGTGCAGAAAAAGTTGGGCGTTTGACACCATGTACTGGAGGTTTCTGGACGAGAAATTCTTTGGTGACCGAGAACGCAGTGTTTCCGAGGCTGGTTAATGGAAGACGAGAGGAGAGCTTTTGAGCGAGGAAGAGAGAGCCGCCATGGAATACTTTGTAGAGAGGAAAATGGCCGAGTCGAAGGAAGGGTGTATTATTGACTGGGACCCAAACGAAGCCAAACAGCGCTTTTCCGAGCTTCTGTTTGATTAAGAATATAATCAAATTAGAGACGGGATCCACCCTCGTCAAAGCTAAGGTCAACCTCTTCGAAAATCACCTTCTTCTCTGTAAGAAGGTGAGGAACTTAGTTAGGTTTACTATGCTAAAAACAGTAAAGAATAAATCAAGTAGCAAAATGCTACTGCTGCATTAGAACGCTTCTGTTACTAGTTAGGTCAAGTCAAGCAGGTGGGAATACTTTAGAGATACACTTTAGGTTGTAGTAAGTTATACGGGGTCCTTATAGAGCAGCAGATAGTGCCACCAACTTAATATTTCTGCTAATCCGTATCTACTTCAGAAATTTATACACGCACAGTCTTCCTATCTTCTAAGTCTGATACAAGAGTCTCAGAGAAGTTCCCCAAAAACCTCATGTGATAGTGGTGTAGGTTGCTATTCCTCTTACTCGGCCTTGACGGACAGCACGGTGAAAGGCGCGCCCTGGCAAGAGTTCTGGACGGTGGTAGTGAACGAGGGACCCTGGCAGTCGGTTCCCTGGAAAGCCGTCAAGGTCAAGCCCTTGTTGCTGTCGTAGGCGAGGGAAGTGCCAGCGTTGAAGTTCTTGCACTTGCCGTTACCGGACTGTCCAAAGTTGGTGTACTGTCCGGTGACGCAGTTGGTGATGGAGAATGCGCTGGCAATGGGTGCCAGAATGGCGGTGACAGCCAGAACGGAGGCAAAGGTGGTCTGCATTTTGACGGGAGAGAAGTTGACTGTTTTCGGGTGTTAGTAAAACCCGTATTTTTTGATAAAAATGGGAGTAAAGAAGATGGCAGGCATACCTTTTGTTGTGTTGAGTGTTCGGTAAAGAGTCTGGTGCGGGATAGTTCAGGATGGTGCTGGATGAGTGTAGTTAAATGTGTGTGTGAGTTGGGTTGAACTTTGAATCTCTACAGAGGCATAATGCCGATATTTATACTGCTTGACTGCAAAGGATAACTGCATGCTTTCCTACAAGGACCACTTCTGTCGACGATAGATATTCGGAAGGATATCGGAAGGATTTCGAAAGGATCTTGAAAGGATTCTATGGACCCCCATACTACGGCTGAATTTGTAGATCCCTTCGTAGATAGCTTCTTTCAGTGGGTTTCCAGCTTGAGTTGACATCGACGTTGGTCTCGGTGGCTTATACTAGTTCGAGTCTTACACGGTTATTGTAGTTCTGCCGCTTATCGTCTTTACTCTATGTATTCCGTAGAGGAAGCAGAAGGTAATCATGCAACGCGAATTTGGGACCTAAGGCGAAGCATTATCAAGTTCTCTAAAGAGACATCCAACACAAAATCTACTGCTTCAACAGCATTCAGATAGCCCGACTACATCTGAGAGACCGTAGCAGTGGAGATTGTGCTGAGTGGATGCTGCCCCATTTTTAAAGAGTTGTTGCCTACAAGAGGTCGCCGAGCTGCTAGGTTGTTAGACTCCGAACGGCACGGGAACATTCATTAGAGGCAATGATCAGAGGGGAGTGGCCGAACTCTAATTTGATGGTTGTCTTAAAGTCCGTTATAATAACCAGGGAAGGTGGCCTGTTCCTCCATTTCCCGTAGACCAACGATCAGTATTGTGGGCGGCGTCTGTAGAATGCCAGGGTTGAGGTTCAATTGCCCGCAGAAATCGGGAGCTGACCTGCACAATATCGCTCACTGCCCCCCAATTCCCACTGGCAGGCAGAAAGCGCATGAGCTACCAATGAGATAATTCCGGCGTTAACAGAGGCAGGCTTCTGTCAATCGAAGTAATTCGCTGGTGGGTACTCGTCACAATCATACTGGGCACCTTGAAGACGGTGGATTGGATCTTGTCAGCTGGCTCCTTTGTGATGAGTGATCCACGCGAACTTCACCAAGGCTGTTTGCCGGTAACTAACCCTCGTAGCTTCCAGCAGGAAAGTCAACTTCGCTGACTGCGGGTTAATAGCAGAACTGTAGATTACCTCTGTGGCTTTGTTGATCAAAGTCACTTTTTATGTCGGCCAATGTTCCTTGCTTGAGGGCGGTAGGATTTGATCTTTCCGCATATCATTTTGATATAGATGTGATGCTCAGACTGGACGAGTTGGATGCAAGAGACAGTCAAACTCAATCTTTTTTGCATTGCCACAAGTAGTATAGCCGGAAAGTTTTGTCTGGTTACATTGGAATCCCAGGGCTTTTAGGGACTGAATGATATAACTATTATATACTTATCACCGGCAGTCCATTGCGTCCAGCCCTTTTGCTGTGAGCAATCTGAATGCGTAGTGGTGAAAAAATGATGTAAGTTCGATGCTTTGAATGCGGCATCGAATTACGGAACAAAATGGTTGAGATTGGCTCATGAGTAATTTTCATCAATTAGAAGATCATCATTTCCTTGTGTGTTTCACCGCACTGATAAAAGAACTGGTCGGTGCTGAAGATAAGATCCTGCGGATAGCAGACAGTCTCCATAATAGCTTACGGAGATATTTTGGGTTGGATTATCGACCTCAGTCATCCGTCACCGTGAGTCAGGTGGATGCTCAGTGATTAGAAGGATATTTGTGTAGAGTCAGATATTTTGGCACCCTTTAATAAATGAAGCATGCCTCGAACCGATGATCTTGTGCTTCACGTGCGCAGGCATGAAAAGCGGGCTGAATATAGAAGAATCAGATCAGGCATTAACGGTTTTCCCAAACACACCCATGCCAATGTGACTCGTGCTCGTTCCCATACTCAAGCCGATCGTGAGGCTACTGTGAAGACCCTTGAGGCATCGGTGATCCCCCCAAGCTGATCAGGATCAACGACGTCTCGAACGGATGAACGACAGTGATTAAGCTTAGACCACTCCGATGGCCAGAGAGCGCCGGAAACAACTGGGATTCGCTTTACGAACATGGTCAAAGATAGGATTTTGTTGGACCCGTATTAACATCTAAATAGTTGTGGGAAAAAATAAGGTACACACACTACTCTTTACAGGGATATATCTCATCTAAAACAGACCAGCCATGGCGAAGAGAGCAACTCCGAACAGACCTGTGCCGACAGTGGCACCACTCAGCAGCTTGCCAGCAGCAGCGCTGGAGCCAGTGGAGGCAGTCGCGCTAGCGGCAGAACCGGACTGAGTGGCTGAAGTCGACGCTGTCGGGCGCAGCGTAGTACCTGTCGCTGTGGAATTACTCAGCGGGGAGTCCGAGGATGAGGGAGACCCAGTGGACAGCGTCGCGGTCGCAGAGGAGCCTTCGGAAGAAGAAGTAGTAGAAGAAGCGGTACCTGAGGATGTGTCGTTCTGGCCGGAGTTGGTGCCGTCGTCGGTGGAGTCGGCGGCTACCATCTTGATGCTTTGCCAGTTGCCCGTCATGTCGCTGTAGGTGTAGGACTTGGCCGGGTTCGAGTTGGTGATGGCGACCTTCTGCACGGTCATGGTGTAGGGGCCCTTGGTGTAGTCGGTCTCACCGCCAGCCCAGGTGATGGTGCCGGGGTCGTTGTCCGGGTCGCCGCCGGCCCAGATGCCGAGGCGCAGGCGAGCCGGGTCTGGGGGAAGTTCTTGCCGCCGACGGCGTCGGCGAAGTTAAGGGTGCGAACCAGGTTGTTGTCGATGTACCAGGTGACGGCCTCAGTGGTCCAGTCGATGGTGTAGTTGTGGAACTCGCCTTGGGTGGCGGCAACGGTGTGGAACGCGCCGCGGTCAAAGGTTGTGGTGTTGCCCTTTCCGAAGTAGTTAGTCTGAACCTCGGCGTCCTTGCCGCCGAGCCATTCCCAATCAACCTCGTCCAGATCGTCGGATTCGACGACGACGCTGCTGACCACGCCGGTGCCGGGAGCGGCCTTCATGATGACCTCGGCGCGGCCAAAGAAGAAGTACCACGATGTCTCGATGGTCGGGGCATCGCCCTTCTTCGCTAGGGTGAACTCGGCACCGTTGGAGGTGTAGGAGATGTTTCCGGCGGCGACCGTCCAGGCAGCATTGTCGGCACCCTTGGTGAAGTCAACCTCGTAGTTGCTCGTGGTCAAGCCGGCGTTGGCGGGGCATGTTTCTGAGGGGCCTCATGTCAATAAAGTTTTCCTCACAGAAATCTGAAGCGTCGTGAGGCAAAGTGGTGCATCGGGAATGCCCTCAAGATTGAATGCTGATCCTCCTCAAACTTACTTTTAGTAGGGTCGCAGTCGGTGAAAGTTTGAGCAAAAGTCGAAGTTGCGAGAAGAGCAACCAGAGACGCTTGACGAACGAAAGACATCGCCATTGTGTGTGGTTTTACGGCGAGGAAAAAAACCCTCCGAATTCAATTCAACGATAGTGTAATAATAGGAAAAGAAGAGAACTGAGTGAATGGAAAGGGGAGAAGAGGGCATTCAGTCGAGGACCATGAAAACAAACCCGCCCCCTTATTACGGTGCGGGTCACACGTCTCCATTATAAACTACATACATAGAAGGGCAGAATCGACGAGATGCCGCATGTACATGGATACCTGGTGTTTGAGTTTTGCTGGGAGAACCCCCATCCCGCCGGCCACCCGAGTTATAAAAAGCGGGAGCCAACCACCGACTCAAACCGCTGCCCACCACAACCCCAAGGAGGCTGACGTACGTTTGAGAGTGCAGCCAACCACAAAGCACCCCTCCCATTCGGCGCCCCGAGGAGTGGGGATGCGTTGTTGGTGGGGTTTGTTAGGTTAGTGGGCGAAATCTACTGGGGGGCGACGCGCGTGCTGGGGTGGCTGTACTTGTCTCCCCTGCCAGACCACAGCTTGTCTCCCAGGGCAGCAGCGCCCACCATCCGAAGTGCCGTGCCGGGAGGCCGTCCATGCTGTTAAAAGCCAGTGCGTCTTGTCAAGCGCAAGTCACCAATAGGACCGCCCAGCACGTGCTCCGTTCGATGGGGCCTAAAATGGTGAGACGGGATGACCAACGCTCGAGTCTCAAACCTCAGTGGCTGATGCCGCCTCTCAGGGTGGCTTGGGCCCGACACCCTCTCCTCTGGCAGGTTACAACTCTCAAACTGCGTGGTTTGGGGGTTAGGGGTTTGAGACGGTGCTGGACGGCAAACGAACGCTGGCGGGAACAAGTTGGGAGGCCCCCTTTGGAATCGGACAGCATCCTTGGTTTTTCAGCGGAGAAACATAAGCATCTTTCCAACTCAAAACGAGACCAAACTTGGGTTTTTGATTGAAGCGATGTTCAGGCTGTGCTCTTCAGACGAAACATGTTTGTAAGCTCATTGGGTAACCTTACATCACAGAATTGAAGGCTGACCTGTCGCGGAAAGTCGCGACCATCCCAGGCAAGGTCTTGTCCACGTTCCTCATCAACCCCCGTTGCCATCGGTTTTGCCGCCCTGGTATCATTGTTCGTCGAACACGAAGACACGACGTCGGCGGCCTTGGCACTATCGATCGCACTAAGCCCGTCAAGGAAATGACACCTGCAAGGGCATCGCCGGATCCCGGACGCCCACAGTCCGTCAACGGTGGTAGTTGTCCTACCGGGGGACGGCTGAGGAGCTAACGAGGTCGGCAGATCTACAAACGGAACGAACATTGCCACAAAAATCCCAATGAGGGTTCGCACACGAATCATCGCAATCGCACTACAGTCTCCGCGCGCGGATGGATTACGTTGCTTGCGGATGCTTTCGTTGTTGGGTCGAATTGGAGCTGAACGACGGGATGCACGCTTAAGTACCAACCACCTTGGACACCACGCATTCCCGAAATTTTCCAGGTTGGCCAGCAACCACAACAGGGTGTCTCCAAAGCGTTCCGATGAAGATCATTTGTCTTTCTTCGCAACCAACACACTACCATCCTACAGTCACGAATCCAGCATGTTATGTGTAAGCAGGAATAAAGTCTCAAAAAAGAAATTTTTTCCCGAGACTTTCTTGCCATCAGCTTTCAGTCACCAACAACCCTTTTTCAACCACTATAGCTCGTAGGCCGTTAAGAGCTCGTCCTTGAGCGTTGATCCTTGCAATGATTCTGTAAAAGTTTAAGGGTTTCTCATCAGTGTGACCTCGTTCCTGCAGTTGGTTTTGGATGCTACAAATTAGCAAGACCGACCTGCAGATTGTGCTTTACATTAGCTACGGCAAGTTAGCCCAGTCTGTGAATCGCGCGCATGCACACATCTCAAAAATCCATGAGCTGGCATCCTTCTAAAGAACAATGCGTTTTATCATCATCTAATAGGACGCCGATTCTGAGTGGTCAAAAGACCCCCGACGTTGTGTTTTGTCATGCAACTCCTGCATGGGCTTAGTAACGTAGAAAATGTGACTCGAAGGCTAAAATCAGTCAGCGTTAAAGTAGAACTTAGCCTCTTGACACCATTGGAACAAGGTGTGTGCGAAAAAACGCCTCTATGATACCACATGCCGTCTCTGAACAGGCTCTCGGTTGCAGGTAGCACCATGACAGTCCAGCTAAGTTGAAATACAAGTAAAAACCATACAACAACAGGTGTTCGCTGGCCGTCGCTGAGAGGGTGTTGTTCCAAAACTTCCTAGTCCAAAAGTCCAAGATTAATAAACGGGAAGCAAGGTGGACGTCTAAGCGCCTCGGGTCCCATATATCTCGGGATCCAGCTATTGACAGATGAAATGCGGTCTTATGCACGTGATTTATAATATCGCATGAACCAATATTGGCAGACACTTCATCCGCCAAATAACGCTACATCCGTGAAATCACTTCAAATGAGGGAGCAGGGTACATCATCCATTAGACTTTGCTCTCCTTGCTGACTGTATTGTAAGGGGATCACCTGCCTAATGAGGAAGCATGTCTCTCTATTATAATCCGAAGCGGTTTTGCCCCTTTAGTTTCGTTGGACTGTAGTACTTGATATTTGAGGTCGTAGTCGGTCAGAAGAGATCTACACTTTAGATCAATCTATTAGAAACTCAAAGTAGAGAGATTCGCAGATAAACAGCGTATTCTTGTGCTCATCGCACCCGACGAAATACGTGGTTAATACTTGTAAAACTCAATGGTGAAAGCTGAAACCGGACCGATAGTGTATCAAATCGGCAGAGGCAACATTGAATAAGCGGTAAATAGCGGAAGGAAGCATCGCTACTAACTGTCTACGTGCGCTTACCATCATCACATACCTTCGTCGAGGAAGCAATCGATCTTGTCAAATTATGATTCATGTACTAACGGCTTGTAGGACTCCGAAAGTATCACAAAATCGATTCCTAGCCAAGATCTGTTTTCGGCTTTAAATGTAGGCAATTTAAAGGGTCTCCCACCCTCCTGTAAGGCCTGGCACTCAGTTTGGTACTGAAAGTTGCCTTACAAGCATGCCAAAAGGTCTCAGAGCTAGTACCAGAAGATGAAGCCATTACCGAAAAGACAATAGTAACTCACTCAGCTGATGCTAGGAGATTTTATACAGCATCTCTTGGCTCTTAGCTCTTGGCTCTGTTGATTCTGTGTCGATGACGTCTGAAGCTGGTCGCGTGTGAATATAAATACGGTCTCGTACTTGCCAGGAGAAAAGTTACGAAGAGGAAAAGGTATAAATGCCTCCACTTGTACCGGCTGTTTCTCGTTTCTGAATTCATCAGAGCATCGGCCTAAATTCTAAGTCTACCTTCACTCATCGTACTTCGCGCAATAAAGCTACCAGTTCTCATTGAACCGACTTTGATATTCTCATCATGCAGATCGGAAAGCTCACAGTCCTCGCCATCAGCTTCGTGCTGCCCCTCACCACTGCTGCACCGACTGAGATCCAGCAGGGAACCTTCGAGGGTCTCGAGGTCCTTGAGGCCCGCCAGGCTAAAAACCTAAAGGTCTGCATGGACGCTGACTTGAAAGGTCCCTGCAAGACCTGAAGCATTCAGGACAGGACGTGCTATAAGTGCTATTACATTCTACCATGCCACGCTTCTATGATGCTGCGCGCTTCCTCACATTTGCGTCACACCATTCAAGCCCACTGACCCTACCCACAGACCACATCGATCCCGACTTCAATGACAGGGTTTCCTCTTACGAGGTCAAGGGCAGCATGTACTGTTTCATGTTCCGGGATACGAGCTGTAGGGGAGGCTGACATGGCTCCTCCGGCCGCGTCAACAGTCTCTCCGGAGATTGGAACGACAAGTCAGTAGCTTCCAGTGCAAAACTTAAAGCCACGTAATGGAACCTGGCTCAAAGACAATAGAGAAGTGTAGACCCTTTCTTTTACAGCGCAGGCCATAAGTGCTTCGCAAATTGTTGGGACTATGCGTGTAGAGCTAGTCGCTCAAATCGGATACTATCATCTAGCATTTTGATTATTCTGATATCATCTTGGCATGGTCACTAGTGTATCAATCGTAATTCTGCAGCAGTAGTTCACGCTCTCAAGATAATCCTCTTATATAGGTATTGCAGAGAGTTTTCAGTAGGATTGCCAGCAGAATCTTACGTACTTGTTAGCATCGCTTCCGCATCATTTCCAGCTCAAAGAGCCGTATATGAGAGGTTCGGTGCATCTCCTACATCTGAAAGTCGAGGTATCGGCTTGCCTGTTTTCAGTCATTCACGATGCTCTAACCCAAATATGACGTGTCGTTTCGATTAACACAAGAATATCAGACAATCTATTCCATCCCTACGGTTCAAGATCACCACATGCCGCCGGTTTACGGAATGTGACAGATGATCGGGTCAGTGGATTCTTCCTGGCAGGCTAAATAGGCTTATCCTTCTGTTGTCCGGCAAAGAGTGCTGTTATTCCACAGCTAATATATTGATGACGAGGAGGCCGATCTCTTGCCGAGGCCACAACGTTGAAACAAAGGCTTACGTCAGAAAAGAATTAAACCAATGAAGTTGTACTAACGCGCTCACCATGCTCAATCTTGACATATCACACTCACTACTTTGCCAGATTTAAAGCAGCATTGTGGAAGCGAGGAGCTGGGCTCGGCGATATAACTTGGACGCCTTACTGTATGTACCGTCTACGAACCAGATTGATAATTATTGATGCATTGTTTAAGGATCGTACGACCCGTGCATCTCAATTTCCCTGTGACAGATGTGAGTACATAGACGATACTAGAGACTAAATGCGACGGGGAAATAGAAGTACGTGAGGCGCAGTGCCTCTGGGTCATGGCGGCGCAAGACTTCTAGGCGGCGTGTATGGCGACTAACGATATCCAAGCTGGTGCAAAAAAGTCCAGAATGAGGCTATCCTTGGAGAACGATTTCGTCGCTGGTACTACTACCTTCTTAAGAGTATGGTAAGTATGATTTTGCACATACCCAGTATGCTGACCAAAAGGCATAAAGACGAGTAGGGTCAGGGTTGGCATGAACATATTTGGTCAATCATCTCACAGTACACCAGCCTTGGCCTCCATACGTCTTAACAGAATACAAATACCGACTACTGCAGACTCATCAATATCTTGTTCAGGAGTTGAGCACGGCATCGTCTGATAAAGGCTGTGGCTTGGAGCAGAAACCATTGATTTATGTCATTAGATCAAATTTGTGAGTCGGCCTAGTGGTTTGTAGTTGATTAATGCCAATTCGCGATACCGACGTATTGTGGGATTGCTGGGCGATGATACCTACTCAGTTTAAAGTTGTTTCCCTCCGCGCAGTGGATGCCTTTGGCCCAGGGAACAGCCAGTGAAGGCAGATCTGAACCCGTTAGAGTCAAGCTCTGATGTAAGTTTATGTGGCAGTTTGGCATTGGCACAGCCACACTACTTGATCCTAAGCCACACATGGCGAATGCCCCACCTTACGCCTCGGCTACCTACCTAGCTTTCGCCGTTGGGTTGCTGATGTCACACGGGCCCAAGCTTGTCAATCACCGAGCGGCGAGCAATCAGGCTGTCCGGAAACACCACACTTGTAACCCCACGATCCTACCGTCACTTCCTCACTTGTGCCTTCTTGAAGTACGAGAGGATACGCTGCAGTCTTCCTGTTGATACTTTAACATGCGCTAGCAAGGCCATTTCCTGTCCATCGCGTTGTTTGCGCAGCCCATCGGTTCTAAACTCGGGCACACGACACCCTCGGCCCCGAACGCTGACGAACCGACGATCACCACCACCGCCCCTCTTCCGCCAACCTTCCCACCATGGCCGAGATGTCACCTCAACAAGCCGCTCCGCAAGATGGTGAGAAGCGATGCTTCATATGTCTCATGGACGAGAACGAGTCCGGCTCCTCCGAGTCCGCCTGGGTCAACCCGTGCCCTTGCACCCTCGAGGGCCACCAGGACTGCATGATCCAGTGGGTGACGGAGCTGGAGCGCGAGGGAAAGGAGATCCAATGCCCAGTCTGCAAGGCAACTGTTCACATCGACGAGCCCTTTGATCCAGCGCTTGCTCTCAACAATCAGATCTACAAGACGTTCAGCAAAGTTTCACCGGGACTCATTCTCGGAGGTCTCGGCGCGGGCACGTGGGTCGGTCTCGCTATGTACGGGAACATCGCGGTGCGCGTCTTTGCGGGTCCCGAGGCGACCTATCGATTTTTCTTCAACGATAGCAATCCTAGGGGAATACCCATGGTGAACTGGGTTCATGTTGCTATCCTACCTACGATCGCGCCTGCCCTGATCTTGGGCCAGTCGTTCCCCGTCCTGGGCAATGTCTTCTTCATGCCCGCGGCAGCATTGGTAAAAGACACCCTGATTTACTTCTTTCTGAGAAATGCTGACTGATACGATATAGTATGGCGTCTTTCACATGGCGCGCGACGACCATTTCTTCTCCTGGCCGCCCTCTCCCCAACTGGCCGCAGCATGTTTCCCGTACATCAGAGCCGTATATAACAACTTCTACCACGAGTTTGTGTGCCCGTACGAGCGGAGGTGGGAGCGCAGGATAGCAGGTCTGCCTGAACCAGTGGCACCGCCAGCGAACAACAGGCCCAACGGGAACCGTCAGCGCCGGGCTAGGAACAACGACGGCGGTCGGAACGTCGGCATTGTGGGAGGTCTGCTTGGTGCAGCCATCGACATGCTGGACATTCCCGACGTTGCAATGGAAGTTGAACTCGAGGAAGTCGAAATGGGAGAAGAGGAAGGTGTCGCCCGCGTCGAGATTCTTGTGGAGGAGCTCGAAGAGGATGATGCCGAGAGGGAAAACGCAGTCAGGGAGCTCGCGGATGCTATTGTTGAGCCGGAGCCGCGCCCGGATGCCCAGCCGCAGCAGCAAGAAAACGACCAACCAGCGGCGGCGCAGCAACCCGCGCAGCCGGCACCCGTAGCCCCGCGCCAGCGCGGCATCCAAGCTAGCCTCCGGGACGTCACAAATGCTCTGGCGAGCACACTACTTCTGCCTGTACTCTCGGCTGGCATGGGCGAGCTCCTTCGCTTGGTTCTGCCCAAGCACTGGACCACACCGGTTGGCGGATTTGGTCGGTTCAAGGTGCGGACCGGTCTGCTACAGGACCAATGGGGCCGGAATCTTGTCGGCGGCTGCATGTACATCGTGCTTCGCGACGCTTTCCGGCTGTACACCAAGTACCGTATGGCCCAGAACAAGCCGCTGCGCAAAATTCGAAACGTGGACCGACGGAGGAACCAAAGCTCGTCCACTTCGTTATGAAGAACGATCGACGGAACATACTACAGCACAGTACACAAATGCATATCATCGGCGTTGGCGGGAGCCGGACATGGCCAGGGAAGGATACCTTTTTTCTGTATGAGTAGATGTTTGACATGGGGGACGACAGTGGCCTTTTGAAGCTATTTGGACAGCTCCAGCCTATGATTCGGTGTAACAAGCAGCCAATCTCATTGAACGCAGTCTTGCGTGACGCCGACATGATCGTGAACATGTGCACACTCGCCTAATTGCATGAAACCGAGGTCTATGCACCTTCCGAATCAGCGGGGTAAACTACAACGCCGCACCCCACATCCACCGTACCCGCTGGAACCTTCCAGCCAAACAAAAACGACGAACAGGAGAGGGACGGCGCCAGCAGCCGCAACCTAATCGTCACTTGGGATTGATCCTAAAAAACCAACAACACGTCCATCGTATTTGTGTTTCTCCCATCCCACAATACCCTCGACTTCTTTTTTTGATACCCCCGTGCCGAATCTCCCCTTTTCCCCTTGGGTATATACACAAGGTCCTTCAAAATGGTAAGTTCTCCCCGCCTCTGTCCCTCGATAGCAAGGAGAACTACAATGGTGCGGGACATGGAGCTAATCAATTACCCCTCCCCCTCCTAGGCCACAGTCACATCCAAACAGCGCCTCGCGGTCGCGATCTGCGAATTCCTCTCCACCTCGGTCAACGACGGCACCCTCCCCGCCGACGACAAGGATTCCATCGATGTCGCCATCCAGTGCATCGCCGACTCCTTCAAGGTCGACCCCACCGACAAGAAGCTCCTCGCCGAGGCCGTCGGCGCCCAGAACCTCTACCAGGTCTACTCCGTCTACGAAAAGCTCAAGAACTCGTCAACACCCGCCGCAGCCGCGGGCGCCACCGATGCCGCCGGTACCGCGTCGTCAAAGGTCCCCACCGAGGAAGAGAAGAAGGAGGCCGACGCCCTGAAGTCGCGTGGCAACGCCGCCATGGCCTCCAAGGACTACCCCGCCGCCATCTCCCTCTACACCCAGGCCCTGGCGCTGAACCCAGGCAACGCTGTCTTCCTCTCGAACCGCGCCGCCGCGCACTCGGCCGCCAAGGACCACGAGTCGGCCAAGGCCGACGCCGAGGCCGCCGTCGCCATCGACCCTGCCTACACGAAAGCCTGGTCCCGTCTGGGCCTCGCGCGCTTCGCCCTCGGCGACGCAAAGGGCGCCATGGAGGCCTACGGCAAGGGCATCGAGTACGAGGGTTCCGGCGGCAGCGAGGCGATGAAGAAGGGCTTCGAGACGGCCAAGCGCCGTGTCGAGGAGATGCAGGTCGAGGAGACTGACCTCCCCCGCCAGTCGCCCGGTATTGGTGGTGGTGCTGGCGGCGGCGGCATGCCCGACCTGAGCAGCTTGGCGAGCATGCTCGGCGGTGGCGGCGCCGGTGGTGCCGGTGGTGGCATGCCCGACTTTAGCCAGATCATGAACAACCCCATGTTCGCCAGCATGGCCCAGAACCTGATGAGCAACCCCGAGATGATGGGCAACCTCATGAGCAACCCTCGCCTGCGCGAGATGGCCGACCGCTTCGGCAGCGGTGGCGGCATGCCCGACCTCAACTCCCTGATGTCCGACCCTAACATTGCCGACATGTAAGTGTCCCCTGTTCCTGACGGGCTGTTCTACGTGCAGAAAGTACTGACCGAAGGTCGTAGGGCCCGTAACATGATGGGTGGTGGCGGCGGCGCTCCCGGTGGTGCCCCCGGTGGTGCCCCTGGCGGAGGTGCTGGTGCTGGACGTGGAGGCTCTGCTTAGGATTGACCGTATCACGGAGTATTGTCATGCCTTGCTTGAACAAACGATACCGTTTGCGAATTGATATTACAGGGGACCACCATCCCCGGTGGATCACTAGACCTACCTTACGTCGACACATGAGTTACCGATGCATGGATAGAACACGGTTGGCGGTCTCTTGGGACGAACAAGAACAAGCGTAGCCAAAACTTGCTAGAAATGAACAACCGTGACAAGAGTTGCACATCATCAACAATGTAATTGAACTTCTTTGATTAAAGCTTTTGATCAGGTTGCCGGCCACCATATCCATACATCCTGTCTAATCTAAGCTGTGAGACTTTGCAGCTCTGGCTTTTCGTCCCTTTAACCGAGTCTAATACTGCTTTGTCCCCTTTTGCCTTCTTGCTGATTTCATAGGCCGTTTCTTCGTTTTCATGATGAAACTTTCACCAACAATCCGTTTTCCGTAAGTTTTCCGTAAGCCAGCCTGCGCAGGCACTCATCTCTAAATAATACCACATAGAGTAACGGCGCAAGTGCCACCAGGTCAGATAATAATAGTACACGCACTGATAGTACAGAGAGACCTCAACTCCCATTCGGGCAAAGAAAGAGTTAGTGTGAAGAAGACGATAGAAATAAGAAAGAGTAAGAGCTTTTTTTCGGGTCAGCCGTTGAAGTTGTTGGCTTGGGTTTGAGCGCCAGGGACGTGGGTCCTGGAATTGCCATGGCGGCCACGCCCGCGGCCCTTGCCACGGTTGCATCTTCCTTTATGGCCTCGTTGCTGGCTGGAATGCTGCGATCCGGCAGCAGGCGACGGGGTGGGAAGCCTCGGTAGGGTGGTTTCCTTGAGTGAGGTGATCGAAGAAGTTGAGGCGCGGTCGGCTGGCGTACTGAGCGTTGGCTTAGTCAAATGGTCGTCTGTGGGTGTCTTTGGAATAATGACGGTTGCGGGAGACGCCACAGCCTCCTGTTCCGAGGCGACAGATTCCATCTTCAGAAGGGGCGCCGACACATGTCGAAGCTCCTGTTGACACCCGGGTTCCATTTCTACAGTCACAAGCTGTTGACAAGCTGCAGGAATGGACTCATCCAAACCATCGCTGATTTGGTCTCTACCATCGGGAGCTTCAACGGGTGCTCCAGTTGAGTCGCTTTTCGCATTGAAACGACGGGCGGTGGCATGGGGGGTTCTGAACTGAGGTCCTTCAAGCTTGATGACAGTATTGACGGAGTTATCGTCCGAGTCCAGATTATCAGTCTCGTCGTGTGCAGCTTGAGTTGCCAGAATGTCCGAAATGCTTTTTTGAAAGGTTTTTGTTTGGGTGAACTTGGCCGGGACTGAAGTAGGGGTTGGCTGAGGCGGTCTTCCCACATCCTGGGTCGGGGATGCTTTAACAAGATTCTTGGGGGAGTCGTCATCCGATGAAGTAGCACTGGCCCAGTCCAGCACCGGTTTAAGGGGTTTGCAGACCGACGGAACAATCGAAGTTCCCAACTTGGGGACATTTGGGCGATTGGGCGTTGAAGCAGAGGTGCTCACGACGGCTGCAGACTTGGGCGTGAACTCAGGTGCAACGGGGTTCAGTCGCGATCCCTACACAATCAGTGGTCAGAATCTGCCAAAGATGAATCTTCAGCTGACTCTACCTCTTTCTTGTGATTACCGGGAGTTTGGACGCCCTCGTTACCCTTGCTCGTTTGGGCCGCTACGGCGTGCGGACCTTGGTCTGCCTTCACATTGGCCTCCAAGTCACCATTCGGCTTGGGAGCGCAGCCATCCGTTGTGGTTGGCTTCTTATCGTCGGTAGATTCATTGTCCTTGGGCTTGATGAATGTCTGCTTGGACCACAGGTCGGCGTATCTGCCATTGGCGGTAACAAGATCAGCATGGTTGCCCTGCTCGACGACTTCGCCGTCTTCAATGACGACAATTCGGTCTGCGTTCATGATTGTCGACAGTCGATGCCTGCGTTCAGTTAGTGGGAGTTTACAGTTTTCATGCCAGGACCACACGACGCAATAGCGTTAGTGTAGCGGGGACAGTATAATGACTTACGCTACTATGAAGGTCGTCCGTCCCTTGCATAGCTGCATGAACGACTGTTGGATCTTCTGCTCCGTGTCGGTATCCACGGAACTCGTTGCCTCGTCAAGAAGGACAATCTCAGGCTGCTTGAGGATGGCGCGGGCAATTGCGACACGCTGGAGTTCGCCGCCAGAAAGTTTACTAAGGTTGGTCAGTTGGGTGTCTCCTTGAAGGGTCGAAGGCTACTAACATTCCTCTCTCGCCGACCCGCGTGTTGTAACCATCTGTAAAAGTCATGATCTTATCATGGATACAAGCCGCCTTGCAAGCTTCGAATACTTCGTCGTCGGAGGCCGTAATTCTCGCATATCGAATGTTGCTAATGATTGTATCGTCAAAAAGGATCGGGTTCTGGGGCACCAGACCGATCCGGTCCCGCAGGCTGTGCAAGTCCACTTCACGAACGTCTTGCCCGTCAATCAGGATGGATCCTTCGCTGGCATCGTAGAAACGGTTGAGCAACTTCAACATTGTGGACTTCCCAGCACCGGTAGCGCCGACAAATGCAACCGTCTGGCCGCCAGGGACGGAAAGGGTAATTCCGTTGATGATCTTCTTCTTTTTGTCATATGTGAAGCTGACGTCGTTGAACTCGACATTGCCACCGACAAGCTTGAGGGGCCGCGCCCCCTTTTTGTTGACAATGGTTGGTTCCTTCTTCATGATGTCCAATAGTCGCTCCGCGTCGATGAGATCGCTTCCAATCTTCTTACCAAGACTTGCCATGAAGCGTAGCGGCGAGGTAAGCTGAGCCCAGTACATCAGGAGCATCGTCAAGTCACCAGGCGTGGCCTTGCTGCTCTTTATCCTGTAGACGGCTAGAATGGCACCAGCCAAAAGACCGCAGAGGAGGACAAGTGACTGGAACGCCTGTGCCGTAAACCAACCAAGACGAACACGTTTGGTCCAGTTGATGCGAGTGTGGATGGCGTTCGAGTAGCGAACATCCTCGTATGTTGTCTGGTTGAAGGACGCGACGGTGTGCCACCCGGTAATCCCAGTCTGGCGTACGTAGTGCTCAGCGTACTGGGCGTTCACATGAGCCCGGCGACGCTCCTTCATGACAGCAATCATCTTCGTGGCGATGAAGAGGAAAAGAGTGCTCGTGGCAATGGTGATGAGACCCTCGTATGGTCCAAGGATGACTGACAGGTACACAACAGCAACGACCAGGTCGATCAACATGGGAAGAGCTTGAAAGCAGATGGACTCCAAAAGGTCAGAAATGCTGGAACCACCGTACATGGCCAAGCTGATGTCGGATGTACTCTTGGAGTCGTGGAAATCCGCAGACAGGTTCAAGATGTGTCGGTACGCAGCCGTGCTCAAAGCCCCATCGGCGTAGACCTCGAGTGGGAGGTACAGCCATTCACGCAAGAACTCGATACCGGCGTCAGAGGCGGCAATTCTCAAAAGGCCGTAAATGGCCACGCCGATCCAGGCACCACTGAAGTCCCGATCCTTGAGCTCGTCGACAATGATACCGAATTGGCGGGGAATCAAAAGGTTGAGAGCATTGCCGGCAAGAAGACAGAGGCCGACAAGAACAAGACGCAGCTGCAGGGATTTCTGGCCCACAGGCCAGATGTAAGGGAATAGGATCTGGGGCAAAGTCAGTCGTTGCCTACGAGACAGCTACAAATGACAGTTTGAAATGGCATTTACTTACTGTGAAGCCTTTGATATACGTGAGCCAGTTGCCCTCTTCCTGGAGCCGCTTCTCCATCTCCTCTTGGGCCTTGCGCTGTCTTTCTGCCCAGTACGACTCGGGAGGGTCGTTGGTCCCATAGCCCGAGCCCGAGCTCTGGCTACCGTTCCCAGAGCTGCTAAGCCGGGACTTGGGGTCATCTTGGCCAAGCAGAGACTGTCGCTCTTCGTCCGAGGCCTCTTCCTGGCTGGCTCGAATACGCTGAACGACATAGACAGAGACGATGGTAAGGAGCAAGTAGTAGCGCAGGCCGGCGAAGACAAAATGGCCAATGCGGCAATGCTCGAATGTGCTGGATCGCCGAAGAATCAGGTCTGGGACGGCGATCATGGGTTCGAGTGCCAGAGAAATGAGCCATGATCCCCAGTAAGGCGTCCATACTGGGTGCGCCGTATCGGAGAGGAAGGCCAGCTGAGTGCCGAACACAAGAACGCAGGAAAGCAGGCCAATGACCTCATGCTCCTGACCAATCCATTCTTTCAGAAGGATGGATTGAATGGCGATGATAGCAAGCTGGGCAATGTAGGTCAAAACGAAGGCGACGAAGAGATTGAGGATCCACGAGCGAGGAATGAACTCTTTTCCAGGGCTGTTGGCAGCTCGGAGAGTCTGAAGAGTGCAAACAGCAACGGCCGAAGCAACGACGAAGTAGGTGAAAGCCAGAGCCGGATAGAGGTAGTGGAGGCTATCGAGAAGCTCTTCGAGAGTTGCCATTGCGGCGGCTGTTGGTGAGGATGTGGGGGAACAAATCCGAACCCTTGGAGCGATTGGACAGCGATATAACCCGGGTTGTGGATGTGCCAGCCAGAGGGATTCCGAAAAGGCGACAAGCGACAGAGAAAGCTCCGGCAAATGACAGTCGAGGAGGGTGTGAGAACTAGGGGAAATTCGATGATGGGTGGATGACGAGCGTATATGCTGACTGCTCGGGCCAGGGATAGAGTTGTATGTGATCTGATGTTCTCAGGCCGTAGCAGGGATGGCGCAAAACGGGGAAGACGGGAAGGGCTGCCTGCCGGGTACGGGGTGCTCTGTTTCGTTTCCTTCCCCGAGCTCTGTTACGGTTTGCAGGCGAGGAGCAAGGATGATGTTGGTAGCAAGAGACACTGAACGGACCCAGGCGGACAGATTGTTTCGTTGGTTGGTTATTTCCAGGGGTTCAAGTTGGCGATGGCAGGTGAGATGGTCGATGCACGGTAATACAAGGACAATGCAAGACCGGCCACGTAAGAGTCGACAAAGATAGGGCAGCTCTCAGCCTCTAGAAAGGCAATCTAAGATGAAGAAGACACAAGCACCTAGGAGAGGCTGACACCGGAGGACAAGCTAGGTCCAGAGAGGCGCTATATGGGAAGTGGATGCCTGTCTGGAAAACCAGAGGACGGGCGGGCAAGGTTATGAAAGAAGGGGGCGGCAGGGGGGGTGGAGGGCGAGAGTAGTTGATGACAAAGCCGTCAAGGTTCCTTGGTGCTTCTGTTGAGGAAATAGACACAAGAGAGAGATAGAGAAAGGCTGACGGAGAGAGACAGAGGTAGAGAGGATATGCGCGTGTCGAGCCAATGCAATGCAAAGGGCAGGACGGTCTGAGCGGAGGGAACGTGGACGGGCGAGGACGTCTCAGAAAAAGGGAGCTGCAGGGTGCAAGCTCTTTGGCCGGGTTCCCTTTGACAGTTTCCCTTTCTGTCTCTTTTCGATTCCCTTCCTAATGAGGACTGGCGAGGAAGAGGAAGGCAAGGTCAGGTCAAGTATGGCAAGGTAAGGCAGGTAAGGCAGGTAAGGGTACGGAAGGTACGGTACGATAAGGTAAGGTAAGGTAAGGTGCGGAGACCTCCCCCGGTCGAGGTGCAGGAAGAGGAGGAAAGGAAAAAAAAAAGGTGTGAGCGAAGGCAATCTGTCCCTTCTCCCTGGAAGGCGTTTTCGAAAATTCGGTCCCAAAATGCAATGGTCGCGCAGCTCTGGGAAATGGCGACAATCCCAACCGTGTTTCGTCTATCTGCCGTTCGCCCTGCGTTGGTTGGCGGCGCTGCTGCTGCCGCTGCTTCTGCACGATGTGCGCGCGTCCCTGACCAAAATCCAACACTGTCTCTCGTGTGCAACACTGACACAAGGATGAACACCAGGACCCGGGACAACAGGGAGGACGCGCCTGCGATTCTGCAAGAACTCTGCTTGTCTCCCTCGTCTCCCTCCCCTCGTCTCGTCTCGCCTTGTGCTGCTGCTGCTGCGACGGCAGCGGCTTCTCTGCGGCCGCCTTGCCTTGCCTCAAACCTAAGGCAGTCAACGTGGAAATCCGGACGGAAGACGTCGGACGCCCCAAACCACGTTTTCTGATGACTTCCTAGGAATTTCGCGTTTGACAACCACGCAAGCACACTGCAAATTGGCTTCGTGTCGTTCTCTCAACCGTTCAAGTGGTCGGGATGGTGTTGCTTATTTGAGCTGAATATGCAGCACAAATTTGACGGAGAGAGGGGGAAAAAATCACTCCCTAGAAAAGGTCCCGAGGGGACACAAGCGTGTCACCCAAGCTGTGCGATGCTCCTCTAACCCCAGTCAATATGACCGTAGCAAATAAGATTGGCCAAGGTGAGGATGGTGATTCCGATTAGAGATTCTCGAGCAATCAAGCAGGAACCGCAGATGCAGAGGCCTGTCCCAAAAGGTTTTGTTTCGTACGGGTAGGTGAATCGTTCGCTGCGAGTTCTCTACCGCAATTTGGCTTGATACAATTTGATTATTGATCAGGAGAAGCAGGACCAGAAGACGGACGTTGATCTGTCGTCTAACAAGCTTGGCAGGAAATGTTTGGATCAGCCATTGAGGTCTCTGTCCTGACTCAGATATCCATCAAGGTTGCGGATGTTGCAAATAGGCCTGGAATGGAACGCAAGAGGTGGATACACCAAGCTCCGGGCTGACCTGGCTGGGCCAGTTTGTTTGTCCAATTCTTCCCACCTGCCCTGTGCGTTTCTCTTACACGGCCCAGGTGATGGGATATTGCGGAATTCGAAGGTACAAGAGCCCAAGCGAACGAGCGAGCGAGCGAGCGAGCGAAGGACGCGGCAATGAGACTGGCAGCCTGACACAATGGATACAGCTTCGCTTGTGCGCATCCACGTCGCAGGATTGCGTGAGCTTGTGAACGGGTGCGCGGGGGATTGAAGAAGATGAGCCGTGGTGCAGGTGCAAGCTTGGCGTCATATCTTGCGAACGGGAGCAGCGGATCTTTAAACCAAGTCAACAATTCCGCCGCCGCCGCCGTCGTCGTCCTCATGTCTGCCTTGAGCTTGGGGGGAGTCATAGGACATCAGCATCAATCAGTTGCACAAGTCGCATTCCCGACTACGGTCCACCGCACTGCCTGGGTTCACTGGCACGGGATTGCGAATGCAGAGTACGATATGGATACCCCAGAAAAGACGGGCTCACGCGTCTTACGACGCAACTATGGAACGCGCGCTGGACACCGACATCCACAAGATCCAGAAGGGTGCCTTGCACACTGTTGAGCCGCCATGCTGCCTGCTTTCAGGCCCTCACCGGACATCGCCGTGGCCGACGGGATCAGCAGCATCGAGAAGGTAATGCCGCATACGACGTATACAATTGGCTTCGGCACGAGGACAACATGAATTGCTTCTCTCACGCAGTGCGGTGCCATGTCTTGATTCACAGGGCTGTGGCTCGGCCGATGCTGATTGAGTGGGTGTGGTGGTTATGGGAGGCCTGGCAAGGCGTACCTGAGTCGAGATGGGGTAGGATGGGGTGGTGGGTTTTGGGGCGCTTCAGGCATACCTAACAGAGCTCGCCCATGCGCCGCGACGGAGAACCCCAGTCCAAATGTGAAAGGAGCCCCAAATCTCGGGTTCCGACAAGCCCCAGGCTCCCCTGGGATGCGCAGCTTGCATATGCACGGCACCAACTCCCATCGACACCGAGGAATTGCACAAAAGTCGATGTGTACTTACAATGTGTTCTCAGCAAATCGATTTGTTCCCGTGAGCAATTGGAGTACCAATCCGTTGGTAACACTTGCTGACTGAGTGTAAGCCTCTGCGGTGGCTCGTGCAACATTTCCATCACAACCTGTCGCCTCATCTCTGCCTGCCTGCAGATGTCATCGCCCTGAGTCACAGTCTCACCTTTGACTGCTGGCACAACCTCCTTCAAGCCGCTGTGCCTCTTCAAACATCTACCGACAGCGAAATTGGAGGATGACTTGGAAGCCAAAAGAGCTGGGGCGTCTCACCCCGCCGTCGGCAAAGACCAATCAAGGCCCGGGTTACGCAGGTGCAGCTCCAGTTGAGGGAGCGTGGCGCGGATCGCCGGTTCTCAGCACACGGCATATCCCTGTAGATATGCAAGGCACTTGATGTCACTCTCATCAACGAATCCAGTCACCTTGAGGTCCGGAAATGGGAGAGGAATGCACCCAAAGTCACCAGCATCACCTTGCCTCACAACAACCCGTTCAGATGGGTAGCCGCAGGTTGACCGCTGTTCTGAAACCTTTAGGCCGCTTTTCGAGCCTCGAATATTGAGTCCATTGATGGCGTATTTTGATTAACCGTAGACGCCATGGGCCAATTGCAGCCACACACCAAGCTCTTGGACCTTCAAGGTTTGGATTTAACCTCCCCCGGGTGGCTTCCGACTTCCCGCTGGTAGCAAGCCCCCGCTCAAAAACGGCCGCCATGAACGTTGACCAGAAAACCGTCCGGTAAACGTCGTGGCTGGCTTTGGACTGCCTTAATCCGCGCCTTAATGCCAAGAAGCATACCGCCCGTGGTCCGGACCTGGCTATCCCAGCCGTGGGATCTCACGTGTCTCACCGCTCTTGGTCCCAGTGGCATGAAAAGCAATATCTTGCTGCACCCCTGGCTGGATTGCAAGGGCACCCTGCTGCACCTTTGCTTACTGGCGCCCCGCCTCCAGCAAAATGTTGGGGTTTGATGAGCCCAATCTGGCCTTTGCTAGCCCTGATCATCCTTTGGGTCGGTCCCGGCTAGTCTTCTTTGCCTGATTCACTTGATTCACTCGACGGTAGATTTGTATCGGCCGACGCATGGGGATGGAAGGTGTCTGAAATGGACGCGTGCATAATAGACACGGCAATATTCCGTTACCCCCCTTGGCTCATCGTTGCTTATCAGCATTACCATGAGCATTGACAAGAACGTCAACACCAGGTTGGCATAGCACCCGCCTCCCTCTTTCTCTCAACCCTGTCGGGTACTGTACACTAGGTACCTTGCTCCTCATCGTTACCGCAGGCCGGGCCGAACACAGGCCCGCTCCGCGCCTCGGCTCCGGGAGCTGAGAAATCAACAGGTCGCATAGCTCTCAATCCACCCACCTCACAACGCTCCGGTGGGTCGCACAACTGTCAACACATGGAAAAGAGAAAATCGTGAAAAAGAGGGGTGTCAATCGCTGACGGGTATTGAGCCCGACGTGGCTAGTATGTGTTAGTTGCAATGTCCATGCCTTGGGAGGATCAGATAAGCGCCTACGGGTCGAACCCACAGTCTTGAGATTAAGAGTCTCACGCTCTACCGATCGAGCTAGCCGGGCAGGCGGCTTGTGGTTGATGAGCAATGCCTGGACTGGAAGCCATCATCTTGGTACGGGCTGCCCTACCTGGCGGACCCATCCCTGATCGACCTTTCATGATATATTGATCTCTTCTCTATCTCTGGTCTGGTTAATTTGCCATGGAGACGATGCGCGGTAACCTCTGCGTGGGGATCCGTCCAGTGGCGGGCGCTCCTTTTCCTAGGGCTGACGGATCAATTAGGTGAGCCTTGTTTGAGACACCACATGCCAGAGTTCCACAGAGGTATGTGACTGGAGAGCGATGTCGGAGCCGAGATTCCAGTGGAGGATCCCGTGACCAGGTTGACTTTGTTGGAGAGGCTTGGGCTCTAGAATGAACGTTCCGGGGTTCGCCTCGGGGTTGACGAAGCTTTGAGGGGTCGGGTTTGTGCCACCCCGAGGCTTGTAATTCTGGTGTTTGACAGTTTATGGTGGAAGACAAGAAACCACCGGACCCTGGGACAGACTCGATTATCAAATCGAAGCTGCTCAAGGTTTACCACGCCGCTTGGTTTGCTCTTGCAAAAACAGTTCATTTGGAATTCCGTCTCAACATATCACAAGCGGATTAGGCACAAGGTGGAAGTAAGACAGGACGAGAGGAAGCCGCACTGTACAGCCCAAGATATTTATGAATTGCTGCTTGTAGTACTCCCTGTCGTACCTCCTGATGAATCTGTACGTGAGATAGAAGCCCACGCAGAGCTTCTCTCCTTTCTAAGCCGCCACTCAGCTGCTGTGGGCACCATGATATATATGCCCCAGATGCCCCGGCAGCATCTATTTTGTCTTCTTTCAGTCTAGAACGCTCTGTACTCCGCGGCCCGCTCCTCCACGCTCCGCATATGCTCCGCATAGGTCATGGGACCATACACAGGGAGGGACGCAGGGGAGAGGGGGCGGCGGGGGTATGGGGGCAGGGGCTGCGCCCCGAGGGTGCGGGCCCTCTCGAGCTGTTCCTCCGTGAGAGGCGGAGGCGACGGGAGGCGAGTGCCCAAAGGCAGCTGGCGAAGGCGGCCCGCGGGGTCCTGTGATGTTGTCGGTGCGTTAGACACCAACATCTTCGGGACGAAGAGCATAGGAAAAGGGAGGGGGGTTGCTTACGAGCCAGGACCGGCCGACACCAATGCCCTGGTGCAGGCGCGTGGCCTGCGCGCTTAGCTCCGCGGGAGAGTAACCTCCGGCACGGGAAACGTCGGAGACGGTACGGCGGCGCGGACCGTCCTAGGGGATCCGGCCGGCTGGGGATCTGCCTCCGCTGTCATTGCCGCTGTCGTCCTCGGCGGCGGCGCGCTCGGCGCTGTGGAAGGCGACGCGGCGGCTGCCGACGGCGCCCGGGATGGGGATGGGGAGGGACGGTGCGGCGCTGCGGGAGCGGGAGCGATGGATCGTGTCGTCGGCGCCGAGGGCAGGGTCGTTGCCCGTGGCGAGGGAAAGATGGACAAAGGAGGACGCAGGGGAGGCAGTGAGGGTATGGACGCTGGCGCGGGTGGCGGGAGCTTGTTGCTGCTGCTGCTGCGGAGCCAGAGTCTGGATATCGACGGCTCGGAGGCGGGTACGACCACGCTCTTCCTCGGCGGAGGTGCCGATGTCCTGTTTGCCGTGTTAGTTAGTTGGTTCAAACAGTTGGGGGTTTCCCTTATGTTGACCTCGCCGTCGTAGGCCAGCCCGCGAGACATTCTTCTTATGACGACGTTCTGATGAGGGTTGCTTTGTGTCGTCAACATACAACTGGACAGAAAGAAGAAACCCGAGGAAACCTAGAGATGAGAATGCTTACATGGTTGAAGAAGTTTCTAGTCCTTGCTGAGGGCAGAACAACGCCGCCGGAGAGTTGACTGACCTGGAAGAAAGTATTAGACGAATAAACTTTGTAAAGAAAGTGATGAGCCCACGGTGAAAGATTAGCAACGTCAAGTAGCAGAGGTTTTCTTTGCCTTCTGATAATGGTCGCGAAGTTGCGTTTGCTGAGCGAAAGCGGATGGGGACCTGAGCTTGAAGTAGGACAAGGAGATGAAAGGCTCGAGCCAAGAAAGGAAGAGGAGCGGAGGGGTTTCAATGTTGGCCGTGTGTGAGTATGTCGTTTGATCTCCATGGCGACTCATCTTCGTCAAGCTGCGGCTTGAATTCGGTTGGTGAAGTGGGAAGCGGCTGAGGCGGGATGATGTCGTTGTGCTGATATAGCAACTGGTATTGAAGTTCACCTCGATTCGTGATGGGAATGGAAGTACGGCACCTCGCTGAACAAACACTCTCCAACGAGATAACCGCTACCTCCTCCTGAAACTACCTGACTGTGTTGAGTGGCGGTATCGAGCCATCGTCAGGAAATCCATTTCTATCACTGAGCTATGAGAACACTTACTCAAGCATCGTTTAAGTTGTGGAGAGCGCTGTGCCATCCTATTAGCCCCAGGGACTCCTCATGATAGTCGATGGTTTGCCTTAAAGTGCCTTTGCAGCATCCGAGATGCCGACGTCAGAATAGAAAAGGGCACTTCATATGGGTCAGAAGATCATAAGCTCAATTCCTTTGTTACCAATACCTCCCGAGCTCCTGCTATGTATGACATACCGACCAGGAGAACTTGTAGTATAATGTATGCTCCCCCATCTCAATCAAACCGGCCCACACCTCTCCTACTTATGGATTCCCCTTCTCACGGCAATGCTCTTCATATCTCTTTTGATGCTTCTCCATGGCTGCGTTCCCGACCTCCTCCCACTTCTTGCTCACAAACTTTTCGACCTCGCCCTTAATCATCAGACCCAGACCATCCCTGAGCTCCTTGTCGGGTACTACTCCATAGCTTTTGTCGTCTTGGAAGATGATCCTCTTGAGAGCTTTCTTCAAGCTGCCACGGAACTGGCATCTCTTGGTATCGGCCAGGTCGGCGGGAACGACGTCGTCAATTGTCTTGAGGACGGCTGCCAAGACTCTGTCCTCGCTTCGACCACGGACGACATCGAGGTGGACACGCTTGTACCATGGCCCGACACAGAAACGGTCGAAAGCTTCGTCTGTCACCTTCAACCAAGTCAGCTTTTCTCTGGGGAGGTAGCCTTCTGCTTGGTAACGAGGAACAAATTCTTCATGCCACTGGCGGAATGCCGGCCTGCACTTCAGACGCTTCCTATCCTTAGACTTGAGCTTCTTTCTGGCTGGCTCCTCTCTACCGTCACTCAGTTTCAGCTCCGACATTGTGAGAGGTTCTGGTCCTGTTGATGTCGCTGACGTCGCTGACGTCGCTGACGTCGCGGGATCTGTTGACGTTGGCGACCCTGCGGAGCCTGGTGCAGTTGACGGTGTGGCTGGCTCTGTCGACACGGGCGAGCCGACTGAGTCTGCTCGCCTCAGCTCTTCGTCATCTGCGTCAAGTTGGGCGCGGAAAAAACGGCAGCTGGCAGCGTATTCGTACATCTCCTGACGGGATGCAAAGGGTTCCGAATATCTAGCGACGTCAAGACCAAGGAACAAAAGAACCTCAGCCGGGTCTCTTGTCAGACGAATCTTTGCTAAGCTCTTGTACTTTTCGAACTTTTCAATGTCTGGGTTCCGCAAGAAAAGGGCATGCCCATCGGCAGTGAGCGTGTACGGTTTGATGATAGTCCCGAGGATGCTCCACAGATCGCCGTGTGCGTGCTTGAACAGAATCCATTGCATTTGCTGCAAAGAGTCACAGATTGTGATGTCAACCTGAACGTATCTCTTGGGAATGCCGGTGGTGTCGACATTGTCAGCGGAGGATGGCCATGGGATGGCGTAATGATCGCTGGCCTTGGTAAAGATGGTGTACTCAGCTCCCAAGGCAGCTCGGATGGCTTGGCGTGCCTCGTCACAGGACATCAGCGAATGACCCGGTGACCGCTCTTGTTCCTCTTCCTCGTCAATTCCATCGTCTGCCTCGCCGTCAAGATCATGCTGTTGGATCTTGCTTCTCCCGTCTGCTGCTGCTGGTGTTGTTTTCGGGCCGGATCTACCCTGAAAGGCGGCTTTCTCCCAGGTGACGAGGATGTCGATGTCACCGAAGTTTTCCTTCTCGGGTCCCTCTATGGGACTTGCAACGCAGATGTAAATTTCCCGCAAAGCTGTAGTACACTTGGCCTTCACGTGCTGGTAGACCTCGGGCGGCATACGCGGAGTATCGAGAGGATGCTCGCCCGACGCAAAGGCGGAGCCTCCCATGGTTGATGCAGCTGGGCTAAAGGGCTCTTGAGTCTTCAAAAATTACAAGTCAGCCTAGCCCATGGCGAGATTGTTTCTCAACGTACCCAGGTTGTGCAGCATCAACATGGAGTTCGAGACAGATCCGCTGTACGCGTTGGTGCTGGTAAACTCGGCGAAGGGCGATTGCCGCAGGATATATCTCTGTGGATGCAGTAGTGATGAGGAGTGCCTGTATGTAATGATCTTTGTTGAAAAGCTCGACGATGCAAGAGACAGCATTGGTTGATCAGGAAATGTCAGAGCAGAAGCTAGAGTGACTCAGTGATCGGAGAGTGACTCGAATGGCTGCGCCACCAATTCGTGCAGCGGCTCAGACGAGCAAGAGAGTCTGTAATCTTAAATGGAAGAAGGATCTACCCAGATAGCCGTACTGCAATTTTCTGAACTTTTCCAGCTGATAATAGTGGAAGCCGCGTGGTCTGCAAAGGGTTATCTGCAAATGTTTGTGAAAGTCGCGGGGTAGGTGCCGTGGAGCCGATAAAGCCTTACCCAGCCCAGGTACAGGTTGTTCGTGATGAGGGACAGAGGGCATGGGGCCTTAAAGATGGATTTTGATGAGAAGCAGGAGCACCTTTCTCTGGTTTGAGGAGGTCCTGCCTTGAGAGGATGAGAAGGGTTCAGAGACCAAGGCTCCGTTTGTTGCCGGAAGGGGCGATGTTTGCACTGTGTGAGATAATAATGACACTGCTAAAAACACAGTACAAGGCAGGGTGCCGCTTGAGTGAATCACGGATTGTCGTGGAATCAAGAAATTGAACACGAGAGATGTGGAGCAGCCCACGATCGTCGTAAAAGTCCACGATATTGAAAGCAGAAACCAAGGACGTCAATAAGTTGTTCTCTTTTTCCAGCAGGATGAGGCACGCCGAGCAAAACTCAATGTTGCCTTTCCCCTTAGGAGCAAATTACCTGGCTACAATGGCACAAAAAGCAAGCAGCATAAAGTCTTGGAAATGGCACAAACTATTGGTCGCTTGCATTGCTTTGTCAAAGTTTGGCATCTTTTGTTGTTGCTTTAGTGTCGTTCAGGTTCCGACACGTGCCCGGAGCCCCCCGGAGGTCACCACGGAGACAAGTGGGCCCAAAGCAGACGTCGTTCAGCCACTGCTCCAAACACTCTGAACGGGTCAACTGACTTGGAGCGACTTTTTCTCCCTGATACCTACAACCAAGTCGCACTTGAGACTCACTCAGACGCATCGCGGCCTGGCTTTCATGGCTTTCAAGGATAAGCCCTGATTTTCTCTTGTCAAAGGGAAGGAACGGGGCACACGATCTCCTACCTTTTACTAGGGCAGCATCTCCCTTCTCTATTAATCTTACTTTCCTCCTCATTTCTTCTCTCCATGACATCAGCCAAGCGTAGTTGGAATCATCTTGACTCAGCCGTCCCAGCTTCACGCCTCTGACCTTCACCCGATTACCTTTTGGTAAGGGCCTCGGATCCTGATACACCGCCAACAACTCATACCTCCTTCGCCATCGCGCAACTTAGCTCGAAGTCCGAAATGATCAGAACTCGCGATTTCCGACCCGATGCGGTCAACCTTGCACTGGTCGTCAACGCGAGAGGCCGACGTGAGGGCAAACCCGGTGTCGTTGAACTGTAAGTAGCAATACCTGCTTTACGTCGTCTGCCGAGCTCAGACTGACTCAAATCAGCGACACCGATGAGTTCGGCCACATTCATTGTGGCAAAGTTGTATTCATTGTCTTCCGAGATGTCATCACCGCTGGATCCATGTACTTTGAGAGCTCGCTGTTTGGCTTTTTTAAAGAGGCCTATAGCCAAGAGATTACTTTCGAAGATGACGTCAATCCTGAGGCCCTCGAGGTCTATCTTAATCTAACGCATTCCTGGTTCTTCGAAATAAGGTTTCGCGGCATCCGAGTTGTGCCCGCCGACTACTTCAACTCGTTGATCGAGCCCATCCAGGAGGAGCCCTTCAAGAGAGCTCACCTAGAGATCCCGAAGCTGAAGCTGCGAATGCTAGCCGAGGTTGTTACTCTCGCCGATCGCTTTCTTCACCGTTCGCTCCTCTGCATTTTGAGACAGATGTTCCTGACTCTCCTCAACACCACGCACGCATCATGGGACAAGGTGAAAAAGGAGGCGCGTGACATGGACGTGCTATATCATGCCGAGTTCGTCGTCGACTACATGGACGCATTCAAGATTCTTTCCATGGGCCACGACGATGAGAAATTTCTCAGGGATGCACTGACTGAGTCTTTCTACTGGCTTACCCTGAACACACCTGATCTTAGGAAACGCTTCATGTGTCTCATGAGCAATGACTTCATTGCGGAATGGAACCAGGACCGGCGCGGACACAGCGAGACTGAGCAAATCACTCATGCCAGAGGCATCTTCGCTACCGACCAGTATTGTTATGAATCGGTGACTCGGATTCAGAAACAGCGGCGGTTCAAGCGAGTTGTCAACATGTGCCCGTTTGAGGTTCAGAAAGACGTCTTCCCCTGGGTTGAGAACCCACAGGATAGGCGCATTCGCGTCAATCGTCTGCACGCGTCCCTCTGTGCCATCAACCGCAGTGCTCGCGAGGCTCGTGATCGTGCACTCCAACTCAATGAGTTTGTACTAGTCACTGCATACAATCAACCGTCGGCTGTCAACACACCCTCTCAGATCGCTGCTGGTGGCGGAAACCATCATCCAACGGGCCACGATACTCGAAGGGGTAGACGTGGTGGCCGTGTTTCTCGTGGTATTTACGGTGTTCATTATCAGCAACCTCGCGGTGGCCGTCAACATTTCGATCATACTCAAAACATGAACCTCGCCGGTCAACTCAACGGTCTCAACACTAAGTCGAAAGTTGGCGGGAACGCTCAGAAGAACGGCGGAGAGCATTTGTCAACCTCCAACCAGACTTCACAGCGCCAGGGGTTAACAAGTTTTTCGCTGCCTTCGAATCAAGCCACTCAGTGGTCCAGTCTTGGTGACAATCCTACAGTGCAGAGCTTTAAGCAACCTTCGAATACTGAATCCATGATCAGCAATATTAATAAATTGGTATTCAATGATGGAAACGATGCTCTTCATTTCCTAGAACAGGGTGGCCAGCATGCTGGTCACAGCCAACTCCAGAACCAGTCTCAACAGAATGAGACTCAGTCAATTCAGGTTACTCATTCGATTCAGCCTACTCTGCCTGGTCAACTCAAAGGCCAGCAAGACCATTTCCAGAAGATCAGCTCACAGCAGGGGACTGATAACCACCACCAGGGCCCTAACCAAAAGCGGAACAAGTCTAAGAAGAAGAAGAAGAAGAAGCAATCTCAGCTGTCTGATACCGTACAGAACACAGAGAAGCAAACTCCCGGTTTTGGTATCATCAGATCGCTCCCAAACACTCGGCCTCGAGTCAAGATCACTAGTCAGGGTCTGGGAACTGATGATGACAACGTTGGAGGTACGAATATTACTGAAGATGTCAAGCCTGGCGCCGCGTCTGTCTTTCCAGAGCCGGAAGCCTCCATCTCTGCTGTCCAGCTTCGGGATGAGTCAAAGATCAAGAAGCTTCAATACAATGATGACAAGAAGGACAATCATCGAAAGGGACGAGGTCGTCGTCGCCACAGCGGCCGCGATCATGGACTCCCAAGCCCTCACGGACAGGCCTAGACGAGGGAGAATGCCCCAACATAAATGATTCTTTCCACAACAAGCTCTTCGGAGATTCATGTATAACCACACTTACAGGCTATAAGACCTGAACTTACGATTCTCGACTGCATGAGACCTCACAGCAATCGACATCTTAACCAACGACTTCCTCTCCACCCGTATCAAGAGGTATTACAAGCCATCCCGCCCCTTCTCAGGATTCCGGGAAACATCTCAGATATTGATATGTATCTAGGCTCAACACAAGTCCAAGCAACAAGAGCTCCTACCTTCTGAAAACGTTTCTATTTTCAGCAGCTTTCTCTTTCCCAGCTTCCTATTGTTTTAAGGAGGCTTCATACGGCAACATCGGTCTTCGAAAAAGGGGCCGGACTTTAGCAATATAATCTAAACAGACGTGACTCGACTTTCCATGTTAGAATGGTGTGAGAGAAGAAACTTCTTTCTCTCTGTCGAGTTGCGACCTCTAAATTACTTGTCGAAGTCGGTATCCATAAAGTAAAAAATCAGTTTCCATGGCTGTGGATGGCCAAGAGGTTCGAACAGTTCGAGTACTGCGGTCTTAGATATAACAAGTCGATAGTAAAAAAAAGCAGAGTTCTTTCGCGTATGAGATGTTTCAAGCTTTTATGGTATTTGTGTTGGTTATGCGCATTGTGTGTTATGGACGGTGATCGAAGGATCGCTGCCTACCGTTCTAAGAGCGAGACCGCTCCACTTTTCCACGCTAGCTGGGTGCTCACTGTTTCCTTTTATGGTAGATGCTCCCGCACATGCAGGTCCTGCATCCCCACCTTACGGTAACCTGGATGGGCTTTGCAATCTTGTACTTATTGGGTACTTTTCTAACTTGATTTGGTGACTTGATGTGGGGGAAGTTTCACTGTCAACCTAGTGGTGCTAGAATTACTCCCCCGCGATAGCAAAATTAGCTCGACAAGGGATGTCGTATTGTGAGCCTTCCATAGGCTGCGCCAGTGTACGGTGTATCGTTGAAAGATTTGGTATGTCCGCGAGATGAGGCCATTGGAGCCTCAATCAAATGGACTTGTTAACTGACTACCATGATTCACTGGTTCCACTGTATTTTGAACTCGCTAAACTCAACCTTCAGCGCGTCCTTTGCAGCTTTGTCCGGCCTCGCCGCCAAGGGGCTAACATCCAAGACCCATTCGCCCTCATCCTCGTCTGCAAAAATCCAGCAAATCTTCCTCAGCGGCACCCTTTCCTTGACATTCCCGTCCTCGTCCAGCACGAGGCGGTGTACCCAGGCATTCTTGCCGCCCACACCGCCGTCCCGGAATACCTCAATCGTCACGTTCTTGATATCCGTCGAGGTATCCGCCGCCATCTTCAGTGGATAGAGGCCCCAATCAGCGTACCTGTCGCAAGTGACGGTGCTCAGATGCGGCCTGCCGTCGTAGAGCTCGATGCCCGTCTTGATCCACTTGCTGTTTGGCGCCGCGGTGTCCGAGGCCCGGCGCGGCACGAGTAGCACGCCGGACTGGTCGTAGAGGCTCTCCCAGTTCGCTGAGAAGGTGGCACGGACGGAGAGGAAGGATTTAAGGGGGCCAGAGCTGGTGTAGACGCTCGGGACTAGCGATATGGTGTAAGTACAATGCAGGTGAGTGGGAGTTGAACAATTTGCTTACTGGACCACGCATTGTGACCAGGCTTTCGCCAGATGTCTGAGCCGGGGGCCGCCTCCACTGTAAACGAGGCCGTGTCATTGCTAGTTGCCATATTCGAAGTAGGATGATGAGGATATACAGGTTTTGTTTGTGTGAATGGGTGTGTTGTATGGATATGTGAAAGAGTGAGTAACAGTGAGTGAATCTGTCGACCTTTATAAGCTGCACACTCTTGGCGACGTTGATCGCTTACATAGTAGTAGTCAGCGTGAAGTACATGTAAGGATACGGCGCTGCACTGTTCGTACCAATGGGCTACATACCCGTCGCCTTTTCACATTTGACTGACGACCCCACTAACGGTGTGGGGTCAAGAGCTCAACCCGCTCCATCGAAGTTTTTGCCCTGTTACAAGCGAGGTTCTGCTCTTTAAACAACAAGATACGTACGTCTGTCATGGACATTTCAATGTTGACCATGTTCTTTGTTTGCCATCGATCAGACTCAAGAGACAAACGCGAGGAATTTGCAGGTTCATCAACGTACGAACATCACACCTGCGAGCGTGGAGAAGAGAAACGTATCCGCGCCAAGAGGTCGGTCTTGCAATGGACCTTGTTCGGGGGTTCTTGGGCTCGAGCTCAAAGAAGTATTAAAGGACAATCTTGATGGCAGTCACTGGCCTCCGAAATGGATCAATTTTAGCAAACGTATCAGTATTGTCATATTTTATTGACAAACCTTACCCAAGCGAAGCAGAGCAAATGGCTATCGCTCACAGGCTCGTCGTGTCTTAGTGAAGAGTACTTCCTAAAATGGTAAGAGCTCATATCGCTAGTTATTTGCGGTCAGGTGCGAGCGTTAAAGAGTAATGGTGGTGAAGTACAGCGCAGTGAGGAGCTATGACAACCATCCCAAACCAATAATTGACGTATCGACTGACGTGGGGGCAAAAACCCGCAATGCCTAGGTTTCCGATGCTTCAGGAGACCGTCCGGCTGGCACACGTCCACTGTCTAAAACATGTTTGTTTATATTGGAATTTTCCTAAGGGCTGACATTCCCTGGCAAACCAGTTCTTGGCAACACCGGCGCGCTCGGCTCGTGGCTATGTTTCTATGCTTTCGGTGGATAGGAGTGAAGATCCTGTACCCATGACATTGTTAATTGAAAACCCCACAAATTGAACGAACAGCAACATGGGATTGATCAGCACAAAATAAAGTTTGACAATCATAGTATTAACGAATCCACGATGGACTGGACCAACGCATTCGATTACTCCAAAAGATAGAAACAGCCACAAGTCGCTTGTCAGCGAAACTCTATTAAACTTTATAAGCGGAGACGCACAATGGTTTCTGGAGCTTTAATAGCCAACGTGTCCGCCCAAGCGATAACCTCAAATTTCACGCAGTTGCTACCTCCAACCAGCTTTGTCGTTTTGTTTCAGCGCGGCTACTAAATCGATCGTCCACCGCCTCAGTTTATTCTATCAGCCGAAATGCATATTCTCGCCGCACTCCGCGCCGTGGCAACAGCGGCCCTCTTCACTCCCTGGGACAAAAGTCAGTGGGTCGCCTCCGATGACACCGTCCGTAACGGTACGAGTCATTCGGCTTTGGACATCATTCAGCCCGGCACCGCCGGCAACCCGTTCTCAGTGCCCATTGCGAACTTTCACGGAAAGCTGGACTACGCTACGCTTGGCGGCGCTGGTTTTGCTTCGCAAAGAACCGTTGACGACTGGCCCGGTCTTGACATTTCGGCCTACGATACCATTACCCTGGAGATCTCCTACGCAGATGGCAAGAGGTACACCTTCAACCTCAAAGACACGGTTCCACCGCCCATCAACGGCGTGGAACAGTCTGGTGTGAGCTGGGAATTCGATTTCCAGCTTCCTGCTGTCAACCACACCGACGGCCAGGTTGAGAAAGTTGTCATGCCGATTTCAGACTTTGTGCCTACTTTCCGTGGCCGGGTGCAGAACAATACGGCGCCTCTTGACCTGACTAGCATCAAGCGAGTCAACATTATGATTCGAAGGTAAACAGTTTGAGAGAACCTCGACAAGATGAAGACTAACAATATCTCAGCTTTTTCGCCGAGCAAGATGGGGACTTCGAGTTGCACATTAAATCGGTAATTGCTTCGAAGGAGGGGACCCAGGAACTGCGATCTACCTAGCAGATTCTATCAGTTGATCGATGAGTTCAACCACATCAGAACAGGCCAGCTTGTTAATGAGGTATTCCGAGCTTATTGATTTCCGACATGGTGCTGCCTCTGAAGCACTTGTTACTTGAGCGCCATTTTCATAGTCTAACCTTGCCAAGATCGCCAAGTCTTGTACTGTTCTGCCAAGCCCTCAACCTGATGGTATATACTTTCCATAAAGAACCATATTTCACAATTATGCAAACCTTTTTCAAACAAATTGTTCCACCCGAAGTCTTAACACATCCATCTTCTTGAGTCCGGGGATGAGTCAAAACCCCCAATAAGCTTAGCAATATGCCTGTCAAGCATATGATGTCAGATCCTTCCGTGTTATTGGAACGCATTTCCCCCACAGCCTTTAAGAATGAGCGTGTCCAAAAGGAGATTTTCACATTGAAAGTACAGTACTTGTTTGAAGTTATAGATAGCGTAGCACAGAAATTGAAGTATTGGAGCGGTAACGGCGGCGCAACAATGCTGCAGAGTACCGAGGTAAGAAACTAATTAAGTGACTCTTGACTTCCATGCTGACACGTCTTCTTGACCCATTATAGGCTCGCAAATACCGGACATATTCAGATTCATTCGGAACCAAAGAGGGAACCTGAAATGTAAACTCAGTCAAACTTGGAAGCATTACACAGTCACATGGATGATTCGATGAGTCACAAGCAGAGTTTGAAATATTGTAAGTAACGTATTGATAAAGTGTACTAAGTATATATAGCTGAACGTAAAATGTACGTGGAAGCCGCTTGCGGCTTCATTGAAGGGTCTGAAGTGCTCCTTGTATCTGCTAGAGAATATGGACTGGAAGTGTGATGCGGTTTTCGCCCTTTACGCGCACTGGCTGTAGTACGCGTTGATCTCCTGGCAGGTTCCCTGCGCACATGTGGTAGCGCCAGACCATCCCTGACCACCGCACTGACCGTACAGAGAAGCACCGGAGCTTGAGGGAGGGTTGCTCGCGGCCGGTGCACTCGCCGCGGGTTCGCTTGGGGAGGTGGTATTGGTCGCGGGAATATCTTCGATCACGGCAGTATCGGTGTTGCTGCTGCTCGCGGAACCATCCCAGACTGCAGGACCGGGCATGACATACGGAGCTGGGTTGGAGGTCCACTTGTTGTACGCAATGCCGGGGTCGCTGGCCTTGTACATGCCAGGGATCTTCACCAGAGGGCCCGGAGTGCCACTGCCGCTGCCAGTGATCTTGAGATGGGCGCACTCCATGTAGAACTGGGCCTTGCCGACGTGGCTCTCGTGAATACCAATGTGCTCAACGCGAACGAGGTAGTTTCCAGGCGGAGTGTTCGTCGGGATCGTAAACTCGATACGGTCCTTCTGCCAGCTGCACCAGTCCGTGTCGACGCTGGGGTTGCTGCCGCAAAGACCGGTCTCGTAGACCTTAAACCAGTCACCAGAACCGTCGTAAGTGTTGAGTTCACCAGGCGCTTTAGACATGTAGACGAAGCCTGGGCCAGGGTGCTCGATGAGTTCGTTGAACCAGATCTTGAAGCCGACCTTACTGCCGGCGGCCACAGTGTAGGTTTGAGCGGTTCCGGTAGTGGCGCCCTTGTTGCATCGCAACTCCGGAGAGTTTACAATCTCGGAGGTAATGACAGGGTTGTAAGAGTTACTGTTCTTGCGGATGTAGGTGTAGTCACTTCCAATGGCTTTGTTGTCGACGTATAGCTGACTGAAGATGTAATGTCCCTGGACAAAAGGCGCTGCAAGCAGGCCGAAAGCAAGAAGACCTTTCATGGTTATAAGATAGAAAAGAATGTGATGAGAGAATTGGGCAACTCGAAGCAGAGAGAATGAATGATAGAGCCTGATGAGGAACGGTAAGGTACTTCTTACTTCTCTGTCCAGGAGCAGATGCTCAAATATTTATATCAAGCTTGACAAGTGTAATTGCCGGCTTCATGAATAGGCGTGTTTCTTGGCGATGTTTCGGCATCTCGCAATTTGTGTTGGTCCATTTCTCGCCTTGTATCTAGCAGACTCTGCTTAGTGATGGCGAGGACGAAAAAAGAAGAACACTCTAGTTGCTTGTCAACCGAGCCCCCCTCGCCTCGCGTTTATTGCAATCAGTCCGGCTTGGTCCCGAAGCACGGAATTGATCCACTATACTGCCGTTTTCATAGGTCAGAACTTTCTACCGAATAACCACCGGCGCTGCGAGAGATTCGTACTTCTTCGGCTTGGACGAGGGAGCAGCCCGATCCAGTAGCACTGGTGATGCGAGAGCCTCGGACTGCCTCGGGTTGGCTGCAGCAGCAATCTAAGCATTACAGCCAAGCTGTGTTTCCCCTAGAAGTCCCCTCTGCCAAGTCGAAAGAATGTCACACAGCAAATGAAGGGGAGCCGCTAATCCTATCTCGACCACAATGGCGCCTTTAAACACGTGTAATTGAATTATGCCCAGACAGAGGTTACCTATCGGTCGACTTTTGTCGATTTTCTTAAAGCTGAGTACTCATGGAAATTGAGAGCTGAACATAGCTACCATGGCCAGCGAACCCCCCTATTCCTTCTTTGCCTCTTTTTCTTCTGTACTCTACACTACTTTTACTTTCGCCACCTTACCAGAGATGGCTGTGGTTATATATTCGGGTTTTGAATTCACAAGCGATCTCTGTTAACAACTACCGACTCTTCCTCCAGAAACGCATTGCATAATTGTTTATCATCTTTAATACTGAGTCTTGCCTTGATGAGCCTTATTGCTTCTTCACTGGTAAGGGTTCCCGATACCGTGGCATACATCAAAGATCTTACGAGCAAGGACTGCCAAGATGTTGAGTACCCGCAACCTGGAAACTCCACGTCATCGGAAGAGCACAGGATACTAGTGCAAATGGGATTACCGACGCTGCTGCTGTGTATTTGCCCCGACGACACTTTTGTAAGTTGTTGACTAGGGGAGGTGATATACCAGCATCCTTCGCAGTAACGACGTCACTTATGGTTTCGGTTTTCTTGTAGACAGCAGTACACGAGAGGATGACATAAACCAGGTTTCTGAGCCGGGTTAAATGAATGGAAGCCTCTCATTCAGACTACTCACAAGTCATGGATTCGTATATAGATATCAACTTTGCTTGGAGATTTTCGAGCGGCTTTAGACCGCTACTCGGTTGAGGGCATGGAATTTCACCCTCTAACCTTGGGAAACGATCAAAACCACAAATCACGCAGTTTTGCTTCGATAATGTCTTGGTCCTTGGCCCATTTTTGATATGACGAAGCTGTTTTGGGCAACGTCGTACATTTAACTAGACTATCGTTTTTTTCGTTTTTCGTCCGAGGACTACATCACAGGAGGGTTCAATGTTGGCCCGGCAGTCACACTTCACACTAATGGAAAGCCGCTTACCTCACCCATGATGCCCTTTGGGACATGATCGCCGGCTCTTCTAAGCTCGGGCTTACGCCACAAATCCGATTCGTCTCAATAGCAAGATCCATGTTCCGACTTAGGTGCGATGCATCTTGGCAGCACTTTGAATGCCGAGCAGTTGACCAGTAGCATTCTATCCATAGCAAAAGTTAGTATTACCTTCGTCGGTGAGTGAACCGGCACAGCCGGGCAATGAATAAATAAGACCACATAATTACCCCGAGAAGCATCTCTGGGGTATTTTGAACCTCAAGTTTCGTACAAATCTCATCCTTCCCATCAGAACTACACTCGACTCGCAAATCATGTCAAATATTCTCGTTGTTACTAGCCCTGGCGGCAGACAGTGCTCACATCTCCTCCCACTTCTCAGCTCGAGCAACAGCAACTTCAATCTTCGGCTGGCTGCTCACTCCAAGAACTCAGCTTCCAAGCTTCAAACGAAGTATCCCGATGCCGAAGTTGTAGTTGTTGATCTCGTGTCACTTTCCGACTGTCGTGAGCTGGTTAGAGGCGCAAGCGTCGTATTTCACGTTGGCCCTAGCATCCATTCCCGCGAGCGAGAGATGGGCTTCAACATGATCGACGCCGCCACTGCAGAATTACAAACCCCTGGGAATCGGTTGAGGCATTTCGTGTTCTCCAGCGTGCTGAGCACTCAACATCGCAAGCTCATGCAGCATGATTTGAAGAGCTACGTGGAGGAGCGTTTGATGCTTAGTCCTGTTCCATGGACAATATTGCAACCCACGAACTTCATGGATGCATATCCTGTCACTCAATTGCTCAAGATGGACACACCAGTGATGGAGCGATTGTGGGACCCCGACGTTGCCAATAGTGTCATTGCTTTACGGGATCTTGCGGAAGCAGCAACCAAAGTCTTGACCGAAGGCAAGATACACTACTACGCGCAGTATCCGTTATGCAGCACAACGCCAATATCAGATGCGACTATAGCCCGTATCATCAGCAAGCATATTGACAAGGAAGTAGTGGTTAATAAGCCCTCTTTCGAGAAAGGGGTCGACAAGCTCATGAGCTTGCTATTCGGACACATCAAAACAGAGGTTGATGGTGCACACTCAGGGTTTGGTATCACTGGTAATAAGGGGGACCTGAGAACTGACATCAGCAAAGATGAAGCCGAGAGACTCATCTTGTTCTACAACAGATATGGATTGGTTGGGAATCCTAACGTACTGAAGTTGCTTTTGGGACATGAACCAACCAGTGTGGAGGAATGGGTCAAAGGCCAACTCGCAGGGGTGGGACTTGAGTAGACCACAAACGGTAGTTAACTTACTGCTCCGATTGTGTGTCACTATTTATCTTGTTGGTCAGTCAGTTTGTACCGAAGTTGATTCATGTCGTTCTTTACATAGGGTTTCAATCTTGTGGAATTCGATAAAGGGAATTCAAGAATGTAAGTGCCTTGAGACGAGTCCGAAAACGTACCAAATTTCGTTCAATCTACTTGATCAGTCTAAATTTCTTCCTGTAACATGTATACATATACTCCGATGTGCAAGAAGTATCGTATGGCATAGTTCTTCGAGTCGCATAGCTCGTGTAAGATAATATAAGAGTACCATTGGTTCTGGGTCTTTACCTCTGGGTGTTCAGCATTTTGATCCTGGTAGAATTTTGGGGATGCCAACATACCCTACATGAAAGACAAAGTTCATGTAGATTACTACTGCTCGATAGATGCCTCACGCTTCTTGCTGTCACCGCCGTCAAACCAGCCGAAATCAGTCTGAAGGAAGAAACTCTCGGCATCAGCATCTTGAGTGGCTTTTATCTCCTCGGGCACTGGGGCTCCTAGGGCAAGAAGAGGAGCGACAAGCGCCAGGGTGTAAATAGAGTACTTCACCTTTAATATATGGTGACAATAGATGAATTATGGTGATCTTGGGTGATCTGAAAGCATTCAATATCCTCGTGACACACCGGGCACATGATGATTTTTAATAAAATATTGCAGTCATGAAGCTTAAGGCTACTTAGATGCCGTGACTTTCTCGGTGTAAGTCTTTGCGGTAAAGGATGCTCAAGTTGATCCTTGCGCGGGATAGGCGCACCCCAACTCTTCATGCCAATTCGCGGAATTTTACTAGACATCACGATGATGGTAGAAATCAGGCACTTGTTTTTATTCGGAGAACCGGGGTTTCACTTACTGCTGGAACCTGTAAGGATCCCAAATTGCGACAGCTCAATGATGGATCTCAAATGGATCGGGTAGAGAAGACATCCTCCGCTCGCCCATACCTCATCCGAGTGACTTTGATAAGTCTTGAGTCCTTAAGGAACCACAAGGGAAGTTGGAGACGAAATCCTTTCCATTGTTTTACGTTCGTTGGCGGGAGCATCTAAAGTAGTGCAGTTATCGCCATATCTTCGTTATTGTCAGGATGGGACTATCTTCTTCACACGCCCATGAGAGCGGGTGACATCTACTGGCTGGAGATTATGCCCATGTAAACGAGGGAAAAGGTGAGTTCAGAGACTACCGGCGGAGTTCACGAACCAAGTCTTGTTCGTTTCAGAGAGTCGCGACTGTCTTTTCTGTTTGGCTCAATGTCCTCTTGACTATGTTGTGCGTTTGGTTTTGGAGAGAATCCGTCGCAAATGCATCACCCCTTCCGCCATGGCCATACACATTGTACCGTAAGTAGTAAAGTTAAGGCTTCTGGTTTTATCATAGATTCTTACATGGATGACGCAGAGCCAGCTCATGGAGCGGTGGACTATGTTATAGTGACGTTTAACTCAGATTTTGCTGAAGATCAGTAGGTTCCGACCCTTCTAGATGAAGTAGAGTCCCGATCCCTGACATATACAATAGCTCGGGAACCACGAAGTTGTACGGCGCGTCTTCAGAAGCAAACAAAGCCTGGAAAGATTAATAGATTCTTATACTGTCCAGATCAACGAGCAGGAAGCAAAGGATATCTTTCGTCGTATCTCCAAAATATCGAAAGATCCGAATTACTTTGTCACTGATCTGGATGTCTATCATCAGCTTTATTGCCTTAACGACATTCGAAAATTGGTTGCAAATTACCATTCCAGTGAGCATCTATTGCGTGGCCTACGGACCACGCACAAATATCATTGCATTGATAGTATCCGGCAAAGTTTCATGTGCAACGTAGACATTAGCCTAGTACAGTGGGATTGGGTGCCAAATCCAGGGAAGCATTTTCCAAATGCTACGACCATACACGACTGCAAGAAATGGACCAAGATCGAGGAGTGGGCAATCAGCCACAGATTGGATCAGAAGAAGTTGGACCAAAGAAGTTCGTATATTAGTTAGGCGCTACGCACTCAGGCGAGAACCGAATATCACCAATTATGATAGGCCCTCATTGTTACTGATTCTTGGCAGGCGTATCTCTGGACCCAATTGAGTCCATAAATAGGGGCATTGACAATAAGATGATCTCGTGCTGAACCTTAAGGAGAGACTTTGGGAGCCCAGCACACCAGGTAATGCCGTATGAACAGGTAGATCAATGGAAGTTCAGAGCTTCTATATAAGGGTCAAAGAGAGAACCTCGTTTCACCTTATTGTAAGGGCAACCATGGGATTATGTCTTCTTATGTCTTCTACGCATAGAAATGGCTTTCGCGGAATTTCAATGCTCAATTATCACTGAAGGACTTTCTGACTAGATCTCATCCGAGTTGAGATTTTTCGAAGCATTACCCCACCCCCCTTAGTTTCCGCCCGATCCGAATATACACATCGCATCAGAGGACCAATCGTCTTCCCCAGGAAACACAACGAATCTAGTCAAAATAATCTCATGTTGCGTAAGCTGGCTAGGAAGCAAGGAAGACGTTATCGAGCTAAGTGGTTTTCGGCCTTCACACGAGATCCTGCTAGTGCGCTCTCTTATATAAGATCCGAGGTGAGTTGCCTCCCAGCTTCCGATGATCTCGACGAACTGGAAGGACGGCACATCGGTGAAGGCTGAAGCCTACTACGCCTTGGCCGTCGCTGAGACTGTTCCGGCAGATATACTTCTCCTGGCACTGTGAGCGAGGGATCAGGCCTGCAGAGTCTTGGGGAGTTGTTTTGCGAGGTGGGTGTTGGGAGGCATGGCATCCTGTGAAAGATGGTTATTGATGTGTTAGAAGGTAAAGAGCGAGAGGGGAAGGGATCGGAAGCTATGGATTCTGAGGGAGGGGTGGAAAAGAGCTGGTTCATGTCACGGAAACGATGTTTTCGTTAACCCACTTTGGTTCTCGGAGAGCGTGCTGGTGATGGCGGGTAACGTCACGACTTGGATATTGGGCGACGGAGTCTGCGCGGTTCTGGGCGCGGGTTGCGTCGGGTTACTAGGGAATGTCTTTGATATGTTTTGAAGTGTATGCGATGGTCCAATTGTCGGCCTTGCGCTGGGCATTGATCGGAAGGGGTGATGGGCTCCGGCGCGGTCGGCGCGTTAAAATGTTTGGGATCCGGCCGACTCTAGGCCGACTTCAAAACTCTTACCATTCGTACCGGTCGGCCTGTTCCTGTGCCGTAGAGATAGGGCAGTTGAAATCTGACCTTTGCATTGAATACTTTCCAAATTTGAAGCCTGACTTGAGCAGTACCTTTGCTGAAGATGAGTCTAGCTCCTCTCGAAAATCTGTCTTCTGCAACATCAGTGAACGAGTCACTCTGGTGCTGAGCCGAAAGGGGGTGCATTCTGTCACTCTTAAGACCATATATCTTATGAAACTTATCATTCATGGAACCATTGTGGTTTTATTGGCTATCAATGAGTCCTTTAGTGCTCGAAAATGCGTGACTTGGGACAAAATGCAATGTTGTTATGCAACGGTCAAGCAAGCAATTACTTTTGCGCCAAGGTAGACTGTAAGTTTATGGAGGCCGAGGCAACCTGTCAACCAAGACGGAGATTCAACATCGAATTTGACTAAACCGAGCCTTTCGAGATCGGTTTGTCCATGAGCCAGGATTACCAAACATCGCATACTAAGCCTGTCCTTCTAGTATGACTGCGCCTCTCTCCGTGCGTTTAATTATGGTTTTCCATCGGATGACGTTACGTGAGTTCGATGTTAAGAAATCTGCGAGTTGTTATGCGCTCTCAAGCTAATTATTTTGCTACTCTCTGATACTTATGAATAGAATATCTGACTCTCAGTCTATCATTCAAAACAATGCAGGAACACTCAGAATGGCAGCATATGAGGGTCATTTGGCTAGGGGAGCTTGACGCGAAGAGATGCTTAGCGACCGGAAATGATTGCCACGAGTCAACCGCCCCATTGTTTGCTGGAGACGTCCTGCAGTATGACTCTCGAAAGTGGCGGGATAGGGTAACGAACTTCTGGTTGGAACACGACGAACTCCAGTGGGGTACAGCTGTTGAAGAGTGCCACCGCGAATCGAAGGGGGAACAGGGATGGGTAAAGCGCCGTTAATTCCGTATCCATCATCGAATGTCCGGCCACACAGTATTGCTTTCTCGGCTTTCCACCCAATGCACATGGTACGAAAACCATCGCTGTACTAAACCTGCCGTCGAAAAGATGGCATCCACAGCGCGGTCCGATCGTGACGAGATTGATTTTGGTCTGCCGTGTGACCTAATCATCGAAATCACAATGGCTCTAGGTCACAGCCGGCGAGTTCAATGCTTGTTGTCGGTTCATATTGGTGACCCTCTTATGAGGAGCAGCTGGATCGGGAGTAGACGGGACGAGAACAGATGCTCGTATTAGCGCCGGATCGGGCCACGCATTCAGCGTGACGCGGAGCCGGTAATTAACACGGCACTGGTTAAGCGATGATGCAGTGGTGGAAGGCAAGCTTTTGCCAATGACGGACTGCAGGGGTTGTGCATTGATCGCTCTTGGCATGCGCTCCAACATCAAGACCGTCAACTGAAGCTGCAAAAGAAGTTGAAGAGGATAATAAATTAACGATTTTGTCTACTTTAAGTCGATCTATTTTGGAGAATTGATTTCAACCTTCCATAAAATCAGAGGCCGGGAAGTTTGGGAGCCAGCTCCCGCTTCATAGTCCCCTCTCCAATGTGGTGTCGTAGACGCGCGATGCGAACTATAATTTTTGTCAGTCCGAAGGGAAAAGATTTCGCGACGGAATCCAGCTGTTGAGGCAACCTGTGAGAAATTTCCCTCGTAATGACTGGGATACCCTTAGCTCGAAAGAGACTAAAAGAGGAATTGGGGTGGGAGAGTCTCCATAAAAGGCTTGTCAGATCATCTGATAACAGTGCAACACACGCGGCGACATCGGTGGTCCGCCAGGGAAAAATATTGGGGGTCGCGCTGCTGCCGAACTTCATTGGCCGTGCCGGGTCATCGGCTCTGCACACAACGCCCACTGATCCGGACACTGACGCTAAGAGCAACTGTTCCGTCTAGTCCACAATTCCATCACGGACGAATAGATCTTTCTGACGAATCAGCAGCAGCAGACTTCGGCTGGATCGCTATGGCCCCACGGGTATCCTGTGTTGGTGACGATCTCTCTCTGCAACGTGGGTCCCGATGTGGGATCAGCGATGGGTCAAACATTTGCAGGTACGCGATAGTATAAATCCTTTCAAGTCCTGCGCGCCAAGCTAGATCTTATCTTGTTCCCTCCCGCTCACGCCTTTCTGCTCGAGTCTCTTAGTCGTTGCTGCTGGCCTAAGTGCCCCTTTGTCTCTCTATCTCCAACGTGCTCGCACATCTTGCAGCACTTTCCTTTTTGGATTCTTCCTTGAACCACACTGATTATGGCTTCTTTCAACCAGGAGACGACGCCTAAGGCGTCGGAGCAAAATCGTGTCGCGGGAGAACATGATATTGAGAAGAACACCGATCAGAATGTGGTTGACATCCATGCCGACTCTTTGAAGAATGAGTCGCATGGCAGCCCGGAACACAAGCAAGAAGGTGTCAAGAAGGTGGAGGCGATCACATCGGTGTGGTCTATGAAAATGTTCTGGATTGTCTTCGCTCTGTAAGTTCTTCCACTATTTGAGACGTCTCTCCAACTTGTCGCCTGGAATGAGAGACGACTAACATTACGGCTACAGCTTGTACCTCGTTACCTTCACCGACGATCTGTTGCAGTCCGTACAAAGCAATCTAACGCCCTACGTGACCTCTGCTTTCGGACAGCACGGACTTTTGGCCACAACCAGCATTGTCTCCACGATTCTCGGTGGTGTCTCCCAGCTCACCATCGCTAAGATTATCGATATCCGTGGCCGTGCCGAGGGCTTCGTCGGTATGGTCTTCCTCATCGCCATCGGCATGATCATGAAGGCTACATGCCAAAATGTCGAGACCTACGCCGCCGCCCAGACCATTTTTTGGGTCGGCTACCTTGGGCTGATATACATCATCACCATCGTTCTAGCCGACATGACGACTCTGAAGAACCGCATGACCCTTATCGCGATTAACGGCACGCCCACTATTGCCACAACCTTTGCTGGACCCAAGATTGCGCAGCTCTTCTACGACCAGGTCAATTTTCGCTGGGCCTTCGGTGCTTTCGCCATTATTTTGGTTGCTTTTAGTATCCCAATCGCCATCATTTTCTTCTTTAGCGAGGCCAAGGCCAAGAAGACCGGTCTGATCCCTCCTAAGGAGAAAACTCGTTCCACTGTGGAGTCCGTTAAGCATTATTTCGTTGAGTTTGACAGTATGTACTAGCCCCTGATTTCTGCAATTGCAAGTAAAGGTATTCGAGTTCTGACAATCACAGTCGTCGGTTTGGTTTTGGCCATGAGTGGATGGTCCATGCTGCTCTTGCCATTCTCCCTCGTGTCGAATGCGACCCACCAATGGAAAAGCCCAACCATTATCTGCCTGATTGTTTTCGGGTTTATCGGTCTGGTTCTCTTCGCGGCTTGGGAGAAGTTTTTTGCCAAGGTTTCTCTGTTCCCCTACCACTTCCTCAAGGATAGGACTGTCCTTGGTTCATGCTTAGTCTATGGCATCATGTTCATCTCCATCTAGTATGTCCAGCAACGCTCAAGATTACGGCTAGCAAAGTACTAACGTGGCTGCTAGCTGCTGGGACTCCTACTACCAGTCTTACCTGCAGGTTGTGCACAACCAGGACATAACCAGCTCTGGTTACATTCTGAACGCCTTCAGTTTGACTTCAGCCATCATCTCCCCTTTTGTTGGTTTGTGAGTTGTTGACCCGCATAAAATTAAGTAAACACAATATGCTGATAAAGATCCAGGGCAATCCGTTACACTGGCCGCTTCAAGTACATCGCCATCGCTGGCGTGCCCATCTGCATCCTTGGCACTGCTCTGCTCATTTATTTCCGTACCCCCACGACTACCGTCGGCTATCTTGTCATGTGTCAGATTTTCAACGGCGTTGCTAGCGGCATCTTCAGCATCTGCTCGCAAATTGCCATCATGTCGTGCGTCACTCACCAGGAGATTGCTATTGCTCTTGCTCTACAGGGTCTCTTCGGTTCTATTGGAGCCGCCATCGGGCTCGCCATCGCTGGCGGTATCTGGAACAACGTTCTTAAGAAGACACTCTATCAGCAGCTTCCTGCAGACAGCAAAGACCTCACAGACAGCATCTTCGCCAGTATCACCACGCAGCTTTCGTACCCCATGGGCAGTCCCATCCGCGAGGCTATCATTGTCGCCTACTCAGATGTCCAGAGAAAGATGGTTATTGCCGGCTGCGCTTTCATTCCCTTGATTTTTCTTTCGTTGATAATCTGGCGTAACATCAATGTCAAGACGATTGAGGAGGAGAAAGGCAAGCAGACGAAGGGAAATGTGTTCTAATGACCAGTTATAGGCAATTTTCGGCGCCTCTATACTCTGTTTTATGTACTTCGTAATCGGTCTTGGCAATGTTGCGGTTGGAGGCCATGAGGTGCTGCTTTCGAAAGACATATCCCTCAACCGCTGAACTGAAACAATCCTACGCAAGAAACATTGAATCAGTTTATCTTAATGAGAACATCATGGTTCTCATGTTTATAACGTTAGCTGTCAAGTCTTTTTGTCGTTCCTGCTTGATTTCGTCAAAGTTTTCAACAAGCCACCTGTGTCATTCATATTCGTGCACATCCCCGACTTCTCTGCTTTGTGCCTCGACATCTTGAGGGTTCATCACTCAAGGTCTGGGTGCCACCACATCTCTTAGGTCGTAATGGTAGGGGCTGCCAAGGACGTCAGTTTTATGCGTCGGCTTTCGAGCCCCGAAAATTGAGCGTGATCCCATGTATTACAGGACAAGCTTTGTACAGGTACACATCGCAGACTGTCTACGGAGTCTTGCGCAAGTAACGTTCGTCTGTCTCTCGCCGCAGATTTTGACTTGACGTTCAATTAGTGCAGCCTTCTCATGACCTTCCGTAGCTTACCATTGGCGCTTGACGTATTTGGACCTTCAGCATTCGAGATAACTCATGCAAGAGGGCACAGCACTAGTTCTGTGTCTGCGAATTATTGATTCCTTCTCGCCTTACAGCACTATCTCGCTTAGTAAACTGCTGCTGACAAGAACTCATGTATGTCATTGGACCATGCTTGCCACCCCGTCATAGCCGTCTGGGCATACTAAAAGTGGCATTTATGCGATTAACGTAGCAGCCCATGCGTAGAGAAACCGGGCGTCGACCAAGCTGGAAAATGATCCTTCCGGCGTTGGCGCACATAAATGGCGTACTGTGCCATGCGATATGTGGCCAGCGCGGCACTGGACGCCACTTTGGCAGACACAGCTTACCCAACCAAAAGCTGAGACATTCCATGAGGGTGCGAATGCGAGAGGCGTTCTTGGAAAAGTCGCCCGTGTCTGTAGGCCAAGGCTTCGGCATCCGCGGTCTAGCGAGGGTCTTCATCTACCAAGCTCTCCAAAATTCCAAGAAATTCCCCAAGAGATACTTGGATAATGACTAGGGTAGTGTTATCGTGCCCAGCGATTTCTTACTCGCGTGAGAATGCCTGGCTACATCAATAGTTGGCAGCGTATTGAGGCTGAGCTGACCAACAACACGCGTCATCCGAGTGCGAAATACCCAGTTGCAATATGGTAAGAGTTGCCTATAAATGCTGGCCTAAGAAGTTTTGATGGGGTTTTTATCGATTCATACAAAACCTATAGTCAGCAGCCTTTAATCCAGAATATTCTCCTTTCACAATATCAGTAAAAGCAGGAGAAAAAGATTATCGACTTACCTTGCCACCATACTTACGCTTATAACCAAAGACATCACCCATTTCCAATCCTCCGTCGAAAATCAAAGCAACAGCCTAACAATGAACTTTGTTACGGCCGTCGTCGGACTTCTCACGCTCATCATGCCTGTGTTTGGGCTTGATACAAGCATGGATGAAGTTCTCGGCCAAGCTTCGAAGAGCCTGACGACACCGGTATCAGAGCCCACGTATGACAGGGCTACCATAGAAACAATGCCTGTGCCGCTGGTGGCCGAGAAAGATGTCATCATAGTTGGCGGCGGCTTCTCTGGAGTCATGGCAGCGTACGACGTCTCGCAGGCCGGCTACAAGACTCTACTCCTCGAGGCTAGACATCGTATTGGTGGCCGAAGTCAGACTCAAGCCTTGCAGAGTGCCCCAGAGAAGACTGTTGAAATGGGCGCAACCTGGATCAATAAGATAACTCAGCCTTTCATCTACGCTCTTTGTGAGCAGTTTGGCCTAGAGACTGCGGAACAGTACACTACGGGAGATGTTATACGTCAAGACTTTAGTGGCACGATTCATCGGGAATCTCAGGATCTCAACCAGGTAAGTTGTAAAGGTTTCTGTGCGATACATGTACTGGATAGTAGAGAATCTTGCTAACGTGAGCTTTCCTGGCAAGACTAATGAACCTAGTTCCGTCGATCTACTTAACATCTTGATAGCTGACGCCGCGAACAAGACCAACATTTATAAGTTTGACCAGTTTCCAGAGGGTGAAGACGTCGCATTAGCCGACTGGATAGCTCAAAAGGGGCTTTGGGACAAGCCTGAAGTACGGGCGGCTGCCGAAAGTATGACCAGCGCTATCGTTGGCCGCATGCCACAAGAAGTCGGTGCACATTATTTCTTGGATTATGTGCAGTCGGGAAAGGGTCTCTTGAGTCTATCTACGGAAGGAATATTTGGTGCGCAATCACTCAAAATCAAGAAAGGTATTGGATTCTTCGCGGCCTGTTTTGGAATGCCCCTGCTTACACATATAGGTACATCGGCACTAACGGACGCACTTGTTAGCACCATGGATAAAGGGAGCGTGACGGTAAATAATCCTGTGAACCGCATCGTTCAGCTCGGTGATGGAGAGGTTCTCGTGACGACGAGCCAGGGACAGAGTTACAAGTCAAAGAAGGTGATCATTGCGATCCCCTCCAACACATACTCCAACATCCACTTCACGCCACCCCTGCCACCTTTTAAAAGAGGCTTATCTACGAGAACGATGCCAGGAATCTATGCCAAGGTGATTTTGAACTATTCGAGACCCTGGTGGCGGGATTCCGGCCTAGTGGGCAAGTTTTCTTCGGAAGTCGGTCCAATCTGCTTTAGTTGGGACACTTCTGATCTTGAGACAGAGCAATACAGTCTCGCTCTGTTTGTGGCGGGCAGTATCGCTGCTGCTTGGCACGAACTGACTGATTTGGGGCGAGAGGATGCCATCATCGAGCACTTGGCTACGCTCGTCGGCTCAGACCTGGCTGCAGAGGCGCGTAACGTTTCGGAGTATAATGTTCTTGAGTGGACGAAAGAGGAGTACCTCTGGGGAGGACCTACATCATCTATGGGGCCAGGTATGCTTCGCAAATATGGCACTTCACTGAGAGAATCCTTTGGAGACTTGCATTTTGGTGGAGGGGAGACTGCATACGCCTGGAAAGGTTACTTAGAGGGTGCCATCACTTCGGGTAAGAGAGCTGCAAAGGAGGTCATTGACGCTCTCCAATCAGATAGGTAACAGTTGTAAGTTCTGGCCATCCAGTGTTCACTCAAATCGATCCTGGATAGGTCTGACCGAGTTTTAGAATAGGAGACCTTCTTGAATGGGTAGCTCATTGTTTCATTTGTGTTCCTGCTATATATCATAACAACCGGTGGACTATGAGTTACCGCCTTTGTAAAGTTGACTAGAAGTTGTATCATTCTCATCTAATCGAGTATCGATAAGACCGGCTGTGCTACAATTGACTGCTTCTTCTGGCCAGATAACCTATTCTTAGGGAAAAGACATACGTTTTGCGCAAAGCGATAGTTGCTCGAGCCATTCCGCAATTAACGGTCCCCAGAGCCCATACGGTCTGCGACTTGAAACTGGGCTCCTCGATATGCTCATCATCCCTATGACTTCTCAGCTGTGATCGAATCAAGAATTCTATAGGTTATTGCTTGGGCGATTGTCTTAGTGGTATAACAACCACTCCGGACGCAGTAGGTCCTAGTTTATATTTCTGGAATGTCTATCATGCACTTTGGACGTCATACTCTGCGGACGGCCGCACTAAAGCTTCACTAAACATTTCCACGAAACAATATTTCTAAAAGCACTTAATGAGTTCTCAGTTGCTGTTATGCTATCATGGTTCTCGAGCTTTAACTACTTACCAACTGACGATTGCCAACAGTTATTTTCAACATGACCATAATTGTCAGTGTTGTCCACCTTTACTCTTTCATCCAAAATCTCATTGATTGAATTCCCGACAAAGACTACGCTGCGGCTCTGCGTTTCGTCCATCGAATTCAATATGCATATTATCACATTGTAGGCACTGCGTTCACAACCTCTCATTTACCGATGTATGCAGTAGCTCAAATCATAGAAATCACAACAATCAGCAAGTCCTGATCAGAGGTGGCGACGTGCTTCAAGTCATGTTTACAGGTATGACTGACTCTATCGGCCTAAAGACTTGAGCAGACGCAGTGTTTATATGAAGTTAAATCAGCCGTTCCTTTCCCCACACTTCGGATGACGATCTACTGAAGGAAGCTAAGCCCTGAGACCCAGAGCTGAAGGGCCCTACTTCTTGTGAATGTTCGCGGAACTATGCAACGAATGCTATGAGCTAACCAGTCCGCATTGAACATTTAGTATAATGTCATGTCTTCCAATTTCACGGGATTTGAGGAACACAGATAGGGGATCTAAAACTAGATAAAAAGAACTAGATCAAGCCCACGTTGCCGTGTCGTACTGTCTACTCCACATTCGCCGCTTAGGGGGTAAGCTCTGTTAGCCGTCTCTACATAGTGTTAATGTCTGGCTAGTCACTCACAAGATTCATGCTGGCTTAGTCTACGTCGTAATTTAGAATCTAGAGGAGAAGGTTTTGCCACAATATTTCCTATGGTTGGCTATCAAAGTTAGACAAGTTAGTGCTTCTAAGAGAAATTATTAAGAAACACAGCCGACACATTAAGAACAACTAGCTTAACTGTTTCTTCTTTGGTATTGCCTAGAAATTGTAGATAAATCTACGTTTTATTTTACCTCCGTTAGATATCTATATTTCGAAAAAGAACGTGATGTAAAGTCTAGTTAGTAGGAGGGTAGTTTGGTTTGAAATAGCTGCGAAACAAACAGATCATATAGTTTCAGGTAACATATGGGATCCAGAAACAAGTGGGTCTTCGCCTCTCTCTATCCGCCACCGATTTGTCGCCTCTAACACCCCCGGCAACCCATCAAACAACCAACCCCATTTCCTTAAAAACCCTTCCGACATCTCCCACCCCCGATGTCCCAGGGTGGCGACCACGCAATAATCCCGCGTCGCTCGACCTCGTCGTCAGGGAAGCCCTCGTACAGCCCTCCGATGCAGTCGGCCCAGAGGTCATCCTCGTCAAAAGTACCAGCGGCCCGGATCAGGCGGTCCCGTGCCTCAGGACACGGGAACATGTCGATCCAGTCACCGTGCGGCACCATTTGTTGAGTGGTAGTGGGCAGGAGTGTTGAAGGGAGTAGTTCGGGCTTGGAAGGGTAAGGGACGACGTGGATTGCTTCCTCACTGCAGTCGAGCGGCGTAACGAGGATGCCCGAGATTAGAGTGCGGTTGACGGCCAGGGCACGGAGGACGTTAAATTGGAGGAGTGTGATGAGGTGGTCTGGGCAGAGGGGGAAGATAATGTTACAGGGCTGTTTTTTGAACTTCTCTGGCAGCAGAGGACCTCTTGCATTGTATAATTGCTTGACACGGTATTCTGAGACGATAGAAACTGATTGTTTCTCATTGTCCCAGCATTCCACCAGCGCTTCTGGTTTGATCAATGTCCCGGTTATGGCACCGGATGCTTCGGTTTTCTTTTCTAGGGCTTTGCGCTTCCCTACTACACTGTCAATCCCAAAAACTGGATACATCTCACTGGTTGAAATGTTGCTGCCTCCTGATTTGGACCGAAGTGGGGAAAGAAGGCCTTACTTACGGTATGCCCTTGTGTTGAGTCTTGTCTGTGCTCGTCTGCGTGCTGCAGCGTCCTTAGTCCCAGTCCAGTCATCTTCCCTTCTTATCGCCTGTTCACAGTGAGCATGTTGTGTCGTTTTGATGATTGAAGACGGCCTGGTACGTGCCTCAGCCAGTTGTGGCATCGAAGCGAGTTGGATGCGTGGTGCTGTTGAATTTGCAGGCTGATACGTACTAACCATAATGCTAGTGTACGTTCGAATTGTGTTAATGATGAAATTGGTGATGAATGATGTTGTTTTCTTCAGACCGACCAAAGCGGTTCATGCAGCCTGCTCACATTAAGGAGTCTTCACACTCGGGGATGAAGGAACAGATATGCTCTGGTTTTCCGCAGCTGAGGCGCAGTCAGACATGGGTTAGTGTCATAGCAAGATATCATCTCACTACTGGTAATGAGTGTCTAACTAAAGGGAGTCTAGCGTTATGCAACCTGCTCACATTGTAGACCGGGATCACAAGGTCCAGCATCACAAATGAACCACTTGATTGACAAACGCAACCTTCTGATTTCCCGATGGTGCCTAAACTGGACAGAAGCTAGAGAACTGGCAGTGAGCCCCACGCTTCATGCATCTGGCTCACTCGCTCACTCCATCCTCTCATTTGTTCATATCCTCAGTATATCCACGTTAAATCTGACATGATTAGCCCAACGGTCATGCAGCGTGCTCACAACGCCCGATGCTCGCAATAACATCCAAGATGCAAGCATCTCGGACGATTTTCAACAAGCGCTTTATAACGATCGCAGTAGCCTTCAACTTTGGCGAATCTTTTCGTATCATCAAGAAAACAGAGCTCGATCCAAGGCGTTTTGTTTCTTACTATTAACTCCAAGTAAAATTTGACATCAAGTATTCCGTTTGAATATGAGTTTCCGTCCAGACACTCTCCCCGATCTCAAGGGCACAGTATTCATAGTCACAGGCGGGAATTCCGGCATGTAAGGCTCCCTTGTTCCGTCTCATTACGAAGTCCGCATCGCTGATATCGCCAAACTGAAGAGGATACTATACCGTAGCCCACCTAGCAGAACACGGTGCCCGCGTTTACATGTGCGCCCGATCAGTAGAAAAGGGCGCGGCAGCAATCGCCAGCATCAAGAAAATGCACCCCTCAGCCAATGTCGACCTCCTACAAATGGACCACATGGATCTCACCAGCGTCGTCGCGGCCGCCAAACACTTTCTCACCCTCGAAAGGGCTCTTCATGGACTAGTCAACAACGCAGGTATCATGGCGACGCCCTTCGAAATGACCAAAGATGGTCACGAGGCCCAGTGGCAGACCAACTACCTTGCGCACTGGGTTTTCACGGAGTACCTGGTTCCTCTGATGCTACGGACCGCCAAGACGCTCCCCCCCGGCAGCGTGCGTATCGTGAACCTCACTTCATCGGGCCACTTGAGCGCACCCAAGTGCGGCATCAATTTCAAGGATCTATCGCTCCAGGATAGCGGTCCGTGGCCGCGATATGGACAGAGCAAGCTTGCCAACATTCTGCACACTAATATTCTACACAACATGTACGGTCCTGACTCTAGTAATGCGCGGAACCGAGAGGGCGAGATCTGGGTCTCGTCTGTGCATCCAGGTTTGGTTGAGACAAACCTTGCCAAGTCAATGGGGAGTTGGATTGGGCCATGATGGGTGTTTTCTCGATCTTACGCATGTTCGGATTGACTTGGCCTGCCGATAAGGGGTCGTGGACTAGTGTATTCTGTGCGGCGAGTCGGGATATGAAGGCGGAGCAAAGTGGTATGTACTTTGAAATTTTTCGGCGCTTTGGGGAGCCAAGGTGGCAAAGTGCTGCGGCGAAAGACTGGACGCTTGCGGAGAGATTAGAGGAGTGGACTAGGGAGGTCATGAGAAAGGAAAGGTGGGTTCGATAATGATGTTAATTGGTTTCAGTCTTTTTCGATCATTGATAGATGTATTTTTTGCTATCATTAGATGTTATCAAGTTCTTCTAATTGTACATACTCTTATTTACTTGATACTTTCAGACAAATGTCCTGGATTATAATACCAAGTAATTTCTTACTTGGCATCGGGCTATTCATGTATATATATAAAGGCCATTGAACCAACAGCAAGCATGACAACAGTGAATGGCCCTCCCGAGTTTCACCAATGGTCTCATCATGGCTGACAGAGCTTAACGCTATATTTGTCGTAGTGTACTGCTTAAAGTCGGTAGTAGAAGGAACAAATGAGGTCGATGAGGAAGCAAAGGAGGCTGATAACAGTCTGGGTGGAGGTAAAAGGTGGCCCTTACCATCACGTACAGGAAGTCTACCAGTATATAAGGCAGATCTCCTACAGAGCTATGAATACAACAGCTTCTTCTATCTCTATTCCGAAATCCCTAGCTAACGATGAAGAAACTGCTGGGACCACAAGTTCTGTTATGCCTTCAGACGGTCTTGACTATTCCTCGAGCCAGAATTTACTCTCCCAGAGGACAAGTTTTTAGAATATAGACTATTGATTTGTTAGCGTACTTAAAAGACGGAAAACCTACCTTTAGTAGGAATAATTCCCCTAAATATAGGACTATTCCTGTTAGAATAGAGATTTATACGCATTCATACGTATCCAAGCGGCAATACCACCTGTAAATTAGTCAGCAGGATCCAGTCTAGGTAAGGGCCAGATCTGCCAGATATCTAGGACTTAGAACATCATCGGCAACAATACATTAACGGTCAACCCCCTACTATCGTGTGCCCCCAGCAGCGCACGAGAGCTGTTCCGACAATTTCATTTTTTAGGTGGCCAAGTTACGCTTTTTGTTAACGATATAGTAATTTGCATTATGGCTGGTAGTGGCTAGCCCAAGGGACGGTATGGAAGGTGTCTATGGACCATGTAAGGCAGCTCCTCGGCATATGAGACGGAGCTATCCACCTACACGGTCCTCTAGCAGTATTACCTCACATATTGGTTTGTCGTGTCCGTAACACCTCGTGGACGAAGGCATATCGAGAGGAAGAACGTTAGGTAAAACTATATTCCCTATTCTCTCCTCTTCACGGTTAAATGTAGTCTGACTGCCAGCTGGATTGTCGTCTCATTTGAGTCGTAAGAATAGATTTTTCACCCCTCCAGTCCCAAAACAAGACATAACAATAGGACAACAACAAAACGAATAGAATCACTCCAAGAACCGTGGATCCCTGCGATAAGCTGCAAACAGATCCCAGCCATTTGTCTTTATCAAAGTTTGGTATGTTTTTGACCTCACACGCCCAGATTTGTGCCGAAAACTTGCCCTTGTCGTAGAATATTTCGTCAGGAAAGGGTAAGGAGTTTGCGTATTCGAAATCGAAGTGGGCTGACTGCCCGAGAGCGACGAGCGTGGACGCCATCGATATCAAAGCTAGAGTACTGTTGAATCCTAAGGCAAAAAAGAGGCTTGATCGTGCCCAATTCGCGGTCTTAAATGCCACGTTAACAAGTTTCACTCGAGGCGGCGACTTTGGAGACGGGTTATGTGAAATTCTCACCCGAACGGGGCCTTGGAAGATGGCTAAAAAAGTGATGGTGTTGAGGGCAAGCGCGATGATAAGGCTGGTCACGCTGTTTGCAAGATGCAACTCGTAGTTGAGTGGAAGCATGTTTCGAGGGTCGTATCTCATCAGCTGCCCGCCGCCGTAGTAATCAGGGTCGTTAGGCATTGTTCTGAGAACGCCACTCTTATATGTGTAACGATGGCTATACATCCACTCCTGGACCTCTCCCAGAGACTTTGCACGCAACACCAGGTGAAGAACTGACGTCATGAGGAGAGCAGGGCCGAGAATAAAGGCTGCGATGAAGGAAAGCTTCTTAGCAGATAAAGACATCTGCATTTTGTTCTTAGAGGCTCCGTTGTTTTGCCTATCTTTATCACGTGTAGTAAAGGAAACGAAATCGGCTGCTGGCATGGCTTCGCCTTGTAATATACTCCTGGGTGAGGAGGAAGCGAACATGGCGAATTGAAGGTGGTTTCTTTGGAAGAGAGAAAGAGAGAAAGAGAGAGAGAGAGGGGGGGGTGGAGTGCGAGAAACAACAACAAATGAACAAGAGGTGAAAGTGATCAACGTTGTGCTGGTGTGACACGGTGCAGGCTGTGCTTTTGTCACTTTATTGCGTTCCCCCAGATGGCGCAGCACGCATGTGGGCACAGAGCCTTCGTCGCAATTTGCATTGATGATTGCAAATTATCCTGGAATAGTTGGGGACTTGAACCTTGGTCCAACATGGGTTATGGAGCATTAACTAAGTGATCCTTAGTTCGTATCCAAGTCTGCCTGCTGGCTGTTTGAATCAGGCTTCCGAGGCTTGGAAGGTGGGGGGTTGAGGGCGGGCGGGATTCTGCAGTCGACCACGCAATTAGACTTCCCATCTACATACCTACAACCAACAAGCAATATCATCATTCTGCCGTGACCGTCGCTATCACTCGTACGAGTATCCAACCGCCTGTGGAAACAACATGAACCATTGCCCCCAGACTTACCTGTAATTTCGGGGGCGATAATATCCGGCCCCAATTAGAAATTCAGTCCTTGCTGTATCCCGGCTTTGCGCCCAGCCCCCTCTCTCATACTTCATTGTCGAAAACCAGGGCCGGAGTGCTCGTTGGTTGCTGGTGGAGACATTCGGACGGACTCAATCATCATCATGAGAGCAAAGGCATGACCGTACGCCATCGTTCTTAGATGGCTGAGGTAATGAAAGCTGTCTGCAATAAGCCTTGCAGGGACACAGCAAAGTATTCTCAATACTTCGGTCACTAGTTATATAGCTTCTACAGCGCCGACTTGGAATATAAGAACCAATCCACATCGCGCCACAAAGACGTCCTATTTAACATTATTCACACTTATAAACTCACCCTTATACAGGTTTACACTTGAAACCTTTCCATCTTTCACGGTCTTCATCACTCCCCAAGCCGCCATCACTCTGATCAGACTCGCATTTACCACTTCACTTGACAGAAAACAAGTAATCAAAATGGCATTTCAAGCTGCTGGATTCTTGATGGACCTAGCCTCTACAATTGTCAGCGTCAAGATGTTGGTCGACGCGTCGAAGCCTGCATCAAATGATCCTGCAACGCTAGTCACTTTCACCACTGGTCAACACGAGAAACTAACCGGTGCTGGTGGCAAAATACCTCATATAGCTCTGTGGGATGACCACGGAAGTCGCATCGCGCAATGGCACCCCAAGAAGAATCAGAAGATAGCATCTGGTGCAGACGGAGATCGAAACGGACAAATTGTTGTCAAGCACAACCAGAACGGGGGAAAGGCGCAGACCCCTACTACATCATGCTGAGCAATCATGATGAGGATGCCATATGTCTTTCAACCATCACCGTGGCGAACAGTGCTAAACGGGGCCGGAGTTGCCAGTGACATTCGAGTGTAGCCGAGCATGCCAGGGCGAAGGAATCCAGCCGGGGCCAAAGGGGCCGTTGGAGCCGCCAGCTGCAGATTGATGTATTAGCCGGGCGGAAAGAGGCCTCCATCTCAAAATATACGACTTGAGAGAAATCTATCACTCTTGTAAGTTTTGAAAAGAAAAGAAGATTTGAACAGATCTAGATGGGAATCCCCGTGGATGCGTTTCGTTTCTTTTCATCCCCCCCCCCCTTCTTTCTTTTATTTGGGGGAGCTTTTTTCGTGGCTTGGGAACATACGCGTGGGGGCGTAACGATCAATTTTATTAGACTTGTTTCCATGTGAGTTCATTCCTGGCATTGCCGTTGGTTACTTTATATGTATCATTATTGCATCCTCAATTAGATTGCATACAGCTGGCGAGGAAACGTATGTGTTCAACATTCTACTTTTGTGGGATTACTGTCCGGTACACACTATTGCGGCGCAGATTTGACTGCCAACTGCTTGACTTATCTGGAAGATCTTATTTCTTGAAGATAGATTACAGTTTAAACCGTTGGTCAGGGACCGGGAATGCTTTTTGATCCGTGTAGTTGACCCCTTACTCCTCCTTTCAGGATGATGCCCCATTCTCAATGTCCCCTGTGCGCCTGGAGCAAGTTCTTTTCACTCGGATTCAACAAGATACATTCGGAAGGTATATTACATGACTGAAGGTTATAAAACCTTGTTGAACGCCATGAGAAGGAAACACTGAGCATCATACTCAGCATCAACAACCACTCAACAACTCTCCAACGCAAACTTGCCTTTGTTTACCTATTCACAATCGTTTTCGCTCCTCAACTCATTCATAACTTGATACCAAAATGCGCTACTCCGTCCTGAATGTGGCTTTCGTTGCCCTCATAGGGTTTATCGCCACTTTCAATGGCTCTAATGCCTTGCCTACCTGCAGCAAAACATACAAAGTAGTGAGCAACTCTACATAGGTGTCTCGACACTACTTACAATATGACCCACAGACCTCTGGAAACCACCTTCCATACTGCAGTTCTCGCCCTGACAGCCTAATTCCTGCTCTACCACCACTCAAGCGACCAAAGAACACTCCTTTGAACGACAAGTTCCCGGTCTCTGGTGGCCCGGGTCGTGGTCCAGGTGGCCTTCCCGGCGGAACTCTCTCTAATCCAACGCATACCACTCCTGTAAGTCATCTGTCCGAAACTGGACGTAAGCATCTATGTCCAGATGTGACTACTCTTGGAGGCGAAAAGTCGGCTCGGAATGCTGACTATGATCGGCTGTATAGCCTACCAGGACACCCGAGGAATTCTTGGCCCGGGCAATGGATGGAAAATCACTGTGATGCCTGGATTCGCAGAGAAGGGTTTTAAGGTGGACCACCAGAGTTATGCCAACGCGGTTTCCGGCTCAGTAAACAATAAAGAAGGATCATTGACTGTGTTTCATGCGATGTTAAAGGACGCTAAGATTAAGATGCCCGCAAAGGCACATGTCAAGCTCTTTAACATTCAGATTGAGGTCTTGAAGAAGCAGGGCATCACTCCTGAGAAGACGAAAAAGCTCACCTATACAAACGTCGTGGAGTCGAAGACTAAGCCAGTAATACAGGCCGCAAGGACCGAGAAGGGAGGCCTGGATATCACCGTCAGCGTTTCTTCCACTGGTGCTGACAAGAAAATCTTCGACGATATCTCACAGACTACGTTTGGAAAGAACGCACACTGGGTGGACAATGACTACATCAAGAAGGCATCTCAGCTTACCGGGTCTACGTTACTGACACAACAATCCTTAATCTAGACGCCCTATTCCCCTAAGACCTCCGCTCATCATCAAGGATTAATCCTCTACTTGTCCTGCACAATTCTGTAGCAGTCTCACTTTAGTGTGGTCGAGTTGTTTCGCCCACAGCTTTCCACCCTTTTCTCCAGGCTTTCTTCTTTCTTATTGGTTTTTGGACTTTTTGGAGGGTCCAGATATCCGACTTGTTTGCTATTTGCTACTTCAGCTCGCTATCTATTAGCACCCGCGTATACAATAGAACTTTTGCGCTGCTGTTCTTACCTCGCTTAGTTTATAAGCTTTACAACTCAAGTTTTCTCCCACTGAATATGACACACAGTTCAAGTCCTTACTTTGTTCTGAAATCGACATTAGCTTGACTGCATATGATGCTGCGGGCTCTCTCGCCCTCGGTTGGGGGTGGTCAAACAGCCTAGGTAAGCGCCGAGACGACGAATCCTGTTCTGTGACAATTTATTTCATCTTGCCGCAGGCTGAAGGAAACTGTGCACCGCCCCTGACGCCATAATTGCCCCAACCAACAGCCAACAAACACGCAGCATAGAGCATAATTAGAGCAGCGTCACCCGGCCAAAACCTCAAGCTGTTGTCTTTCCATCCCAATCCTTTTCGTTTGCCGATTTCCCCGCATCTTCCAACATACTCTTGTTATCAATCAGCTCATCAAAATGCATATCCTAGACTTTCCACCAGAGTTGATCCACATGCTGCTTTACCACATGGCACTATCCCGTGGCGTTACCCGAGCTCTTAGGTTGCGCCTTGTATGCAGTATGTCGGAAATGATTGTCTTCTGCCCTCAGAGCTAACGGTATTGCGTAGAGGTGTTCCGGGATTCTTTACAGCCTGCTCTATTCGAAACGCGTCTTCTCGATAAATTCCAATATGGCCAGGTCAATTATATCCATGATCGCAACACCGAACACATGAGTGATTGGTATATGCGAGAACACCATGGCGCCGAGGATTTTTGGCACTCCTATATTGCGTACCGGGTCCGAAACGAAGGCGACCCACAAGTCGGCCGGCTGGTCAAGATTCGACAAATTGCGGAAGCGTACTGCAGCAAGACGGGGTCAACTGACTTGGCCGGCACCATCGACACTCTTTGCTGGATGGCGCTCGAGCGAGCTGCCAGATGCCCTGTTCGCGCCAATATGTATGTGCTGAACCCCTATCGGTTTGACTCTGAGCGGGGCCCGGTCCCGGATCCCGGCGTCAGCCTCTTAAGCGTAGCGGCATATCTTGGCAACTTGTCGCTGGCCAAAGAATTGTTGGAGGAGGGCCACTGCCCGGAAGATACCAACGAGCTCTTCGACGAGCCCCTGCGCCTTGCCGCTTGGGCGGGCCACGCCGACATCTTGAAGCTGTTCCAGGAGCAGCTGCCCGAGTACGAATGCTATGGTACGGGAATCAAGCAATGGCGGGCGAAAACCGGACCTGGTGCCATTGGTGCCATCACAGGAGCTGCAATTCGTGGGGATTTGGACATGCTCCGTCTGGCCATATACCCCCCTTCACGGATTCAACCGGGCACCTCTGACTTTGCCGGTTTCCCATACGGACAGGTTGTTGTGGAGGACCCGTACGACTAACGAGTTTGCGAGCTTTACAGGGCAGCCCGCAAGACAAGATCAGTAGAGGCATTCACTTACATCACTTCCTTCTTCGAGCACGGAAAAGACAGAAACATGATATTTCACGGCGGCTTCGTCAGGGAACAATGCGAATGGGGCAACCTAGAAATTGTCAAGCATTTGGTCAACACTTACGGCTTTTCGAAACTCAACATGTACGGTCATGAAAACACGCCAAGACAAAACTGTCTGGTTGGTGCCGCCCGCGGATGGCGGGAAGACGTAGTTGATTTCTTACTCGAGTGCGGTATGAACGCCGAATGTGACCCGAGCGACATACACCCTCTACATGCGGCGACTTCTGCTGGAAGCATGTCCATTGTGCGCAAGCTCATGGGTCATTGCGCAAGTCCTGGAATTTGGGGATTCGCTCTCCTGAAGAATGCTGTACGTCTTGAGCATACAGCACTTCTCGAGTTCCTCTTAGAGAGAAACGTTTGTCATGATGAATCATCGGAGATGGAAGACATACTATATTACGCATTGGAATCGGGACTAGAATCCATGGTTGAAGTTCTACAACGATGGGACCAGGGACTTGGAGCGAGGAGCAAGAAGCGTAGTTCGCATATTGACCACTCAATGGATGTGGACTAAGTATAGCGTACGATAGCTTCCTGTCCATGACAAGGTAATACAGTGATTGATCAATTTCTACCCCACCCATAAGCATTTGAAATAGGCCTAAATTCATCGAGACCTATGATGCAAGTCACTCAACCCTAAGGAGTCGTGGAAACATCATCTTATTGAACTTGCAGATCACCCCCTTCACAAGCCTTTTGAGATGTCCAGAAAGAGACCAAGTATTACTTCACAGTCTAGACTTCCTTTTCTTTCCTTTAAAAGGCGCACCGTGAACAATTCTGTCATTCATACGCTGAACACTCAATCTCTGCGCGGCTTCTCAACCAAGTTCGGTATCCAATGATTTCTTAGGAATCTAATGACTGTGTACTCAGTGCTATCTTGCTACCTGGCCCCTTCTAGGAAATTTCTCAAATAGCTCAAAGGGAAAATATTCGTGGAGTAGGTAAGATGCTATATACCGGATATACGGTTACCTGAAACTTCTTCATTATGCCTATTCGACTCAAGTGGTAAATTATTGAAAAGCAAGTCTATACTAGTCTAACAAGTGTCGTATCAAGAAATCACGTCTACTTCTTGATTTGTGTCTTCTTTCCTACACCAGCCGGTGATGAGTAAATACTTTCAACAAACTCGTCGCTGAAAGCATAATCTGTATAGCCCACATCCGTCTCGGCATAGAAGGTCTTTCGATCGTACGGTGTAAGAGGAATGTCTCTTCGAATCCTGAAGGGCAAGTCTGGGTTCGAAATAAACCACCGGCCGAAGACAATGGCCACTTTTGTGTTCCTATAATAATCCTCCGCAGCTCGCTTGGCATTTTGGGGGTTGAAGCCGCCCGCAATAAGCACGGGCGACTCATTTTCCCAAGCGTCAAGCATGAAATGGATACTGTCCGCACTGTCTGCATCTGCATTGCCATCGACGCGGCCCTCGACAACATGCAAATAAGCCAGTTTGAGCTTCTTCAGCTCCCGGGCGACATGTGTGAACTGCGGGATCGGATCCGTCATGCGCATTCCCTGGAAGGTCGACCATGGCGAGAACCGGATCCCGACTCTATCCGCGCCGACAGCGGCAACGACGGCGCTGGCAGTCTCAATAACAAACCGCGCCCGGTTCTCAATACTGCCTCCATATTCGTCTATTCGCTGGTTCGCCCTGTCTTGGATGAATTGGTCGATCAGATAGCCGTTTGCACCGTGCAGCTCGACGCCATCGAAGCCAGCCTCGATTGCGTTGCGGGCTGCCTGCGCAAAGTCCGCAATTACGCTCCTGATGTCCTCCTTGGTCATCTCCTCCGGCATGTGCTTGCCCTCTCCTTCTGGAATCGCACTTGGGCCTTTGACGGTGAAGCCTCTGGTGCTTGCTGCCTTGGGGTCGGCAACGCGGCCAAGAGCCCAGAGCTGCATCCATATGAAGCTGCCTTTAGCGTGGACGGCATCTGTAATCTCTTTCCAAGACGCTATCTGGTCTCTAGTGTATATGCCTGGAGTGTGGTGGAGGCCAGCGTACGAGTAGCCATCGACCTGTCGGGAGACGAAGGTAGCCTCGGTGATGATCATGGTGCCAGGCACCGACGCCCGCTGGGTATAATACTCCTTGGCCATCGGGAGAGGAGCATGCGTCTCGTGGTGTGCCCGGAATCTGCTCAGAGGAGACATCACGACCCTGTGTTGGAGGGTCGTGTTGCCTACTTGCAGTGGTTTGAAAAGAGTTGAGTCAGACATCTTGACAATTACTCAATTATTGTGCTAATTGTGAATTAGATGTTTCAGATTGTTATTGTAGGTTGGGTGATGGTTTATGAGATAGATGTCTTCATTAAATACCATGTCCCGGGTCAGGACACCTGCGGCTATTAAAATAAGTATCGTCAAGCTTTACAATAAACCGCTGGTGGAAGTGAGCGCAATATCCTGTCCTGGCAAACCAAGGTTACCATCTTCCAATGTTTCTTAAAATATCGTGATGAGTAATGTCAGTAGATTGGTAATGTAGCAATGTCGCAACGTGTTTGGAGTTCGACGGCATTTACCAAGCTTCTTGAAAGCCATTACCGCTGCCAAGCCCGGGTCAGCCTCAGTGGCACCAATCAAATTCATTTTGTGAAACCCGCTGGCGCCTTGTCTTTTGTGATTACTCATATCCACCTCGGTACTTCTTGGTAATTAAGACCATCAATGTAAATTCTCGCTCTTTCGATCGCTTCAGTATATTGTGTGTTGATTTCATTTCGCTGTATCAAGTGCGCATACACATTGAGCACGAAGCTCGATTACAGTGAACTATGGAGTGGATAAACCAAACCGAGAGTTGCTATCATTCAGAGATACAGGGACACACGATGCAAGGTTGGGCAAAATTGGTGTCTTGATCGAAGAACTCTCGTGAGACATTTCACCTCACAAAAACACTGTACTTTGGGTGCTGTCAGCACCATGTCTATAAAACTAGCTGCGTAATGAGGGAATCGTACTCCTGGTCAGCAACTCTTCTATTCGGGAAGTACCATTGTATGTAACGAAGATGGCTTTGAACACTCACCAGAGACTGGAGTGTGTAACTAGGTCATAATACGGCTCTGAATGTTGTCAGACTCCTCGTCTCCCAACGTTTTAAGTGGCTCATGTAGCCAGTCAATTTCACATAGCATAGCCGAATCCTTATTTCTTACCTTAATCCTAGACAGGGATTTTGGGTGCTTCCCTACATCATTGCTCATTCCAAACAGAACCCAATGCTTGATTCATTTGTGGCGCCCTTCCGTGATCTCCAGAGCGCCTTCTGGAGACATGTTAGTGTTTTGACACGATGTCTATCATCCGCCTCAGAAGAGAAATAAACGCATTCATGGCAAACTTCAATCTTCATCGTTATCCTCCTAGGTTACTCCCATATTAGCTCGAACCTCCATTTTAGTGTCCAGTAGTGCACGACGGCGCCGTAATCGCACTAGGCAAGACTGCGATGTAGAAGAGAGAAAATTATAGTGGCAGGCAGGTGCTGAGAAAGACCGTCGCGACGATGGAGCGGAGCGAGAAAAAGGATAATTTTGTCTCTTTCCTGTTTCAAAGAAGGTCTAACGACGGTCCCGTCGGAAGATATGCAATTTTCCGAGTAGTTGCGACCGCCTCTCAGACGATGGTGGATGGTCGGTACAAATGCTATGCCCAGCTGACACCTGTGCTGAAACGTTGTTCGCTCGCGTGCTTGTGTTCCTGCCCTGGCTCAACTGCCCAGAACAGCGTTGGTAGAAGGGGGATCAGTCCTGGTGATCGCTGTGGATCAGTACCGGGTGAATTCTTGACTGCAAGGGTGTGAAAGGATTAAATGCGCACTAAAATCATCTCTGAACTGTCGGAAGAAGGAATAACGCTCTCCATAATTCAGAGGCTACCTACTATCATCCATGAATCTATACCCGAATTTTTGACTTTGGTTCGTGTGATATGTCGCTGTGTCATGATTAACGTTGTTGATACCCTAGGTTTCTGTCAACGCATGGAGAGCTTTGTTATTTTAGTTCTACAAACAAATCTAGCACTAGCCATTGGCATCACAAAGGCAAATTCAAGGTATTGAGCATCTTTTCTTCCCGTTTCCGTATGAATCCCCAAGACCTATCGCAGCATTCAGTCAAGTATCAATCAATACGGTGCCGCTGAAAGAGTTTCGCTAATCCCTGCTGAAGAAGAAAGAGGAAAGATGTGCAGCTCCCTTCCTCGTGTCAACGCAGCATAAACACTGTCTCACGAACGCGTGTTATGAATAGCAATTGTGTAAAGTCGTGAGAATATGGATTCGATAATTCAAAATTCAACCTGCAGATTTCAGAGTATCTACACTCTATATCATCATTGTTCATGATATGAGACCCCACAGCGACAAACATACATGTAGTGCAGCATCTTGAGGATCTTGGTACCCTTTGCATAGTGTGCCACCAAAATAAGAAGATACCCTGCCACTGTAGATATTTGCGAGTATATGAGAACGATTGAATAACTATATGTAACAACTGAACAGTTTACCTGGTGGTAAGCATGCAAATCCAACTCATGACAGGCAACAGTACTAACAACAAACGCAGGGTCAAGGGGGCACTAAAGAATCCCTATTGAGCTGCTCTTCCTAGAGAAAAGCGGCAAGATAGGTCGTAACGTTGTGAGGATCGCGGTTTGCTGTTTGAAGCAAATGTCTAGTCCAAAATCAGTTCGATTGAGGAGTGTAACACATAGCATGATTACCATGAAGATAATTCCCGCACATTCATGGACAAGACTAACCTAGCGCTTAATTGTGAGATTTATACCAGACAATGGGATGGCTTTGGGTATGAGGAACTAACAAAATTCCAATGCTTGAATGGACACCTTTTCAGCTGCATCTAAGGCGGTTGCTCTTGGGGACGTACTGGTACCTGGGACCTGGAATACAAAGACCTAGGAGACAATACACATTCGACCAAGGGCCACAACACATCTGTTCAACATGTTTAGGGATTGCAAGACGAGATCATGTCTTTCTCTTTCTCTTTTTCCTTCCTTAAGATGCTCGAATCCACACAATGTCTAGCTTACTGCGGCTGCTCCAACCTCCAAATGCTGCTAGACCCCATGTTAGTGATGGAAGGAATCAAGGGGTTGAGCTGCGTTTGAGCCTCGTTGTGGACCCCGCGGGGCTTCTTATTGAGCAGGATTTGTCGACAAGCAGCGAATCCCCTTCGCGATTTCTTATACGGTGGAAGGCTAGGTGGCCGCTTAAGGAAGTCTTCGAGAAGTGTTCTAGCGTGCACGGGAGACTTCACCAGATCTCACGCATCCTTTGACGGGTCATGATTGGTCTGCGGGTCTACTGGGTGATGCACTGCCCCCATTCAGCTCCATGATGTATGTATATTTGACGGACACCAAAAACCTCAGCACTCTCTCTAATTTGATTCCAACATCACCGCCTCATCCGCCCACTCCTCTCATTTTGCATACTGTCTTTTGCTTGCGTGCAGTTTGGTACACATGTGTTTTCGAGTATTTTGTTTGATCCTGCCTATTCATATCATTGCCGAAACACACCAGTGCCTCTTGTTTGTTTCCGTGCTCACACACCTTACAACGTCACTGCTAGTCGTGCAAACCTGGCTTCACCACCATCCCAACCCTCAAAGAGCTTGTAACAAGTCTCACAGCTCAAGGACACGACTTCAAGAATTCCTTCCCCCGTTTCCATATTCCACGAAACACGCAACCGCTAGATCATATATCAATTGACCCTTGCCAAAGGCAAGGAGGTTTGCCATTCCTACATCTCTGGGCCAGGACTCGCTCTTAGAACCATCTCTCCCTAAGCACGTTGGCTCTGAACAATCTTTTCGAAGACGAAAGAAGAGGCAAACAGCCCTCAGCTGCACCAGCGTCCAGACAATCGCAAATCATATGTCAAGCATGTCAACAGAGGCTATCATAGCTATTGTAGCTATCATTATTGCTTTGCCGCCGACAGCCTACGCTATTTTTCAGTGGATGCGGCATCGAAACCAGTGCCACGAGGAGCTAATCCGTATGTTGTCTGCATGCTCTCCAGTTCATTTAGCGGGGCCCTTTACTAATAAGTGCTTTCTTCCACAGCACCCCTTGTTCCGCGCCGTGGCAGCAACAGACCCCTGCAAGTTGACGACTACAATCTAGGCGGCTTCTCGGCGTCCACAGGCGGCGATTTCCGTGCAGTGGATAGGGTGATCGTCTTTGAGACGCGCGAGTATGCCAGCTTCGTGGGACAATACCGGTTCCGTGAGCCTGCTTCTAGTAAGCCTAGAGTGCTAAGCCGTTTTTGACAATGTTGAACGCTCACACCAAATAAAGGGAATTTGGACATTGAACAAGCATACCCAAGCACTAGGCTCCGCACAGAATGGGATCAATCGAGCATGCATAATAGAGCGGGTTCTAGCTTCCGGCTACTTAACTGGGAGGGTCGAACATAAAGTGCCTCGGCTGAGAATAGAACCCAGTGTATAATACCGAACACTATTGTACATGGTAAATCTATATATAATTTGCGTAGGCATTACGGCATTGAGTCTAGATTCGGGCTTTGTTGAATGGCAAGTGGTGGATTCTAGGAAGTGGCATTGCAATCAGGGGAAAATATCTTGGCGATTTTCTTGCGGGCTGGTGGTGGACAAGATGCACCATCTACGTTGCACGCAACGTAACACCGCTGGGAAGGCGGCTTATATGAACTCAAATGCTTTGACGCACAGCTCATTTGTGCCTTTTGCCTCGTCATGATACTTCATTTACTACATATGAGAACAGAGACATTAGTGATACCAGCATCGCACCTTTTAGACCACGACACCGCCCAACAACTCATCAAATACTTCAAAGTTGCCCTCATTCTTGCGATCGTAAACCGCGAACCAAACCTCCCTCCACCACCCGCCCCAAACTCGGCCTCGTCCAGCACCTCAAGCCAACACCTCGCAACCTCCTCCGGCGGGTTTCGGAACGCACCGCACCCCAACGCGCCGAGCACAAGCAAACTGTGGTCCCGGCTCGCCGCCATCCGCAAGCAGAGCCTCATCTTCTCCATCGTTAGCGCCCGGTCCCCGGTCCTCGCAAACTCGTACACCTCTTCTGTCCCCGCCGTCGTGACGACCTTCCGCCTCCTAACCTCTGGTCTCCGGATCGCTGCGATGCTGAGCACGCTCACAACCGGCAGGTCCGCGTACGCGATCCCAGGGACGAGCAGCCTGTGCCCGCTCGCCATGTCGCTGCGGATGACGACGACGTCGGGCGTGTACACCCCGCCGCGGCGCTTGAACGGGTAATACCGCTTGTGGAGGCTCAGATACAGTGAGGAGCGGTAGCAGATGGCCTCCTCCTGCGCGACGGCGCCCTTGAGCCAGCCGCCGCCGGGGTGGATGTCGGAGGCCATGTTGAGCACCGCGACGCGGCCGCCGTCGGGCCGCTGCGCCGCGAGGTCGATGGCCGCGTTCAGGGTGTCGGCGTTGACGATCTTGATCTTTGCGCGGGGGGTGTGCGCGGGACACGCGGAGGCCTTTAGGGGCGGGAGGTAGTCCATGTGCAGGGACTCGGATTTCGAGGCGTTGAGGTGTGGTAGGTTGGGGAGGATGCGGGGGAGGACGGTGCGGGTCTCGGCGGAGACGGAGGCGAGGGATGGGTTCGAGCGGTCGCCGCCACCGCCGTCGCTGCGGGACTGAGATTGGGAAGATTGCGGTGTTGTGGTTGAGGAGGATGACGGGGTGGGGAAGGACGACGAGGTTGATTGTGTGGATGCTTGTTGGCTTGGTTGTTGAGGTGCGTCTTGGGGTTTGTGAGTTCGGTTTCCTCCGTTCTTAGAGAAGGCGAACTCGAAGAGGTTCGTTTGACGCGAGTTGCCGGACATGGCGGGCTATGTCAGGCGTGCCAGTTGTGTGGTTGATGAAAAATCTGCGGGATGAGAAGCGCGATGGGTGTGTGGACGTTGGTTGGAAGTGGTTGCCTGGAACCCGTCCGAATGAGACGCGCTTATTGATGCGCTGATGTGGGGTATTTCACAGGACGATTGCTGGCGTATTATTGCAAAGAACCCAATATTGTCGGGAAAGGAGGTCTTCCGCGGCGTTTTTTGACCTCAATGGTGACCGAATGAGACACGATATTGAGTGGTGTGTGGTTGAATGAGATGTGAAAATAAGGTTGGCAGCAGGGAACTTGGACGGAAACTGGCCGGGGTGACTCACTTAGCGCGCTACGCTACCGTCGGATTTCACGTGTTGAACATGCAACACTTGTCCCAACAGTCAGGACGCCGTTGAATCAGGTCGATATCGAGCATGGGTATCATTTCAGATTTTTGTCTATGTAGAATTGTACATGTTGTTACAAGAGTGTACAGCTTGACCGCGAATAGCGTGAGGACTCCTCGACAGCATCCTGGAATTTTCTAGGCACGCGTCTTGATGGCGCCTTCGGGAATCGCGTCCTCGGCCTCGAACTTGCGCGGGATAAGACCTTCGGCCATGTCGATGGCGCCTTGCATGTCGTTCTTGTTGAACAAGAACAAGCCCTGGATGGCAGCCGTGCTGGTGGACCTGTTGGCCGTCTCTCCCGTTCCGTTGCCAAACAGACCAAGGTCCTCAAGTCTCTGCAGGAAGCGCTCGCGACCCGAACCATCGGCGTCGACGTCGCCATAGAAGCGATCCCACATCTGGCCAGCCTGATACTTGGTCGCCTCGCCGATGCGCATCATCATGTCCACGCGTCCGGGGCGGATGAGTGCCGGGTCAAGACGCTCGATGTGGTTGGTCGTCAGGAAGGCAATACGCTCTTCGCCGGCGGCCAAGCCGTCCAGCGCATTGAGCAGACCGGAGAACGTGACGCTGGCACCACTGTAGCCATCCGCATCGCGCTGACGGCGGTTAACAAACGCCGAGTCTGCGTCTTCCAGCAGGAGGATGCTCCGACGCGGGAGCTTCGTCAAAAGGTATGCCAGCTTGTCGTCCGTCATGCCCATCTCGCTGAGGTTGATCATGGCCACGCTAAAATCCAGTTCACCGGCAAGGGACTGGATGAAGGAACTCTTTCCGCTGCCGGGCGGTCCAAAGAGGAGATATCCACGTCGGTAGGGAATGCCACGGTCGACATACCACTGCTGCCGGCCCAAGAAATCCTTGACATCGTCTACGATGCCTTCCTTGACTCCTTCGTCCAGCACCACCGAGCCAAGCGGGCGCTTCTTCCGGGGGTCGCCGAGCGGCGCCCATTCCATCCCTCTCGCAGCGTAGACAATCGTCTTTCCCTCATTCGCCTTGGCCGCCAGCGCGTGCGCCTCGCCAAACACGTCCTCGAACACGTGCCGGTGCGCCCACAGCGTCGTCAGCTGCACAATCTCGTGCGGCTCGCCCGTGTTCATGTTCGCCGTGCTGTGCTTCTCGCGATTGATGGCGATGTAGGCGTTCTTGTGCTTGACAATGTGCCGGCCGTAGCCGGGCTGCAGGAAGAAGTGCGCATTCGTCGGGCCGGTCGCGCCGCGCTGGGCGGTGGTGGTGGTTGAGACGGAGAGGTTGTGGATGCGCGTGATGCGCGAGGCCAGGAACCCAACCTGCTCGCGCGGCTGCGAGAGCCAGGCAAGGATCCACGGGTAGGCCGGGTCCTGCTTGCTGATCTCGACGTTGACGAGGAGGCGGCGGCGGGCGGCTCCCGCGGCGACGACGACGCCTTTGCGGGCAAAGGCCGCCGCGGCGCCTAGGCTAGCGAGGCCGATGCCGCCGGCGAAGAGGGGGTTGTTGAAGAGCGCATCGAGGCTGAGCACCGAGGCCGAGGCGGATGCTGCTGTCGATGCGGTCGGTGCGGTCGAGGACATTACGGACGGCGGGTGTGGTGGCTTCGAGATCGCATCGCGCGATGATGTGTCGTGGTGGATTGGCGGGAAGCGGGAAAAGTGACGGAGACGAATTTTTGGGAGCTGTTTGCAGGGATGACGAAACGCTGAGGGAAACCCCCCCGGTCGCCGGCTTAGAGGCTCCACCCCTCTGCTGCAGCGCCGAACGACGGAGCCCTGTCCGACTCGGCCCTCCCCCTGTCGACAAGTCGGGGAACCTGGGAACGATCTTATCGGGTATTCGCTCTGGACAACACCTGGGCGCTTTGTAATATTTAGATCAGTAATCAATTTCAGAGCACAGCCAGATAGGCCGTATCACACGCTATACATAGTATTGCCGAGGTTTAAGCTTTCGGGCGCTCCCTTGCTCAACGGGGGGTTCATCGTAACCTCCAAGTGATTATTAAACGTCCGGGGAGAGCCACCCCATCTCCCGCCTTGGGGCTAGATAGAGCCGGACGATTTCTCAGCGATGTGTTTTTTTCCAAGGAGCTCATTTCCATGGACGGGTATTAACTGGCTGCAGTATCACTCACCTCGTTGATAAAGCGGCAAACACGGCAAACCAGTAGCCCTGCTCTAGCTTGAGACAGCCCAGGGCGATGTCGTCAGATGGCTTGTCCGGTCCGGGCCTAGAGGAGATCTTCGCTGCATCCTCGGACTCACGCCCGCATCACTCGAAGAAGCTTGACTTGATTTCCAATTTCCGGTGCGCTGCGTTGACCATTGTTTGACTTGCAGTATGATTCACGTATTGCTAATACATGCACGCCCTGTCCCTGTGGCTTTTCGTTGTCCGCCGTTGATGTTGATCTATATGTGACTAGGGTCTGCTTATCACTCTTCCGTCTCGACATGTCTTATAGCCGAGCTGGTTTCCCACTTAATCGCTTGGTTCTTCAAGTGCTCCATTGCTCTGGACAACTTTGCAGCCTACGTTCACCGGCCACCGCGTCTCCATGGCTTCGCAGTCACCAGCACGCTCCTCGGAGGAGACGCAGACAGCTCATTCCAACCATGATCATTTGAACCACGACCCCGAGAAGCAAGATGGTGCCAAGAGCGACGAGACACAGTCCGGTGAAGCATCAAAGAACGACGCCGATGGGAGGGCGAGATGGAACTGGGATACAGATCCTCACAATCCCATGAACTGGCCAACACGCCACAAAGTCAGGCAGATTGTGATGCTTTCTCTAGCGGCCTTCACAGCGTAAGCTCCTACGGCTCTCCTCGTAGGCTGGAAAATGTCCTGACAGCCATCCAGATCCGTCGGCACCTCCATAATCAGCCCAGCCCGCGCCCAGCTCATGCAAGAGTTCGATGTCACCATGACACAGGCCATCGTCCCGCTGTCGATGTACGTCTTTGCCCTTGGCCTGGGTCCCATTGTCGGCGGCCCGCTGTCGGAAACGGTGGGCAGGCATCCCGTCTACCTCATCAGTCTCCCTCTCGGCGGCCTTTTCACCCTCGGCGTGGGCTTCTGCCACAGCTTTGCCGGAATCTGTATCCTGCGCTTCCTCGCGGGTTCTGCCTCTCGCCGAGCCTGGCCATCGGCAGTGGGACCATCAACGAAACGTTCAGGCCCTCGGAGCGCGCGCTGCCTTCCACCACGTACATCCTCATGCCGTTTCTCGGCCCGGGACTGGGGTAGGTCGACAATACCACTGGCAAGACAAAGATGCTGACTTTGGGAAAAGACCCGTAATCGGCGCCTTCGTCATCAATCGGAAGGGCTGGCGCTGGACACAGTGGACAATGCTTTTCTTCATCATCACCGCCATGATATCGACCTTCTTCAGCAAGGAGACCTACCACACCGTCCTCAAGCGCCGGCGCGCGACACAGCTCGGCCTGCCCGTCGAGCCCCAACCTGCAGCGCGCGAGCGCGTCCAAAAGTTCGTGACCACGGCTATCGCGCGGCCTGTTCGAATGATGTTCACCGAGCCCATCGTCTCGTTCATTTGCCTGTACGTGGCCTGCGAATTCGCCACCTTGTTTTCCTTCTTCGCCGCCCTTCCGTACGTCTTCGGCACCGTGTACGGCTTTGGCATCGAGCAGCAGGGCCTAGTCTTCATCTCCATCGCTGTGGGCTGTGTCCTGGGGTGTCTAACGGTCCTGCTGTGCAACGCCGTCCTCTACCTCCCGCAGACGAAGAAATACCCTCCACAGCGCACGCCGCCAGAGCACCGGCTGTACCCGGCCATGATTGGCAGCATCGGGCTCCCGCTGGGTCTCTTCTGGTTCGGATGGACGGCTCGCGAAGACATCTCCTGGGCCAGCCCGGTGGTTGCCATTGTGCCTTTTGCCTGGGGAAACATCTGTCTCTTTGTGAGCACCATGCAGTACCTTGTCGATGTCTACCAGGGAACGACCATTGCCAGTGCAGCGAGTGCGAACAGCCTGGCCAGGTACGTCCTCGCAGGCGCGTTCCCTCTGTTCATCGTCCAAAGTAAGTCCCCAATGCCTGTGACAGTGGGACACGGTGCTGACGTATGGGATCCAGTGTACACCAATCTGGGTATCGGCTGGGCTAGTAGTCTGCTGGGCTTCATCGCGCTAGGGTTGATGCCGGTTCCGTGGGCCTTTTTCAAGTTTGGACGAACGATCAGGCAGAAGAGCAACTTCGACACGGTGACGTTTTGACGAGAGCGTGGGGGCTGTAGGCTTCGGTATCTCGCACCGTTACGTGCAAGTTGTAATGTCCAGTCAGGATGCAAAACAGAGAATGCAACAAGACCAGTGCCGTGACAATGAAACGGTGACAGATCTCCTCACACGAAGCTTATGACAAGTGACAGCTCGGGAGGCACCGAAGATGTGGATCGGCGCCGTGGAGTGCCTCCAACCCGGGGAAATGTCCGAGTGTGCCGTTGTGCTGGTAACTGGATCTTCCCAAGGATGAGAAAACCAAGGTGGGGCCGGCGGCGCAAGTCATTCAGCAGGGTTCGACGGGCGGCTTGAGTGTTCAAGAATAAAAACAAGGGGGTAAAGAGGAGACGTCTGGTAATAACTCGGGATGACGGGGAGAAGATGGGCAAAAGTTCCGTTTCTTCTCTCATCCTCTCATCATCTCGCAGCTCTAGTCCGCATTTGTTTTGGGGGAGGGGGGGGGGGCGCGAGGGATTTGACGCAGACATGGACATGAGACGCGCAATTCTCGGCCGGGGCTGTGCCGGATTTGCTTTCTGGGCATCCAGGGCACCCAAGACATTCCAAGACGAGTTGACAACAAAGAGCACGGGACGGCAGCGCGGCACTCATTTCAAACAGTATGGGGACTTGCTGGCTAGTAAAAACTGAAGCAGCAAACCCAAGGGCTCACGTCGGGGACTTCTTGGGTGCTCTTGGCCGGCCAGGTACCGTCCAATGACTTGACGCGATACCGGCAAAGGTATGCGCTCTGCCGGTGGCGCGGCCTACTGCGGCAGATGAGGGGGGCCCTTGGCGCGCTTGTGCTCGACCTTTTTCCCTCTGAGGCTTTTCCTTGGTGTTTCCCCCCCCCATCCGGTCTCACTCCTTCGGGACGGTGTGGGCGGTTTGCTTATGGTTTGCCTGGCCCCGAGGCTTGAGAAACATGTGGCTAGATTTTTCCTCAATCATTCCCGACGACATCTCCTTCGAGTTTCATCCGTTTGACAATTGTAGTATTGTAATCGTCGACGTCGCGATAGCTTCAGCCGGCCACCGTCATCGATCTCTGCGACATCAGAGGGCGACGACTCTTTCATTACGACTCACCTAATCTCATCACCAACCGCTTTGCGCCACAGGCCCTCGCCTCAGTTGTATTACGACCAGCCCGCTTCCATTGCCTGCGTCACCTCTCCCTGGCAAACCCGATTCTTCACTCCGTAAGACGAATTGACGAGGATTGCAAGCCGCGCATTGAGACATCACGAAAATACCCTAGCGAAGCGTCGAGGCTCGGCTGTCTGTCCTTTAGCTCTCCTCCGCATGCAACCCTAGCCTGCATCTCTCGCCAGCATCGCCCAATCGCGGGGGTATGAGGGCCACCATCATCTCATGACAACCTCACCATACCACCGACCCCTCATCACCATCAACCCCGCCAGCGCACCAATCATAGCCCGTCAGCCATGATTCTCCCCTCACCGCGCATCAAGCGCCTGCTCGTTCTCGTCTTCTTCTCCCTCCTCATCGGCAACGCTCTGCTGTACCTGATCTTACCATACGACAACCCGCTCGTGCTGGCCTTCCGCTTCAACTTTTCGGGACTGCAGCTCTGGTTCCGCGGGTCCGGAATCGAGAAGGACGCCTGGCTGTATAAGCCGGCCAAGTACCCCATCGAATACCGCACCGATGTGGGGTTGCTCATCAAGACCGGCTACGGCACCCGGCATCGCCTGGCCGCGCAGCTCGAGGCGTTCGACCTGACGACGGAAAACGCCGACGCCTTTGTCGTCGTGGGTGACTGGACGCCGCGCGCGGACAGCAAGATCGGGGGTGTTGAAGTCCAAGATGCTATTGGCGGGGTGATGGCCATGCCCGAGATGAGGTCCCACCACGATGCGCCAAAGTTCCAGGAGTACCTGGCCCTCAAGGAGGCCGTGCAGAACGGCGACGACGCAAAGGCGACTGAGATTGGCAAGAGCTTCGGGTGGGATCTCGATGCGCTCAAGGTACTTTTCTTCAACTCCGCGTGGTCGCAATTACTCCAGGGCTCACGCTGACACTGCCGCAGTTCATCTGGGGCCTCGAGTACGTCTACGACAACCTCCCGCCGAAAAAGTGGTATGTCATCCTCGACGACGATACCTACCTCGTCAAGTCGTCCTCCGGCTCCTGCTGGCGCACTGGGACTCGGACGTGCCGCAGTACATTGGCAACGCCGTCGGCGACTTCAAGGGACGTTTCGCGCACGGCGGGTCGGCGGTGGTCATCTCGCACGAGGCGGCGAGGCAGCTGCTCTCGCGGCGCGACGTCGTGGCCGCGGCGCAGGAGCACTCGCTCGACGAGACGTGGGGCGACAAGCTCATCGCGACGGCGTTCCAAAAGATTGGCGTCTATCTCGACGAACGCTACAGCCACTTCTTCAACGGGGAGCGGCCGAACATCTCCAAGATCATGGCGGACCGGTTCTGCTCGCCGCTGGTGTCGTTCCACGGCGTGGCGGACCCCGAGGAGATGAAGAAGATCGGGGCCGCCTTCAGGGACGAGAGGAGCCCCGTGTTCTGGGGGCAGCTGTGGGAGATTTACGGGGCGCCGTCGATAGAGGAGTTCAAGCGGTCACCGATCCGGAGCGGGCGAGACTACGTGGGACGGACCGACGAGCGGGCGAGAGTGCTGCCGTCAACAGAAACGGCGGAAGCGTGCTTGAGGGCATGTGAGGGCCTGGCGGGCAAGTGCCTGGCGTGGACGTGGGTTGAGCAGAGCAGGGAGTGCAGGCTGAGCCCGTGGATGATCCTGGGCGAGCCTGTCGACGGCCACTACTCGGGCATCAACGTCGGAGAGGTTGAGAAGCTGCAGCAGAGCTGCTGAGAGGGCGAGGGCGAGGGCCGATCTGACGAACGGAAGGCATGAAAGCAATGATACCCAAGAGAAATACAGGCGTTGAGGCCGCAAACAGGTCGATTTACATATACACTCGGGATGGGCTGGGGCCAATGGCGTTGGATACTTGTATTCCGGTCAGTCTTATGTCATCAAGACAACACTTTGGCTTTTCGCAATAACCTGCATCTGCAGCATATCGACGGTCGACGCCGGCTGTTCATGCTTCACCTCGTGTACTGGGTGCTGCGTGTTCGTGTTCCCGCTGGGAGCGTTCCAAAGGTGTGCACACGGAGAGTTCAGGCTCGGGCGGGACGCAGCTCGAACCCGAGAGCGGCCCGGGCGTCCCGGGCGGCCGACCGACTGCTTCGTCTGACCCATGGACAGCTGAAGTGGAGAAAAGCCACACGTGGCGCGGCCTTACGCCCGACATTCCCCCTCTTCGCGAGCACGTGTAGCTGACTAAGCGGTACCAGCTGGCCTCGACTTAACCCCACGAAACGAAACGAAACGTCGTCAGCGCGCAGACTAGCAGAGTGTGCGTGCAACCCCTCCCTCCTAGTGTACTCCCTACCGTCCCGTCCGATGGTTGCCCGTCAATGACGATGACGTCTTGATTTGGAACGCACACACTCAGCCACGCTCCATCCCAGCATTTTTTTTTTTTTCGCCTCTGCAATTAGTCCGGTGCACCTTGAGCTGATGTGAGGGAGTGTGTGTGTGTGTGGACGAAAGGCGACGGACAATTGACGTCAATTCTAACCACGACCGCCCCCCCTTTCTTGGGGAACTGGCAGCAATTCTTGATTATCCCCAACGTTCAACGATACCTACGAATTGCCTCCATTCTCATGCATTTCGTCCAGCTCTCTCTCTCTCTCTCTCGTAGCGTAGCGTAGTAAAGCTCGACCAAAGCCTCTCACAAAACATACCACTTCCAGGTTGCCCTCCAGCTGCTGTCCATTGCCCAGTCAACGGAGCGGATCTGCCTCATTTCCCAGGTCCAGATCGGTAGCCTAGCCATTCCTTGCCTTAATTAGTTGGCACGCAACATCCTTCCGTATTCCGTCAGCGCACCTGGCCAACTGCCCCAAACGCAGCTGCAACCCCTGTTGAGGGCGGCCCCAGCTCCAGTCTCTGTCGCTGTCGGTGCCGTAACCACCCACAGCGGCCACTAAGCCGATACGTACCCCGGTACCACAGCATCGACCTTGACGCTGCGACATCCCACTTTCTCATAAAGACGACACCGGGACACACAGTACAGCAACGCGAGACCCCCCCGCCTACCTACCTCTTGGAAAACTTACACACCTCCAACAAAAGACTCCCTTTCTTTCTGCGAGGCCTTTTACGAATCGAATCGAAAAGAATCACACATTGTCCTTGTCCCGCCTCGGATCCCTCTCCCACCCCATCTCCAACACACACGACTCCGACAATGGCGGCCCAAACCCCGACAGCAGCTCAGGCCCAGGCCAACCAGGGCAGCTGGGGAGCTTTCCTCAAGGTACTGCACCCCCTCTTGCTCCCACTTAGACTCAAATCGTGAACCGCAATTGACGCTCTCCCTCTTCTCCAACAGTCCATCGCCTCCTTCAACGGCGACCTCTCCTCCCTGACAGCCCCGCCCTTCATCCTCTCGAGCACGTCCTTGACCGAGTTCTCCTCCTACTGGTGCGAGCACCCCTCCATCTTCGCCGCCCCTGCCAAGGAGACCGACCCCGCCAAACGTGCCCTGCTCGTCACGAAATGGTTCATCACCACCCTCAAGCAGCAGTACGCTTCCCGCAGCGAGCAGTACGGCAACGAGAAGAAGCCCCTCAACCCCTTCCTCGGCGAGCTCTTCCTCGGTAAATGGGAGGACGAGGCCGGCACCACAGAGCTCATCAGCGAGCAGGTTAGGTAAGACACGTTCCCCCCTATTCTCTCCGTCTCTTTACACCTCTGCGTCGTAACGCAATGCTGACCTGCTGTGCTTTGCGTAGCCACCACCCTCCCGCGACGGCCTACTCGATTACCAACCTCGCGTCCGGCGTTCACCTTGAGGGCTACAACGCCCAAAAGGCCACCTTCAGCCGCACAATCAACATCAAACAGATCGGCCACGCCCTCTTGACTGTCCCTACCGCCGAGGGCGGCCAGAAGGAGACGTACCTCATCACCCTGCCCGCCCTGCACATCGAGGGCCTCATCTTCGGCGCCCCCTTCATCGAGCTCGAGGGCACCTCCTTCATCACCTCGTCCACCGGCTTCACCTCCAAGATCGACTACTCGGGCAAGGGCTGGCTGTCCGGCAAGAAGAACAGCGTCACCGCCACCGTCTACCCGACGGGCAAGGAGAAGGACGCCGTCTACAACATCACGGGCGTCTGGACAAAGTCCTTTGAGATCCACGAGGGGACCCCCAAGCACAACTCGTCAAAGACGCTCCTCGAGACGTACGACGCCGCGCAGCACCCGACGTCCAAGCTTATTGTCGCGCCCATCGACAAGCAGCACCCGCTCGAGTCGCGCCGCGCCTGGAAGGGCGTCGCCGACGGCATCGCAAAGGGCGACATGGACCTCGTCTCCCGCGAGAAGAGCGCCATCGAGAAGGCCCAGCGCGAACTCCGCGCAAAGGAGAAGGCCGAGGGCCGCGTCTGGGAGCGCAGGTACTTCACCGACCGCCAGAGCGCCGGCGACGCCGTCCTCGAGTCCCTCGGCGCCCACGTCGGGCTGCCGGCCACCGGCGACGCGGAGAAGACGGGCGGCCTGTGGCGGTACGACGCCGAGAAGGCCGACAAGGTGCGCAGCCAGGCCGCCCTGAGCGAGGCCGACCAGGCCAAGATTGCCGAGGAGATTCTGGGACAGACATCATCATGAAAAGATGACGATGGCATGGCTGAGAATGAAAACGTACACGGACAAGCAAGACTTTTTTTATATATATAAAACGGGTTCCAAGACTGGGGCAGGCCGTCTTGGGATGGGATGGAGGACGGGACTGTACAGCTAGCATGTTGGCGCTTGGAGTTGTCCAGTACACGCGCGCGGTACAATACTATGTAGCAAGGTACTATTAATCGGACGGGACATCTCGCTTTGTTTTGTTATACATCACCCTCTAGAACTTGAAGCTGTTAATCAAATCGCTCTTGATTATGTAAATCATCCCGCGTCTTGAAACAGCCCTAGAATGAACCGTTCCGCCTCGTCCTCAAGAGTACGTCGTCCGATCTGGAGCCTCTCACGCAGTTGCATCTGAAAGGCGGGCCCATCGGACGCTGCGCACATGAATACATGCATCCGTCATGCGACGAGGCAAGGGCTGAGAGGTAAGTGAGCAGGTTGCGTAACGGCAATGGCAAAACGATTGATTCGGCCTCGGGGAATTTTTTGTACATGTAATTTCTTTGGCAACGTCCCTCCCATGTACCACATATATGTACCGTACCGCATTTTACAATCCGGACCTCTAACCCTCCCCTCACCAAGACAAGTCCGTCAGAATGTTCCTTCTTCTTCTTCTTCGCCAAAATGCTGATTGGAATTCAACAGAGGGAATACCCAACATGCCAATGCTAGATGAACGAAAACCAAACTTGAAAAAGACTACTACGCCGGCCGATGCAATTTTTGTGTTCCTCGATGCAGCCGTATATGCAAGCGAGTGGTGGAGTATGTTCAGACGATGGAGACGAAAAGTGCTTGGCCTCTCTCCCGATGCCATGGTGACCCCCGGATCATCGCCACAGAGTCATCCTCATGGAGGCGGCGGCCGTGTAGCACCGGAACGGCTCCAATTCAGTAGGCAATGCCCCGCGCTGAGGGGGAGCATCGCCAGCCTCGCTCTACGGGCTGCCTTCCCTCTCGAGCTCGTAGAATAGCAGGTAGACCTCGCGGCGCAGGTCGAGCACCTCGCTCGTCTTGGCCTCGCGGACCTTTTCGTCGCTGATGCGCCACCAGCGGTCGGCGGGCTGCTTCTTGCGCGACTTGTGCACCGGCGGCCGCGGTGCTACGGCCATCGGCGTCGAGCGCGGCGGGCTACTTCCGGGCGTGCTGTTGCCGTTGACCCTGTGCGAGAACTTGGACACGGTGCTCTTCGCCGAGGCAGTGAGCGAGCGCACGGATCGGATGCTCGCCGAGTCGGGCTCTCTGTGCTTGTCGCGCGGGGCAGAGGTCGGGCTGACGCGCTTCCTCATGTGGTCCCTTGACGATGCGTCGAACGAGGAGATGGACGGGGTAGACGAGTCCGTTTCGGAGCTCGGGGTTAGGAGATCGGGTGTCGACACCGCAGGGCTCACCCCGCGTGCGATGGCGTCAAGCTGCGGTGTTGACGGCTGCGGTGTTGCGGCGGGGCTGGCTGTCTTGCTGTAGATGCCCGAGGGCTGGAACGTATTCTGGTTCGAGTAAGGGGCGTACGTGTTTTGGCGCCGGAACGATTCGTAATGGCCGCTGTGGTGGCTTCCCTTGTGCGTAACCAGGCCCAGCAGCTTATAGTTGCGGCGGTCGCGGAGGCCGCCCAGGGGCAGGCGCTCGGGGAAGGCGACCTTGGCCGAGTTCTTGGTCGATGTCTGGTCGTAGATGGAACGCGAAAGATGAACAGCCAGGATGCGCGGAAAGGAGGTGAGGCGCGTCGACCGTGCGATTTTGCGCTTGGGCGCCTCGCTAATATTGGGAAGGAGCACATCCTCGGGGACGTGTTCCGGGTCAAAGTCAATTGCATGGCGCAATTTACGCACCGCTTCTTCCAGTGCCGTCTTCTCGCTCTCATTCCGGGCGTTGGCCATGTCCCTCTTGAGGGACTCTTCCGCCTGGATCAACCGGCACCTCTCGCACTTGAAGTCATCAATCATCTCCGTCTTGAAGATCTCGTCGAAGCACGAGCTAAGCGTGGTGGAGCTGACTTGAGGCACGTTCAATGTCAGCATGTAGAAGGACTCTTCCCTCGGCTTGGTTTTGTGACCACACGTCTGGCACTCTGACTGCGACTCGTATTTGCCTTCCATGGGAAAGCCTTCGTCTTCGTCGAGGGGTGGATGGATGCCGTTGGTTTGAATCTGGGGTATCGTGGGCGTCGGCAACGCGGAAGACGACTCGTGACCGTTGGCTAGGTCGAGATTCTCGAGCTTTTGCTGCACTGCGTCGCCATTGACGGCGGCGCCCTGTGACGTGGCTCGCGAGGCCGCCAATCTCGCATGTGCGCGGGCCCTTTCGCCTGCGTGGTACTCCTCCTTGAGTCTCTCGGCCACGATTTGCAGAAACTCCTGAGCGTCCTGCTGCTGTCGGCTGATGCGCTGTCGGAAGGCGGTCTCCAGCACCCGCACGAACTCAATGGCGGATATTGACTTCTTGTAGATTGGCCGCTCGTTCAGCGAGTCAAGCATGTCTTTCAGCCCCTGTGTAACCAAGCCGCGCTGCATACCCTCAATCTTCCAGTCCGGGTAGGTCTTGCCAGGCGGCTGGACCAATTGGGCGTAAACACCCTCATCGTCGATATTGCGGCGGTGGGTTTCGCGGATCAGGTAGACGCGCAGCTCGACGAGGCCGGCCAGGGCCTGCAACGTCGAGTTGATGAAACAGTCGTTGGCAGCATTGCGCAAACCGACGACGCCCTTCCTCCGAGACGAAGAGGTGCTGGATTCGTCGATTGTGAACGTCGGCGCAAAGACGTAGACGAGGGCAATGGCGGCTAGGGATGCGCCGGCGGCATAGGAAATGGTCGTAATGTTTTTGTCGGGCATATCTGGGGTTCGGGTGGTTCGGGAGAAGAAAGCGGACGAGGAGGGTTTCGGGGTAGTGCGCTAGAGTGCGCGACAATCGGCAGGATGTGACACCTGAAGAACGTCAGCTCTGGTTTCCCTTCGACAAAAACCTATCTTCGTCCCGTCGTGGTGGTGGTGGTGGTGGCCTCGCACCGTTACACCCGTCTCTCCCGAGGCTCTCAGCTGCGCAGGGCGGAAGTCAAAACCCACCTATGCTATTGAGACTAAGCAAGGAGCAAGCTCATAACCATGTGATGACCGGGCCAGTAGAGGTGCAGGAGTTCAACATTGTCTCTTCGACGCGTACGAGATGGTGCCGATGATTACCGAAGAGGAAGACCCTAAACGGGTATGGCTGGACAGATTGGCGGGTGAAGGTGAAGGGGGAGGAGAAAATGACGGAAGAGAGGTGAGGCGAGACTGGAGACTGGAGACTGGAGAAGAGGTGGACTGGACCAAGAGGGTCTGTGATGGGACACACCGGGTTGTTGGAACGGGTGAAGGGGGTGAAGGGGGGGGCACTGAGACGGGGGTGCGCAGAGCAAAAATGGGGTAAAATGGAGATGTCGCCGACTCGGGGGATCGGGGGTCGGGGTCGGCGAGTGGTGGTAGCGTCGAGCGTCAAGCGAGGTGAGCGAGTAGGTAGGAGAGAACATGAGAGACAGGAAATGACTACCCGGGTTGGGCGGGGATGCAGTGTCGGTGTGCAGACCAAAAGTGCGGATAGAAAGAGGAGCGCCGACGAGGATTAAAACGGGGACGGGTTAGTCTGCCGGCTGGTGTTTGCTGGCTCAAGGGGCTCGACGAACAAGCATGTCGCCTGGTACAATTGTCTATCAGTCAGAGGAGCGCAGCAGCATCCGAGTGCCCCCCTCTGGGCAAGTCTGAGGTAAGGTTGAGGTGAGGAGAAGAGGAGGAGGAGGAGGAGAAGAAGAAGAAGAAGCTGGAGAGAGACAGGTGCACCGCAGTATTACAGCGGAGAAAACTGCTGGATTGGACTGGATTGGTCATGGTATAAAGACAGCCAGGACAAGGTCCGAAGGTGAGGCTGGAGTGGTGTAGAATGGTGGCAGTCAATCCATGCTAGCTAGGCCCGCCTCTCCGCGATTCACCTACTACATAGTGCATACACACATAGGCAGGTGCTCCTCCTCCATTATGCGCCTGCGCGAGGGAAATCCCGCCGCCGCCGCCGCCGCCGCCATCGCCTTGCAAAGGTTGCGTCCTCGCAGCCGTGTCGACCAGGTCCCGCCCATAGTCACCGGTCACTTCCTTCTGTATGTCTGCCTTTAGCGACTGCTATCCTCCGCCGCCGCCCTCCTTCTTTTTGCATACCCCAGGTTGCTTCTTCGAACCTGCTTTTAAGGAACCACAAGACGGGCCGCTCTTTCACTCGGCCGGACGTCGATTGGGCAGGTGCCGAAGAAAGAAACCGCGCTGCAAGCCGAGTTCGGGGGAAGCCCGGGTTCCCGATATTATGATTCGACCCCAAAAACCTTCAGGCGCTAAAACCTGAAATCACTTTCCCATGGACCTTTTTCTTTTTCCTTCTTGCGCAGCGCCACGACTTCTGGACCCGGCACCGCCCGCCCCACCCGCTCGGTCGTCTCGGCCATCGATGTTCCGGCCCTGGCCAATCGATCCCCTCAGCTAGCTCGTTCCCAGCTCGTTTCCTAGCTCCCCGCACAAACACCGCCTACTACGTACGCCTGCCAGTCATCGCCCGATGTCACTGAGCAGCAGATGCGGACAGACCTTACCTAACCTCAGCGTTCGCCATAGACGACTTTGGCTGCACTGCACTGGCCCTTCATCCGTGTGCCGCCGCCGCCGGACACACTACATCACAGGCTTGAGGACGTCGACGTGCATGTTCCACGACACGTTCTGGAAGCCTGCCATGGGCATGCACAACCTATCCCGGCCCGCCCTGAGTCTCCCTCCATTTGCCCTGCTTCTGCGACCAACCGCATCCCAGAAACTCCCGTTCCTTTCTGCAAGGCGACGCTTCAATCGGGACTGATGGGCGGTCTGCGCACTGGCGAAGCCACCTGATTGGGGAGGACCGAGGCACCGTCTGTCCCTGTGGCTGCGACGTGGGGGTTTGGAGAAGCAAAACTCTCCAATGCAACGTCACTCTACCCTTCGTCACCCGCTGGCCCTTCGGGGCTCTGCATCAGCAGTAGCTGACCACCAATCATCATACCGGCCCTGCCGCAGTACTCCCGCTCATTTGTCCGCTGTCCGTCATTCTCCCGAGCCTCTCTGGCTGTTGCTGCTGCTGCACCTTGACAAAAGACTCCCAGCATGTCCGAACCATCGGACGTTTCCCAAGCACTTCGACGCTCCCTACAGCAGTACAAACATCCGCAGCTAGAGCCGTCTCTCACCACCACCCATCCTGTGCAACGGGTAGAACCCCGGGTCTAGCCAATTACCCCTCAGTCGCCAGCTGTGTCCAAGGTTCCCAGCATCACTTGTCTCGAACCCCCGCATTCTGGGCCCTCGCGAACAGGCCGCACTACATTTTGGTTCTTTCTTCAGAGTAGCTTTGGTGGACAGATTAGCCTATCCTGCTGAAATGCAGCGGGTCTCGAAGCCCGAGTACCGCAGCCTGCCGCCTGCCATGTAAGCACTCCTTCGGGCGACTGTCAGCCGTTGCACGGCCCCGTTGCCAGTGTGGGTGTGGGACTTATCCGTGCTTAGCCGATGGAAGTTGAAGCCGCGTATTGGCGGTGGGAGATACGCGTCCTGCGGTGGTACGCGTTGCGTAATCCGGCGGCGCAGGATTCCTTCGCGAGATTATGCCACGAGGAAGTGCCCATGCCAATGGCTGCCTGAAGGCGACAACCGAGAAGCCTTCCCGTCTGATGCTGCCCGCGAGAGAGCGTAGTCATTCGAACAAAAAGCAGCTTGAGCCGTCATCCTCACACAAGACGGTCCCGACATCTTGGCAGCCCCATTCTGGGCACGTTGGCACTGGTCACCCCCGGATCACAGACCCCGGGTGTTACCCGCTAAATACATGCGAGACATGGCAGCTTGGGTCTAGCTTGCAAGAAGCTGTTGGTATGTATTTGGAAGGAGAAATCCCGACGACGATGTGAAGTTGGTAATTAAAAAGGCCCGCAGGGCCATCTTGGGGCCTGGTAAACAACGCAACCATCGCATCTGCTGCCATCACGCATCTGCTACCACCACTGACTGTTCGCCGACATCCAGCGGCGCAGCCGCCACGGGCTGGCCTTCCCAGCTCCATATCGAGCCGTTCAGCGCAGCTGTCTTGACCCAGCCACAGCACAACTCATCCGCCTCCTCGTCGCCATAGAAAGAGGTGGGTATGTGATATTTCTCAACGGCAATCAACCCTTCTGGATCGCACTCTGCCCAACTTGCCGTCTGTACTTCCGGCAAGTCGTTTTCAACATCTGCTAACACTATCTTGAGCTTCCGTGGTACCAGGTGGTCGAACTTCTTCAGCATGTCATTGTAGTCGTTCTTGATATTGGCCGTCCCCAAGTCCAATGGTCGCGCAAGCATGACTTGCTCCAGCGAAGGCGTGTTGGCAGTGTCATACCAAAAGCAGTGGCTCCCTATGGGGGCCCTAAACAGCACCACACGCCGCAGCTTGGGCCATAGGCTCCAACAGTTGACCGTGAAAGTCCGGGACATGAACGTCAGGGCCGGATAGTCTCGCAGGCACACAAGCTCCTCCAGCTTGGAGAGCCTCTGGAACCCGTCGGTCAGGGTCGGTCTCACGTCCAGGTGGTCGTCGTACCCAGACAGACTTCCGAAGGGCATGTCGACTATGAGCCGCTTGAGAGTCTCGCAGACCTCGCAGAAAAGCTCGCGCACCCACATGGCGGTAGGCTTATCGTCCAACGACTTCCCAAATGGGCTTATATAGAGGGACGTGATGCATTTGAGAGACAGCGTCGGTGGTAGGCTCTTGAGCGAGGGAGACAGGATGCTGAGCAGAAGCAAGCTTAAACGCTTGGTCGAGTCAACGTGCATGCATCGTTTCCGGAGTAAGCGGATGGTAAAGTCATATGTCGAGCGCGAAACCAGTGTGAGGTTGATGAGGGCCTTTGTTGCGCTGTGTGAAGCGGGCAAGATTGCCGTTTCATTCGGCGGGAGGAGGCTCTCAATGATGTGCAAGATAAGCTCGGGCGGGAGTCGCCACGGCTCAGTCTGAGGGAGTGACATCCCAATCGCTGCTGTGTGTTTTGAGTGAAGTTTGGAATACTTGGAAATCCCAAGTGACAAGCGATTGATATCTGATAAGGCTAATCATCGAAAATGAGACAGAGAAAGTGAGACGTCGAGCGAGTGAGGGGACGTCATCACTAACCAGGCACCAGCAGCTCGGTGAGGGGTCTCGGAGCGACCCCGCTCCCCCGCGCCGCGCCGATTGCAGCTTCACCGAGAGACTGGACCAAGATTTGGCACCAAACACAATCAACTGGGATCTTCACCATGCTTCACGACATTCTTTGGATTTGATCTACCTGCTCTAAGAATCAAATTTCTCTCTCCTTATGAACATTCAGTCTTTCATATCATCATTCAGCCTTACCCAAGAGGCTGCATCAGGTCTCCCAAACTCCCAAGCCTGGGTCATGAGAGGGGCTTCTCCGTGACGACTGCCGCTGACTTTGGCTGCCACAGTGAGTTTCTCCTCTGCGTCGCATATGGAGCCGGCTCCCCCGATGAAAGCTGTTCGTCAGGCACGCTTCTAGGGACCGAGTTGACCGCCGGACCACCTTGCCACAACGTCGCGCTTCCCCTCCTCAAGCCTGTGTCGGCAAGCTTCTGGGACGTAAACTCGGGGCTTGATGCTACCGACGACTCGGATCGTTGAGGCTCCTCCACACCACCGGCCATAGGCGAGTCAACCAGCGCGGGCGGTACACTCGGGTCTCTGGTCACTGCCTGTTCCGTCCTCTCGGGCTCGAGACTAACGACCATCCGTCCACCGCGGATCTCGCCTCTCCTCATTCGATCGAGACCACGGTTGATGCCTTCGAAGCCTTCTTCCACGCCAAGGAGCTCAGGAGGGCTGACGAGGCCGCTCTCCAGCAACCTCTCGAGCCAGGTGACGAGCGCCTCGCCGACGGCGGGCACCTCGTGAAAGACCTTGATGGGAACAGTGTGGTACGCAACTGCCTCAGGGGCCTGATCCTTGGGCAGGCCCGTCAAACCAATGAGATGCTTCAGGGTAGGGCTGCTGTTGCGAGGGGTATCTGGCGGGCTAGGCGGCGCTCCGGCATCCAGCGCCGGCGTCAACGCGCGCAACAGCCAGCCAGCCGATTCCCTGCCGCTGGTATCCAAAGCGAAGCGCAGGTTCTTCCCGACATTGGCCCGGATGATGTCGATCGCTCGCGACGGGTCGTGGCTATCGACGAGCAAATCAGGCCGCAAAACCGTGTGGTTCGACAACCGCAGGCCGTGCCTCAACTTGTCCACGACGGTCACGACCTTCAGCCCGGCCAGCCGCGCAAGCTGCACGGCCAGGTTCGCCGACGTCGACGACCCGCCCCAGATGACGACCCAGTCCCCGGCCACGGCCCTCTCGTGGTCCCGGATCCCGCTCAGACACTCGGCCCGGATATCCTGCGGCAGGCTCTCGGCAGGGATCTCGCGCAGTAGCTTCAGCAGGTCCGGCCCGCCGAGCACGCCCGAGAAGTCGACGCCCATGCAGACGCCGAGCGAGAGCACAGCTGCGACGAAGGCGACGCCGAGGGTTGCGCCGGCGCGCGGCGAGACGTTGGGCGGGATGCGCGCGGCGTTGAAGTCCGAGGTCACGACGTACTGCTGGTAGGCCGCCTTGCGGAGGTCGCGGTAGTCGGTCGAGATGACGAGGACGCGGTCGCCGTCGCTGAGGCGACTCTGCGAGGACTGCTGGCGACGGACGACGCGGCCGACGAGCTCGCGGCCGGAGATGTAGGGCAGCGTCGGGATCGCGAAGTTGAAGTCGCTGGGTTTCCGCGCTTGTCAGCACTGGTTCAGAGGGTTGGCTCTGGCCGGTTAATGGGATAAGGGGGGGAAGACCTACGGCGCTTTCCAGTCGATCGGGTTCAGGCCGATGTGTTCCGTTCTCACCAGCACTTCCCGCTCATCTCGAATCTCGGGCACTTGGTATCCCTCCGCCGTCTCATACGGCTGCTTGGCCGCATGGAGGATGAGCACGGTTTGCGTCTCTGGTATTTCTGCCATGGCTGTGGTGGTTTATGGCCTCGTCGCTCTCATTGGTCGGGCGGCAGAGTGAAGGAGGTGAGTGTATCCCGGTGAGGGGATGAGATGAAAGTGGCTGTCTGCGGGCGTTCGACGTCGCTTGACTGAGTGTGCGTCTCTCTCGCCTTGGGCAACAGTTCCCTTCCAAGTTTACGCTGAGTTGAGCTGAGTCGAAGTGAGTCGATGGGAGGAAGTCTCGGGACTTACGAGCAAATCTCCAGATAACTGCAGGAGAAGTAGAGCTGGAGAATACTCCAATCACTTAGACAATAGACTTGTTAGACTTTTTTTCCTTTTGTTCAGTGTCCTTCATTCCTTTCCGCTAAAGATAAGAGACATTTCTTCGACCCCTTTCACCCCCTCCCGATGGCCGGAGGGTTGTTGATCGGCCGCACGCTTTTGCTTGGGTGCTGGGGGAATTACGTGCTCTCGCAGTCCCGCATTGCGTGATTCTTCCCCAAGATGGCTGCATCGCCATCGACCACACACAACCCCCCGCGAACCCCCCCCCCAAAAAGCGCCCAACAGGGCCAAGGTTTCCCGATAACTTGCCGAACTCACTCAAAACCGCCGCGTCAAACCTTGGGACATGGCCGGCTAATTGGAGCAGGTCGGCCAAAGGAGTGGGCTATCTTGCATGCGCTGGTATGAATCTGGCATGCCTGCCGTTGACCCTCTGCTTCTTGTCATCTTATAGTCTTGTTAGCGGCAGGACCTTCCGCGCTTGTGGTTGCCGAGGATAATTCCGGCCTCCTCGCTGCCTCTTTCGCTTCACTGGAGCGGCGCGATGCCCGCCCGGCCGATGCGGAAGAGGAGACGAAGAGGCCGAGTTGAGCCAACGACAGCCCGGGGCCAGCCACAGCCGACCCCTCCCAACGCTCCACTACGCCTGTCACGACATGTCGCAGGATTGTTGCCAATCTCGATAGGACCTTCGCCGATGTAGGCTTGCTGATTAATTCAAGCTCGTGATTTTGGGCGGCTGCGAGTTGCTCGCGGTCGGAAGGGGCGATTGCGTGCCAAGGCAGCTTTTCTGCACTGAAGTGACGGATGCATTGAATAGGGTTGCCCAAATGTGATAACTGCCACACAATGCTACACAATTCCAGCAAACATAGGAAATTCAATGTACTTGTTTCCGTTCAATTGAGGCTTGTTGGTATATGGATCAACCGCATACGATACCCCATGGCAGGTTATGTAAGATAAGGATGGGAACCAGCAGTGATCAACCAACCTCGAAACAAGATGCGGCATGGGGTCTGCTCTGTGTCCTTGGATCAATTGAATCCACGAACAGGGCGTGGCATCACGGAATAAACCTTGCTTAGACAAATGCGAGATATTCTATATGTCGAGCCAGTGGCAATATACACCAGCCCAATTACCAGCCGAAATGGGTTCAATCGATTCGAATGGCATGCGCGTAGCTTGGACTAATGTAGCCACCCAAATCAGTCAATTTCAATACCCTGTGCATTTGAGCTCTCACAACAGTATAATAACAGAATTCGGTAAGCTAGAAAGATAAAGAATAAGGAAAGTCTAAGCTGTTGAACACATTTTATAGTTAATGCTTCGACGCATTGCCTTCGCCCCAACAATACTTGCTCCTGTGTGTGCGGGCCATGCCAATGACCGTACCATATGACATGATTACTTTCTAAGTATACTGTACCCTTTATAAATGATTCTTTGCCCGATTATGTTGTTCTTGGGGACAGCCTCCCTGGCAGTTCTGCTTTTGTACGGCTCGTACCTGTCGCTTCTGCTCGATTTCTTTGCAGGGCGCAGACCAGTCACCAGACAAGGTTCGGCAGACCAAATTATCGACGCGATGAGCGAAGACTTGTTTGGAAGCTTACTGTCTTGTGGTTAAGTAACTTGGAAGGTCGGGTATCTGGGACGGCAGTGTTCAAAGTTGACATCTCACTGATTTCTGAAAGTCTCGCACGAGATTTATCTGATGCATGGCTCACGCGGATGATCACAAATTCAGCCAGATGTCGTAAAAGCCAGTTAGTAACTTTAATGAAAACATTACTAGGTGTACCGTGCTAGTAGAACATGAAGAACTTAAACAAAATACAGCCGAAGTAGGTTTAGCAAGCATTGTTGGCTGGAATTACAAAAACAAGCAGCATCACTCACCACAACATATCTTTGTTATATGAAGTAAGCTGGCATCTCTCGACTACTATCTACCACCAGCACATACCCATAATCGCTTTTTGCGTTAAATAGTTGTCTTCTATCGAAGTGATCCCGATGATTTAATCCTTGTATTCGGCATGGATATCTTCCCTTCCCAGTAACCAATCACCGAATAGAGCAATAACTCCTCAAGTCGATCTGCACACTACCAACTATCGCAAGCGAGCTTTATCAAAGTACACTTATTTTAGTCTCAAGCACGTGCATGAGGTCGACCAGTTTACAGAGGGAGATAATTCATTTGATTCAGGCAGAGTCTGTTTAGCTCTCAGTACATCGGATTTCGTAGGAGGGCTATAGTAGATGCTAGTTATAATCAATCCCAAGCGATACTCTCATTAAGATAAGTCGCTCGAAAATCAAAATTTCGAGGAAGACTTCCAGATCAAACCACTCTCTGGGCCGGAATATTGCCACATTATTGCATCAGACTGTCGCCCCTTCTTGAGATTTCAATGACTGTTGGCTCTGGCGATAAGCTGTCTCACATCGTTCACACCATGTGTCTACAACAACATTTTGTTTCGATGTCCTTTCATTGTTTGTTACACTGTTACACTAATAAATCCTGGCGGCCTGCTCCCTTTCGAAATTCTGATATGCCGAGAGGTAACTTGAAGAGCGGATGACAGTGGAGTAAATTTAAGCTTCCTATTAGCCCAAATCGGGCTGCCGGAGAGGACCCCATCTCGCCTGATCTACAGTGCATCACTAACAAGAATGCCGGGATGCTAACTTGATGAGCTTATCCGTGTTCGATCACGCACCATTTGTTGATTTCATCGAGACCTGTCCTTCGTGATGCTAATTATTACAAGTTCATGTAACCAGACTGCTTATGTAAACCATCAATGGTGCCTCGAAATGCACGGGTGGTCCCTGAACCCTGAGGAGTTATCTTAGTCCTTAAGCTTCCAACTTTGCCAACTTTTTGAGTCAATGCCTTAGGCCTTGTAACAAAACATTCCACCTCCACTTTTGATACAATGACGTACGAGTATCAGTAGTGGGCAATTCCTCTGCTTTGCAGGTGACCAGTTATCGAACTCATTTACTACTACACATATCTCGATGAACGGCAGCGTCCAGGACATAGGGGAGGGCGCTATCGGCAGTGGTGAGACCGGTGTTCCGCCCTTCGATGCGGTTAGTTCTTTAAGCGAGGAAATCCCAGTCGACCCAGATGGAGATCTTGTCCTTCGCGCAGGGCAGCAAACGGAGGAGCCCGAGAAATCATTCCGCGTTTGCACGAGTGCACTACGGCGCTCATCCCAGGTGTGGAAAAAGATGCTCTTTGGCCCGTTCAAAGAGTCCAAACCGGCTTTCGGGACATGGCTCGTCAACCTCCCCGACGACGATCCCGATGCTTTGGGAATTCTCCTAAACATCATCCATGCGAATTTTCCCCTGGTACCGACCGCGCCGAGCCTGGCCGAGCTATACGAGGTTTTCCGGATGGCGAACAAATACGACATGATCCCAGCGCTGAAGCCGTGGGCAAATGCATGGTTGGAAGTGGCAGAGAGTTATGCCACTACGGCAGACGGGAGGAGCATGGCTGCGTTAACATACGTCGCATGGGAACTGGGCCAGGTTGAGCTGCACAGAAAGATGATGAAAGAGTTGTTGCTTTATTCGTCCATTGACAAAGACGGCCAGATGGTCACCGGCGACGGCGTGGTATTGGATGACTTTGATCCCATCGGCCCTCCAGGGTTACTCGGTAAGGGCTTTATACGGTTTGGTGATATGAACTGGTATTGACAACCCCTCCCAGGTTTCTTGCGTAGACAACAGCTAGACATCTTCAGTGCACTTCCTTCCCAACTCAACTCTGTCATTGCCGAGCTGACAGAAGGGCCGGGCTGCTGTGTCGACAAGAAGGCGTCCTCTGACGAGAAGGCCGACTGCAACGATATTATTCTCGGCAGTCTCCTAAGAGGAATGGCAAAGACTAGGGGTGCTATTTCTCTGACTTTGGCGGGGAATGAGGGAGAAAGTGTGGCAAAATTTGCCGAGTCCATCAAAGCTATCGCCGAAGGCATCTCTACTCACGATGGACACAACGGAAAATGCAACCCGGCACCAAGGATTGTTACGATGCTGAATAAATTCACCCGAGGTCGTATTGTGAAACTGACCAAGATGAGTGTGGAAAAAATGGACAAAAGGCGTGAAGAGTTGGGTTTAGAAAGGTCGCTTTCCCAAAAGGCAAGTGAATGAAAAAAGCCGAGAGAAAATATGAGTTATGGATCACAAGTTGGTGCTTGTACAACATAATCAAGAGTATAATATTGTAATTCGAGAGTATTAATGTGTACTAGTATACATATTCAACGATGTTCCAATTATCTAGCTCATAATACCCTTATGGCCATCTCCATCAGCGTCCTTGAAGGGGTTCAGCTTGTCAACAAGAGAAACCTTCTTGCCTGTAGCATCGTGCGTGGGATCAGTGCTGGTGGTGGTGGAACCGAAGCGAGGCTAATTAATTGATGGTAAGCTTAGTTTGACTAGTGGTTCATGAAATACATACCTCAGACTTGTTCAAAGAGGAAGCGCCGTGAGCTGTGCTACCGGGGGCGTAGTTGGCATCATTCTGGACGCCAGTGGTGTGAGTACCATGTCTAATTCCCTTCGTGGTACTAGTAGTAGTAGAATTGTCACCTACAGTGTGGCGAGCGTTGGCAGACTGAGCTGCGGCAAGGCTGTCCGAACCGTGGGTGGAGCTGGTGTTGTGTCCATGGTGGGTGGTGGAAGCTCCGGCGGCGGCAGCGCCAGCGGCAGCGACAGCAGTCTTACCAGCGCCAGTTCCGTGGGAATGGCCGTGGCTGTGGCTGTGGGTTCCGGCTACGCCAGCATGCTCGGAATCCGCGAAGCCCTTGTTAATCTTGTCCGGGCATCCATCAAACTCATCGTACTTGTGGTGACGGGGTCCGTCAAGGCTGCCCTTCTCCTTGGTGAACTCATGAAGAGTCTTGGTGGGAAGGGTGGTAGTGCCGTGGTGGACTGGCTTAGCGTGGTGCGTCTCATGGATTGGCACAGTCGTGTGTACGACATGAGGCTGGATTGTTTCCTTCTGGATGACGGGCTGGATATGCTCGTGGACGTGGTGGTGGACGCGCTCACCTGTCACCACGGGGGCGGCGGTCGAAGTGTGGGTGGTCTCATGAGTAGTAGAGGTGTTCTTGAACTTCGCGTGCTCGCGGTCAAGGATGTCCTTGGTTTCTCTATCGTTTCCGTGCTCAACAGTCTTGTGTGCGACAGGAACGACGTTATGATGGTGCTTCTCGGGGCTGGTCATCCATGTTAGTGAAACAAGCTAATTGATGAGGAATTGAACGACTTACAGAGTCTGTTGGTCCTTGATAGGCTGGATCGTAGTATGGTGATGGTCTTGGTGAACCTCCTTGTCAACGGCAGTGGTTATCTCCTCATGGCGGTGAGGGCGAACCTGCTCTTCAGTGACAGATCTGTTGACATCCTCATCGACGGTGGTCTTGTGGTGGCCATCCTTAGAGACGAAGCTTGAAACGGCTTGCTTGGCTTTGTCCATGATGACTATTTTAGAAGACTTAGGTTTGGTGTTTTGCTTGTTGGTTGCTGTAATGTAATGCGAGTGGTGAGTGATAAATCGGGATAGCTTTTCTGGATGATTATCCTCTAGTATATATAACTCTGCACTCTATAAAGCTTGGAGATCCAAGAAGCGCTCGGCGCCTGGTTGACAACACTTGAACGTCATGCAACATTAGGTCTCAAGTTGTCCAACCGCTACCGATGCTCAGAGCTTTGGTCTATTGCATCCTCATTCCTCTCGATCCATGCTCGAGTAAAGTGAGTAAATGCTATGCAGCACGTCATCGCTGGATCACGATGACCGTCCAATACAGCGCATCGACTCCATGTTGTGTAACGATGGAGTTAAAGCGTCGAACCGCTCAGCTGGGTATGGGTTCCAAAACAGAGCTACCACTGTGCCACTGACGATGTCGAAGAGCTACTACGCTGAACGTGCTTGGCGTGGCGCTTAGATGTGGGGCACTTGAGATGAATCGGAGACTTGGGGAATGTGACTTATGCCGCATTAGTCTGGTTCGTTGGGTCCGGTTGACGGATGAGAGCTTGGGCACTGCTTAAAGTGTTCCAGTCGTCGTGGCGCCGACACTAGCTTCAGATGAAAGCGTCATAACGGAATGCGGCTATGAACCACGTCGTCGGAAATGGATAATGCCGCTCCAATCCTCGACGGCGATCGCGGGGAAACACTGCTAGCTCGGGCAAACAATAGAATGACAGGCTGTCCAACATTATTCTTGGCATTTACGCGTGTTCTTCTTTCTCAGAGACGATCATTTTGATCCAATTTACATACGCTTTTCGTCTTATGCGATAATGAATTGAGAGGTATGGTTGTAATCGACGCATTGCTTCCCAATAGAGTAACTCTTGGAGAAACTAGTCCGTGACCAACAATGCACTCAGTAGCCAGCGCTAAGTTGATCTTGCCTTGATAGTTTAGCCAGCTGTGTGATCACAATCGTGACAGTTTATGTCTACGCACGCTCGATTGCAAAGTGTGCGCAGGTGATCACCAAATATTCGATGACGTTTAGTGCTCCTATTGGCGCTTTGATGATACTTGAATGTCGGCTCGGGGCTCATGAACTTAGCCTCCAGCCACATTGACCTTCCCTAGCAGCTTTGATACCATTGGCGCAGTCACTGCAAGTATGCCTGTTGGAAAAACTACCTGGTGAATCAAATCTTCTGAAATGCTAGGTATGACAACCTTCATTCATGTCTCGGGATGTAATGGCCACATGATTCTGAGTTGCTCAACCCACATATGTGTCACCCAACACCCGGACGGAACTCCGTTTAGAAGCAGTGAATCTGTGGCTGGCCTGCGACAGCGTAAATACCGACAGTTCGCCACAGACTGACCGCAACCCTCGGCTCAAGAAATCGGATGCCGTTTGATTGCACTTGTGAAGCAAGCGTGGCTTTCCGGGTTTTTCCTACGGAAACAAGGAAGAAAGAAAGCAAGAATTCAACACAGGTTAAAGTCCATACGAACTGTTATCAACGTTGTGTGGCCAACTGAATCGGTGACTGTCAATTACTTAAAAGCATTGTGCTTTTGTCCAAAAGGGAAAAGTTGCTTTATCACACAATGGTGGCTTTGACCAGAAGCACATAAAAAGAACCCGGGTTCCATTCTTTATCACAGGTTTGTAAGAAAGAATGGTCGGGTGTTGGCCATGACAGGACCTAAGACTCTTTTTCGGAATTTTTGACAGCAACAGCAAAACAACAGCCTGGTTCTGTTGAGTAAGTTTGGTGTCGCCTCGAAAGAAAGAAAGGAAGAAACAAAACAAAACCGTTGAAATTTTATCAACTGAACAGCAAACTGTCTATGTGAGAAGTGTGTAACTGATAGTTGTTGCTCTGACACAACAAGAAAGCTGTCACGCACTCAAGTTTGCCCGCCATCAAACATCATGATTGTAAGTCAAGTCACCCACTTCTGGGCACCCCACCCATGTGGGCACCCCAAAAATCCCTCAACACCATGACCAGCCTCCCACTTCAAACTATCACAACATTTTTATCCCTTATCTAAATTACTTCATCTTTTGTAGATACCTTCTTTTATACCCTATAGGTTAATATACCGAGTATGAGGTTAGCAAGGCTCTTGGGGATATTGCCAACGGCGTCCCTGTCCAGGCAGCATCTAGGAAATAGGGCGTTCCTCGGTTAACACTTCAGAATTGCCTTAAGGGTATCTAACCTAGAGATATTGCATTTACTGACCTCTAGCAGCTCTCTGTTAGTCAAGAGGCTAAGCTGGCTAATTAGGTATAGATATAGGCTGACCTTAGGTTTATGTTAACGTATTAACAAGTCAAGGTTTTTGTTTAGCGTATCCTTTATACTATAGGTAATACTTAGCCTCTAGGGAAAAGATAAATAGACGCCTTTATATAAAGAAACCTATCTTGTAACAGACGCTGACAGTGACGTCGGTCGCAAGGACCCTTTGACTCTACGGCCTAACCAATTGACCCAATTGACCCAAAAGATCCGTCAGTGCTTGCACGCGTGCAAGCCCTGCTGTCAACACTGCTTATATGCCCTTGTGACGTATAACCATCTGGCTAAGGGAGTTGTGCTGTTACATATCTATTAAGGTTTAAAGAAGTTAATCTATTAATTCTAGATGTATTAATAAGGTATCTACTGAGATTATTAGGGACTAGTTTAAATATCTTATAATCTTATTAATATTAGCTATTTAGCTAGCTAATAAATATAATATAGATAAGACTAGTATCCTTAAGGGTTAAGGAGTAAATAAGCTAATGCTAAGCAAAGCAAAGATAAAGTCTATATATAAAAAATAGCTTAGATTATAAGCCTAGGTATTTATTATTAAGTATATCTTAGCTAATAGCCTAGTACTATATCCTCTTATAATATATAAGGGCAAGATAGTCTAGTAGTAGTAGTTTCCTTTAGATCTTAGCCTTTATAATAAATAAGAGTTTATAATAATAAAGAATAAATAAATAACTAATAAAACTACTATTAAATAGCTACTAAAAGTCTTTTTACTATAGACTATTTCCTCTTAGCTTAATTAAGCTAGACTACTAGTCCTAGATAAGTATAAGAGTTATATAATAATAAAATTTATATAGTAATACTATATTAATAATATCTATCTATTATTTTTACTACTATATACCTCTTATATCCTTTAGCTACTAGATCAGTTAGTCTTTAGCCTAGTTAAGGTAACCTATTATAAAAAGCTCTAGCTTAACTTTAGCTAATAAAATAATTTAACTATAATAAACAAAAAATACTTTTTATCTTATTATTAACTAATACGCTTAACTAGGTTAATAAAAAAAATATTTTAAGTAGCTAAAAATATATTAGACTATAGCCTATTACTATAAATAAACCTCTTATAAGCTTTTTACTACTACCTAAAGCAATAACACTAGTAATACCACTTAATAAGGCTACCTAAGGTGCCTAGGGTATCTAGGATACCTAGGATATAGAGGGATAAGCATCTACTTTATCTACTATTACATAGTCTACGCCTAGAAAGATAAGGGACCTTAATAGTTAACTAGACTTATTCAATAAGCTAAATCAAAGTATTACCATATAATGTGTTACGGTCAGATATTTAACAGTGGTGTTTTCTGCTATTAGATAGCTAAGGTTGATACTTAGTAATAGTAAGGTAAGTCTAGTTAGTAATCTAGCTAGGTCGTAGTCGGCTGGTGATCAGTTAGTCGTTTAAGGCATAGGTAGCTTATATAGCTTTATAATAGAAGGATAATCTAAGAGTCACTTATAGTAAAGTAAATCACAAAGTTAATTACTGAAGAGCTATAGAAGTCTGTCCTTAAGTGCATCCAAGTCTATCCTATATATAGGTTTAGTATCTAATACTATTGTCCTAATCTTACCAGCCTATTAGTAGTGATTACTTACTTGGTTCTATTAATTAATCACTTATATCTACTAATTAATTAGTAGGTCTACTAATTGGTTAGTAGGTCCTATAAAGTAATTACCTTATCTTATTTATATATAACTTATACTATAATTCTTCTTGTTCTAAGGAGTTATTTATCTATTCTTATATCTTATTTATATAAATGTTATATTACTTATATCCTGCTTTATCTAGGTAAGGCATTACTATTAGTAACTTATTAGGTTATAATATTAGGTCTTTTTTTTAAAGGTCTTATCTTTAAGACTTATATAAGTAAGTTGTTTTCTAGGTTAAGGAATTATTAAGTTCTTTTTCTTTATTATACTAATAAAATATTAAAGTCTCTTAATTAGTAGCTAGTAACTTTAACCTTTTATTATAAACGTTATACCTTAAAGATTACCTAATTTAGCTTTAAAGTTATACTATACTCTTATTATTATTTTTAAGGGGTTTATTATAAAATAATAGTAAAAATAAATATTTATAGTAAATATATTTATTTAAGTTATCCTTATAATATAACTTAAAATATAATTTATTTTTATAAGTTATTTTATTATAAGTTCTTTATTATTACTAATTATATTTTAGTTAACTATTTATTAAATAAAGTAAATTATTTAGATTATAAAGAGATATCTAAAAAGGTAATTCTTTGTTAAAGAGTAGCTACGCTAAGAAAAGCTTAGGCTAAAATAGATATGTTGTTTATAAAGCTAGATTATATCTAGAAAATAAAAAGAATAGTGTTTTAAAAAGGTAACACTATATTATTCTTTGTTAACAGTAAGGATTTAGAGGTATTAGTAGTTTATAAAGTTTAGTTAATAAAAGGCTTTAGTGTAGTTAACTTATCTTTTTTTGCTTCCTTTAATTCTAGTGATTTATCCTAGTAGTTATTTAATAAATTATTTACTAAGGGTTTTGTAGTTAAGGGTTCTAGGACTTATAATAGTCCTAGAGGAGTTGTTAGGAATACTAAAAGTTCTTAACTAGTTCTTATAAGTTATCCTTATGTTTATATC